CGAAGCAGCGTTTCTCTGGTGCTAACATTGTCCAGTGTGTCGCCAGTGTGTCACAGCAGCCGTCCAATCAGAGCAGAGTAAACAAAGCACAGTCGTAAACAATAATATCAATATACATTTATTTTTTACTTTGAGTATTTATCAAGTGTGTGTATCAGAATCAGTAAAAAGAGGGGAAATGATTGTGGGTTATCCCATCCCACTGCTGAAATATATTTAAGTCACTGTCAAAAACTGAAGTGCGTGTTTGTTGCTGTAGAACAGCTGGCTCACTAAGTCTTCCCGCGGCCGACAGCTCCCTGTTTCACCAAACCATCGTCACAACATTTCATGTTCGCCTCCGCACTTCCACGGAGGTCCTTCCCCTCAGCCCTGTAATTCACGCGGTTTAGTTCCTCAGTGAGATGTCTAATGTGTATTTAATGGGTGTTGGTGAAGCAACAATTAAGTTAATTGTACATCATTGAGTTAATTTTAGTTATTAAGAAAACCCCAGCTTTCCTAAATGTTGTGAGTGTGGGGGATATGACGGAAGACAGCGAGTGAAGACAGAGGGGTGGTTAGCCTCAAATACAGGCCTGCGCTCGGGGACGACCTTTATGAGATTTACTGATAGTAATGACGGTGATGATGAGGGCTGGCCGGGTGTTGATGATTGTTTTAGAGACTTTCTTATGAACCGTACAATATGTTCATTATCAGGATTCAAACAGAGATGCAGTTTGCGTGGAGGGTTAGCCTGGAGTCTGATGTCTCCAGCTGGTTGTTGCCTGTTAAATATTGTGTTTTCTATTTGTTTCTTTGCCAGTAGAAAGTCTCAATAAAGATGCAGCTTTAAGTCAAGTGGAAACATGACGGCAGAATTCCTCACAGTCTTTACAGTAACAGGCGGTTAATAGTTTTGGGGCAGAGCCAGGATACTAGATCCTGCACTTAAATGTCATGGCTTGAGGAAAATGCTGTCATCAGATGCTTTGACATATTAATTGACTGTATTTAATCATATGTGTGTATCTATAAGTAAGTTGGAATGCGCACTCTTTACATACAGCTGAAAGCAAAACATATGTCTTAAATATTGTTCAACCATTCTGAATGAAATAACTCTTTTTTGCTGTACATTTCTCCAAACTTCCAAATGAAGAGTTTAAAATGTGATATTTGGTGGAGAAACCCTGATTTTACATGTCTTAACTATAAACTGTATAAAACATGAACATTGTTTCAGAGGTGCTATCCATATGTTTCTTCAAAGCCCAGCGGTGGCTGGCACCACCATAAAAACACTGGCTCCACTTAACTTTTGATCAACTACAGGCAAAGAAGTGAAGCAGTTAAAAGCTTTTAGCAGCCTGTCCATCACCTTAATTATGCAGCTTTGTATCATGATCAGCTACCACCTGTACAGTTTGGGCCAATAAATGAATAAGCTGAATACTGGAAAAATGTCTTCTAAATCAGTCTGCGAACATGTGTAATTAAGCTGTAAAATTTGACGTTTTAACATGAGACCCAATGAGGATTCCTTGTGTTGCAGCCAACCCCCAGTGGACACCTGAGGTACTGCAGCTTTTTAAAACCTCCACATTGTTTTAAGTTTTAACACCATTTGTTTTATTTTGGTGCTGGCATGCTCTCATCTATTTTATGTTGTTGCTGAGCCCCTCCTGATGCCAAATCAGTCCGTAAATGATGTGTGCAGATTCTGGCACAGAGTCATGCATGTAGATATACTGATTTATGGAGAAAAAAGGAGTGCTGCTTTAATTTCTTCTGCAGCTGTATGAATCAATGCTCAGAGACCTACACAAAAACGATGCCAGATCAATTATTTTCAATGGAAATTCAGTCAAATGTTCATTTTTTAGTGTTTCCTTCATAAATTACTGCAGGCTGAAACATTTTGAGCATACTTTCTACACCAGATTTCTGCTCATAAATCACAACTTAATGCTGCATTTAAATAGTTACAGACAGGCAATTTATTCTTGGCTCCCTCCCTGCATATGTGCAACAACATGGTGTGACTGTGTGTGAGTGTTTCAAAGTTTATTGGCAGCAGTCTTTACTTGCTGACAACCCACATGTGCTCTGCTTTTTATTGTTACCCTTACATTCTCAGAAAGACTTGTCATTCATGTGAGCAATGCACACACACACACAAACACATAAACACACACACGCACACATAACCAAAGGCAGGATATGAGCAGCAGTGTGACGGGAAGAAGGGAACATATCTACTCATGTACTTGGCAGATCAAACCAAGCCTCTGATGGAACAATCTGTGCTCATAAAGATAAAATTATCCTCACATCACCTGCAGTAATTTGGGGGCTGAGAGGGTGTTAGAGGCTCATTAAGGAATATTCCACTGTCTCTCATGCTCATTTGGCTTAAAGGCTTCATAATTACCTACACCAAAGATAAAGATGCATACAGGCTGGGTCATAGATCTTCAGCAGTTTCAGGTTCATTTATGCTGGCCAGACCAGTTTGATGTCTCAGTTAATCTCTGAATAATATCAAAGTGCACATGGTTTAACTCCTTTGTCTGCAGGCACTCAAGTTCAGCATCAAGAAATAACCACTTTTGTCGCTTATAACGTCATTTTTCTGCACAGGCAAAGAAGAGGCATCAGTGTAAGAGTGACTCTCTTTTAAAACCATTAAAAACTCCTCACAGCGGTCGTATTTTATGTGTTTCTGAGTGTATTTCAAGGTTCACACACTGACACCATTTGGCATTGCTCCTGCAGCACAGACTTACAAGTGTTTCACTCAAATACAACTTTTTCCAACATTTCCACTCATAGCACCACTTCTTTTAAACTTTCCAACACTTCATCACCTCAGCGGAGTGACTGCGATACAACTCAGACTAATGGTGAACGACTCATTTGCAGTTCGAACCACAGACAGCCAGGTTTTCCTGTAAGTCTGTGGGACCATCGGAGGTTCAGAGAGGAGAGTCTTGTGGTTAATCTGAGCCGGGAGCTGCTGGGCCTCTGAGCTTCCCACGAAAGATGTTTTTACTGATGTGTTCAGGACACAGGGGTTGGGTTTGTTGGAGTACAGGCACACTTTATCCATCACACGTCACATTCAAGGCCCTGGAACAGCAGGCCCATGTTTCTCAGAGCTGTGGTTTCTGGGAGATCGACAGAGTATTTCCATTATGGTTCCAATCTACCAGCCTCAACGTCAGTTTAACAGCCATGTTTGGACCTGAAATGTTTCATGTTTTCAGCATGAATACAATTTAATTAAAAGCTCCTGTGAGGAACTGAGTTTGGCGCCCCCTGTCGACAAAGTGGTACATCTTATCTTATTGCTGACTTTGTCCTGTTCATGTGTAAGCCGTGTTTTTAAAAGTTTTTGGAGGGAATTTTAAGGCAGATCCAGATGAAATGGGAACATTTTAAAAAATCAACTATGTCCATGAAACGTAGCTGACTCAAAGGTGGGGTAGTCAGGATCTGAGGAAGTGCCAGTTTTTGGGGAGAAATCTTGAATGTAAACTCTACCCCTCCCAACCAGTTTTCCCCTCAGCTCCTCCTAATATTTTTTTCCAATTTTTTTCATATATCTCTTAATTAACTTCTGCTTTGATCAAAACTAGTAAATGTTTCATCTAAAAACATTTTTTAACCCTTTGAGGGTCCATTCAAAACATAATGTCACTGATATGGTAGAAAATGAATAATAATTTTTTTTCCCCAATATTAGTGACTTTATGTTTTAAATGGGTCCTTAAAAGGTTAAAATTTGGATTCTTAATGAAACATTTGTTAGTTTTGAATAGAGCAGAAGTTAATTAAGAGATATATGAAAAAAAATCTGGAAAAAATATGAATCCAATATGTTTTTACAGCAGTCAATGTCTGTGGCTGTTTTTAGAAAAGGATGTAAATCTAAGGGTTACACAAGGGTTAAGATTGGATTTAGCTAATGCAAAAATATTCTCAGCTATCATATTTATGTAGGGTCCAGTGCAGCCTTGAGCTGTTGTTGATTCTCAAATCTAGATTTGTAAATTGTTACCAGGAGAGGAAACTCTACCAGACTCTCTCTTTCTTCAGGACGGTGTTTTGGGGGTAAAAATCAGCAGATCAGTGACCTGGTGGGAGTGGGGCTGGTCGAGGGGTAACTCCGGACTCGTACATATGGATCTGATAGAGACGACAGATAATGGGCAGACGCGGTGGAGCCATCCCTTAAACAGAGCAGGAAGTGTGAGGCGTGTCTGTCTACTGTGCAGTGTGTGTGTACATGTGCTGAATCCTGTCGTCACAAGGCATTGTTATCCCATGTGTTGACTTATGGCGTTCCTACTGTTGTTGGACGATCAGAGACAGTGCTAGAGAGGAGGGGCTGGGTGGGTTCATCACTGAATATAGATTCAGCCACATTTCCAAAGGTTTATATGTTTCATTATGTAATTACAACATGAAACTTGTATTATAATTTATAAATTGGCCATATTTACAGTAAAGCGGGTAATTCTGTGTATAAAACATGTAGTTTCAGTTTATTTTGAAATGTTGATCGTCACACAGCGTTTGGATATTTCTAATGAGCATAAACTAGAGCTGACACTTTAAAAGTTGCCTCTGGTGCCTGGCTCTAAGATCACAGAACGCTCATCTGCCTCCAATCTGTCTGTGACAGTTTGTGTATGTGGGAATAATTAGTCACTTTAAAGCTGAAGCTGTGTACAGAGTCTAGTCTGGGGAAGGTCCTGTGAAAGTGAGCCAAGCACTCAGAGTTCCTGTAGTCTGATGGAAACATGTAACATATAGAAGATATAGAAGATATAGTCTTGAAACAGTTTTGAATCAATTTTATTCAAAACAAACTCCCTTGTTTAGCTAGTGAGCATATCTATAAACTCCGAATCACTTATTTACCTAATGCACAATCTTTTTGTCTGTTGCAGTGGTAGTAAACAAAACCTCAACAGAAGAAGAAGAAGACAGGATATAAAAAAAGATTAAGGATGCAGAGCTGTAAGGTAGGAAAGCTCCTTGCTAACATGTTTGGAGATTGTTTTGGTAAATGACGCAATAGGTTCACAGGGAGATCAGGCTGTAATCTCTCTTATAACGTGTAATCTGACCTGTGCATAAAAGTTAGCAGAATTTGTGATAGTTGCGAAGTGCTTCATAAACAGCCAAACACTTGGATTTGCAGCAGTCCATCATGTATCTATAAATAGCTGTTTTATTCATCCCTGTCCTGTTTTTCTCTAAAGTCAGTTCACAGTAAAGGAACAGTCCGTCTGATTTCTGATGGCTGAGTTTGATTTAGGTCACATAAAGGTATTGAATCAGTACGTTACATAACAAGTTAAAATCACCCTGCAAGAGCTTTAAATAACAATTAAACCATAAATTCTACTTATATTGCCCTGAAGTGACCTTTAGCACATGTAACAGGTACATCCCTAAACTGTAACTTCATGAGAAAGTTTGACTCCTGATTAAATGTCTTTGGCTCAGCTTTAAGGTCAAAGTTCAGCATAACATTAGGATTCTTGACAAAGACGATTCATCACAGCAGAAGTCAGACCTGGTGTACGGTGTAATACAGTCCATTCACACCTATTAGACCTCACAACAAACTGTAGTTTGAACATATATCAGCCACCAGGCCAAGATACTGACATGTTTACGGAGTCAAAAAGAGCCACTTTGTTGTGCGCAGCATAAACCAGACAAGGTGTGCTGACGTCTGTTTTCAGAGAGTACAAAGGTGAAGAGAATAAACCTGTTTATAACTGAGACTTTGGTCTTTGATTTCCACAGCAGAAGAAAAGGTGTGAGGACTCCTTATCGTCATTACACGACATTGACCCGACAGCAGACACCATGCTCAGGTAAGAAAACTTCTGTAAACCTTATATTATCAAGTTTGACAGCTTATTTGTTTGTTTATTTAAACTAAAAAAAATCTGTGATCTGTTTTTTTCACCTACAGGTTTTCTCTTATCATCTGTGTTTCGCTGATTGTCAGCATTAATGCAAAGCCATATCAACCCTTGGTATGTACTTTTTTTATGTATACGTCAACAATATCACAGTGTAAACTCTAACTTTAAAAAATATTTAAGAAAGGATTCATTTTACATTCCTTACTCTAAATAATTTCATTAAAACTAGACTTTATTTTACAGAGTAAAACAAATAAAAAAACAAATAATAAATTAGCTTTAATATCAATTTACCAGCCCTGCTCTTTAATCAGCATATTTGCAGTGTCATAAGTAACATCAAATAAAGTTGGAAAGCTTTCACTTATATATCAGTGTCAATGTCTAATGGTGATGCATATCTACCCTGGTATATAGTAAAGTATTGTTATTGTTATTATTATGACATTAGAAGGTCACAATCTGAGCTAAATTATATCTGTACATATTTATAGAGTTGTATTAAATGCTTAATCAGCAGCACTCACGTCATCATATCATAAGATAATTTCAAATTGTCTCCCATCTTTAAGTCATGGTTTCAGATCACACTGTTGTAGCAGTGCAGCACTTATTTAGACAAAAATCTAAAAGTCAGGATCAGACAGTAGATTTAATTTCATTTAATCAACTTCCAAAACAAGTTGTCAGCTGATGAATTCAACTTTTATGATACAAAAATAATCCTTTGACAGCTTTCTTAAAAATGATCAAATATCGGGGGTTAAGGATTTTGAAGTGCAATGCGCATTATATGTGGATGTATAAATATAAAATGTATAGAGCTGACACAAAGAAATACCTCTAATCACATTTTGTACTTTTATGTCACACCAACTTGCTTTTTTACAGCAGTAACATCACATCTATCTCTGCTCTTTCCTCAGAATAAATTTGAAGAATTCCGGGACACTGTTATGTAAGTTGTCATTTCCTTTTACTGAAATAAACCTGAATAACTTTGTCTAGAGGGAACTCAGACTCAGATTGCTCTCTCTCTTATTTTTTTATTCAGGTCTGTAGATAAGGATGGAAAAATGTCCTGGGGAGTGGAAGTAGAGCCTCCAGAGGACCTGGATGAGACTCACTATGACGTGGACCCGAGTATGAAGATCTGGAAGAGTATGGTGGGCGGTGGGGGAAACCAACAGTACATGGAGGCAGAGGTAGACCTGGACGAGCTTTACCACCCTTCAGTGGTTGATCTTCTCAAAGTTCAAATCCAGAACACAGACGTCCTCCCCGCTGAAGACGTCCCTGTGCAGCTGGTGAAAGCAGAGGAGGATACCGATGAGGTGGCTCCAGAAGAGCCTGAACCGGACATGGATGCAATCTACCACAAAGCTAGAGAGGAGCTGGCAGTATATCTGGCCCCTCTCATGGCCAAAGACCAAGCCGATGTGGAGATGCCTGCTTTGTACTTAGAACCAGAGGAGGACCTGGACGACCTGTACCACCAAGATATTCTCCAGCCAGTTCCTCTCCAAGATGATGCTCAAGCTGCAGCTCTGGTTGATCTGCCATTTCAGGGGAAATACAGCGAGCCAGAGGAAGACCTGGATGACTTTTACCACAAGTGATCCTTCAACAATTCCACCTGTGCAGATCTAGAAAAATCCAGGAGCTGCAACTGCACGAGTCATTCAAGTGTCACTCAGATGTATCTTGATGATAAAGATACTTAAACACACTCATCATTGATCCATGTGTTTAATTTATTTATTAAAATGTATATGGAAGGTTTAGGATGCTTACAAAACGACGTTTCTCACGAAAATAATAATAAAAATGGTTCCATTTTCACAGAAATAATTAAATTGTGTTTTTTTACATATATTGCAACTTCAGCACTTTAAGGGATGAGTCTTAGTGTCTGTATCACTCCAGCAGCTCTGGAGGGATGACCCCCTTCTTCAGTATCAGGTTCCCATACAGCGCTGTTTCCCTGAGAAGACAGAGCACAGAGAATTCAGAAAAAGAGAAATATGTCAATTTATTTCAGTTTCTTCAAGGATATGTTTGAAAAATGTGTGTTTTCATTATCAAAAATGTGTCAAACCAGCCTGAATCCAGACCTCTGAATCACCAAACTTGCATTTAAGACTTTTACACAAGTTCGTAAAGTGACTCAAGTTAAACAGCAAATCAGTTTGAACACAAGGCTAATTTAACACAGATGACGACAGGAATGAGTATTCTTTTTTCAGTCTTGCAATCTAAGGATGTTTGCTGATCTCTAAAAGAAGAAATCTTTTAGGAAGTGACACAGACCCAGAATACAACATTCAAGAAAGAGAGCAGATAAAATACAGACCCTGTAGCCACAACAGCGTAGGCTTTCTTGGCTCGTTCATAGAAAGCAAACCTCTCCACTGTCTCAAGACATGCAGGCTATTGACACAAATATCAACACACAAAGTATCCAAATTAAAATAAAAGCAATTTTTTGTTTTGTTTTATTCATGTAACCCTTTAAATATGGAGTGCAAGTGTTGTTTTACCTGACATCCAGCTTCCTGTAGCTTATGTGAGTAGATACCCCACACAGGGACATCTAAACCCCTCCTTACGTCACTGTCCACCACACGCATGACTGCAGCCTGTTAAAACATCAACACAGATTTTAAAAATCAAACAAACAAAAAAAAGACTTTTAACAAATTACCTTATAAAATACTAAACATGATCTGTACCGGATAGGGAGCATATGTATCCAGGGGCAACAGCTTCAAAATAGCTTCTAAAAGTTGAGGGATACCCAACCCTACACAATGAGATCAGATACATCTGAAAGTGTCTGCAATAAAAACATTACAAAGAGTTTCAGTGAAATGTGTTCATGTACCATCAGCTCTTATCTCTTTAGGACCACAGGAACAAATAGAAGATGCTGGAAAGTTTGCATCAGCAAGAACTGAAAGGGAAGAATAAGAGCATGTTAGGTTTCTTTAGTTCCTCCGTGTGCAGACAGGTAGGGGAGAAAGAAATTGATCATGTGACCAAATATTTAGGAGATGGACATCAGTAAATGGAGTCTGTGAAGGTTAGAAGTACATGGGTGAAGGGGTTAGACATTTATTTACACAAAAAATATATATATTTTTCACTCCTGAAAGTGAATTTAGTCTGTCATCACCATAGATGGGGTAAGTTGACCATAGGTGACCACTTTTTTTTGGCATGCTATATTATCAAAACAGTTCTGTTTACACTCGTTCTGTTGGTTTGCAGGGATGAACAACATCCTGAAATATCTGCAGATACACTAATTAGAGACAAAACTAGGACTGACTTGATGTAGTGATCCGAAATATGAAAAATGGCTCATTTTACCCCACCCCACCCTACAGGTTGATGATCCTGTTCTGCTCCTTCATTGTTTACATGGATGTAAAGTCAACTTCAGTTAGCAGACTCGCTCTATTAAAGGTTAGCAATGCTAACATAGCCAACAACAAAGTCCATTTCTCTGTGTGAAGTTAAATATCATACCCAGCTCATCCCCGTGACCCATTTTAGCGAGAGCATACAGGAGTTCAGGAGACAGGATGGAGGGGATCCCTTTTAGGACGACCATGGCTGCAAATACCTGAGAGGACTGACGGGAAGCGAGAGAGATCACTCCACACGACTTCCGCCTTCGTTTTAGTCCGTCTATACTCACTAATAAAACAAACTGCGTTATCGATAAAGACAAATGTTAACCAAACTGACGAGCTTATGTTGAAAGGTTTTACCTAGACATGATTTCAGGGTGTTGTGTCACGGATAGTTGAACGGAGTGTCGTAAACCGTTAACGTTTAACATTTTAAACTACATAGTCTTTGATGACAAGCGTCACGTGTCCAGAAAGCCTAATGTGATTGGATAGCAGGACTAAAACGCTGATTCCTCATATACAGTATATTTAGCAATGGTCTGTTAACATCTATGTATATCTAAAGGTGAATGGAGTAAAATGGTGCATTTCCATGAAAGCAACATCTGATCATGGAGTAAATACATCCCAAAATACATCAAACTCATGCTGGATTTTAAAAAAAAAGCATTGTGAACAAAAACTTGAAGTTACTCCCAACTGTTCGGCCTGTAATGGGCTTGCTTATAAACTTTTGGCCTGTAGTGTAGTTTGATTTTCTCATTTCATCTCTGTATTCATTTTTACTCATTTTTAGAAAAAGACAATGCGTAATTCTTTTTTGTGTTTTTCTATTTGACTTGTCTAGATAGGCACGGATAAGATATGTACAACTGAGTTAAATGTAAGCTGAATTTTATATTATCTAATATTAGTATAAGTAAACTTAAGACCTACCTTTTTAGTCTGGCTTTTAGTTAAATTTTGTTTTAATCTTTTAATCTGCATTGTGTGATTTTACCCTATTTAAGTCCTTGAGTAACTACTTTGTGTTTTATCAACTCTTTTTGATTTTAAGACTGTTTTGTTTATTGAACTTTTAATGCTTTATCATCTTTATTATATTTTCTATTTATACAGTGTACCTTTAAGCTTCCTATAATTTTGTTTCAACAGCTTCATTTTCCTTCTTCAAACTTGTACAACATGCACAAAATCACTGAAATGAATCCATAAATCTTTAATCACTTTATTCATTCTTTCTGTATTTGTTACGTTTGTTTTTCAAAGCGTAAAGTGTGCTTTTCTATTGACAGTCTGCAGTTTATTCTGCAGTTTTATATTAAACTTTTCCCTCAAAACGGAGTCCATCTCTTCATCTGCAATGTCTCTCATTTCAAAGATGTCAACACCTTTCTCAGGTTTGTAGGTGACCTCGCTGTACGTCCAACCAATCAGGGCCCTGAATCCTGTTGGGGTTTGCAGAGAGCACAAGGACTTATTGGTAAACAGTGACTTGGGGTCTGTCTGGAGATCCTCGTTTGTCTGTGAGAAATGAGCTACCTCTCGTGGCACCAGGGTGAAGCTATAGATCAGACGTTTCACTCTTCTGTTCAACAGGCTTGATTTGGCAAAGTCAGGATTGGGAACCTCAGGCTTCCTTCCAGTTTTCCCCAGTACCCACATGCCCCCGCTCTCAATGAGGCGAAAGACACCTGCTCCTTGAGGTTGGTCTTTCCCAGAGATGAGCTCCAGGGGTCCCCACGTTTGAGAAGACTCTCCGTAGCTTACATCTGTCAAATAAGCCTGTCCCTCGATGGTGACCATGTTGATCAGATGAGTTTCAGCCTCTAAGAAGTTGTTGGTTCTGTTGCAGAAAAGTCTGGAACCCAAGGTGGTGGTGGTGTAGCCCATTTATCTCAGCACCCAGCCAAACAACAGGTTGTTTTCCATGCACCAACCCCCACGGCTGCTCCTCACTATCTTGTCGTAGATGACCTCCAGGTCCAAGGTGATCCTCTCTCCACAGTGGATGCTGAAGTTTTCAAATGGGATCATCATGACGTGCTGTTTGTAGATCAGCTTCAGTGTTGCAAGATCAGGTGAATCAAACGAGCCGTGGAAGCTGATTCTTCTGAAGTATTCTTCCAGATTCATTTGTCCTGTAAAACCAAAGACGTTGCATGAATGTACAGTTTAGTCCAACTTCATCCTGACACAGTGCACTCACCAGATCGAGTGCATTTATAAACAATTTTCCAATACTTTCAAGCTCCATGAACTGGTCGTCACAGTTTTTGAGGCCTCTAAAACCACAGTAGCACAAACCACTTCAAAGAAAATCCAGAGCAAAAAAGCTAAGCCTTTCCAGGAGTTACAACAGGAAAGTGATTGAGTATTGACCTCCAGTTCTTTAGCAATAGATGAGCCAACTATAGAGAGCAGCAGAGTATAAACTATGCTCATCATGCATCTCTCATAGTGTTTTTTATTATGTCATCTGCACTCAAATGCTGCCTGACTGCTGTAGTGATCTAGGACATCAGGTACACTGAGCCAGATTATGAAAGCAGCACACTATTTCCTTCCCCGAAAAATACAACTCAAATCAGTTGGTAGCGAGACTTGACTCTGGAAGCAGATGACCAAAACTCACTTGGGAGGGTGTGGCCAGCATCAAACAGGAAGTTGACTCCAAGAGGAAGGAGGTTAGAGAAATGACATGCTTTAGTATAATTCTAATATAGGAGCCTAATTAAAAAGAAAAACCCTGACATCTATATCAGCAAAAATCCACTGAGATTCAGACTAAAACCAACTATGAAGTCGATATAATCTGCAAATTTGATTCTATTATTTGCAGAGTGGAAAACATAGCTATCAATGATATTAACTCTTTACAAGTGCTGCCTCATATATGAGATTGTGAAGGCGCAGCATGCTTCAATATTCATGCTTGGGCTAAAAAACACTTCATATGTTCATGGTGTTCAAACTTTTTCTATTGGAATACACCAAAGTTTTGTTTCATGAGGATTCATTTACATAAATACACAATTTTAAGTATTTTTTATTAACTGAGTTGAACAAAATATTTTGAATAATGTTGTAATTTTAACACTTACCAAAGGGTAAAAAAACCATACTTATTTAGCTATAATTTACTAAGAATATGATTACAAAGCAGAATTACAGAAACTGTCTCAGTATATGCCTACCTGAATTCATCTTTTGTGTTGTCAGCTGCTCAGTATTTGACATTTTTTACTCCCTCTGCAAGAATATAAAATAAAAAACAAGAACAACTTCTAGAACTTACGGAAATTTCAAAAAGAAAGTGAAATGGCTGCGTTCAGTTCAATGTATTTGTAAGTGTATGTTGGATAAACTGGTTATTTTCCAAACATATGTTCTCGAGGCGTGGCTGGTTTCACACCTTTTCCTTCCCAATTATAAAAAAAAAAAAACAGGTCTACTGACACATTAATGATACAGGTCAGACTTTATTGAGCCACAGAGTAAGTTTGAGGCCATAAATATTGAGAATGCTCATCTTGATGACTGTGGAGGTGCCTATTCAAAAATCACAGCCTTCAGGGGAGACCTGGGGCAGCTGTAACACTGTCATCACCTTCAAAAAGACGCAAATTAGAGTGAGTTATGAAACTGACACTGCACATGTGTACTTGGGTTGTCAAACTTTCTCAATTTCTCCTGCTATCTAAAATAAAAGTTAACTGTGAATTTAGAGTCGGATCCATCTTATCTTTGGGCTAATTTTTACAGTTGACAACTTTTTTCTTCCTATAGTTTGACATTTTTTATCGTTCTATTATATGACATAATTTTTTAAATGACATGAAAATGATACCATACTATGACATCTTTTGTCATACTATTCTTATATTTTTATCATATAATACTATGACATTTTTTTTTATCAAACTATAGTATGATATTTTTTAAAATACTATACTACGACATTTTTTATCAAACTATAGTATGACATTTTTTTTATCATACTAAGGTATGACATTTTTGTAACATACTATACTATGAGTTTTTTTTCTCTACTATACTATGACATTGTAGTCATTCTATACTAGGACATTTTTTATCATTCTATTATTTGGTATGTTTTTCCTACTATAGTATGATTTTTTTCTTAAGCACTTTTTTTTCTTTTCCCTTACTTAATAGTATAAATTCAAAACATGGGGCGATATGGGGAGAGACGGGGAGGACATTTAGAGAAAAGTGGGGTGTTGGGTTCGAACCCATAACCACTTTTAAGACTGTAAACCCTATCAAAGCACACTAACCTGCTTAGCCATCTGTGAGCCACACAGTTCAACATACTACACTATGACCTATTTCATAAGACTGAAGTATAGCATACTATACTATGACATTTTTTATCATACTATACTATGACATTTTTTATCATACTATACTATGACATTTTTTATCATACTATACTATGACATTTTTTATCATACTATACTTTGACATTTTTTATCATACTATACCTTTATTTTTATCATACTATACTATGACATTTTTAACATACTATAGGATGACATTTTTTATCATACTATATTTTGACATTTTTTATCATACTATACCTTTATTTTTAAAATACTATACTATGACATTTTTTATCATACCATAGAATGACATTTTTTAACATACTTTGCTAGGACATATTTTTTAACATATAATACATTAAAATTTTTATCATACTATACTGACATTTTTATCATACTATACTATGACATGTTTTAACATACTATACTGTGACATTTTTTAAACATACTATAGTATGACTTTTTTTTTTACCATACTATACTATGACATTTTTTTACATACTATACTGTGACATTTTAATCCTTCTATACTACGACATTTTTAACACACAATACTATGACATTTTAAACATACATTACTGGCTTTTTTATCATAATACAACAAACCTTTTTTTATTATACTATTCTATAAAATTTTCAAACATTCTATACTATGATATTTTTATCATACTAAACAGTGATATTTTTATCATACTACACTAAGACATTTCTACTATATGACATTTAAACATATGATACTATGTAGTTTTTAGACATTTTTTTATCATACTATCCTATGACATTTTGAACATACTACACAAAGACATTTTTAACTATACTATACTTTGACATTTTATATCATACTATACTATGCCTTTTTAAAATACTAAACAATGACATTTTATTCATACTATACTATGACTTTACTTATCATACTATAGTATGAGATTTCTTATCATATTATACTATGACATTTTTAACCATACTTTACTATGAAATTTTACCATACTATCCTATGACATTTTTTAACATACTATACTATGAAAGTTTTTATCATACTATACTTTAATTTTTTTTAACATACTTTATTTTAACATTTTTTAACATACTATACTATGACTTTTTTTATCATAGTATACCTTGACATTTTTTAACATACCATACTATGATTTGATCATTCTATACGATGACTTTTTTAACATATTCTACAAAGACATCTTAATCATACTATACTATGACTTTTATTTCATACTATAGTATGACATTTTTTAACATACTATATTATGAATTTTTTTTTTCTTTTTTTTTTTTCAGTAGCCCAACTACTTGGCCTACCAGTCAACTGGTCGCTCTCTAAAATAGGCCATCTTTATACTTATCATTGAAATGCTGGTACCAATGTGCAAACAGCTGGAGTTTGTGTGACTTAAGTGTTGAGACAAACTTACTGTCATCACTAACAGTTGTATTGATTTGCATTTATCAACCGTAGCATTCACAGCAACGACTAAACATCAACAATGGAGGCGGGCCGTAACAGTTGTTTAAAGTTGCATTGCACACTGTGGGAAAATAATAACTTATCAATAATTAAGACTACAGAGAGGATTAACCCACATGCCAGCATAGTACGTCTGCAGAACTCGCAGCCTCTTCAGCGGGAAAGCAGGGTCTGGTCCATATTAGGTCCTTGTATACAGTGTTTTCTTTAACAATATACTTTAATGATCCAAGAGGCTGCTATTTTAAATGTTTCCATGTGCACATAAATGCCACAGCAGCAAATATCGTTGCATATTTTAGCAGCGAAACTAAAAACTGTAAATATAAACCGAACATGACAGAGGAAACTCTCCAGAGGAAACATATTTGAGCTTTGAGCTCCTGAAGTTTTTAAACAGAGACAAAAGTCCAGAATCATGAGGAAGATGCTTCTCTATGTGCTTCATGCAGAATTTGTTCATTTCTGCTGCTATGAGGGCACTGCAGGTAGTTGTGGAGAGTCAATGACTTATTGTATGTATTCTTCTGACTGACTCTGACCCCATTAACAGCTTCACATCACGATGGTGTTTGGGAAAGTATGATCCACTGCCTTAGAAAGGTGCTGGTCTCTGTATTATACCCACAAACCCTAACAGAGCCTTGATTTTGACTTACGTGAAGCTGAAGCTGAATAATGGCCCTGTAACCGAAGTCTTAAAAGACCCAAACCACCTGGAACTTGTCGAACCAAATCATCTTAAGGAAACAGTATTCTCTCTCTTGTTCGAGCAAAAGGATCAGTATGCATGAAATACAAAACATACACAGTAAGTTTTACATTAATTCTGGAAAAGATTATCGGAAAATGCCTTAATGCTTTACAGAACAGGTAAAGTGGAACAAAACAAAATCAAATCTTGCAGCAGGATACTTCATTTTAATCACTTACGCCACTGCTCCAGAAAGTTCCTGGATTATAAGGAATAAAATCCAGAACTTTCCCTGACAAATCAGGCATAACAGGCCTGTTCAATAAAGAGATTTTCATGTCCAACTTCAAGCTGTTTGGACTGATGAAGTTACATTCTAGGGACTAAGAGGGCAAGTTTGGAAACTTTTTTAAAAATATGAATTTTAAAAAATGTATCAAACTAAACATATTTTTTGACATGGAGGAATAAAACATTTAACAAAACATCAGTTTAAACATAAATTATCATCATATATGATCAAAACATATAATACCATATATAAATCCTAAATATATTTTGACATGAAGGGAGAAAAAAATATTTCATATATGAATTCAACATAAATGTAATGCCCTATGAAGATTATTCTTATGTATTATTTTAAAAGATATAACAATAATACGATTTTATAGGTATTTCATAAACGTTCAAAAACTAAACCCTCATATCCTGGTATTCATGTGATAGCAGGGTATTTATATAACATACAGTATATTGCAACGTCAATCCTGATATATGGACATATTTGTCAAACATTACATTTCTGTATTGGCATTACATCCAGCTTTTTTACATTGCTGTTCTGCTGATATTATTAACCAAAACTCCTACAAAATTACAAAGAAAAAGACATCAGATATAAAGGTTTTGACTCCATGAAAAAAAGGGTTCCAAAAGGAGCATCAACAATCTCTCTGCAAGAAGACAACTCTTATAAAGTCAAGTAAACAAAAAGCAAAACATGTTAAAGTTCAAGTGATTGTGCAATAATTTATGAAAATCTGTCCTATCAAAAGCTGCTAAATCTTTGGCACTGCACCTTTAAAAAAGCGCAGGTATGTTTCTTAGGGAAGTTTGTAAAAGTTGAATATACTGAATAACTTCAGTATGTGAAGAGTAAAAAAAAAACACAGACAAAAAGCTCATCTGTTCAGTTTTGCTGGACGCCTGAAAGAAAGGAGAGGTAGAGGGAGGTACGAGTGGGAATAAACAAATGTGTAAGTCTTGAGCTTGTTATAATTTCCAAACATGGTGATCACTTTTGTAAAAATTGCCTAATTACTTCAAATTAAATACACATAAAATGGGTTTTAATGTCATTACTCCAACAGACTGTACAGCCTGTTAATCCTTGGTCCCTGTTGTTCCTGACACCCTTGGGTGGGCATAATTCAGGGCAGACACCGATGAAAGTGTTATTTCGACACAGTCTCTGGTGCCAAGAATGTGAGATAATGAAAATATTTGTCGGATGGAAACCACTCCAGAGGAGCTCTCAGCTGGATGGCAGAAAACTGCTGAGGAATCCTTTCTATGACCGCAGATCCTGGTTCTGTAAAAATGGCAGGAGATCTGCACATGAAAAGGCTTTTATGGAAGTCAAATCAACGGTCATGACGGCGGGCTTGTGGGCTTGTATACCCTGATACAACTGCAGTTAAATTATGAGAAATGTGGCGGTACTTTAATGGATGTTTTTAATCTGACAGTGTGTTATAATAGTTCAATTTAGACCCTTAGTGTTTTTAAATCTCTTTTATATTCACCTCGGTCTTAAACTTTAAACAAATCCAAACAATTTACACAAATCATGAGAAACTGAAGCTGGAAACCTTATTTATTATCACATTAAAGTGTGGTTCCCCTGTTAGTTGAGGTATAGCAGCTTCCTCATCACTTTCAGAGTTATGAAAATGTTTTTGAGAAAAGCCTAAAAGTTCAGTAATTTGCAGCAGAAAAGTCTCCATGATGACTTAGTGGCACCAGGCAGTGAAGTTTAGAGATATCTGAGGGATTTGGGGACGGGGATGGGGGCTGCTGAGCAGGAGAAAAGGCCCTCGCAGGAGCCAGGCCTGTCTGCTGGACTGAAAGCTCCTTTTCTCCCTCTCTGGACCCATGCTGCTCCCTCTTTATTTCAGCTTTTTTAAATGAGTTTATCACGCTATGAGGGTCTGCGCTGCCAAAATGTAACGTTTTGCCTCTTTTGTGCGTGTGGAGAGCCTCAATTGAGTCTACATTTATTATTTTGACCTTTCGGTAGCCTCAAAGACGAGCTTCTTTTCGCTGCCCTTCTGCGGACTTTTGTGCTTCCCTGCAGAGAGAAGAGACGAGTTTTCTTCTCTCCTCCTTTTTAAAGTTTTGTTCCACGGGGATGACAAGAAAGCAAGCTCCAGGGGGAATATTGAATGAAAATAAAAATCAATTAGGCCATGGCCTTGTGAAGATATGGGGCGCCGTCGTGTGAAGATCAGAGAGAAAGAAGGTGCTCGATGGTGATTGGAGCGGCACAAGAAAGAGCGCACTAACCAAATTTGTTCTGGTGTTTTCTCTTAAGTCAAAATTATGGTTTTAAGCCAGAATGAGTACGAGTTCACTAAGGGTACAGACCAATTTTAATTTTGTATATTAAGAAGAGGATTTTTGTGACTCTGAGATGCACATTGATGCAAAGATGGTTCAAGTTTCCTGTCGTTAAATCATCGTAAATTTAGGGTCTGATACAAGTGAAATAATCATCTTCACAGACATTTTGAGGCTTACCATCAGGCCATCTAGATTAATCATGTTGTAAAGGTAATTAGACTTACAGGTGGTTCAAAATATAATTTCCAAAATTATAATAAAAATTAAAACTTAAAGGTAAGTATTTGTATGTTTGTATCCTCTCATCTGCAGACAACCCAGTGTGCGTCAACGCAACAGGCTCATTGAATTGATGAACTACTGCGCATCATATTTCTGCAACTCACTGTTACAACACAACAGCACCATCTAGTGTTTATAAGTATAAACTGATTAAATTTCAGATAAAATCGATCACTGGCGTTTTTTCCAAATTTTTTTGATTGAAAAGAACCTAATATTCGATTTCTATGCTTAACATTAAGAGCTTGTTTAAATCCGGGATTTCCTCATTTTTTAACTCCTTTTATTTTGTGTCTGGGTTGTCATCCTTCTGTACATTTGAAATATTTGGTCCTTCTTGGTTGTCCAGAAATTTACATCAGTCTTGGCATCAAAATATCACACTGAAGTGAAACATCTCAGCTTTTTTCATGTGATAATTTTCACAGTGAAACTAAAACTAATCTGTATTTAATCTGAGTGTCATTCGGTTTTCACAATAAGCTACTGTACTATATTCAGTATCTTTACTATCAATTAATCTTTATTTTAAAGCACTAAATCACAAAGTGTTATTCAAAGACACTTAACAGAACCAGACTTATGTTAGACCACCTGACCTGCTGAGACTGCACTGGAAAGAGAGAGATGGACAGAAATGAGAGTGCTGATATTTAATAGAGGCGTGCTGGTTTTGGAAGAGGAAATATCTCATTTCACTCTTATACTGTAACTTCTTACTGATTTTTCAGAGTGCTAATAGAAATGAGTCTGTGAAGCCACATCATGTTAATCCAAAGCCATCACAAAGTTTGTCGGTAGCATTTTAAAACCCTAATCAGTTTATATTAAAAAAAAAACAGCAGCCAAGCTTTCCCATTTTTTCATGTCCAAGTGACACAACTGAAACCCACTCTGGAGTTTTATTTGTAAAATGTACAGAGAAATGAGCTGCCGACAAAGAGCAGACAAAAATTTCAAAGTGAAATTATAAAGGCAAAGTCAGTACAAGTCATCCTTAATGATTTCCATTCCAACCCACTGACTATAATAGAGTTATAAAGGTTTTCACACACAAACCCTCCACTCTGGCACCTACACTGCTTTTCATTTAGAAACACAGCCTCTGCAGGCGAGGCTTCGCTGTGATAAGACACTCATGTGCACTCACTCTGTGCCAAATCCTATTTCAACAGCTTGTATGTTCCACTACAGTCAGGATTATAGCATCATTCGACTTGTTGCAGTTAAAGAATTGACCGATTGATCTCAGCATCTTTTCGTTCTTGGCAGAGCTCTCGATGTGCTTTCTCTACTTGTCCTGGAAACTGGCCTTTCTCTTCTCAACAAATGCTGTCATGCCTTCTTTACGATCATCCTGCAGGAACAAACAGACAATTTAAAAGGTGGGCTGTTAAAATCGAACAGAATCGCACTCACACAAGCTCAAATACTCACTGTAGCAAAGGTGGCGTGGAACAAACGTTTCTCCAAACGGTTACCTTCAGCCAAAGTCAGCTCATAAGCTGCAATCACAAAGAGGAACGAGTTAGACTCAAAAGAAATGTTAATTTGCATATTTAATAATTTAAACCTTTAACAATAAGTTAGCTTACCAGCGTTTACAGCCTCTTTAGCCATGGCAGAAACAAGTTTAGAGTTTGCAGCAATTTTCTCTCCACATTTTACAGCTTCAGTCACCAGCTGGTCCACAGGACAAATCTTACTCACCAAACCTTAAGAACCAAAAAATAATCAAATTTAACAAATGGAATTAAACACTCAGATATCCCATTTTTGTGAAAACATTTAAAAGCTATCGTTTGAGGGAAAAATGTCCTCCAATGCTGAGATATTTTCTATCATGCAAACTGTAGTAATATATGATTATATTTCAGTGTCTTTAGTCCAAAGACGCCAAAATACAGGTCAGGTTCCTTCCACTAATTCATGAGTAAATCTGAGGATTCATGGAATTCAACTGAACTGCTTCTTTACTGACACACAGTGAATAAGTTTACCAATTGATGCATTTTGTATTTTACTTCTGTTTTTAAAGTCTGGGTCAGCAAAATCACTCGTCATGAGACTTTAAGTTCCAAAAAATACATTTTTTTCCCTCTACTGCAGTGAAATCGGAGGCTAAAATGCAAAAGCTCAAGTGAGATCTCCAGTGAACAACACTATTTCATCAGATTTGGGGTTAAAATAAAACAGTTTGATCAGTGCATGTTACTGGTAATATGAAATTGAGATATTCCTTTCAATGAATATGTGTTTGTGATCTGGGTCTGTAAATGCCAAGTTCATATCTGAATCAAATAACCAATCAGGGTTGGCTTTCATGCAACAAGCCAATCATAGCCCTTTGTGGCAGCAGCAGTTCACACCATCGACATTCCTGCTGAAAAAACCTTCAGGCTGATGCAAGTTTGTACAAACTTCTCCAATAATTTACAGTTTTTCTGTAGTACCAGTGCTTTCCCACACTGCTGTTACCTGACTGTTTGGCTTCCTGTGCACTTATTCGGTCTCCAGTAAGAACCATCTCCATGGCAAGAGACTTTCCCACGGCTCGTGTCAGCCTCTGGGTGCCCCCCGCCCCTGCAGACACAGACAGAGTGGGAGACATCATCAGCAGCAGCTCCAGAAGAACCAATCTTAGAGCATCCATTCTGGACGAAAAGGAGTAAAGCACAGGTCTTTACCAGGGATAGTCCCCAGCAGGATCTCAGGTTGACCGAACTGCGCCTTCTCTCCGGCATAGATGATGTCACACATCATCGCCAGCTCACAGCCTCCACCCAGCTGAAACAGCAGAGTAATCTCATTTTCACAGCCATCATGTTTGTACACATCTTCATTTTATCTAGCTGATGTCCAAAAATCTATGTTCCCCGAATAATAAGATATGAAATTGTTTAAAGAAATCAATCTCACAGCGAATCCATTGACAGCTGCGATCACAGGCTTCCTCACTGTGGACACTCTGTTCCAGTGAGCCAGGAAGTTTCCACCATAACACTCCTGGAAGGTTCGATTCTGCATCTCTTTAATGTCCGCTCCAGCTGGAAAACACCAAAACCACCGATCATGAATCATTAAAACTGAATCACTCTATACTCTTGACTCTTCACGGGTGAAAAATCCAGCTCTCCCACCTGCAAAGGCTCTGTCACTGCCAGTGATGACGATCGCTCCAACATCACCGTCAGCTTCAAAGGTGTCCAGAGCGTGACCCACCTCCCTCATCAGACCGTCACACAGGGCGTTGAGAGCCTTTGGTCGGTTCAGCTGTATGAAACCTACGTTACTCTTCTCACCTCGCTTTTCCACCAAAATATACTCGTACTGGCCCCCTGCATGGAGAGAGAAACAACAAGACGACACTTACTATTGAGGGTTTCTGCAGGTTCTTCTACAGGTAAAATCAATAAAAGTAAAATTTTAACCATTTATTTTGGATTACTGGTTCATTTATTTAGCATTTTTTAAGCATTTGCTGCTTTCTTCGTTGTTTATTAAAGTAAATGAGGAGTGTTTGTGCTAGGACTGGGTGACTATATGATCGTGATAAATTGCAGTTCGATCACGGTGATCAGCTGTGAGCTTATTTACTCGATCAAACATTGTGAAAATGTGTATCATAACAGCCAATCACAGTCGAGCTTCTCCTGCTCACTTCTGTAAGTTGCCGGAGAAGTAAACAGAGTAACCGAACGTGGAGCTGAGGGCAGTAAAACAGATGTCAGCCATGACTTTGAGTCATCCTCCGAAGATGTTATTGTTGAGAAGAAAAGTTATTTAACGTCTTATTTAGTATTTATCTATTTTTTTAGTTTTAAGTACAGATGCTTTAAAACTGGCAGTTGAAAAAAATCAGGATGATAATCGAGATCGGACAATATGACAAAGTATATCGTGATCATCTTTTTGGCCAAATCGCCCGGTCCTAGTTTGTGCTGTACAATAATGGTAAAGTGAATGTAGGCTCTGTGAAATGATCCTGCTTTTTTCTCTTCTCAGTCATTTGACACTTATTGTGTTATGAGACACTAACCCTCCTGTAAACTGGCCAAAAGTGTCCTTCAAAGACTGCAGGGATCAATTAAACAGTAAATTAATGTTGTTCTACCATTTTAAAGTCGACTCAATTTTTAAGGACACTGAATTAAACTTTTAGGAACTTCCAGGAGTACCCTGAACATTTTCTATCACTGCTTCGTCCACTCATCCAGTGGGTGCAGTTCACCTTTCAAACAGGTGATGGGTCACCTGTGGAGTGTGATTTGAGAAACACAGCTATCTCAAGGTACGGTGAAGTCCAGGTTAATCATTCAAGACAAGGTGAAAGATCAGCTCTTACAGCCATGAGTCGAGGCCTTACAGAGACCTCAGAGACCTTACAGGCTTTGTGGGGCAAAGATAGTCAGGACTTAAGAGGAAAACCTTACATGAATGAGACTCTAGTTTAGACATTTTCTGTGGCTGTTAGTTTTGGAGATTTAATTGAATTATCTTGATATAAAGGAAAGTTCCATTTAAAGACAGCGAGAGTTTCTACAAACACAGGAAAGCTTCTGTACTTTCGACCTGATGATTATGGGATAGCGTAAAGCAATACGGAAATGTGAATGAATTTTAGGAGGTGTAAGAAAGAGGAGGGTCTTTGATAGTTACCTGGGATTTGTTTTTATTAACAGACTATCAGGATGCAGCATTTGAAAAGATGATGATTTGGTGCATGAGTATAAATAGGTATGATATTAGTCTGTATAGTTAACTGTGTATTTATATCAGCTGTATTAAAAGCACATGAAATTATGCTGATATTAGTTAAATATAACGATGACATTTACTGTGCAGGTAAAGAACAGACCATATGGAGATTTCAGAGGTGTTGTTAACAGTTAATAAAAGGTAGGATAAAATACGTCAACACTTCTTCCTACATTAAAAAGTTTTACTTTAATATTCTTTAAAAAAAAACATAAATTCTGAATCATTTCAATCATTGCACAGGTAGCGCAGGCTTACAGCACAACAAACTCATGCAGGTATTAATAGAAAGTCAAATTTGACCAATGCTTCACTCAACACCTCAAATAACAAAAACAAAAACCTTTTTTAGGGTTTTTATTGTCTAATTTTGTACATTTGTCAGCTGTTTTTTTCTGGTTTGTGTTTTTATAGCCTGGGGTCATGATGTAAATCAGTGTTTGATATTTATTTCAGTTCAGAAAAGCAAAAATAAATAAGACATGAAATCAGAATACCCAGGTTTATGCAGTGACTATGAATTTCTTTAGACGCTGATATTCTTCATACCAACTCCTCCTCCTCCTCTGAAATAAACCATTTTTTCTTCTTACAGTAAACTCATCAGGCTGTTCACCTGTCTACCTGCTTCACGCGCGTCGCCACGCAGTGACGCAAGTTACGTGACATTGTGGCAGAGCTGGTTGCTCGTGCAGCTTCAGCTCGAACCCGTTCACCTAGCCTCGTGATTAAACGTACCTGAGCTGTAGAGGCGGGCGGCGGCGAGAGCGGCAGGTGCAGCTCTGCAGGGTTTGAGGAGTAAAGCAGCGTTTCTGCAGAGGAAGGCCATGTTGTCAGAGTCAGAGGAGGACTGGCGTCAGTGAACTTGCACCCAGATGACTGCGAGCTGCTTCCGGTTAATTCTTCTTCGTTGGTGTTTCTCCACGATGCTCACCATACCTGCATTAGCGCCATCTGGTGTTTGCGGAGTGAAGGAGTGTTGGTCATTTTTTTTGTGTCTTTTTTTGTGTCTTTCCCTTTTCCTCTTATGTTCTTGTTCTTCTGCTAAACTACAGTGGCCGAGAACCGCCACTGCTGCAAACAAAAAAAGAATACAAAAAAAAAAAAAAAAGAAGAGGTCACAATGGAAGTTCCACAATCTATTCAAACATAAGAATGTTTATAGTTTATTTTATCACTTAGTATTGATAAGTACGGTGGCCGAGAACCGCCACTGCTGCAAATATATATATATATATATATATTTTTTTTTTTTTTGCATCACCACTTTTTCTTGTGTCGTTAACTTCTGTTTTTCCTTTTTTTTTTTTTTTTTGCATTCTTTTTTTATTTGCAGCAGTAGCGGTTCTTGGCCACCGTACCAAATAAATACTAAGTGATAAAATAAACTATAAACATTCTTATATTTTAATATATTAATAAAAAAAGTGATTTTCTTTCATAAAATGTTAGGAATTGCTTTTCAGAGATAAAAACTTTTTGTTTTATTTTTAATTGTATATAACAGCCATAGCGACTACAAAAGACATGTAGTTCAAGGTCACTCACAGAAATAACTTATTTCTAAAGCTTTTTGTGAAAGGACAGACGAAAAGCCTACACAGTTTTTTTCCACCGTAAAGGTAAAAAAAAACTGAGAATATTCAGAAAAATTTTCGACATTGGGGGTCAGTTTTCATTTTTATATTTTTATAGTCTGATAAATCATGAGACCGTCTCTGTTTTCTGTTTAAAAGAGAACCAAAAAAATACTAGATTTTATAGTGACAAATAAACCAGTCAGAGAAGCTTAAGCAATAAATATAAAAGTCAGATGATCCAAAAATAGATTTTAATAAGCTTTTGACTGCTGTTGTTCCTCTGAGAGACCGTTCATATGCGCATGACCGCGCTGCGCGTTCTCGCGGTCATCTCTGTGGACGAGCCTGCATCGTTAGTGAATATCCTCTCTTCATCTCTCCTCCATCAGAAATAAACCGGGACAAACAAAAGGAATTAAGGTAAGAGGAAACTATCAGGTTGACTGATTATCAGGAGCGTGGGTGTTTGAGCTCACGGAGTGTTTTTGTGTTCAATGGTGGGGTGGACCATCACAGTAGCATAAAAGCTAATTTATAAAAACACTGTAAGGATAACATCATCCATGCGTTCATATGGTACGTGCATTTGTAAAATATCATCATGTTGTTGATAATGAAATGACAGAATTTTATGTATCTCTGCTGAATGACCGAGCTGTCTGCTAGATCTCAATAATATATCAAATGGTGGCCTGTGATCACTGCTGGCAGAAATACCATCTTTTCCCCTTTTCTTCATATCACACCATTGACTAAATTTAATATGTGGGAGAGAGAGAGAGCTGAAAGCCTGGAGTGATTTTCTCTGATAAACATGTTTATTTATAAACTGACCTACTTTGATTCAGAGCCACAATCACAGAGATTTTTATCTATCTAGTTCAAGACAACAAAGAACAGACCAACACCTCACATATTTGGATCAGGACAACGACCTGAGTTCAGTCATGTGGAGAGAGCGTATTATGTCACTGTGATTTTTAGACAGTATTGATCAGCAGCAGAGGAGAGCGTGGTTTGTTTGCAGCAGGGATCTCCCTCTGCCAAAATCAGCTGATCGTTTTTATGATTTAGAGCCTGATGGAAAATTAAAGGCACAGTGATTTAAGCAGAGGACGGCCTCAAATGTGATTCTTCTTCTTGCACAGATGACAGGAATGAACCAGTTGGTTGCGACCTGCTGGACTTGCCTCCTGCTCTCTGCTTTCCTGTGTGAGCCTGTGCTGTCCAAGGGCGGTCGAGGGGGCTCCAGGGGCTCCTCTCGAGGTTCCTCCTCCCGCAGCTCCTCAGCAGGGACTTATCGGGGCGGAGGCGCCTACGGTGGGACCCGCTCTCGCTTTAGGGTGGCAGGGAGGTCGTCTCCGGTGAGGGTGGCTAGTGCAGCAGCGGCAGGGGCTGCAGTGGCGTTAACAGCGGATAAATGGTACGCCTCTGCTTACCGCCGCAGCAACACTGACAACTCGGAGGAAGAGCTTGACTTCTCCAACAGGACCAATTATTTTGATGCACTGATGTCAGGCTCCACCCGAAACAGATCAGCTCTGTACCAACTGCTCTCTGTTATTATTGCCACATTTTCCCCAAAGTTTGGACTCTTACTGGACAGTTTACTGTAGAGGTTCAGGTCATTTTTTAGGAAAAATCTCAGATTCAGGCTAACATCCGATTATATGCGGGGCGGTTCTCGAAAGACTAAATTAGAGGTGCAACAAGGCGTGTTAAGACAAAACAATAACAAATAACATCACTGTACTGTATGTTTTTGCACATATTATCATCCATACCTTCAGACAAATGTACATTACCAGCACAGTGATCAATGTGACGTTTCACCTCTTAAAGACCGCGCCCTTGTCAAACCTACATCAGTCCATGTGTTGGGCTGAAGTTGAGGGTTAGTTTCTTTACCTAAATCCTGATTCCTGTGTCTGATGAAGGTGTCAATTATGAGCTGCTGCAATTTTCTGTGATGCAACACTCGGGGCGGGATGCTCAGTTCTTCCACAGTGACGTAAAGCATTTTATAAAGAGAGGAAAAATGTTAAATAAGCCCCAGTATACTTATAAAAGTATAAAAATGATCTAGTGTAAATGACAAAAACAGTCTTATAAAAGGAAAATGCCAATTCAATAAATTCAGATGTAATAGTGAAGCGAATAATGACAAAAATAAGAGTTAAACATGATGACCCCTTAAAACTGTGCCCCACTGTAAGTGGAAGATTTTGATTTTCCTGCTCTGATCTGGAGGTCAGAGAAAAATGGCGCCTTGTGAATATGATGAAGAGTATCCGTAAAGTGTACAATCAAACTCCTGGCTGCCAATCTATATAGAGTGCCAAACTAAGTTACAAACAATAAATTGTATTTTTATATGAAAAGATTGACACTGAACAACCAGATCACTGCTCAGAGCAGCTGGAAGTAAGTTTTTGACTGACTGGAGTTCATGGAAACCACTGAGGTTTAAGGGACCAGCCATCTAATGATTTTCTCTGATTAACAGTCAAACTTTGAAGTTGACACCAGCATTTTCTGAACCCTGAATCATAACTGCTGTAAAGTAGTTTTAATTCTTTATTTTGACTTTTACGGTTGAAAATAACCCTCTTTTTACTGCACTCTCATGAAGACCACATTTGAAGATTTTCCTCAGTGTTTGGACTAATTTATGACATTTTATGTCATTTGTCATGGCCATGAAAATGCCTCCACAATCATCTCAAACTTTTGTGCAATTCAGAACCCTTTTATACACTTGAAATCGAAATATATCTGTTCTCAGACCCTTCTTAGCTGGGGTGACTCCAACAGTTAACTGCTGCTCTCTGTTTTTCATGTTTCTTCAAGTTTCCTCAGTCTGTCTCTATATCCCAGAGCTGATTTTTACCTGCAGCAGACACTCAGGAGCAACAGACTGTTTCTTCACATCTATAAGTGCACTCTGTTTTACTCGACAACCCCAATGTATATGATATATAAAGAATTTGTTATCACTGTCTTTATGCTAATAAATATCCTGTTTACACCACGTCTGATGCTTGGCTCATAATTTTTAAAGTTGAGTGAAAAAGTAAAACCTGAATCAAGTTAGCATCTTTTATTTACACATGATACAGAGTTTTGGAGAATTTTACATCTGTCTTTCATAAAAATATACACTTTACAAACACGGTCTTTGGTTGTATTTATTTTTAGAGTTCAGTCAGTCGAGCAATACTTGCCCCAGCTCTCCTTTCCTGAAGGCTCGAATAAAATGATAAGCTGCTGCTGAGTAGTTTGGGATGGTGACAGTTATATTACCTGAGAGAGAAAAAAAATTGTCAAACTGAAGCAACATTGCATACGCTGTAAGTCAGAAGCTTTCTGGTTACTATATCATAAAGTTAGATATGTAAATATGGAGCAAAATAGGTTTGAGGAGTAAATATGTTCAAATATATCTCTGATGTTTTTTGGAGATGCATTTTTCTATCTTTGAAAAAGGAAAGCAGCCTGAAGAGAAGTGGCCATCGAGTAAGAATTGCTGTTAAATTGTTATTAAAATAACCTTTGTTTTTATTTCTCCCTGCAAAATTTTCCAGTGGAGGCAGACAGTTTGGTGGCGTAGTTAAATTAATGCCCCATTACACAAAGGTCATAGTCTTCAAGCACATTCAGGCTTTTATCACATGTCACTCCTGACACTATCCACCAAAATCTTAAAACATAAATCATAGAGAAATAAGTTTCTCTAGCGGCTTTCACAAACAAGCGATCAGCTGTTTCCAAAATGTTGATTCATTCTTATGAATTCATTAAATTCAGACAATATGGCACTGTACTCCAGAGGTTTATTTTTAGCATAAGCTTTTTCTTACCCACTCCAGTGATGGCCTTCACCCTTTGAGTTTTCCCAAGTTTCACAGCAATGCGTTTGAGGACATGTTGAATGTTATCACTCGGCTCTTGGAGGTCATATTTCTCTACATAACTACACAAATATACAAAAGAAAATAAATGATCAAGTTCATGTAAGTTAAAAAATAAAATTAACTTCTCAAAAGCATCAGGATTTATCGAAAAGTCACACCTAAACTTCTCAAGCCTGTTTAGAGAATAAAGGAGATAATCTGCCATGATGTCTTCACCAACCAAATGGTCCAGGATAGTTCCTGGAGAAAGAAATGAAAAACACAAAAACATTTTATAGATGTAAATCTGCTCCTAAACAACAGCTGGAATAATACGCTGAAAACAATTACGATAATGATCAGGTTCTGCTCACCACATAAAGCCAGCTTCATCCCTGTCTCTACACTCTCAATCTTAGGGGGCAAGACTCCAGGTGTGTCCAACAGGAAAACTATGGGTCTCTCATATACCTGAGAACAAAGAGAGCTACATACTCCAAAAACATGCTAAAAACCCTCATATTTAAAACGAAGGAAAACATGTCCTCTTTACCCACCTGAATTTTAGTCAGAACTGCTTTAGTAATACCCGGTTCCCCTCCAACTCGAGATGCGCGACCTTAAACAAATGTACAATCAAATTTGTAACTTATCTTACTGTAACAAAGCCAAACAGTCAGACACCACAATATCACACACACCTTTTTTCAAGTTGGTTCTCCTTAAAGAGTTGATAAGAGATGACTTCCCCACATTGGGCACACCGATCACCATCAAACGATAATTTGTGCTCTGAAAAAACACAAAAAAGAGATAACTGAAGAGTGTGGCTCTCTTTTAGATATTAGTTTTGTATCGTGAATGTTGTTCAGATATGTGGCCAAGATGTGCTGTGTATGTTGTGTTGCACATGAAATAAGAAGTGTTGAATTCAGTGTAAAAAGTCCACTGTGCTTCAATCAGCAGTATTTTTCTTCATGCTGAAACTCAAACAAACCTCCTCTCGGTGAAATCGTGGATTCCTCTGGATAATTTCTAAAGCCATGGGCACCACCTGCAGAAAAAAATATAAATAAATAATAAAAACTTAGCTCAAAGGTTTGATTTAGCAAACGTCAAATGTTCAGTATGTATTGAAAGTGTTTTTTTTACCTTTTGGACGTTTTCATCTTTCTGCTTTAAACAGTCTGTGAAAAGAACCTCTCTCACGCCCTGTTTTTCCAGCCTCTTCAGGATATTCTGCAGGACAAAGCACAGGTACAATTTCATCTTAGTGTTATGAAAATAATTCTGGTTACACACTCAACTCAATTTTAACTGCAGTCAGACTTTTTACCTGCTTCTTTGATAGATCAGCAAGGTCCATCTTGTTGAGAACGAGCAGATGTGGTCTGACATCTAAAGTCTCCTGAAACGCAGGGTTTCTTCCCGAGAAGGGGATGTGCTTCAGGTTAAAGAAAATGATCAAACTGGCCACATGTATGAAGTGTTGTCATTTGGTACAAACACCACCATTTCACAGAGGTGGGAGTGACCCGTTACATTTACACACTTTACTGTAGCCTGTAAAATTGTTGGAACAATATAATAATTACACTGCTAAAGAAGTAGGGGAGACTGGTGGCAAAGTTAATTGCAATGTGACAACAAGCCCCGGTCTCCCCTATAACATGTATTGTTTTATTTTTATCCGTCTTAATTTAAACTAAAATGCACTTTATTTTGATTTATAATAATGATAATGATTAAAGAGTGAAGGATATTCTGGCATCGTGGATTTCGATGATACAGTCCACACTCTTCAGACTGGCTCTCATCTGCTTCAGTCCTTCAACAGTCCCACAACATTTATATTACCACTACATTTATAAGCTGAATTATATTTATTGAAGGGAATAAACACACTGCATCATTATTGTCATGTAAAAGCTGTCACCTTTAGCCATGTGTCCGGGGAACCAGTGAGCCACATCCCGCCCTGCAAAGTCGAAAACGGTCCTGAACTTGGAGACGCTACAGAGAGTCCGGTACAGTCTCATGACCGCTGTTATTTAATATAAACTCACTTTACTCTCACATGAGTTCATGGGGGATTTATTTTAACCACATAGATCCCACAACCTCCTGCTCAGAGATACTGGGCGACTAGTGTGCTTCACTGTTTACATGCCGATATGAAACAACAGTCTCCGCGATCGCAGGTTCCGCGTCAAACAGTTTTCCTCTTTAGCCTGTTAATATGATTTAAGTTCGAGGAGGATTTTTTATTTCCTTATTTATTTATTTTTTGCTGATTACAAAAAAGACTTAAGTCAGTATAAGTCACTATAAGTTCATAAAACCTGAGGAAAGTGGCTGCAACACCCAGTTTACCTAATTTAAAATGTTACTTTGTCAATTATTGAAAGATTTTACACAAGAAGTCAGAACCATGTACAGTCAGTCTAGATTAGATTAGATAGAACTTTACTGATCCTTTCGGGAAAGTAACCTCAGGGAAATAAAAAACAATATATAAATTAAATATAAAATTATGTAAGGTAAGAAGCTGCAGACAACAACTGTGTTAAAACTTAAGTCTCTGCATGGACTGGACCATCTCCATTCACTGAAATACACAAAAACAGGACTACACTCATCCAATAAAGGCCCACATCAGAAGAATCATGACATGAGCAGCAAATATTATAGTAAAAGTAAATTGCATCTTTAATCGAGTGACAGAATTAGCCAAAAACAAGCACATGAATATAAAATTATTTACTCATAATCTTCAGGTAAACATTTTTAAGGATAACAAAGATAGACTGCAAATTTATCAACAAAATCTGGACGTTACACTAAAGCAGCAAAACAGGGAAATTAAGAACTGTTAAAAATTGCATCATTATTGAACTGATTTGAAAAAATATATTGAAATCCACTGCATAAATATCTAAGGAACTATCTGATTTTTGAGCAGCTGTCACAAAACTTTCTTTCACACAAATCCTGAGATCATTCGGCATAAAATCAGGTCTTTGTATGAATCGTTAAAACTTTTTTTTAGCATCCTAGACTGTCTTGTTTCAGCAGACTAAGAGAAACGTGTTAGGAGTTTGTTTCTTTCATATTTCAGGGAGTGCTTTTAAAGGTTTGACTTCGGCACAGATGGACTAGAGGAGGAGTAATGAGAGATGAGTCGATCTGCTTCTCTCCACCCCGTCAGAACAGCTCCGTGGACGGTGGAGTAGTAGCAGTGATGTGTTGCCTCTCCAGCAAACAACACTTGCAGAGGCTGAAACAGACCAGACAGTAAAAAGAAGGAATCCTCAGTTATAGTTAGGTATGACTAAGTTGATATACTTGCTTGGTATGCTTTTTTATAATGTATGTACCTGTGCCTGTGATCCTTTTGAAGGCAGAGGCTCCATCATGTTCTCCAGGTCCTGTGCTGAACACAGTTTTCCGGGAAAACTGTATGATCCACATGTCCAGGGGTTATGAAACCACTGAGAGCGCAGGACTCTCCTCGGGGTGAGGGCAGGATTTCCTGAGTCAAGGTCAATGAAAGTTACCATAAAATAATCTGATTTTAGGGCTTTACCTTGTCTTTAATTATTCCATACATCAAATTTTGATTGGTTCTAATTTTCAGGAATTGCTTTATCAGACTCACAGGCATTCTCAGAAAATTAAAAACCAATGGATGTGATTTTATCTCTTGTATCTTATGTATTGTTTTTACAATAATATGGACTAACTGGATCTGAATTCAAGTTTTAAATGCATTGCATTACATTACAATTGTCACCAAATGTTTCAGACTGACCTGTAAACCTGCGGACGAGCTGGGTGACACAGTGTGTGACCTCCTGTTCTGACAGTGTCTCCATATACTCTGACTCATGACCAGCAATCCAGCCACACAAAACATGGCCATACCTGGGAGTTAAAACCAACAGCGTTGTTGTCAAAATTTGTTTTCCACTCATAACCTATTAAATGCTATCCATCTGTGTAACGTATTTCTTGACCTTTCAGTGGGTTTGAGGACAGTAAAGCCAAACAGCTTTTTCAACCAGGATCTCTGCAAATCTGGCACCTGGTCCACGATTTCATCCTAAAACATGAGAAGAGAAAAAAAACAAAAAACAATGGGTAACATGAAAACTCCCCAAAAGTGAAGCCAAAGCTAAATTTACTGTATTTACTGGTAAAGTATTGACCATAACGCCCTCCTGAGTTTTGGCCGATTACCGATTAGTCTCAAACGGGCTAAAATTGGTCGGGCCCTACTATATTTACTCTAACATGGCAGTTTAATTACCTTGTGTAGAGACTGGGTTATGTGTTATAAAGGTTGATCTGATTTAATAGGGATAGGCTTTATCTAATAATAATAATAATAATAATAATAATAAATTTTATAACACTCTTTTACAGGTGCTCAAAGACCCTTTACAAAGAATAAACACATTTTAAAACACAGAACATTTTGAGTAATAAGACCAACAATGTAAAAGGTTAAAAAGACACAATATGAAAACACAATAAAAGAACAGTTCACAGGTTAAAAGCCAATTTAAAAAGGTGTGTTTTTAGGAGTAATTTGAAATTATTGGGGTCTGTACAGTCTCGGATGGGTTTGGGAGTGAATTCCAGAGGGTGGGGGCGGCAGCGGAGAAGGCTCTGTCCCCTCAAGTTCGGTCCTACATCAAAATCTAGGTTTACAACAGTGTGTCTACAGGCACCCACTCACTGATTTAACATCTCACCTCATCATCCCACACAAGAACAATGACCTCGCAGCCATCATCCCACCACGGTGAATCAAACTCCACATATATCTTATTGTTGGTGCCAAAACCGAGTCTCTGGATGGAGTGCTGCTTGTGCAGAGGCAGAGGAGGACAGAACAGGGCTGAAAGGTGCTTCTTCAGGTATCCTTACAAAACAAAAACAAGATACTTTAACTCACTGCTGAATACAGGAAATCAATGCTGCTGAGGGTACAAAGCAAAGAGCGTGTAACAAGGGTTCAAAGTGCTTTAGAGAGAATACTTTGGGCCAAAACAACAGACCACCATAAAATTTGTGACTATTTATCACGGGCTGGAAAGAAGCATAATAAAAAATATAAGAATGTACAGGAAGAACAATAACAACCCAATGATTAAATGTTGTAGCATGGTTTAATACTTCTGCCCTGTGCTGATAATCAGGTCCCCCGTCTGTGCGGAAGTATCCGTCTCATCCTACCTAGAGGTACTGTGACGATAACGTGATCCGCAGAGAATTTTTCTCCATCATCACACTCGACCATCACAGGTTTTTCTCCCCTCTCTGTGTTGTTCCAGTGGACGCAGCGCACAGGTCTGTTGTAGCTAACTATACCACTGGGCAGCTCTGACATCAGGTTTTTAATTAGAACTTCATAGCCCCTGCAGGACAAGCAAAATAATGTCTAAATTAATCAGACACATGCTGTTTCTTCAAGGGGTGCCCCAAATTGGTTAGTAAATATTCTATTGTGTGTGTGTGTACTGGTAAAAGGTTTGAGCACTCACCTTGGGAATGTGCAGTCCAGTCCAGGTAAAGTCTTGTACAAACCATAGGCTCCTAGGCCCACCTCATCCATGCTGTGAGTTCCATTTATACAGCACTGCTGCTTTAACATGTTGTTGATCATACCCAGTCTCAGAGACCTTGTCTTTGCATCAACATCCTTCCACTCTTCTGCTGCTTGTTTTTGTATCTGCATGAGGAAACGGGACCAAACAAACTCGATCATTTCAAAGTTTCAGATACTTGTGGTCAATGAACATGCAGCCATCGTTATTATTATTAGTCTCTGGAAAAGAAAATGTACCTCTGACCGTAAGAAATCTCCTACACTGGCGGTGGGCTCTCCTCCTTTGCTCGCAAACTCTGAACTTTCATTCAGAACTTTATCAAACATCTCCTGAGCAGGCATGTATTCTTCAAGAGTCAGCCTCCGACCTGTACAAATTACATGACTTGGTTTATACTAATCAAGAGTGAAGCCTCAGGTTTCCTCCTTTGGAAATGTTGATTTTACAAATACTGATTTTTAACTGTCCTTGTACACTTACTTTATTCTGGCAGATATAACTGATTGGTTAAGAGGCGTTTTGTGTGCACTGATATAAGGCATAAGCACAAAGGGCTTTTACTGTATGCTCTGAATAACTGAGATTGATCCAAATTATAAACAAATATAATGCTTCTGCATAATTTTTTTAAGAGTTTCAAAGCGGTTGGAGCATGTTCATATATCATTTTAAACTAGCTCAGCCTCAAAGCAGAATGTGACGTAATAAAAGTTTAATTACCTGAGCTGCTGAAGAAATTGGGGACCCAGACGGGAGTGCCACCACAGTCTATTGCCTGATTCTCTGGGGTCAAGGCCTCTGGATCCAGAAGTCCATACTGACGAGCCAGACGAAACACTGGGTTCCCCTCAGAAGGTCCGTGAATCCAGTTTGCCCCAATCTCAACGACTTTATCACCTTCAGATAAATCCACAGTGTGGTTTTAGTAAATAAAGGGTCATTTGACTCATGCAAGCTTTGCTCTGAGCTGACTCTTCATTGTTGTAGCTTTCTGTATGCAGGGGGTTGTCTGTACTGTTTTGACTGGGGTGGCCCAGGTGATAACTGACTTAAAGGGATATTCCTGGATAAAATCAATTTAGGGTCAAACACACCATAACAGAGTTAGACACCCCCTCAAGAGATGAATGTTGCGGACCGCTTGCTTCTCTAGTTATACCAACTTTATTAACGACCGCACAATAGCAATACACAGCGGTCTGAGGAGCCATAAACAACCTCAACCAAAACGCCACTCTATAGCCACAAATAATGCTCAGAACAGCACCTAACTTCATCAACAGTACAGGGTCCCAGACACAGCACTAGCCACCAAACAGCTTTTTAACTTTGACTAATTTCTTTAGCAAAGAGACTAAACACAGCTCACCTACTCTCTTCCAGCAGCTGCTTGTTTGTAGCGAGACCTCAAGCCAGTCTATAACGGACTACAGCGAAGCTCATTGCAAGTTAGCTCTAATATTCTATATCTATGATATACTGACACATTTGACAAGCCACGACCCAACCATAGTCTAGGATTTTGCAGTGGCACCAGGGGTGGCCAACATCACAAAGGGGGCCCGTTCCACCCCTATGTACACGTCCCTGATTTTAGGGTTAGTGACAACATTAGATTTACTGGATTTTACCCTGTTTTTACAACATGACATCAAGTAGTGCAGGTCTAACTTCAAGTTGACAAGACATCAGTTTTAACCCTGTAAAACATTTACAGTTGATAAAGGCAGCAAAATGCTCCAAAGTTGTGACTAACGCAGTTTCTATCTTTTCACTCTGTCACTCACCCAATCTGCCGGTTTTAATCCGACCTCCACTCCTGGATGTTGATTCAAGAATCCGCACATTCTGAAATCCAGATTTAATGAGTTGATGAGCGGCGGATATCCCCGATATTCCACATCCTACAATCACGATTTTAGCGTCCATGCTGAGCTAGTTCCACACGGAGACGGTTTACTACGCTGAGAGCGGATGATTTGGTCAACCAGCGCTCTTCCTTACGGTAAAGAGAGATAACGGCAGGAAAAAGTAGATCCGGTTCGAATTTCAAAATAAAGGTTGATTATTAGAAACTGTTAATGGTCGCGAGTAACGGGTGTTTAAAAAATATTTTACGTATTTACTTATTAATAATAGTAGAAGTATATTTTGAATATGTCCGTTTCTATGCCTTTGTATGTGTGCATGAATAAGATTAAAACGGTTAATTATTAACATGTCTAAGATAAGATGAAATACCGCCATCTGCTGTCTGCCATAAATATGAGGTTTCAGTCTTTTAAATGACAGGACCAACATTAAAAACATAACTTTTTAAAAGTTTAACAACATTCATGCAACTGGATCAGTGTTACTGTTACTTTGATGGATGTTGTGTCCGTTTTATTTTCTTGCTGGCTGCATGCACCTGAACTTTGTACTTCCCTCCTTATCAATTTATGCAATAAGTCAAAATTTAGTCTGCACAGACTTATTGTGGTAATTTTAATGGAGTTATTCTGGCAGGAATCACTGTGCCGATGACTTGCGGTTTCAAATGACACAACACATCATGTGCAATTTCAAGCAGTGTCCACATAAACACCCAAACCTTACACTTAGAGGGTATAACAAATGCATTTGCCTGCTGCTTTCATACAATAGGACACAGCATGTAACAAGTATTGCATTAAACCTGCAGCATCCTATCATTGCAGCGGTTTGCGCGGAACGGTGCATGTTCAGTGTGAATTCTTCTAAACGTTCAGCTGTGTATCAGTTCAGGAGGTCAGAGTCACAGGCTTCTCCCGCCAAGTGCTAAATGATTCGGTGATTTGGTGAATGAATCTTTTGAATGACTCTTTTTAGTGAACTGATTCTAGTGATTCAGTACATGAAAAAGAACTGCTGTGCTCATCATTATGTGACAACTAACCCCAAAATAACTCAGACATGTTGCCCCAAACGACCATGTTTTCCAATTCTAGCTCTAGTTTAAAGTTAGTTTATAACAGAACAATGACTGAGGTATGACAGGACGTCTTAATCTCTCCTCTAATAAGTCCACATGTTTCACTACTAGGATTTTTATCTGGAAGACGATTATTTTAAAAGATATAAAGTTAAAATATTTTACTTTGGGTTGTGCAAAATGGTTAATTGGTGCTCATCTCAGCTCACAAATTTCTTTTCTCTTCTCAGGTAAGACACGACCCCCAACTATGTAATGGAATTAAACTAATATTCCTCTTTTTAGTTGCGATTGCAATGTGACAATAAGCCCCGGTCTCCCCTAAAACATGTATTGTTGTATTTTAGGTTACATCCTTTCGGGATGTAACCTAAGGGAAGGTTACATAACCTCAGGGAAATCAAATAAATAAATTGATTAAATATAAAATTTTGTTATGTAAGATGCTGCAGACAACATCTATGTTAAAACTTAAGTCTCTGCATGGACTGGACCATCTCCATTCACTGAAATACACAAAAACAGGACCACACTCATCCAATAAAGGCCCACATCAGAAGAATCATGACATGAACAGCAAATATTATGGTAAAAGTGAATTGCATCTTTAATTGAGTGACACAGAATTAGCCAAAAACAAGCACATGAATATAAAAATATTTACTCATAATCTTCAGGTAAACATTTTTGAACATAAACATGGACTGCAAATTTATCAACAAAATCTGGACTTTACACTAAAACAGCAAAACAGGGAAATTAAGAACCATTAGGACACCAGTATAAACGCTTGTTTAAAAAATTTGCATCATTATTGAACTGATTTTTAAAAATAAATATCGAAATCCACGGCATAAATATCTAAGGAACTATCTGATTTTTGAGCAGCTGTCACCCAACTTTCTTTCACACAAATCCTGAGATCATTTGGCATAAAATCAGGTCTTTGTATGAATCATTAAAACTTTTTTTTAAGCATCCTAGACTGTCTTGTTTCAGCAGACTAAGAGAAACGTGTTAGGAGTTTGTTTCTTTAATATTTCAGGGAGTGCTTTTAAAGGTTCAACTTCGGCACAGATGGACTAGAGGAGGAGTAATGAGAGATGAGTCGATCTGCTTCTCTCCACCCCGTCAGAACAGCTCCGTGGACGCTGGCGTAGTAGCAGTGATGTGTTGCCTCTCCAGCAAACAACACTTGCAGAGGCTGAAACAGACCAGACAGTAAAAAGAAGGAATCCTCAGTTATAGTTAGGTATGACTAAGTTGATATACTTGCTTGGTATGCTTTTTTATAATGTATGTACCTGTGCCTGTGATCCTTTTGAAGGCAGAGGCTCCATCATGTTCTCCAGGTCCTGTGCTGAACACAGTTTTCCGGGAAAACTGTATGATCCACATGTCCAGGGGTTATGAAACCACTGAGAGCGCAGGACTCTCCTCGGGGTGAGGGCAGGATTTCCTGAACACACAGAGTAGAGGTCAACAAAAGTCCATACATCAATCTTTATAAATCCTCTATTTTAGCTGGCACATCAGAGTGTTCAGATTATATCCAGTAAATTATGCAGCTCATACAACAGAAGTGACCAAGTTTGACCAAAAATAATGCAAATTAAAATTTTGATTGGTTCTAATTTTATGGAATTGCTTTATCAGACTCACAGGCATGTGACCAATGGATGTGATTTTATCTCTTGTATCGTTTGTATTGTTTTTAGAATAATATGGACTAACTGGATCTGAATTCAAGTTTTAAATGCATTGCATTACATTACAATTGTTACCAAATGTTTCAGACTGACCTGTAAACCTGCGGACGAGCTGGGTGACGCAGTGTGTGACCTCCTGTTCTGACAGTGTCTCCATATACTCTGACTCATGACCAGCAATCCAGCCACACAAAACATGGCCATACCTGGGAGTTAAAACCAACAGCGTTGTCGTCAAAATTTGTTTTCCACTTATAACCTATTAAATGCTATTCATCTGCGTAACGCATTTCTTGACCTTTCAGTGGGTTTGAGAACAGTGAAGCCAAACAGCTTTTTCAACCAGGATCTCTGCAAATCTGGCACCTGGTCCACAATTTCATCCTAAAACATGAGAAGAGAGAAAAAAAAAAAAGGGTAACATGAAAACTCCCCAAAAGTGAAGCCAAAGCTAAATTTACTGGTAAAGTATTGACCATAACGCCCTCCTCTTTTAGAATTTACTGTATATCTATTATTATGTATGTGACTCAGGGGGTAAATTGTCTGTCACTCGTTATTTATATTTTTTCTAACGCAGCAGTTTACTTATCTTGTACAGAAATTGGGTTATATGTTATAAATGTTGATCTGTTTTAATAGGGATAGGCTTTATCTACATCAAAATCTAGGTTTACAACAGTGTGTCTACAGGCACCTACTCACTGATTTAACATCTCACCTCATCATCCCACACAAGAACAATGACCTCGCAGCCATCATCCCACCACGGTGAATCAAACTCCACATATATCTTATTGATGGTGCCAAAACCGAATCTCTGGATGGAGTGCTGCTTGTGCAGAGGCAGAGGAGGACAGAACAGGGCTGAAAGGTGCTTCTTCAGGTATCCTTACAAAACAAATCAAGATACTTTAACTCACTGCTGAATACAGGAAATCAATGCTGCTGAGGGTACAAAGCAAAGAGCGTGTAACAAGGGTTCAAAGTGCTTTAGAGAGAATACTTTAGGCCAAAACAACAGACCATCATAAAATTCGTGACTATTTATCACGGGCTGGAGGGAAGCCGATCGACTCAACTATTTAAGATATGATTAGTGAATAAAAAATAAAAGAATGTACAGGAAGAATAATAACAACCCAATAATTAAATGTTGTAGCATGGTTTAATATTTCTGCCCTGTGCTGGAAATCAGGCCCCCCGTCTGTGCGGATGTATCCGTCTCATCCTACCTAGAGGTACCGTGACGATAACGTGATCCGCAGAGAATTTTTCTCCATCATCACACTCGACCATCACAGGTTTTTCTCTCCTCTCTGTGTTGTTCCAGTGGACGCAGCGCACAGGTCTGTTGTAGCTAACTATACCACTGGGCAGCTCTGACATCAGGTTTTTAATTAGACCTTCATAGCCCCTGCAGGACAAGCAAAATAATGTCTAAATTAATCAGACACATGCTGTTTCTACAAGGGGTGCCCCAAATTGGTCAGTAAATATTCTATTGTGTGTGTGTGTACTGGTAAAAGGTTTGAGTACTCACCTTGGGAATGTGCAGTCCAGTCCAGGTAAAGTCTTGCACAAACCAAAGGCTCCTAGGCCCACCTCATCCATGCTGTGAGTCCCATTTATACAGCACTGCTGCTTTAACATGTTGTTGATCATACCCAGTCTCAGAGACCTTGTCTTTGCATCAACATCCTTCCACTCTTCTGCTGCTTGTTTTTGTATCTGCATGAGGAAACGGGACCAAACAAACTCGATCATTTCAAAGTTTCAGATACTTGTGGCCAACGAACATGCAGCCATCGTTATTATTTTAGTCTCTGGAAAAGAAAATGTACCTCTGACCGTAAGAAATCTCCTACACTGGCGGTGGGCTCTCCTCCTTTGCTCGCAAATTCTCTACTTTCATTCAGAACTTTATCAAACATCTCCTGAGCAGGCATGTATTCTTCAAGAGTCAGCCTCCGACCTGTACAAATTACATGACTTTGTTTATACTAATCAAGAGTGAAGCCTCAGGTTTCCTCCTTTGGAAATGTTGATTTTACAAATACTGATTTTTAACTGTCCTTGTACAATTATTTTATTCTGGCAAATCCAACTGATTGGTAAAGAGGCGTTTTGTGTGCACTGATATAAGGCATAAGCACAAAGGGCTTTTACTGTATGCTCTGAATAACTGAGATTGATCCAAATTAATTACAAAATAAACAAAAATAACGCTTCTGCATAATTCTTTTGAGAGTTTCAAAGCGGTTGGAGCATGTTCATATATCATTTTAAACTAGCTCAGCCTCAAAGCAGAATGTGACGTAATAAAAATTTAATTACCTGAGCTGCTGAAGAAATTGGGGACCCGGACGGGAGTACCACCACAGTCTATTGCCTGATTCTCTGGGGTCAAGGCCTCTGGATCCAGAAGTCCATACTGACGAGCCAGACGAAACACTGGGTTCCCCTCAGAAGGTCCGTGAATCCAGTTTGCCCCAATCTCGACGACTTTATCACCTGCAGATAAATCCACAGTGTGGTTTTAGTAAATAAAGGGTCATTTGACTCATGCAAGCTTTGCTCTGAGCTGACTCTTCATTGTTGTAGCTTTCTGTATGCAGGGGGTTGTCTGTACTGTTTTGACTGGGGTGGCCCAGGTGATAACTGACTTAAAGGGATATTCCTGGATAAAATCAATTTAGGGTCAAACACACCATAACACAGAGTTAGACACCCCCTCAAGAGATGAATGTTGCCGACCGCTTGCTTATCTAGTTATACCAACTCTAGTAACGACTGCACGATAGCAATACACAGCGGTCTGAGGAGCCATAAACAACCTCAACCAAAACGCCACTCTATAGCCACAAATAATGCTCAGAACAGCACCTAACTTCATCAACAGTACATATAGGGTCCCAGCCATAGTACTAGCCACCAAACATCTTTTTAACTTTGACTAATTTCTTTAACAAAGAGACTAAACACAACTCACCTACTCACTTCCAGCAGCCGCTTGTTTATAGAGAGACCTCAGGCCAGTCTATTACGGACTACAGTGAAGCTCATTGCAAGTTAGCACTAATATTCTATATCTATGATATACTGACACATTTGACAAGCCATGACCCAACCATAGTCTAGGATTTTGAAGTGGCACCAGGGGTGGCCAACATCACAAAGGGGGCCCGTTCCACCCCTGTGTACACGTCCCTGATTTTAGGGTTAGTAACAACATTAGATTTACTGGATTTTACCATAGACTGTATATAAGATGGACGCCGTGGTTCCGCCTTCCGCCTGTATACGGATTTGAAGCCAAAAAGCTCTCGGTAATTCCGGGTTTTTCTCCACTTCCTTGAAACCAGAGCTGTGCAGTAGTTTTGTGCGCATTCGGCCGCGCAGTCGCCGAGAGTCCCTGTGATGACGCTCGGGTGAAACAGCGTATTCCCCCGGAAGAGCTACGCAATCCCTGAACGCCCATAGGCTGTACCAGGTGTCAATCATAGAAAACATGAACCCACTAATAAATTTAAAAAACGGAGCTGTACAGAAAAAAGAAGGACTTGGGCACAAACCAGTCTTACTGTGACTACATGTCAACATCACAAGCAGGGGGAGAAAAATTTATGTTCTGTGTAATAAATTTCTAAAGTTTTTCCACAGTCCCATAAACTTTGCTGGCGGAGGCGGGATTTATGACCTGTACTGCAGCCCACCATCAGAGGGTGCTGTTCTCGGAGTGGCTTCACCCAGCGAGGAGGCAGACTCTGTCCATCTTATATACAGTCTATGGGAACAACCATAGACATAATAAAGGATAGACCCCGCTGGGGGTGCTGCGCGGCGAGAAATGCGGCCGCCATCTTGGTCCGGTCAAGCTTCCCATACGCTCCGGTCAATCATATTCATTCATCAGTCATTCAGCGATGCCGGAGCACTGTGCGGCGTATTCCAGTGCCAACAGGCGGACAGCAGAGAACAGGGCTAAAGGAATAACTTTTCACAGGTAGGATTAAACATTTTTTTCAACATTACACTTGACTGTAGAGTCATTTGTTGGCCAAAGAGGAAGACTATCGGTCAACTTCAAAAACGAAACAGCATTTGCTAACAGCTAGCTTATTCACCATAATAGCAACTTTGCTCTATTATCAACAGATTTGCATTAGATTGAAAAACTTTTGTTTGAGAGAGGTTCTAAGAAACGTTAAGAAATAAAATAGAAAGAAGAAGGAAGAAAGTGAGCTCTGTTATCTGTTTTATTAAAGATTTCTTTGTGGTGATCTCCTGTTTCATTTTGAAGATTTCCTAAGGACAAAAATTTGAGGAAGAAGTGGGAGATTGCTGTAAGGAGGGAGAAATTCACAGCAAGGGATTCCTCTGTGCTCTGCAGCCAACATTTTAAGGAGGCAGACTTTGACAGGACGGGACAGGTTGTCCGCATCCGAGATGGCGTTATTCCGTCCGTCTTCAAGTTTCCAGGTCACCTCCAAAGAGTAGGTGCATCACAATAAAGTTGTTTTATTCTATTGATTACATGGCATGAATTACTTATTGTGATTCCCTCTCTATCTATCTATCTATCTATCTATCTATCTATCTATCTATCTATCTATCTACCTACCTACCTACCTATGTCTTTCTGTCTTGTCTTTATTTTTATTTTTCTATTTCATTTCAGGCATGTTGGGTGGTTTATAAAACACCCAGGGTATCAGACAATTTTATTTCATTATCTAGTTTGTTCCAAAGCCTCACCCCGTTGAAAGAGATAGTGAAGGACTTAATGGTGGTTCTTGCCACTTTTCCTCTTCATTTTAGCCAGAAAAAAGCAGGAACACATCTGCCTCCAGAAAATCTGAGGCGAGCCTGTCTGAGACTCCTCAGGATAACTCAGTGGCCTCAACCTCACATTCTGAATCTCAGCCTGAAGATGTGAGTATTTCAATTTTACCCATGAGCATGTCATGATGGTTTTAGAGACTGGTAGCGGATTTGACAACTGATGACTTTTAGAAATAATGCGAGCCCATCTGTGTGATACAGCTAGTAAAACATAACTCAAACAATGCTCATCTCTCCTTTTCCTAGGATCACAGCTATGTAATGCCTTCCTCCCCAACCGCTTTAAAGGCCAGACTCACCGGAGCTTTGGAAAGAGTCGATAAATTGGAGCGAGAAAAAAAGAATGCCAAGGCATGTGAAAAGAGGGCGAAGACAACCGTGCAGAGTCTTCTATCACAATTATGTGAAAAGAATCTCATTAATGAAGAGCTCAAGGACAGACTTGAGCAAATTGTTATGTAGTTTAGGTGCTGTCCTGTCATGCTGTTCTTGTGTTTAAATTGTTTTGATATGTAGGCTATATATTTGTGTGTATTTCTTTGTGTGTATTTTCCAGTTATTAAAATAGTGCTTCTATATGACATTATTTGTGTGTGTCCACAAATGGATAAATAAAATTAAACTAAATAAAATATAATCAAATCAATATATATTGAATTAGCCTATTAAAACCGCAAGTTATTAATAATTATTGAGACATAGCAGGAACCTATCTCTAAACCTAGATATATCCTTGATTAATTGTTATACTATACTACAGCCACTGCTGCCATGTTCTAATATATCATTTTACTCATTCTGAGTATTTGAAAACGCCAAAAAAAATATGGCCTCTATCATGCCTCTTTGAATGGCGTTTGCAGAGAAGAAAATTACGTAGTATTGAGCGAACTATGATTCATTTAATGCGCTCAGACTTCATTCCGCCGGTTAAACAGCGGTGCAGAGTGAGGCGGATGACCGGACCAAGATGGCGGCCGCGTTTCTCGACAGCGCCCATTCGTGGTAACGGCCGATGCGGGGTCTATCCTTTATTATGTCTATGGGAACAACACTCAAGCCCTTACAGAGCTCACATGCAAGCCTATATACAATGAGACAGGCGGAAGGCGGAACCACGGCGTCCATCTTATATACAGTCTATGGATTTTACCCTGTTTTTACAACATGACATCAAGTAGTGGAGGTCTAACTTCAAGTTGACATGACATCACTTTCAACCCTGTAAAACATTTACAATCGATAAAGGCAGCAAACTGCTCCAAAGTTGTGACTAACGCAGTTTCTATCTTTTCACTCTGTCACTCACCCAATCTGCCGGTCTTAATACGCCCTCCACTCCTGGATGTTGATTCAAGAATCCGCACATTCTGAAATCCAGATTTAATGAGTTGATGGGCGGCAGATATACCCGATATTCCACATCCTACAATCACGATTTTAGCGTCCATGCTGAGCTAGTTCCACACGGAGACGGTTTACTATGCTGAGAGCGGATGATTTGGTCAACCAGTGCCCTTCCTTATGGTATAGAGACGCCCAATTCCAAACGACTGACTCATTGACTTAGGTGCGCGCTCATGTGAGCTCTGTAAGGGCTTGAGGGTTGTTCCAAAGGACAACAAAGCCCCAGGTAATGACGGGATAACTGGGGAATTTTATAAATACTTTAAACAAGCAATCGCTCCATTTTTAATTGAGCTATTTGTAGAGGCTTTAGACAAGGAAAAACTCCCCCACACTTTAAGACAGGGACTGATAAAACTAATTCCAAAACCAAAAAAAGATGAATTAAACATTGAAAACTGGAGACCGATTAGTTTATTGAATAATGATGCAAAGCTGTTTGCTCTCATCTTTGCTAAAAGATTGAAAATAGGATTAGATGATATTATAGATGAGGAGCAATCTGGGTTTATGCCAGGGAGAAATATTGTAAATAATATTCGTCTGACTCTGGATATGATAGACTATAATGAATCTATACCTGATTAAAGTTTTATTCTGTTTGTGGACTTCTATAAAGCATTTGATACAGTCAATCACCAGTTTATGTCTAAAGTTATACGATGTTTTGGTTTTGGAAATAGGTTTTTGAGGGCAGTTCAAACACTTTATAAAGGAAGTAACAGTTCAATTAAGATAACAAATGGCACAACACCCAGATTTAATATTGGTCGTGGAATCAGACAAGGTTGTCCCCTAAGCCCCTTTTTGTTTTTGCTGGTTACACAGGTTATGGCAACACATATTAAAAAAAGGAACTTTCAGGGTATGACAGCCGTAGGTAGAGAATTCAAACTAGCTCAGTTAGCGGATGATGCAGCTATTTTTTTGTCCAACCAAAATGAGCTTGTCAAAGCTGTGCAGTGTATCAGAGAGTTTTCGGAGGTTTCTGGGCTGACAATGAACCTTAATAAATCTATGCTTTTTCCCCTCAAACACTGTGATCTGGCAGAATTAAATGGTATTCCCATTAAACAAACTGTGACATATTTGGGTGTTGTACTTGACAAAAATGAGAAGAGGCGCTCTGAGTTAAACTTTGAACCAATAACTCAACAGATACAAAGAAAATTCAATATGTGGTTAGTGAGGGATCTATCTTTACACGGACGGATTCTGTTATCCAAAGCTGAAGGAATATCAAGATCTGTATATCTATCACTAGCACTAGAAATGCCTGCTGTAGTCTCCAAGAAATTAGATCAAATCTTATTCAAGTTTATCTGGAAGAACAGACGCCATTATTTTAAAAAAGTTATCTTATGTAATACCAAGAGGGATGGTGGTTTGGATGTGCTAACCTTCGAAATATTGAATCACTCTTTCAAGATCAACTGGCTGAGTAAGTTATGTAGAGAGAAGAACAACCTCTGGAACTCCTTTGCTACACATGTTTTCAACTCACTTGGTGGTATACGCTTTATGTTGAAATGTAATTACAAAATTGAGAAGCTTCCTGTTAAACTCTCTAACTTTCACAAACAAGCCTTGCTGTCCTGGAGACTAACCATTCAATATCACTTAACCTATCATTAATGCTGGTTTTATAATTTATCAATCTAATCATTATTTACCAATTACCTGTTGTCTATGTTCAAGAGCAAGTGTGTGCAAAAGGAGCGGAACAATGTTGGCCTTTCTTCTGCGACGTCGCTGGCCGCGAAATAAATGCAGAATTAAGAGGCCCAGAGAGGCAAGTGTCAGTCGCATCTTTGGTTGTCACGGCAACGTTGCCGTCTGTCGTCAAGGTAACGTGGCACGTCACAAAGGGCTGTTCCATTGCTTTTATACCCTTTTGGAGCCCTTAAACCCTCCCACACTCAAGCACTTACCAGCTGATTTAACCTAAACTAATGAGGGTGCAGGGCTTGAGGGCTTAGGGTGGAGTTTGGAATTGGGGACGGCAGATGACGGCAGGAAAAAGTAGATCCGGTTGGAATTTCAAAATAAAGGTTGATTATTAGAAACGGTAATGTAACGGTAACGTTAATGGTGACGGGTAACGGGTGTTTAAAAAATATTTTACGTATTCACTTATTAAAAATAGTAGAAGTATATTTTGAATGAATGCCTTTGTATGTGTGCATGAATAAGATTAAAACGGTTAATTTTTAACATGTCTAAGATAAGATGAAATACCGCCATCTGCTGTCTGCCATAAATATGAGGTTTCAGTCTTTTAAATGACAGGACCAACATTAAAAACATAACTTTTTAAAAGTTTAACAACATTCATGCAGCTGGATCAGTGTTACTTTTACTTTGATGGATGTTGTGTCCGTTTTATTTTCTTGCTGGCTGCATGCACCTGAACTTTGTACTTCCCTCCTTATCAATTTATGCAATAAGTCAAAATTTAGTCTGCACAGACTTATTGTGGTAATTTTAATGGAGTTATTCTGGCAGGAATCACTGTGTCGATGACTTGCAGTTTCAAATGACACAACACATCATGTGCAATTTCAAGCAGTGTCCACATGAACACCCAAACCTTACACTTAGAGGGTATAACAAATGCATTTGCCTGCTGCTTATTCAACACATCCTTCAAGTTTGCCATGATAAGCTAAATAAATGGGTCAATTTGTAATGACTTTTCACTCAATAAATTACTATTCTCCATTTTTTGTCACTAAGGCCCTTCTTGTGGGTATTCATCTGGTACAATGACAGTTGTTTTTAGATTTTTTTTCACCTCTGGCTAAATAACCAAACATTTATCATTTGATATGGGACATTTTATATTTGAGTCAAATATTCTAAACTGATAGAAATTAGTCAGGGCGATGAGCTGAAGTGGACAGGTTTGACTGGGTGGGACTTCCTGTCTGAAGGAGAACAGTTGACAAAGTACAAGTACTACATGTACTCACTCATACATACTGACCTATTGTACTCTGAATTTTTCCCAGAGGTGTTCATGTTGTGTGACAGTTGGAGTTTCAGGTCGACATGTGATGACTAAAGCACACAGATCATTTACTTCTTGGTTATGATAATAGGTCCTGGTTGTAGCCAGGCTAAAGGTGCATTTAGTCACGATGGTGGTACTCTCTGGAACAAACAGTTGCAGCTCCAAGATCTGGGAAATGTTTTTTTTTTAATTAAAGCAGTCCAGCATACACAACATACACTAATCTCTAGCCACAGCTGCTTTTCACTCACAAGATACAAGAGATCCTTACAGTGATGTTATTGTTTGACTCTGTGTGAAATCTCACATTGTTATTGTCCTGTAACATGTTAAACAGGGAGAATGTAGTGTCAGTTTCCTTTATGTCCTTTTCCTTATTACTAGTGCTATTCATAATTAACGGCAAAAAATAAGACATTGTAGAGAGGGATCAAAAATGAAAACAGATCATTTAAAAAATGTGCAAACTGATTCTAGTAAAGGTGCCACAAAAAACTCTGAAATATTTTTTTATCTCTTTCTGTTAGTCCTTTTTCTCTGTGGCTGACTACGTGAACTGAAGGAGGAGTAATGATTGATGAGTCGATCGGCTTCCCTCCAGCCCGTAATAAGAGCTCCATGGACAGTGGAGTAGAAGAAAGGGTGAGTCGCTTCTCCTGCGAACAACACCTGCAGGGGCTGAAAGAGGCCGAAAGTTTATATCAGGGTCATATTTTAAGAGTTTATATGCGCTTGTGTGTTGCTGTGTGTACCTGTGACTGTGACTCCCTCGTAGGTAAAGGCTCCATCATGTTCTCTAGGTCTTTAGCTGAGCAGCCGATCGCTGGGTGACAGTATGATCCACATGTCCAGGGGTCGCTGAACCACTGGGTGCGCAGGATTCTCTTTGGCATTACTGACTGATCTCCTACAGACACAGAGTTACAATGAAGGGGACTGAACCAAATTTCATCCATTCACAGCCACAGTGTGGGAGAGTCTCTCACCTGTGAATGTGCGGAAAAGCGCTGTGAGGGATTGTTTGAGTTGCTGCTCCGTTAGCGTCTCCATATGCTCTGCCTCATGTCCTGCAATCCATCCACACAGAACGTGGCCCGATGTTTTAAATGTTGCGGCCCCTTTAGGTTGTTTTTGCACAGTAAACGTTGACATCTTCCTTATCCAGGATGTTTTTATATCCGACACCTGATCCACAATGTCCCCCTGGAGAGACAGCGAGTAAAACATGCAATCAGTGTGTGTAGATGTGGATACAAGGTCAGACTTTGTCATTTTTGATGATATGCTACTGTTAATAAGTGACTCTCAAGTTCTTTGCAGGTGAAAAATAGGCAGAACAACATGTTTTATGCATTTCAAAGACTACACTTTAATCAGGACATCACTTAAACAAGGTACTTGCCTTGTCAATTTTGTACACGAAACCTGATCTCTGCAGGTAACAGAGGCAGGAAAGTCCAAAGATATGTTTATTAGGATAGTAGGAAAAGCAACAATTAGGCTTCAAACCTGAGGGTGTAACTTTGAAACTCACCACAGACCTTTTCTGTCATGCTCACTATCATTTAGCCTCATGTTTGTTACTGTTTACAGTGATTTCATTCTGTTCTACAAACCTCATCGTTCCACACCAGGTAGATGACCTCACAGTCAGCGTCCCACCACCGAGACTCAAACTCCACGTATATTTTGTTGCATGTTCCGAATCCCAGCCTGTGGACAGAGTGCAGCTTGTGTGGCGGGAGAGGAGGACTGAACAAGGTTGAATGATGCTTCTTTAGGTATCCTGGAAAAGAGAAAAGTTCAGGTTGTTGATATGAGGGTACTTTTTTAAAACATTTTTGAGACAGATACTTCATGTACCACAGCAGTTAGCATCTATTTTACAAACAATGGTATGACTTGTGTGGAGTAGCCTACCTAAAGGCACTGTGACGATAACATGATCAGCGGTGATCCTCTCCCCATCATCACACTCCACTGCCACTGTGTTCACTCCGTTCTCTGTGTTGTTCCAGTGGACACAGCGTACAGGTCGGTTATATGTCACTAAACCTGCGGGGAGGTCCACCATCAGGTTCTTTATCAGGCCTTCAAAACCACTGCAAGAAAAAGAAACAGAAGAGATAAAAGTCACCTTGCTGCACAAGTATCATCACCTGATGGACATTGGTGAAAGGTTTATCACTCTAAGCTTCTGAGGTGAATCAATTCACAGAGAGCATGAAAAATTCAGTGAAAACCACAACCATCACTGTGAAATAGATGCTGAGTCTGTTATTTTACCACAGTCTGAGGTGAGGGGATGACACTGAAGCTCCACAGCCTGTTTCACTTCTGTGAAGGTCACTGTTTCACAAAACTTCAGGATTACTTTAACTGTCTTTCTTTGTATAATGGTAAAAGGTCTGAGTGTGTGAACTTCAACACTGTCTTTCAGTTTCAGATTTACATTACAAGAGACTGTAAAATTTAAGCTGTGTTACTCATCACCTGTCACTGATGACGCAGCAGGATGGTGATGAGTAGATGTGTGAAACATCATTTCTAGATCACTGCTTAGTGAACTTTTGAGAATCTAACACAGAGGGAGTTCTTGGGTGAAAAGGGGTTGATTTCAGAGAAATGTAGGGGGATATTTTCTCAAAAATAAGTCTTTCTCTGAATTCAACATGAACAACTTCAGATGGAACTGGACCTTTTGCATATGAACTGTGCAATGATTCACCGAGGTTTTCTACACAAACTAAATACCGTATGAAAGACTTTTTCTCATGATTTTACATTTTCAGTCCGATAACAAAACTGCACCAGCTTTTCCAGACAAAGTAAGAGACACACAAGAAGGGATTGACATTTATTTCTGTTTTTATGTTTATATGTTTATGAGAGAAAATACAAACCCTGGGAACGTGCAGTCCAGTCCCGACAGATTCTTGTACATACAAAATCCCACCAGGTCGATATTCTCCATGGTGTGAGTTGCACTGCTACAGCACTCTCCTTTCAACATGGCACTGATGGCACACAGCAGCTGCTCCTGGGTGTTCTTATCTTTTTCTCTCCACCTCTCTGTTGCTCGTTTATGGGCCTGCACATGAAAACAACAATCAACATTTCCTTTAACAGGTTTTCATTTGAGAAAGTTTCAAATCTTACCAAGCCATTATAAAGAAAGAGAATCTACCTCTGACTGCAGGAAATGTCCCACACTCAGCCAAGGCTTTTCTCTAAGATTCTGAAATTTCGAAGTATCATCCATTAGCTCGTTAAATAAATCCAGAGCTGGACTCATTTCTTCGGTACTCAGCTTCTGACCTGCAAATACAACAAAAATTAAGATTTTAAGTCATTTAGCAGTTTATTGTTGTAACTCTTAACAGCTGGAGTGATCGTACACATATACACTCAAGTGTCAAATAATCAAAGTATTTTCAATTCAGCAAACATTACTCCATAAGAGTTTGCCCCAGATTAGGTTATTCTCTCTGTTCAGTCAGACACTCATTGTGTGTTTGGAAAGAAAACTACAAACGAAAATAAACTCAAGTCCACTTATAAATGACGAAGTTACATTATTAAAAACAGCATCATACACATAAACTTCGAATGGTTAGACATGTGATGTTAAACTTGCACCACCATGACTCATTTTTGTTTCCCAGTGTTTAAAAATGTGACCATTTACCACAAACACCATGAAGTCGTCATATTCTGACGCTTGGTTGATTTTGTAAACATGTGAACTGCTGATAAAGTTCAGTTTCGGCCTCTCCCCCATGTACTAACTTCCCAGTAAAGACTAAATTAACTTCATACTCTAAATCACACGTGGGTTGTAGTTGTGATGTACTCTCAAAGTACACAATGTAACAACTTAATTAGAAATGTGTACATCTGCTATTTACCCATTTTTCATCTAAGTATTGAGTCTTTTTTTTTCAGTTGTCATTTGCTAAAGCAGTGTCTCTACTTTGTGGGGATAAACTACAGAGAGGGGTGGCAGGATACTATTCAACATAAGACTTGTTTCTGGGGATAATTATCACACATATGATTTCTTTATCATTACAAGTAGGGGAGAGTGGGGTAAATTGAGCCAAAGGGTAAATTAACCCACCCCCTGTTGCTTGGAAATGGTAAAAGAAATTGATCATGTGACCAAATATTTAGGAGATGGGCATCAATTCATGGAGTCTGTGAAGGTTAGAAGCACATGGGTGAAGGGGTTAGGCATTTATTTAAAAAAAAAACAACATTTTTATCTCTGTAAAGTGAATTTAGTCTGATATAAGTTTTATTAGAATTGTTTTAGACCAAAAAAGATCATTTTAAATGTGTTTTATAAATCAATTGTGGTATCTACGAGCTACAACATGAGGGATACGGCTCAACTCACCCCGCTAGGAGACCACTTTTTTTTTGTCCCGCTATATTATCAAGATTACAGTTCTGTTTACACTCATTCTGTTGGTTTACAGGGATGAACAACATCCTGAAATATCTGCAGATTCACTAGTTAGAGACAAAAAAAAACTGGTGATCCATAATATTAAAAACAGCTCATCTTACCCCACTTTCCCCTACTTATCCGCTAAGCCAGTAAGAAATGATCCTTTACATTCATACATGAGCAAATCCCAGTTAGACTTAGGGCCACAAATTTTCATATGATCAGATTATTGATGAAGATATTTCTCTGATCATTTATATTAAAGCCCCAAATAGTTGATCTTATATTTTACACACTTACATGATAGTTTTCATATTTTATTCATGTTTTTTTCCTCTTACTGTTGCCTCTAACCTTATCTGAGGTTGTTATTGTGTTTACTGTAAAAGGGTGATAAAATAGTGTCACTAACCTGAGCTGCTGAAAAAATTGGGGACCCAGGGTGGTCGCTCATCAATGTCCATAGCCTGGTTTTCTGGACTTGTGGCTTCTGGGTCCAGAAGACCATACTCCCGTGCCAGGCAAAATAGTGGGTTTTCCTCTGATGGACCATGAATATAACTTGCACCAATATCTGCGATATTGCTACCTGTAATGATTAAAACCAGGAAAAGGAAAAGTTACCAAAGGTTTTACTTCTCCCTCACACAAAGACAGAGATGAGAGTTCGTCTGAAAGTGAAAGTAAAGACCCGGACAGGATCTCACCCAGTTTAGCAGTCTTGATCCGTCCACCGCTCCTCGAAGTAGCCTCGAGTATCCGAACATTTTGGAAACCGGCGTTAACGAGTCTGTGTGCAGCTGATATCCCTGAAATCCCGCATCCTATAATAACAATCTTTGCTTCTGCTCGGTCGGCCATGTTCGTCCTGAACAACAATATCTGTCAGAGTGCTGAGAGCTCTCTGTGGGCGTCCACAGGTCACCTAAAGGGCTTACATAAACACTTACGCAATGTCTCGACAAGGCTGTGCTCTTTTGTTAGTCAAACAGTCCAACCCAGACTCTCTTTATCAAACCTACATTATGACTTGAACACCGATAAGGACCATGTAGCCTACTTTCCAGTGCAGAAGCTGAAGCCTGTAATTTTAGGGAACGGCGCACCTGCGGTTTTGTAATGAAAAAGAAAAAAGTAAAAGAAGAGCGTCACTGTAATACTTAATAACTATTCTGCACGAGGGACCTTTTTAACTGTCTTCAAAGCAGTTTTATCACACTTTGACAATCCCCACACAGTGTACAGCTGCTGTAGAGCGAGCAACCGTTTGTATAACTTTCAATGCGTGTCTATTTGGACAGTTACGGTACGGGTGCTCGAAGCGGCCAAAAACAGACATATAAAGTTCGTTAAGCCGTTGTGTGTACTTACACTATTTTGAGTTTTAAAAAAAAAGTTGTATTCATAAGTAGTATTTTTTCTTGAGTGAATTAATATAGTATTTGTGTTGAAAAGGAAATTAAACTCTCGACAGGAGGAGGAGGAAACAGTAAAATGTGTGGATGCACATTTCAAAATCAATATCATCCTTCAAATCCTTTAAAATATAATGGAAATCTCATCTCATGTTTCTTTCCTTTTTATGTATACTTATAATGTCTCTATCTCCGGTTGATGATTAGTCTGTGTTCTATTTATGATAATTTGACATTTCCCTACTCATTGTATAATTATAACCTGTCTATGTCCTAGTTACTTTGTTGTTTGGACCCTATGCCTTCACTGCCCTGACAGGAGTGGAACTCTGCAAAAGCTTATCGGCTTCGTTCCTCCTTGCACTGTTTTTAATCTGTGCTAAATAAATAAATAGAAATAGAAATAGATGCATGTGTGCAAAGGGTTTCTAAAAATAAATAAAGAAGAGTTTACCATAAAACTGGGCACTAAAACAACTTAAGATTTGACATGGTCTTTGACTGCCTTTTTAAAAATCTGGTTTATATAAATCATTTTATTACATCCACAAATAAAAGTTTCTTAAAAGGTAGGCCTAAGTATTAAAATGCAATTTGATTTTTGGTCACAGTCAGGGCCATCCAGGATAAGATTTCTGAGAATTTTTTTTTTTTTTTTTCAGTTCACCAGTTTCAGTTCCTTTTTTTTTTTTACTCCACCTTTAAAAGTCAAGACATTTTCATGTTTTTTTTAATGCAATAGGACGTTAAACAGTGCCTGACATTATAACCACTTCAATTTCTTTCTTTGACAAGAACAATTAAAGGACTACTGGGTCAAATGCCGACATGATTGGCATGAATTCTGGCTCTTTTATGTTGGTTTGTTAATGATTGACCTCTATTACCCTAAATACTGCCAAACTACTGACTGAGAAGTGTGTGTCAGTTGTTGGTTGTCATGGACCGTGACACTCTTGTATTTCCCCAGAGTGACTGATTCTGTTGGGAAAATTTATTTAGCCGATACCAGGAACATTTTCATCTTGAATTTCCAACCGATATTTTTCCTGTTAAGGAGTCTTCATTTTTCTATCAAGCTTATACATTTTTACAGTTCGAATATCAAAAAGATAAACTTCAGTCATTTTTTCTTCTCATTCACTTAATGTTAATAAAATTACTGTGTATTCATTTTCAAAACTTTAACTTTTTTTGACCAACAAAGGGTCATGTTTCTTATCTTGTTTGTTTTCTTGTCTAAAAATATTTTTAGCTTACCTGAGCAGTGAAAAGCTGTGACATCTAGGGAGTGTATGTAGTTGCTGCTGACATTTCCCACATCTTGCACTTCATGTCAAATACAGTATATCATTTAGGTGTGGCTGATTGTGTTCATTTAGACTAAATAATAAGTCATTTTGAACACAGAAAGGCTTCATCAAGGCATCCAACCCTCAACATGGCCAAACAGCAGCCCCCTTACCATAACATCTCATCAGGGTATGTTTATCGCATGATGTTCCGATAACAGTATAAAAGTCTCATTCCCCAACTCTGAGATGATAATAGTGGATGGTAAGTTTTTTTAGGCTCACTGTCTGTTGCTATTCTTTACAGAAATCATTGACCTGTTAATCATTTCTGGTTTTAATTATGCTGCTTTTTCACTTTTATAGTCGTGTGAAATGTTAAATGACTGTCCACATCTGGCCAAGTTTGTGTTTACACTCACGATACATTTAGACAGGGTGGAAGATGAAAAGGAAGGCATCTATCTGTGTTGTAGTAAACTTACGTGGATCAAGACTAACATTAAGATATAACAACAGATGACAGGTAATGTTTATATTATCAGGAGCTTGAAAGTAAATTTTATTTTAGGTCTAAAATCCACCAGTATTGTTATATTTTGACAACAGCTGACGCCAACTTCCTGTCCTTGAGCTACTGTTAGGTCAGGTATTACATTATCCTTCAAGGAATTTTGTATTAAGGTCTAAAGTTTGATCAGTATGATTTAAAGAGGACTAAAAATACTCTTTTTACTGGCTGAAGCTCTGATGCAGCTGCAATTATGACAACATACTGAACACCTTTCTGCAAACATTGAACAAAAACCAAACATTTGAGCCTTTTTACACGTGGAAATGTCTTTAAAGTTTGTGCAGTGAGAATGTGTGTGTACAAAGGAGGTTTGTAAATGTATGTGTGTGTCTCTAAGAATGAGGTTTTATTATGATTATCATTATTATTATCTGATTTATCAAATAACAACAATGTTCAGCTGGCTGTGAGTCAGTGTCTAAGGTCAGGGCTGATAAAGCAGGGTTTCTGTTTGTTCGACTGTGGGAAAAAAGGAACAGCCCTCCTCTCTCAGGATACCACCATTGTGCAATGTTGACACACACGAGCTCATGGGAACGAGCTGGCACAGAGGGTCACTTGGTGAAACAATGCTAATCTGTGCTCCAGTCTCAGTGGAAGTACAGGAAAGAATAAAAAATGGCTGTTTTCTTTGTGCAAAGTGGGAACTGGGTATTATGTTTGGAGTCCGCACAGATCCAACAGCATTCATAAAGGCCACACTAAAACTGATTTATTACATAAAAGAGGTCCAAGTCTTAGAAAACATTGTCAAAAAACAGCCTGTATAAATATCCATATATGCAGAGAGAATTTCATATCAAATGTGAATATATTACTAGCAGAGATATCAAAGCAGAGATAAACTTCAACAAACAGATCATACAAACTGTTAAAAAGTCATTATTCTAAAAGAAGAAGCACGTTGGTGTGTGATATGGTTCTATTACTGCCCTAACTTTATCATTTTAACTTTATCTGTACATTCACTACAGTATTTAAAGATGTTCCAAATTTAACCGACAATCATTAGTGTTGTTCCCACGCATACACACACACACACACACATGCACACACACTCAAAACAAATATAAACAGGTCACTGTCAGGACACACACACACACACACACACACACACACACACACACACACACACACACACACACACACACACACACACACACTCATACTCGGTCACTGTTATGAGCTTTGCCCTCCAGCTGGTGTTGAATCATAGACTTCAGAGCGCTGTACCTGCAGAGAAGGAAGAAAAACACACTCATGACCCTGACTTACATAATCACACTGTCAGAGGGTTATCACTCTTGAAGATAAATCACATATTAACCAAACAAGAAAAGCACAACCTGTGTGTTTAACAATCATCAACATGAAGCAATGATTCAGGTAAAAGCTGTGCCCCCTGTGGCCTTTAAAGGTACCGCAGGTGAGCAGTGAGCATACTTCACAGTAAAAAATTAAAGCTCCTGTGAAGAGTTTTTTCAACATGAAGGAAATCAACTAAAATTCCTATTTTTGTCTTTTTATTATATACAAAAGTAAACAAGACCATCAGTGAGAGGACTGATGGTTTTTTTTATTGTAATTCTTCATGCCTGAAAGTAGCGTGAGGGGATAGGTGTCGGCTGGGCACATGAAGAAACAGCTCTATTTTTACATAGTACTCATAAATTCGGTTACACTTTAAATAACTATAACTTATAAATGGTAAATAGACCATTCATAAATGGTAAGCAGATACTTTATTAATGTTTAATCATCATGTATAAACAGCATATAACCATCTAAGTAATGTTTATAGATGGTTTAAAGACAAATATTAACCATTAACAAAGTGCTACTGACACATTTTAATCTAGATGTTTTACAACCAATATTTAACCCCTGTATAAACCTTTAATAAATAGTCCATTGATAATTAATGAAAATTATTAATCATAATTTCATTGCTTGTTAATGGTAAAGTAACTATTAACTTACATTAATAAACTATCTATTTACCATTTCTAAATTATGGTTATTGTAAAGTGTTACGTAAAAGTAGATGATAAGCTAAGCGAAATGAGTTTTGTCTAAACAGGATGCTGAAGTTGGTAAAGATGAAAAGTTCCTAACAGGAGCTTTAATATCTTAATCTATCTTAATATCTCTAACTTTGTCAAAAATCCCACAGATATGTCATTTATCAAAATTATATATACTGTTGTTTTTTTTGTGGGATTAAATATAAAGAGCTGATAAACCTTTCGCTGTACTTTTAAGCATAGTTATTGATTTTTGAGTTCATAAAATTTCTTTGCAAATTCAACAACATAGAAAAAAACAAGGATATCATTTACAAGAAATCTGTGAATATTAAAAACAAACTGTTAAATGTCCATGCTCAAATGTGAACTGTAATCATGACAGACACAAATCAATGATGGATTTTCAGGCTTTCAGTGTCGGTCATGTGGTTAATAGGGTTAATCTTCTTGTAAACAGTAAGACGCAAATGTTTCATTCAGACCCTCTCCTCAGTCAAGGCCCTGATTTGACTTTGTGACACCAGCAGGAGACACGCATTTTGGTTTCACTTAATGAAATAGACATGTCACTAAGAACTGCTTTGTCAATAATTCTGTCTGCTGCGTAGAGAAACCCTTGACTCACTTTTTGGTTAGTTTGATTATCTCGCGCTCCTCTTCCTCTTTCAGTTTTTCCACAAAGCTGTCTAAAACGGGGATCTCGAACTTTATGTATTGAGCAACCTGGAACGAAAGAACATTGAAGAAAAGAGCATGAAAACCACAGACATCCTGGGTTATATAACCTCATCAGTGCATTACGATACAATCAAGACATGCTTAATATTTCATCATTTGCCCAAAAAATTAATTTCAACTCTAAAAATCCAAAACAAAACCTAACATAAAGGGAATGGGTAAGTTTACTGTAAGCTGGACATTGTAGCAACTCAAGCAGAGAAAAAACAAATCTCAAAATGAGCAAAAAGCAGATTGTTAAAATCAAAGTTTAAAATACCAAAAAAAACAACAACAATCTGTTTCCAGGAAGAGCTTTCCTTTTTTTCTGATAATCCACAGAACTTAATTTGCACTCAAATAAAGCACAATAATAAAGTCGCCCTAATTAAAAGAGCCTTAAGCAAAATCTTTGCTTAATCCAGAGAAACAGGGAGTTCATTTCCTGCAAAGAAACAATACTGATAATTAGTACAAACTTAATCTTTTAATACTCTAAATTACAGAATCAAACTGTGGGTCACCTCTATTATGTCGGTACAGAGTCAAATAAAAGCTGAATATTTTCAATTCTGGAAAAACAAAACCAAAACCAGGAAAAACAAACGGTTAAACAGAAATGGTTTTGTTCTAATTTGGATGCTTTGACCTTTCAACTCGATATTTATGAGCATGATAATAATCAAAAATGTCCTCCATCAACAATCAGCTTTATTTTTATCTCTCAGCCCAGTCACAACACACAGTGGTCCATGTAAATCTATTGTTACATCAGTCTGGAAACAGGATACCTTTCCTCTGCTTGCTAAATTTAACTCAACAGTTTGTCACTTTTCCATTGTGTCATTGTGTGTCTGTGTCGAACTCTGCACAAAAATATAAAAAGGGTCAGTGATCATGAGCAGATTGAGATAACAGAGGGAGGCGTGGCAGGAGGTCCTAACTCACATCATATGTGACTTCCTCTCCCAGGTCAGCCTCAGTGATTAAGATCTTTGAGATTTTCTCACAGGGTCCATAAAGCACACGGGCCACCAGCGGGTATTCGCCATCCTTCAGTCGGGTCCTCTCTGCAAGGTCAAAAACAAAGAGCAGGACTGACTGTGAATGTGCAGACATAAAAACAGAAGAAGCAATAATAAATCATTTTACTGCCTCCAGATTGAACAGGCAACAGATGATGAAAAATGTATGCAAAGTCAAAATAACGGTAACACTTTACTTGACGCCTATCTCTATAACGCATTATAAATATATGTCTAATGCATTATAATCACGTTATAGTACTGTATAACTTTAGTTATAAACACTCATAAATGATCATCATGCTTTATAGCAATAATCATAACACATTATAACAATGACAATGCCCACATAGATAATGCATTATACATTTATTTATGATGTGTTATAATTTGCTTATAAACTTGTATAACTATCATTATAAACACTCATTAATTATCATAATGCTTTATAACAATAAGCATAACACATTATAATACCTGACCTTGTAAGTCATGATAAAATGCTTTTTAATGTGTTATGATTATTGCTATAGAGCATTATGATCATTTATGAGTGTTTATAACTATAGTTATACGGTGCTATAACATGACTATAGCGCATTATAGAGATAGGCGTCAAGTAAAGTGTTACCGAAATAACATTTTATTGGTAGCTACAGTGAGATATTAGCTATAAGCAGTGTGACTTTTGAAGAAATTTGAGCTTTTCCTCCTCAAATTGGACTTCAGAGGAAAACAGGATACATGTGAACTTACCCCCTGACTCGTGCACCATATAAAGAACAAATTCTTCTGGTTTATTTTCCACCTTAAAGACAAGAATTCAGATTATTTTTAGTCTTACACTTCCTTGAAAATTCACCAGAAGAAGACGTGTGTTTATTTCATACCCTAAACTTGTGTAGCAGCAGGTTGAGAACTTGCACAGTTGTCATGGAACTGTTTACTCGAACGTTAGTGACCGAACCATAGGCGGGGGTAAAAACAGACGTCTGGGGAAACACAAAAACACAGAAATGAAAGGAACAAAGAGATCTTTACTTCACCTGAACTACTGAGGTATTCCTGGATATGAACACTGTGGACATTTTGAACCCGGAAAATCAAGTTTAAAAAGGAAATCCCTCAATCTGCAGCTGGCACTTCAATAACAACAATACACACACTCTCTCCCATTCACACACACATTGTAACAAAGACGAGCTAATGAAGGAACTCAGTCGCACATTAATGTAATCAGCTCACAGCAGGCCATTAGGAAACTCAGCATGAGCACAGAAACACCCGAACAGGAAACCTCTGCTGCTCTGCACCTGGACATCAGTCAGCGACAGGATACAATCAGGAGTGAGCTTCTACATCTGCTCATTTGTACCTTGTGGTTGTAAAAGTGTCCGTTGATGGAGAACCTGTGTGTGCGGAGGCGGTGCAGGTCTCTGGCGGTGTGTGTGTTTGACCTCCTCTGGACACGCATGAAGGAAGCATCACTTCTGGTCCGCAGCAGCTGAGGAGAGTCCTCTTCCTCTGGTGTGACCACCGCGTCACCACCTCAGAGACACATGACAACAAAAGTACACTTTGTTTACCTGGTACAGATGGTGTCTGAAACGTACAGGTACTTTCTGGGTTGAGTTTGTGCGACTGTATATAAGAAGGTGGACGTTTCCACTGTGACCTTCAGCTGAAACCTTGTGTTTGGCTTTTGGACCGTTGCTGTGAAGTAGTTTGACTGGTTATTAAACAGACTGAAAATAGCAGTGAGGTTTTTATGATCTAAAAAGTTTAATGGTTTCTAAATGGTTATCATGATGCCTGGAAGCTTTGCAAGGGTGGAGCTGTCAGATGAGGTGGTTTACAACAAAAACACTTAAACTTTTGCACAGCAGATATTCACGATCAGATGGGCTACTGAAATATAATGTTGTTTCAATAAGAATACAGACATTATCTGAAGGGTAAAATAAACAGAACAGAAAATGTTTCATGTTTTTTTTCCAGTGAGATGACTGACATCAAAATTTTTATACAAATAAAAAAATCTGGACAGTCTCGTATAAGAGGTTTCTGATATTTTAATCTAGATAAGAAAACTTTAAAATCAAACTATGCTAAATACTTTTTGTATTATTAGAAGTTTTATGAGCAATTATAGTTTTACATGATTACTTCTTTACTCAAACTCTAAAATATTCATAAACTTTTAGATACATTTTTTATTCGTCTAGTTATTGTGTTTCTTTTTCTAAAACAATGGATAAACTAGATGGAAAACTCAGATCTGTCACCACTTCCTACTTTATTTAACTTTATTTTAATATTCACACACAGTGTCATTAGAGAAGTCAAACTGAGAAGAACAGGTAAGAACATTACTGAAATTGTGACCTTGATGGCTCAGCACTTCCATTAAAAATCTTCAATCCTCTTAGGCAGCATTTAGATCTACACGTGACTTAAGTGAAACCCAGACCCGCGTCCTTGGTCACAACACAACGGTCATATTTCTTCATTTGTTTACCTGTGGTTAAGGAAAACCCCAGCAGCACGTCAACAGTGAAGGAAAAAACTTGGAAAGATGAAAATCTCTGTGACTCAAACTATTTATAGTCTTGGTGATCAGATCGAGATGGCCTTCCTGTAGTCTACGCTCCGCACGTGAGGAAACCTTTCCACTGGACATGCTGAATGAAGCACTTTTGGCACTGTAATCTGTTTTAGCGCACGTGTGTCTGTGTGTGTGTGCGTACAGTAATCCGGATTAATCTAGCAGATGTGTTTGTGTGAGAGAATGACTCCACGTGTCGGCGACTTACAAGCTGATCCAATTTCACCGCCGACGGAGTTATTGTTCGACTCCTCTGATAACTGCTTTGCTGGTGAGGATCTGTCGTTCCTGTAGAAGGAGAGAGGGACGTTTGTTTCCGTCAGCTCTTTACGTTCTACACAATCCTTAAACTTCAGCAGGGAACTAAGAATGAAGCCTAAAAATGTCATGTCATGTCACAAAATGTATTTTCTTTAAGCGTAAAGCTGGAGTTGGGCTGCAGTATATTCTCGATTATCACCAAGACCAACAATCATTCATGAGCGATTTGTTTATTTTCTTGAATTATACATACATTTTTTTGACAGTTAATGTCAGTAAATAGTAAATGTGATATGCTTAAAATCCTTGTTGTCAATTATTTTCTTATTTTATTGTTCAGAATTGGAAGCCAAAATCTGACCTTTCAACCAGGCGATATGTGAGGCCTGTTTTTGGATCCCTCTTAGGTTCAGATGGGTTACTTCCCAGTCTGTTATAGGAAATAATTATGCATAATAAAGGCATTTTTATAAAAATTAAGATTCCTGCTCCTCATGGGGAATGTAGAGCAAAGGTCACGAAACAGACAAATAATCACGCAAAGGTCCATGAATTATTTCAACACTGAAAAAGGATCCTAATGTTGGAACTAACCCTGCAGTTTATCGATTAAATCAGATTGATTTAAGGGTCCAGGTAGATTTTACAGTGGGTGAAGTTGAAATTTAAGAGTTTTGATTTGATTTGATTTGATTTGAAATCCATGAGTCAGCTTGGATCGGTTTTCTCGTACCGGTTGAGGCGAAATCTTTCGTTGTCGTCGTACATCTGAAGTCTGATTGGTCTACGAAGACCCCAGTAGATGTTCAGTAACCCCTCAAGAATGAGCTCGCCATTTTCCTAGACACACACACACATAGAGAAACACACACGTATAACAATAATTATCTGAACTGGTGGTCAGAGAGGATATCCTGCTGGCCGTACGCCACAGAGGCTCAGTATCAGGTGTACGTGCAGAGAGAGTCGCTCACAGCTACAGGGCGAAGCCTCCCGCCTCGGACAGACCTTGTCAGGTCGGACCCTCCCTTTTTCACGCTGGAGCTGAGTGAAGTCATGTCTGAGAAGTCAGCAATAATGAGGACAGAGTAACTGCCGCAGGTCACGTACACACGGCGGGGAGACTTTTGATTTCATCAAAGTGAAACTCTAAATTTAGAAGAAAACGTACTAAGTATAGAGAAAACTGTGTCAGATGGACAAAAATGGCCTTTAAATACCTGAAAAGAAAGGAAGTTAAACAGGTTGACAAATTTTTTTGTAAATGTATCCCAACAAAGTTAATATTCAGGCAAACGTTTCTCATAAACTCTGACTGTTAATTGCAGAATGATCCGAAGCAAATCACTTTCCAAAACAACATCTTGTTATATCTCTGTATCTCATGAGGAACCTTAAAATACAATACGGATCTTTGAGGACGGTTTTCTGCTAATGAAGTGTCCAAATATTTATATGTCACAGAGATTCAGAGCAGAGTTCAATAAGAAACAGATCATTATGAAGATCTTAATCTCAGTGTTTGGACTGATCATCTGACAAGCTGCATGATAAACATGATGGAGGTTGACCTGGAGCAGTTTGGATTGAACAATTTAGTGTAAAACCTCCATGTAGACTAATAAATTCATACAAATGTGTATTTTAAAAGAACTCTTAAGTGCTAATGGTGGAATGATAGAGTAAATGATGCTTTTTTGTACTTTTTAGCAAAGACTTCACCGTATGAAGGTGTAAGAGCAAACAAATAATGACTCTTCAGAGGAGTTTGTCGATCCTGGACAACAAGATTTGAGGAGAAGAAAAAGAAATACTTGATGAAATTTAGTTTCTTCCCTGTTATTGAACATGCAACACACACACACACACCACATTACACACACACACACAAAAAAAAAAAAACGAACTGACACCTCTCCTGCTGCCATCCAGAGTTTAATCGACTTTGTCTGTCGTTAGATACAGTTAAATATGCCTCTTCTTTATCTTTTAAAAGTTGTTTTTCAAGCAGTTTTACTCCGAAATGATTAAATAAAGAAACGTATAAGGCTACAATATACTAAAGAATCTACATTATTGTACAGGACTTCAGTAAACTTATTTTGCAAGTTAGTGCACATGTGTTGTGCACCGCTGCACCTGCACTTAATCTATGAAATTAATGTGAAAAACTACTTTTCCTTCTTATTGATACTGTCACATTGTTTTTCTTTATGTGACATCCGTCTTACAGGTAATGTACTGGTGACAGGACAACATAAATAACTTAATTCATAATTGTCCAGTCAGATGAGGCTGATATCTGTGTTGATGTGATGATGGTGGCGTGACGCTTAATTCCAAGTTTAAGTTGAGCTAATTCAACTTAAGTATCTTATTGTGAAGTAATTTGTTGTTCTCCATAAACAAAAGCGTCAGAGTAACACGGTTGTTTAATGTAATGGGTATCATTTGTCCACAGGGGGCGCCAAAGTTGACTCAAATAAAAAGTTACTTACAGGAGCTTTAAAACACAGATTCCCAAAGATGTTTACCAAAGTATCTGTAGAAAGACGCTGACTTTACTCAACCTCTGATGCTCAAAGGTGAATAAACATGAATTATTTGTTAAGTAAATGTCTGAGGTAGATTCCTGTAAATGGAAAAATAGAAGAAAAACTGTGAGCATATAATTTCCAGTAACGACTAAAGTAACTTAAGTCAAAGCTATAAAACTGTTTTTTTCCAAAAGTGACGGAAACTGATAAAAAATGGAGAAATTCAGATCATACTAGAAATGATGTAAGAAATTTAAGGCCTCCTGCTGACGGAGCATGTGATACCTGAGGACTTTCTCACACACTCTACACTGAAGCAGATTAGACGAGGTTTTCTAAATTTGTGTGTTTTATTGCTTCTTTTTAGAACATCATGTTTATACTGTTAGTTCATGCTGCTGTAAGCCTGTGATTGCATGCCTTTTATTTAGTGGCTGTAATTACGTTTATGAGGATAACCTTTAGCTGACAAATTTATTACTTTATGCTTTTAATTTCAAAATCACAGCCGTACAGAAATGTGTTTGCTCAACAGCTACGGTACAAGAAGTAGAAATTATCTTGAGAGTTTAGTCAACAAAGATAATTTTAATACTTATATGTATAAAAGAAGAACTCAACTTTGAGAAACATTTCCATAGCAATAATATTTTCCATGAAACATCAGCGATTGAGGAGCAGAGAGTGGAAACTTGTCAGGACTGAGAGCTCTCAGGGCTTCATTGTTTCAGGAATATAAACAGAGAGTGCAGCTGCACCGCTCAACCTTTCCAACCCACCACCCCTCAGCTTCCTGAGCACACCCTCACACACACACAAGAACACACACACACACACACACACACACACACACACACACACACACACACACACACATTTGTTCAGATGTGAGTAAGGTCAGCAGAGTTATTTTTGGAAGTAGCAGCTAATCGCTCTGCTCCAGGCTGCCTCTATAAAGCCTGGACTCAGACTCTGGATCAGACAGACTCTGCTGAACGGACGCTGACACACCACGCCAAACTACAACACACTTTCACTCTGCGTGTGTCAAACATACAACCGCGCCATCAAAGGTGAGACTTCTTCTTCTTCTTCACGCATGTGTTTTTATCGACAGCTATCACACAGCTATTTAGTTTTTTTAAAAGTTTATTTTATCTATCAGAAGCATGTTGACTTTTTAAATATCAGCGAGAGATGGAAAATGAAAAGTAGATTTTGGACGGCAGCTCTGACACTGTCTCTCAACTGTTATTCAAGTTACAAAATCATGGAATTACAAATGTCAGTTAAATTACAAGTTTTCTTAACAGTAAGTGCAGAAAAAATGACAGTGGCAGGTTTTATTTCATATCTTTCTTTTAATGTTTTCAGATATTTTACTTTTATATAATTATTAAAATTTAAAGTTTTGCAGCTTAAACTTAATTTTTTCTGCATTCATTCATCAGATCACATTTAAAAAATAAGAAAATTTGTCAAATTGAAGATTCGAAACATGAACCAACATCGTTTTCAGTGAAACAGGATCTAACTGTTAATTTTTTTCCTCTCCCTGCAGAATGAAACATAGACGTCTGCTTCTCTCGCTGCCTCTCTTGCCCACCATCACCGAGACCCTCGAGGACTTGCCTGCTCACCCCTCCTCCTCCTCCTCTCAGTCCTCCCAGAGCTCCCAGTCTCTGGAGGACTACATGACCAGCATCCAGGCTCTCGCCTGCCCCGTGGAGCCCCCCAGCTGCGGCCCCGTCAGGCTCCAGCGGTCCCCCCGGCTGAGGAACCTCTCTAAGGCTCAGATGAAGCTGTCTGGGTCAGGCTCGATTCCCCGCGGGTCTCCTCGCACCCTGAGGACTTCAAGACTTTACGGTCTGAGTCTGAACAGCTCTGAGGAGTTTTCTCTAAAGATGAGCAGAGAAAAGGACTGCAGGGGCAAAGACCCTGTGGACTGGCTGTTTGGACAGATAAGGACTTAAAGAGGGGCCTGAGGGCCTCTGTGGTGGACTTTGTTTTTTATGATAATAATACACAGTTGGAGGAGCCGACCCACTTTGAGAGGATGGAAACAACACAGTGCATTCTGGGACTTAAGATGATGATGGCTCGAGGGAAAAGTGAAGATCTATTTATATTCTTTTGTTTGCACTGGAGACTACAAGTCTACATGTTTACATACTTTTCTATTTTATGATGTAAATTATGTAGTTTTTAATAAAACAAGAAAAAATAATCACAAAAATGTCTGAACGCTTCTGTCTCTGTAATCACTCTGCTGAAAAAGGAGTCAGCGCACCTTCAATCCTGCTGAAAACGGATCTATAAACTAAAGCTGGAACATGTCAAATTATTTATTCAGTTGTTAAAAAAAGTTTTATCCCTCCAGTTACCCAGTTTAGAAATTTTGCTCATTTTTTGTCCACAAAGTCTTTTTGTTGGTTTTAGATGATCGTCAGACTAAACACACAAACTTAGACTTAAACTAAACTTTATTCATCCCTTGGGATGACTCCCGCAGGAAATTCAGTACAGTCGACAGAGCTGGAATAGAAAAGATTAAATAAAATCAAACACTGTGGAAATTTAACTTTTCACTAATTTAATACTTATTTTATTTATGATACCGTGTTCTTTAGCTCTTTCACATTTCAGATCAAAATAACACAACTTTTTACTCCCTGTAATTATATAAACATTAGTCTTCAGGCCTTTGTTGGCGTGCTAACCTTTTATAAGTCACTTTTTAGAGATTAATAAGTTCAGTGACTCGTGTATCTGAATGCCACTTTGAGTTTCCTAGAGCTTAACAGTATTTCAAGAGGGTCATGTTGACAACCACCAGAGGGAGATGTTACACTTATTCTGTTTGATAATCAGATATTAGTCAAACATATTATTGGTCTAACGACTCGTTTTTCATAGCTGCTACATTACGCCAACATCAAATTGTTGTTTTTTATTTTTTGCAATTAGAAAACACAACAATTAAACAACACAACCAAAAGAGGAAAAGGTTGCTGAAGATGAATGAAAATGTTTTTAAATTAGTATAGATAGAAAATTATTTTTGCTCAATCATATTTTTCCACAAAGGTAATTTTGATCTCTGTTCGGCCGTCTTCAATTAACACAAAAGAAACAAAAATCCAACATGAGTTACATGATTGAAATTAAAGGAAGTCATGTTTTAATCTATAATTTCATGCACAGTAAAATCAAATACTCCTGGTCAACCAGTAATATGTTTAGAATAAATTTACAATAATTAAAAAAAACAAAAAAACATTGTGGGCTTATCGGCTGACGCAGATTATGAAAAATTCTGTCAATCAGCCCGATTAATCGGTCCATCTCTGTAACTTATTATCAAAAGTGAATCCAAAACACTCTTCAATGAAGTACTAAAAACTTAAATTCAAGATGTCAAAATGTAAAAACAGCTTTTTCTTTTGCCACTTTGCAGACACCTCCAGGTTCAGGCATTAAAAACCATACCATGTTTTTGTTTGCTTTTATAGATCATAAAAACACATCAAAATGAACCTCAGTCTACTTCTCAACGTCAAAAAAAAACTCTTTACAGGAGCTTTAAATAAACTTCATGAACTACTCTTAAACAGAAAACTACCACAACAATGAAAAACGATTTTTAAATGACCTTCTTTGGTTGACTCAAACAAAAAGCGACCGTTCAATGAACTCAAGACCCGTCATAACAATTCAGTGAATTATAAATAAACAGGCCTTCTACTCTCTGTTTTACTTAAATCTTCATTTTGACAAGATAAGCAAAGTGACAAGGAGTCATAATCTCAATACAGGTCTAGTCAAGACAACATCAGCCAAACAAACACACTGTTAAAGATCACAGGAACAAAAGCCTACTAACAAACTACGCATAATGGAATATAAGACTCTAAAAGCTTTAAACGGGACTCAGATATTTACAATATAAAGAAATTAACTCCTAAACTGTGTGTTTGTAAAAGGACAGTTTTCAGACCTGAGCTGCAAATCTCCAAAAACAAACCACGTACTGTACTGACCTCTTGTGGAGAAAAAAGGGGCTATAATGTTTTTAAATAAAAAAGTACCAGATACAGACACTAGAGGGGGCTGTATTTACATGTCTTATACTTTTTAGATAAAGGTAAAAGCAGGAGAATACATTTGACCTCCTACCAGCATCATGATCATCATGTTTGTGGGTTTTTACTTTGGAAAAGGAAAGCAGAAAGCACCTCCTCTACCTGTTATGATTTAATATTAAGCTAACGTTCATGTCAGGGCATGTTACCTCCTCAAATATTTGAAGATAATTTACCGTAGATGGCGCTGAACCACAAAGCACCTGACACATCCTCCCACGCGATGACTAACACGAATCACCTGACTCCACCTGCAAAGCATGACCATGATGTCAATATGATAAAAACACCTTCAGATCCTGTACCCTTCTCCACCTGTCTCTGTGAGGCACTTCATGTAAACAGATCACAGCTAAATGATGAAAACACTCCGACATGTTGGTGACTTAAGAAAACACTAAAGCTCTGTCTGAAATAATGACACTCCAGATTCATTTGTTTACACCCTTGGTGTCATAAGATGTCACTCCCCACTCCCACTTTTGGTTTCCTTCTTTACCCATTTTCCATTCCCCTCTGAATAACAGTTTTAAAGCCCCAAAATCAACCTAAATATGTACTGCACTGTTAACTGTAACACAGAGTGACTAAACTTTGTAAACTTTTAATGATAGTTTCCTGACTGGTTTTAATGTTATCCACTGTTGCGTCACTTTATGTGCTCTTACATCCCAAAACTGAAGATACTATTAAACAGTTTTGCTCCTTTACTGTGTTAATCCGTGTTTCTCTGTGTAAAACAATACTTCATCTGAAAACATGTTTTTACCAATCCTGCTCTAGAATCAGTCATGAGTGTAAACATAACATAAAGCTCCTTTCTAGGTGAACATCGACACAGCTTTTGAAATTCAGTATGCAGAAAATGATAATCTGGTTGCTGGTAATGAAAGCAGCTCACTGTCAGTTTGGCTACGTCACCTCTTAGTTTGTGTCACTCGTGCCTCTGACGGATTATTTTTCGTGCAAATATGGGAAAATTCTCAGGCTTCCTCAGCCGTTAATCACACTGTTAACCTGCCTTAAAAGTCTCTGCACTAGGTCTTGCGGTAAGTAAAATTTTAGTCATTTACTGACACAGCTGCGTATATTACCTCATTTGGTGGAAATCATGCAAACAAACTGGATGATTCATGAGCTGATTAATTACTATACATGCTGACTGTTTGTCTTTAGTAACATACCTCCAGCCACTCCTCAAATAATGCTTTGAAAACCAGTCTACATATGGTGCTCTCGCAGATAAAGTCAGTTTCTGTACTTCATTCCTTGTTTTTGGTTATAAGAGGTCTTTTTAATAATTGTTTCATGTAATAATTGAATAAAAGTTGTGGCTTTAATGTGTTTTTTTAAGTTGGAGTAATGCAGTGTTTAACTAGCTTATTAGCCACCTCTGAAATAGCCGCTGGCACTGAGTGTTGGGCTGTGAAAATAGGTCATTTCCCAACCATTACCATATGGTCAGTTCTGGCTGGATCTCCAAAACAGCGGCAGTCAAAATGCCAAACTGAAGGCTTCAAAAAGGTAGTCAAAGCCAAAACAAAACGTCACAGTGACTCCGTTTATTATTTACACAGATGTAGGATACGACCACAGCAGAGCTGAGTCTGGAAATGTTCAGGTCTGCAGCTTGTTTTCATCAACAGTCACTCATACAGTCACTGTTTTTTCAAGAAATTCCCATTAGGAGTTTCCAGTAGTTGATCTGAGGCCAGATACCATCTGAGGAATGTCACTGCTTTGACCCTTAAACCCACAAATATCTGATGAATCACTCTTTACTGAGAGTCAAGAGGCTCTCCAACCAATTCAGCCCCAACATGAGTCATAGTCTGACCTACAAACGTGAGTACAGTTATCACAATGCCATCGCAATTTATTTTGACGGAGAACTTTTTATAAAACACCAACAAATAAAAATAATACGGTGAGTTGGAGGCTGATTTGGAGGCTGCACACTTGTGAGAGAGAGCTTTTTATGCATCGTGTTATTGTTTTTGTGAGTAATTGAGGTTATACTTCATTCTTGGAGTTAGAAAAACAAGCTGACAAACGCGTCAACATGAAGTCTATTATTATATTTACAGTGGCGCACACAACAGCTGGATTTAAAAGACGGATGGTGCATCTTTACTTTATCATGTTTAACAACGTTATAGCCGTTGCAACTTAAGCTGACGAGTTACACTTGTGACATTTTTAAAGCAGGAGTATTAACATCCTGCTCCTGCTGCAAACTTAAACAGACTCTTAATTACAGAGATCTTCAAGGTCGGTACGGTCTACAGAAGACCGGGTTCAAGTGTGGGTATGAAACACACAGTCAAGTTACACTAATCCAAAGCAAACTGCACTGAGAGTTGATGCATGGAGTAAAATGTTGATAACAGGATTTGAAGGATTGAAAACCATTTAAAGTCTGAATTTAATTGAAAATAGTGCAAAGATGATAAATTCAGTGTTGAAACTGAAAGTGTTATTAGGAAACTGTGCTGCCCAATATGATTAAATAAGATTCAGAGAGTTTGAAGACACCTCTGCATAAAAGAGACAAGGTCCTAAACCAGTACTGTGCGAGCACAGCTATCTTTAGGCCGTCTGGCAGAACGGCATTAAAAGCAGTTATGACTCTGAAGTGGAAATCATCGCATGGGCTCAAAATCACTCCCAAAAATCTGTCTGTACATACAGTTTGCTGCTGAATCCACAAATGAAGGGGTGTACCAGGTAACGAACATCATTCAGAAATGATGAGACTATGTAATTGAACCTACCAGCTGAAAATATTTGCATCAGGAACAAAAAATACTACAAATGAGACCATGAACCGTTGAGCAGGAACCTGTAACAGGTAAGAGTGAGTGAACATTTCACTTTCATTACTCCAGAAACAGGTCTACTCGGTTCACTGACATCGACAGAGTTCAGAGAAGAGCTGATGCAACACAATGGTAAACAGATCCCTGCTGTTCTGAAACATGCTGCTGGCATTGGACTCATAAAAAGCACTATTTTAAATATATAAATACAAACTTTTTTAGTTTCAAGATTTGATGTGCTGTCTTGATGTGCTGGCCCTCTCTAATTTGATCAGATTTTGTGTCTGATATTCGTGTCTAGTGCCTCCTCCTGTTGCCCCCAAATACCAAAAGCAGGAATCATCAGTTTGCCACAGACATGAATCACAACTCCCAGGTTCCTGACTCCTCCAGACACACAATAACTTCATTGGACCCCTTTCATTTCCTCACACAAAACCCCCTTTTATCCCACCCTACCCCAGCCTCACATCGCCCCACACGCACGTTCCTCATTCGACCCTTTCTGAACCACCTTGCCAATCCAAATAAACTCCTCTTCACACTCTACAATGGTTTGGTTTAGAGAGAAAACTGCTCTTGGATGAACTTTCCACTGAGTTTGTTTGGAGGCATCTGCTTCTGGGGTCAAAAATGATTTAAAAAAAAGATTCGTATAGCTTCAGAGTGCCCTTAACTCTAATTTTTTCTCTTTCAAAAGACAATTGTTCATGGACTTTTGCCTGACTGTGGTGTAGTCGCTGCTCAACTGTACTTACATCACAACTGTGGTGCAATACGGTGCAACGGGACTAAGTGGGAGGAGATAAAACCTTGAAAAAAGATAGTAAAGCAACAAATGCTGAGACCTGACTGACTGGTGGATCATGACAAAAGGTTCTCCTGTAAAGTTTCCTCTTGGCTAAGGTTACATCTGTGCTTAAATACAAACCACAAAACTTGAAGTCTTTATGAATAAACTGTAAAAACAAGACTGCACCCTCACTCCGGTTTCAGGCATCAAAAATGACACGATGCAAATTGTTTCTCTTCTTGGTGATGGTCCTGTTTGCTTTTGGTTACCATGAAATACTTCTTTTTTATAAATGTCAAAAAACTCCTCATGGGAGCAACGATTATGATCCAACATCAAAGTCTCAGATAATCTGTTGCAGGACAACATGTTAAGTCGTTTGCTTGATTCAGATTCACTTACCATATATCAGTTTATGCGTTTATATTTTCAGGGGTGCTGCTGAGAGTTTTGTGCATCAGAAATATCATTACCACCTCATTTCTGCTGGTTTTCTCATTTTTTCAGACCTCTCAGTCGTGGGCTTTGATGGTCCTGACATTTCTCCGCTATATGGCGTCCTTTCAGTTTTTCTACTGTTGCCTTTTTTTTTTCTTCACTTCTAGTCAATATTTTGATGTCACTGATTCCCCCTCTTCACTTGTGTATGTTGCATGTGCCTGTATCATGTCTGCGGCTTTGTGGGAGTTTCCCAGTGTGCAACCATGTAGTGCGTCTGTCTGTTGGGACAAAAGAGACATACCGTATCATACCCACCCTGACACACACACACACACCCTTACACACACACATACTCACACAGACAATGTAAAAAACCTGCTGGTGAACACAAAGGGGAACTCCAGACCATAAAAGCCATAGAATGACCATCAAACAAATATCCAAACTCCTGCAAACAGCAGCACAGAAACCCCACAGCAGCAAAATGCTAACTGTGGAAATACTTTGCTAAGCGGTTAGTGGATGTGAGAAAAACCTTCCCTCCGTTATTCCAGTTTCATTTTGAGGGAACAGGGGGCTTTTTGTGGTTTGCCAGCCTCTTGGCATGCTGGAAAAGATCCAAAGACTTTGCAGGTCTGCAGCCGCACTCACAGCTTGTTTGGTCACGGTGCTGGTCTAACTGGTTCCAGTTATGGTATGTATGTGACCCATTTTACAACGCTGCATGTCCTGCAAACCAACACGCCTACACACACACACACACACACACACACACTATAGAGGCAATTAAGGATGACTCTCCCTGTTTTTCTGTGATTATTTCCGCCGGCTCGGTCAGCCGTCAGGTGATCATATCTGCATCTGATCTGTTTTTACCTCAAAAGTCCTCAGCTGGAAGTTCTTCCCTTCTTGGTAACAGTTGTAGGTCCTCAGCAGCGACAGGATGTCGGACCTGAATGTGAGCACAAGACCACAAAGAGAAGATTAGCGCTTACAGCTCTGAAACAGGGCGAACAAGAATGACATTTAATACATTTAATGCTTTGTTTGAACACTGTGCATCGAGGACTCACTTTGGTATGAGTTTCTCCTCGCTGAGCTTCACGTAGGTTTGACGCTCATCCATTCTGAGTCGAGTAAAGCTGTGGCAAACGGAAAGAAGAGGAAAACTTTATTCAACGTATAAAGATACTGTGTTCAGTCTGAATGTACATTTAGTTTATGTAACATTCATCATTACAAGATGGAAATTTGTTTGGGAAAGCACATAACAAAAAGTGATATGCATATTTTAATATCATATGATTTACTTTTGGATGTTTTCCTGTCTCATTAATTGACTGCTGTTGAATAATATGATCCTGTGGAAAAATCAGGGATGAGTTATGATGAGAAGTCACATGCTGTTGTTGACACGGAGCCAAACGGACCGATCGAGGTAACATGTTGTGGCAAAGCTCCTCACACACCGCTCAGCTTTGTTCATATAACACCTCAGCGCTGAGTGTTTCACATATGAACTAATGTGGAAAATTCAAGACTAAAGATATATTTACCAACGAGTAATGATATCATGAACACCTGAGCAATCTAAAGCAACCCAATACAACAACAACTCTCCCTTAAATTCTACTTTTCAGGTGGCTCTTCAGATTAATTGTTGAAGTTGTCGTGCGTTAAAACAAAAAGTATTCCTGTGTTTTGCTCCCATTGGGTTTGTGAATGCAGAGGACAAAAAAGTAAAGGTACAACTCTCAATAAAACACAATCTAGTGCACCACCATCACCTGCTACGTCTTCAATAAAAAACATAAAAATCACTGTCAACAAAAACTAAAAAAAGTAGAAGCTTCCTGATGGTAGAGATTGAATTGCATCAAATGGCTCTGGTGTTTATAATGTTATGGCTGGTTGATGTAGACAATAAAAAACAACATAAGAAGTCAATAAAAACCAGAGACAAGAAAGTCAATAAAGCTCTTGGAGGAGCTTTTGATTTTTGCTGACGATTATCTTGTTTCTTATTTTGCCTGATCCAGATCCGTGTTTGGTCCGTCTCCGCTCCGGTTCAGCTTCCTCATCTGTCTGCGTTTTTATTGCACAGCAGAGCAGCTGGAGTCACGAGACCGAGGATTTTCCACATTCGATACAGAATCAATAATTTTCCACCTCCGTAATGAGCGCTAAAGACCTCTGACCTTTTGACCCCTGCCTGGCTCTGCTCACTGTGGCATTTTTTTTCAGTGTAGTAAAGTAAAATACGATCTGACATCAACACAAAGTATTTTATTTTGAAATTTAACGGGGTGTTTTAATATTTTGTTGCCTGACTTCTTGTCTTCCCTGATGCGCTCTGTGCTCTGGGATCCAGATGTCGGAGCAGGAATGTGACAGAGGAGTCAGTGGAAGCTGCCATGTTGATTTTAATGTAAACCTATAAGGTCTGCATCTGTAGCAGAGATAAAATGAGCTCAATAAGGTTCTGGCAGAACTTGGCAAGGACTGTTTTTTTTAACAACTAAAATGATCTCTTATTGTGAATTTTAGCTTCTGTTAATTCCTTTTTCCATTATCAGAATGATTTAAAGCTCTAGTGAGGAGCTTTTTGTTAGTAATAAAACAGACTGAAATAAAGATGTCTCTTTATGACCTATATAAAACAAAGTAGAGCATCAGTGATAAAACAGATGACCTCAATGTAAGTATTTTTAAAGCTCTGAACAGTCGCTGCAGGGTAGGTGTCAGGACAGCTTAAAGTGCCTTTTTACACTTTCTGTGACAAAGATACTAAGTGAGTGATTTATTTGAAAGCAAGGAGACCGTTTTTGCTTCAAAGGATGGTTAACGATTGTAGAGATTGGTAATTATGATGAACCTTGTTTCTATGGCGATCATGGTCTTAGAGGCTTTTTTCAAATCTGACTCAATGGCTCAGTTTTGGCTCTCAGATCGTCAACCATGCCGTGAAAACATCACAGACACATGAATTGGTCAGAAGGGGTGGAGAGACACTGCTTTGTCCACAGGGGGGCGCCTGAACTTACGAAAACCAAAACTTCCTGACAGGAGCTTTAAGTGATAGTTAGAACAATATGGAAATAATTCATCGTTGATTTTGTCGGTCACAGTTCAGTCTCTTTTATAAACAGCTAAAATCGCTTTACTGGAGCTTTAAACATCGGATATAAAAATAATGAGGTAAAACTGTGATTAAACTTCTGGCTCAGGGGATGAAATTTCTCAGAGTGAAAAACTGAAGTCTTTCATTTTCACGCATCACTGAGAAAGAATTCAGGGAAACACTTCTGTTTCATCTAAGGATCACTCCTGCTACTGTGGTCGTCTTCTTTTAGACAGTTTGCATCATCCTAATAAAAAGAAACATGACTAATTCAGTCTTTCTGAGGAAAAAACAACCAAACGTCATCCTCAGGTTCTTATCTGCATGATCCACAGCAAACCAGAACGGAAACCTTTCTATAACTGCTGTGTCCTTCTGGGTGTCAGGTCCTTTCCTGACAAACCGGGAGTAAAGGGGTCCTTGATCCCTTCAGCCTGAGTCCTGTCCCCCTGATATTCTCCAAATGAAAGTGCTGTGGGGATTTCCTGGTGGGAAAGCACAGGCTGACAGGAGAAGGAGGGGGAGGAGCCGTAAGTATAAAGGAGCGAACATGTGGCTGAGGGGCTCAGTGTGAACAGCAGCAGTCCTCTCCACAATGAATCTTCATCTCCAGTCAGTGTGTCAGCTCGCTTTTCTGAGCCTCTGCTGTGTGCTCATCTCAGGTAAGAACCCCTGGATTATCCTCAACTTCAACGAGTGATTTTAAACCTCATATAGACTCAAATACAGCTCATAAAAAAGCAGGAAAAGTCATGATTTTGTACAAAAACACGAAGGGAAAAGTGACAGAAACCTAAGAGAGGATTAGAGGTAACAAAAAATCATAACTGAGCTAAGCTTGTTGGAGAATTTCTGTTTGATGCCTCAGGAGCAGGTTTTGTTGTTTGAGCATGTGAACCCTCAGTGACTAAATCTCTGCTCGTGTTGAGTTAACCTGTTAATCCTGTTACTGTGTCTGTGTTTGTGTGTCTGCGCAGTGAGACAGTCAGACAGCACGTTCGTCCCGGGAAGATGTCTGTGTCCATCGACACAAAACGGCGTCAGAGGGCAGCTGAAAGAGCTCATCGTGCACCAAAAGAGTGCCAGCTGCAATAAAATCACAGTGATGTGAGTAGCAGAGCCTGCACACAAACACACCAGATCTACACACACATGTATAGAGGAGTGTGAGTTAACTCAATGGATTGCACGTGTTTTTTTTTTTTCAGAGTGACTCTGAAGAGCAACAACGAACTGAGGTGTCTGAATCCAGACTCTCCGCTGGGTAAACAGCTGATCCGCTGCTGGAACAGGTAAGAGCACTGATCAATAAAACTGTTAATGATTATTGAGAGCTTTTAGAGTAACTGAATGCTCAAAAAACTTCCTCTTTGGTGAGTTTTATCAGCTATGGAGAAGATTTTAAACCCTTAGAGGATGAAGTTGTCTCTAAATCAGAGTTTCAGGATAGAAAAACTGCGAATACACACTCTAGTTTGATTAAATCTCGCAGAATATTAAAGCAGAGTGTCCTTGTTCGGTTGAGGGAAGTTCATATTTCCTGCTAAACACAGCCAACAGTATCCTGTTTGTTGCCAAGCCAGTTCTTGCCCTAACAAAACACCCACCTGAGCAAATTCTTAAACTTTCCTCTACACGTCCAATCACTCATGCAACTGAAGAAACAAAGTCAGATAGTGTTTTAACACGGCTATAATCTAGTTCATTTATAATCGATGGGAAGTTAGTGTAACTTTTTATGCTTTCCTGTCTCTGTTTATGTGATGGACTTCAGAACATTGAAGCTATTTGAGTCTTTAACACAAGTGAAAGTGTTTCTTTCTGGCAGGTCTTCATAAATCTTCTCCTGTATGTGTCCTTTAGAGCTCATAAGTTGGGTCGTGATCCAAAGCTGTGCCTGAAGAGGAGGAGGAGGGGAGGGAGAGGAGGAGGAGGAGGAGGAGGAGGAGGACAGCGCCAGCGGAGTGGAATGGGGCGCCGAGGTCATGGCAGGAGAATTTAGTCGTCTAGCTCCCAGTAGTCGACCCCACCTGAAACCTGATCCAAAGCTACTGTGAGGATGAAAGTGAACACGCGCTGGAGAGTTCAGGCCGTCAGAGGACGATAAAAAAAAGCAGCACACAACCACTTTTCTTCTTAAAAATGTCCGTCTGCTCTGATGCCAGCCTCCCCTTCAGCTGTGTTCTGGGCTGTAAATGAAGCTCTCCGTCTGTGACGGGAGCAGGGAGGGTTTTCCTCCTCTGTGTAAATGACTGATGCGATGTTCAACACTAAGCCCTGGAGGCCGGTCATAAATGTTGACAACTATAGCTTTAAAACACTGTTCAATAGTCGATGTATTGTTGCTGTGTAGTTCTGCGTGTGCAGCAGGAAAAGCTAAGAGAAGACGTTTGTTATTTATTTTTATATGCATAAAGGAACTTTAGATGTTATTTTAAATAAATATATCAGAAAAAAAAAGTTTGTTTGTGTGTGTGGTTTCTTGTAAAACCTCCCGATTATCTTTAGAAGCAAAGGATGAAACAGGACAGATGACTTCCTTGGCAGGATATAAAGGGTCACTTCACCCTCAGCCTCAGCTTTAGTTAATAAACGACAGGATGTGAGTCAGCGGCAAACACGGAGCAAACATGTCCCACTGAAAACATCTGTACACAGATGTCACAGCTTAAACGGGGCAAACTCTTTCTTCTGACATATAAATGATAAATCTGATTGATGAATGTAAGGAAATATACAAACATAATGGGCATTTAATGTGAGGACATCTGCTGGATCTGTTAATGGATGAACAAATCCCAAACAGCCTGTATCAAAGTTTATGGTTAAATGCTTTTATGGACTTTGGTTGGCGCTCCGGTATCATATTAGTCCAGGTGATAAGGGTGAGGACAGGTAAAGGCAAGTGCTTTATGACGGCAATGCTGCAGCAATGGGATTTCTTTGAAAACATGTGATAGAAAAGAAAAGGGAAAAAAGAGAAAACACACACACACACACACACACACACACACACACACACACACACACACACACACACACACACACACACACACACACACACACACACACTAACTGGGCACTCACATCAGTTTCATCGATGGAAAATTTAATAACCTGTTCTTGTGTAAACCTGTTTTCAACCAAACCCTCTGCTGTTGTCTTGAACTGAGAGTCAGAACTGAAATATGATCCTTTTTAGTTAAATATGTAACTGCACAAAGTGGTCAAATAGAAACTGAAAGTAAACGGCTCAACAAGGACGCCTTTGTCCCAGACGGATCAAGGTCTTAACGGGACTTTTCCATATTTGGTCTGTCATAATCACTGAGAACAGTCTGAGCCGCCAGGAGACTTTGAAGGTGAATATTAAACTTATATGATTATGGAGGTCAGTTAACAGCCGTTAAAAGTTATGAAAAACAAGCCTCCTCTTACAATACAGTAACACTGGTGGTTCTCTGTAGTCTGACTCTGCAGCTTTCACATTACTGCCTTTATATTAAGACAGCAGTCAGTCTACAGATTTATAGAATATACTTAAAACCAAAAAACTGCAGACCTTAATCATGTTTCCTATTAGCATATCAATTATTTAAAAATGACATTATTGCAGCCACATAAAGCATTTAATGACACTGATTAATATGAAGTTATTAGAGTTAGTGCTCAACTGATCTTCATTTTGCAGCGGTTTAAAAACCCTTCTTAAAGCTCCTGCAAAGTGTTTTTGTTTTACTTAAAGTCATAACACTGAAATTCATTGTGATGCTTCTTTAGTTTACAACAAGACTGATGATTTTTAAAATATCATTTTTAACACATAATACCAGTGTCAGGGGTTGGGTCTCAGCTGCTGCAGAAAAAAAACCTCTGATTTTACAATTTCCATGAGGTAAAAAAATCAAAATTAATGAAACTTTAGCCATCCAGAGTCAGCAGGATGAGTTTTTTTTGTCAGGAGTTAGGACTGTAGCATGTTGGGGACAAAATATGCAGGGACTGCTTTATCCACAGGGGGGCGCCAACACTAACACAGCTGAAAGTTCCTCTCAGGAGGACCAGCACACTGAGATATTGTTAAATAGATATTGTTTTTGATTTTTAATGCTCAGTAATTGCACAGTAAAGTCGCTGCTCTAATGATCCCACAACCCTTTTACTCTTCCTTAAAGCTTGGAGGATTCTGATCAGCTATTTCATCGTTTCAATAAGGTTAAAAGTTCAAACTGATAGCTGCCCCTTTGTTTGCATTTTTAGTGTGCCTTGAGGTCCTCCTCCTTACTCTGTTGGACATAATAGCTGTCCTGTTATAATGACTAGAAGGAAGACACTTTTGTCACGGAAATCTCTGCCTTTGCACTCCATGTACCCTGGTGACATAAGTCTCTGCCTTAAGTTTGATAAAACAAACACATAAAAACACTCTCAGGGAATCAGCACACTTATTTCATAACAAGTGGTGATTTGAGTATTTCTCAGAGGTCCTAAAGGTCCATGGTCAAAGAATCTTACCAATCAACACAGAGATGGAGAACGATCAGACAAAACCAGAGTGACACTAAAATAAATGGAGGACAAATCATGCTGTGGAAATGTGACATTTACTCATGAGATGACTTTCTTCTGATTTGGGGTCTGTAAAACAAACCAACAAATATTTAAAGCTTTGATTGGGTTGTTTGCGTAATGGAGACCTAGTTTTAATAACTGTGCAAGCCTGACTTCGGCTGTAGATGAGACCAAAGGTGATATATTGTTATGGGGCCCAGAATTCCCAACGACGCCCCTGCTGCAACTCAAACACTAATCTGTCTGATCTGCAGAAAAATCTCATGACAAGTTCAAATCACATTTATGCACTATTACAAAACTTTACTGAAGTGTGAATACTTTTCCTCTAATCATTGCGTGATGATGCCTTAATCAGAGGTTTAAAAAAACTGCCTTTAGTTTAAGTTTTGACACTTTTAGTCAAACCTTAAAGTTCCTGAAATCTGCAAATACAAACAGCGGTTTTAATATAAACATGGTACAGTCAGTTTTACAGGAATACAGGACTCTTCTGCACAATGTCTGAATGATCATCCATCATCCAGGATGTTTGTGCCATGATGCTGCCATCTGCTGACTGATCCCCTCTCTGCAGGGCCACGAACCTGCTCTGTAAAGTCAAGCAGCACTGCTCTATTTGGCTCTATTAAAGGAGACTCTGCTCAGTTTCATACTGTGGACAGATTTATTCTGTCTGTATTTCCTCTCGAGTGCTGATCGTTGAGCGTTGGCGGGGGATTTCTTTCATGTCTGTGATGGTGCTTTTAGTAGCTGTAAATCTTTGGTCCCATAATTAAGCGAGGAGGCCAATCAGTTGTAAAACCACCACTGATCTAGTTTACTCTGGCACATTAAATGTCTCTGCGTTCAACAAACACTTGATAGCTGCGTATCGTGTTACATAAGTCAGATCTTCCCTAAAATAAGCTGTGATGCTCAGGAGTGATTCGTTAGTATTTCCTTTAGCTTAAACAGAAGTTACTTAAAGGAAAAAATGCTTGCATGTGCAGAGACGGTCACCACAAAAACCAGGAAACAGACTGGCAGCAGACACACAGCGTCTGAGTGGGAAGTGAGCTCTGAGAGAGGAGCCGAGAATCACAGAAAACAATAAGTGCAGACTTTCTCCCGCTCATTCCTGCTGCTCCTATTGTGCTTGCTTGATTTTCATCTACATAAATCTTATTTTATGATGTGATCAGTAAGCTAATGCCTTTTCCTAGTAGCCACCCCCCATCTCTTTAAAGACCTCTGCTCTCCTCTACTTTCATCCAGGAAAACTGCTGACAATATGGGTCCATAATGGGATGGTCAGTCCTTCTTTTAACACATTCATACAATAATGGGCACATAAATATTCCATTACTTAAAGATTCCCAGTCTGTCACCATTATTATGAATTATTCAGCCTTGCACATGACTGCACAGGAGATGGACCAAAGGCTTAGAGGAGATAGGGGTCACCCTATTGTAAGATTCAGGTTCATTTGCATAATCCGTCTCTTCTCCTCTTTTCATTCCTCTTTTCTTGTCACTAAACTGCGCACTACTTCTGGCTGTAAGGACAAAGAAGCTTCATTGCAGGTCCGCTAATTGGTTTGATCATCGCGAGATTCGTTTCCAATTATCGCACCTACTCTGGCAGCTGCGCCCAAAGAGACGAGCCATTCCCATGCGTAAAAATGTTGCAGGAGAGCTCCAAATGACGCACAGGATGCCACATTTAGCACAGCCATTGTTTGAATTATGAGGAAACAAATATCTAAAGAGACACAATGAATAAGAAGTCCTACAGAATAGATTTAAATGGAGGTTTTCTGTCATGAATTTGTGTGTTTAGGAGAACAGAAATGTAAAACCACTACATCAACAGACCTCAAAGCGAATCACTCAGTTTACACCGTTAGAAACCTGCATCTAACTTCAAGATATCTTTTGTCACAGAGGCATTGTGCTGGTTTCACTGTTTAGCCGCATGACCACCACACTCAATCACTCGCTTCACTCTTATTCCCAAAACATCATTCAGAAAATTTCTGTCTTATTCTCACCATATCAGAGCGCGTCCTGAGTCTGCTTCCGTGTATCCAGCAGCGATGTATCCCGCTTATCTCCCAGTCTTCATGCCTCTCCGGCTGTGCGGTATTCAGAGCAGGAAGATGAAACTGACAGCAGGAGGACCCAGTGGTAGGCAGCGATGATATAGCTCAGCCAATCAGCTTTGAGAATGGGCGGGGCGAGTACAGTCAGGGTTACATACCTCTCTCCTCCTGATCAAGGTATCTGTGAGTGCTGCTCCTCCTCAGTCTCATGAGTTTGGTGATATCTTTGTTTTCTGCACAAAGAAAGAAACCATCAGTGAGGAAGAAGTGGATTTGTGTGATTAACTGTTTATCTAATATGTAGTGGAAAATTCAAGTTAATTGATCATCTTAGATAGATAGATAGATAGATAGATAGATAGATAGATAGATAGATAGATAGATAGATAGATAGATAGATAGATAGATAGATAGATAGATAGATAGACTTTATTGATCCCAAACTGGGAAATTCTCTTGTTACAGCAGCAAAAACGCAAAATAAAATTTGATATAAGAAGAAGTATGTACAATGCAGACAAAAAAAAAACTAGATATATACAATAAATACAGACTAAATATACCAAACATCCTAAGAGAAAAAAAGTGAGATATGAAAAAACGTGGGCTATTGAAATGAGTAATAAATATGAAATGTGAAATATACAGATGGGATGATAAATAAACAGACAATTTAAGGTGCTAAAGTAATGCGATGTGGTAGGAGTTTTTATAAAAATGGACAATACAACAGACAGATGTGAGTCCGTGCAGAGAAGAAGTATTTTCCCTCCATCTTTATTATTTTTGGTCGAAAAAGTGATAAATAATACAAAACATACAAACAATGTGATAGAGGATGAGAAGTAAACTAAGAAAATAAGAAAGGCGCTCGGATTTACCCCAATGTAACCGATTCATGTAAAAGGTGCAAACAATCTCCAGCCGACCATTCCCATATGTTTTGGTGTTGTCCCAGGTTTGACACATTTAGGTCTGAAATCTTTAATACTCTTAGCACAGCATGTAACACTTCTATATCTCCTGATCCTGTCTTGGTCCCCCTGCAGCCTCTTGCCTCTAAAGTTATGCAGACTGTTCTTGCGTTTACCACCCTATAAAAAACTGGGAAAAGGATAAAATTTTTTATAATAACATAAAATAATAATAATAACATAAAACTAGAGCTGACTACGACTAGGCCTGCCGACTGTAATCACATTTAATTAATTTAACATTGTCCATAATCACTCAAATCCTAACCCTGTAAACTGAATTCATTTTGTTTCACCATTACATGAGCTGTTGTTGTTGTTGCTGTTGTGTCTGCTGTCCCCTGTCTCTCTCTCACCATCGTTCTCTACTCTCTCTCCCTCTCCTTACTCATTCTCTCTCTCCTTCCCCTTATCTTGTTATCTTTCTCTCCCCTCTTCTCTCTCTCTCCTCTCTCTCCCTCCATCTCTCTACATTCCTCCCCAACCCAGCAGCGTCATGGTGGCTGTCTAACATGAGTCTGGTCCTGCTCAAGGTTTCTGCCTGTTAAAAGGAAGTTTTTCCTCGCCACTGTCACTCATGTTAGTTGAGATGGGCCAAAACCCATCTTAGGTTGGTTCTTGATCATCGAACTATGAGTGTGGTCTAGACCTGCTCTTGTTCTTTGAAAAGCGTCTTGAGATGACGACTGTTGTGAATTGGTGCTATATAAATAAAATTTGATTTGATTTGATTTTTAGTGTTCTCTGTCACGTTGTACTGACATGTTGTTGTCTGTGTAATTGCTTCCAATAAAGAAAGTTAAAAAAAGAAAGAAGATAAGAAAGGCTTCAAGCTAATTTGTGAGCTTTCGGATTAAAAGAGGCAGAGTTCAAAACTAGACACTGCCAAATTGCAAAAAAACAGCTGACAAAACTGACACACCTGCTGCCAGGAGACAATTTCACCTGATCAGAGAGATGGTCTGCTGTGATTGGTGGATACGACAGGGTCTGATTGATTAAATACAGTCAACAAATTCAGCAGTCAGATGATACAACCACTGATCTCCAGGCTGTTTGCTTGTATTAACGTGTTCTGGGTGCGAACGTGATACCTCAGAGGCAGTGAGAGTCGGTTGAAACATGAGATCTCTTGGGTCCTTCGGCAGCAACAGGGCCTTGAAGCGGTCTTTCCTCCGATCTGCCGGAGGTTGGCTCTGAAAATCAAACACAATCAAAGCAAAGAAGAAACAAACAAACAAACAGAAAAAAGAGAGGATATAACAAAGAAAGAAAAGAGAAAATGCACTGTTTCCCACATCGAGCTAACCACACAGAAAGCAGAAGACACTCTGGACAATGAAATCTGAATTTTCATTGTTAAACTCTTGTTTCTTCGGTTTAAGCTTTCAAAAAAGTGCTCTTAATCAAATTTGACTGAACTATTTCGTATGATCTGCACAGAAAAACAACAAAAAGAGTCAATTCTCCAGATTTCATGTCTGAATTCTCATATTAAGGGAGAATAAAACCTCACTCCTGCAGCACAGCCTCCTCTAAAGCACCTATCCTGTTTTTTACCAGCTCAGCAGTAAAGGAAGAAGCCCGTGTGACCTGATAAGATTTATCCCACCATCCTGTTTTTGAGCCTGGACCTGCCATCGAGGAAACTATTGTCGGGTGGAAACACAAACTGTAGGAAGTCTCTCTCTCTCTCTCTTTCTGTCTGCATGAACAGGATTTATGATTTAACCTGCACAAAGAGGAAGTAAGTCGTTCCTGCAGCTGAATAACTTCCCCCACAGAGAACAGCTCATTCTGCAGGATGTGGATGTGAGCATTTATGGAAGCGGGCTGGAAACTGTGACAGTCTTTTCCTCTCTTTTATTTGTAATCGGTCACTCAGCTGCTAATTGGCGAGTGATCTTTGTTCGGCGGAGGAGAATTCAGTCGTGATTAAAGGCCAGTGGGGACAAAGACTCTCTGTTCTCACAGGAGGACTCACATGTCTTTGCATGAAGAGAATATAAGTCACCATGTTGCTCCTGGGGATGTAATGTGTGTCAATACGGAGAGTAACCCAGTTGTTTAACCTTCAGGCTCTGAGTGTTTGTGTGCGTTTCTCTGCCGTCTGACCCCGGCGCTTTCTGATGAATGAGACTCTCTGCTTTTATTGATTCCCTCTTTAATTCTGAAGCTGCAGAGAGATTGCCTCTTAAGGCTGCGTACAGTTTTATATCTGCAGCTCAGTGCACAAAAGAACGAGGATTACATGTGTGTGTCGACAGGACAAAACAGTATTGATTTATAACCTCAACAAAAGAACATTGTGTGTATGGAGAAGTGTTTTTTCTTGGTTGCGTGATAAAACAAAAGGAAATATGTTAATGCAGGGTATTGCGTCACCAAATTGCAAATTAAAAGGTGATTTTTCAGGGTGTGTGTCTTATCCCTGCAACCTATCAATGCAGTCAATGTGTAATTGCATTATTTCAGTGGAGTGTGCACGCAAATTGAGCCAATAGATATGGATTTTTAGTGAAATATGGGTCCATAGTGGGTGATCTGGTCTTTTCCTCATCACCATAATACATGAACACTCCTCCCAGAGCTCCGTCTCCATGGTCACCGCTCTCACACGACAAACACACAAAGAGGAGACTTGAATGTGTCTAACGCAAGCACCTGCACAAGCTCCGACGCCTGCTTCTCTCAGCCACATTTTATTCTCTCTGACGCTGAATGAGTGAAACAGTTGATCTAATTTATCACCTCATGAATAATGCATGCTGCCGTAACTGGATTGGATTGTTCGGAGTTAATGTCTGCTTGTCAATCAATGCCGGATTTGCAGAGGAAAACGAGCAATCTGACTAAAAGCCACCCACCATGCGCACAGATGGAAACAAATGCTTTAATTTTTTTTGCACAAATAGATTTTTTTAAGAGTAGAAACTGCACAAATCAGTAGAAAATCTCATTTAAAAATCAATAATCTGCATATTTTAGTCTTGTAAGTCCATGAAATGCAGAATAATCCATCACTGATGACTTTAAAAGGCTCAGAAGTCTCATTTCTGCAGGTCAGATGCTCTATAAAAGTGTTTTTATCTTGAAGTCCACCCCATAGTGCCAGGGACATGTATGAAACACAGCACACACTCTCCTTTGTGTGTTTAAGCTCAGTCTGGGTGCAGATAAACCTTCAGTCAGTTATCATAGGTGCAGTGTCTGAGGTGGTGTCTGCCTCCGCTTCACCGTATCTGTCCATCTCCTCCATCTCTCTCTCCACCGGCTCCTCCCTCCCTCTGAAGCACATCAGCCCCCTCTCCTTCCACCACCTCTTCTCTCTGTCTGAGTCTTTGGGTGCTGTCGTCTGCTGCAGCTCCAGCATGGCCTGCACGCTCTCTCCCCTCTCTCCTGGACCGAGGTGGTGGTCTCTGGTCGTGAGGGTCGGCCCACCTCCTCTCCTCCCGCTCATCATATGGAGGAATGAGAAAGAAGCGCCGTCTGAGGTCGGCCCCTCAGTCACACACACGGTGGAAAGGCCAGGGGGGCTGTGACTGTCCTGGGGTCTTTTTGGAGACTTCTTCTTTGTTTTCTTGCTCAGTATGAAGTTGAACAAGGCGGTGACCAGAAGCATTGTCCCTGCAGTCAGAACATGTGTTTAATTTCTCATCTCCTCTTAGACATTTCAGAGTATGAACACATAGATGTCAACATCACTGTCTGAAAACCCTTTAGCCTGTAAGTGAGGCTCTGCACTTTTTCTGCTTTGTCTTTGTTTAAACTGTTGACCAGCTCCTTTGTATTATGTGAAAAATAACTTTAACGATGTTCAAAACAATCATAAAAACAAAATGTGGTGGTCTGCAAATCCTTGAAACCCTTTGTCCAGATAAAAACATCGCAAAGAAAACAAATTAAATATTGAAACCAAAAATTTTTATATGATAAAAATCCCACTGAGCAATTTTTGGTCTAAAAGAGGTCGAATAGGTGTCTGAATGTAGCCTAGACTACTGCTCTAAAATCAGGCTACCACCGGTCTAATAATGAAAGTTTTTTAGACGTCTAAATTTAGACCAAGTTTTGACCAAGTCTAAATCTGGGCTATATCTATACTACACTGTATTTTGCTCAATGGCTAACATAATTATTTTGGTTAAGTACTTGGAGATCAGTTATGCAATTCACAGTTTCTTTTTGAAGTAAACAGTTATCGAATAATTGGTTAAAGTGCAACATCTAAATTCTGTCTAAAAGTATACAGAATCTAGACGGTTGAAATTAGGTCTTTAAAAAAAAACTAGACGTGTAATAGCCGTTTATTGCTCAGTGGGAAAGGTTCATTGTAATTTTAATGCCAGCAACGTATTCCAAAAAAAGTGGTGAAAGAGCCAGTAAAAGATTGATAAAGTTGTGTAAACACCTGGAGGAACAAATTCCAGATTATTAGGTTGATTTGCAACAGGTTAAAACATCAGCATGAAAAGGACATCCTGGAGAAAAGAGGCTCACCTCTGTGAGAAACTGCACAAGCACATAGTCCAGCAACTTCAGAATAATGTTCCTTAGCATAGAATCTCAAAGATTTGGGATATTTCATCATCTACAGTAAATAATATTATCAAAAGACTAAGAATCACTGTACAAAAGTAACAAAGATGAAAACTAGAACTGGATAGTAGTGATCTTCAGGCCCTTGGGCAGCTGACTCTGTAGCGGAAGTCACTGCATGGGCTCAGAGTTACTTCCAGACACCAGAGTCTGTGAATACAGTTCACTGTCACATCCACAAACGCAGGTTAAAACCCCATGCTAAAACAAAACCAAATATAAACAAGATCCAGAAAGTGCAAAACTATCCTTTGGGCTGATGAATCAAAATTTAACTTCATATTTGAAAATCATAGATGCTGTTTCCCCAACTCCAAAGAGGATAGACACCAACAGTTTAAATGTCAGCTTCTGTAGACATGCATAAGAGCCAATGGTATGACTTTTGGACCAACATGATGCTGCCATCCAGACAATGTCTTCTCCATTAAAAACCTCAGGCAGACCATGAGGCAAAAACATGAACAGACGACACACTTAACTTTCAAGCTGCTGAAATCCTGTATCGGGCACTGAGGAAACTTTTCTCTGTAAAAACCCCAGAAACTGAAACCTTGAGTACATTTACTGGAAGGTTTGGATTATCACGCTCACAAGAATCTGATGAAAGTTGAGGCTCTGAGGTACCAGACACTGTGTTTTTAAGACAAAGTTTGCTGTAATAAGAGCACCTGTAGAAAACACATGATCCTACAGCTGCTGAACTCAAAACCTGCCTTTACAGAAAACAATGCCTCTAGCTTTTACCTGGAATAACTGCGTGCCACACCAGCACAGGGTGCAGGAAGCAGACCACTGACATAATGGAGTAGTAGAGGAACTTGTGGAAACCTCCGACGTGAGCCATCTTCCCCCACAAAACAAAGATCTGCCAGTCTGGAGGACAGCTGTGGAGGGAAAAAGGAAGAAGAGAGAGACAATAATAGTTACACAAAAGGGTCACACAGACAGACAGGTTCAACATAATATCTATGATAAGCATTTCTAACTGAACGTTTATATTCTTTTGACTAGTAACCAGTGGAGTTATACTATTTGGGATCATAGAGAACTATTAGAAACCATCTTTACATTTAAGTTAAAGGATATTCTCCAGATTTGACAGAGTTCATACTTCGTCAAAAACAAACTCAGACAATCGCAGCTGCTGTATATCTGTTTCTTTGTGTGTTCATGCTGCAGATGTTGTGATGAGTGTTGCGTACTCACGGCAAACACATGAACAAAAGAGCATCCAGGAAATAGGCCAGCTCGAACAACATGATGCCGACAGACGACACTCTGGAGGAGAAATAAGTTCAGAGTCAGAAACTGATACTGCGGGTTTCTAAATGATGTAAACTATCTCTAAATATGTCGACTTGTGTGTATTTTATCTGGCTGTAATGGAGCGTTGTAGTTTTAAATGTTGAAATGTGGGCAGCTAGGGAATAATTAAGAGTGTTTTCTTTTCCTGGTTGTTGAAAAAATCTCAATTTTCTGTTTGTTTAATCTGATAACCATCTGATCCAGTGAACCAGAAGAATACTCGAGGGCTGACCTTCATCCTTCGCTGACCGCTCTTTGAAGACTTATCGCTGAGTGGTGTGTTTCTGTTTCTGTGTTTATCTGAATGTATGTGTGCAGTGACAGAACAAACAGTAAAGTATTTCTAGGTCTCCTTTGGGGAAAGTTTTCCTGTCCCTCTGTGGGAATTTGGCTCTGAGCCTCAAAGATGAGAGAAAGAAGCAGAGAGGGACTTGCTCCCCTGACTCCTGCCTCTCCTCACAAGTGTGGGTATAAATTTACAGCATGAGTGACTTTAAAAGCAGACATGGTTTTTTAATTGTTTTTAAAAGCCCTGAGGAAATGTTCTTTAATCCAGGAGGTAAGTTTGCTGTTCAGAAATGCCTGAGTGAACTTGGCAAGAGTCTGAGAGTTTAGAGGTGAATTTGTTAGATAAAATCCAACCCTCTTATTTTCATTTATTCATACAAACATTCACATGTGTCATACATATGACACAGTTCTGAAATACTTAGATGTAAACATAAATCTAGATTAAAATTGTGAAGGGCTGAAGTACAAGAAAATTAAAGCAAAGATCTGTAAACAACGCAAGAAATCAAACATTGTCCCAAATTATGACTGTGATAGACAGAAAAAAAGGATAAAGGGAGAAAATGTTAAATATTAGAGAAAAGGCCCTTAAAAAATAATTAAATACATGCACAGAAATGAAGTAAAAAGGAGTTAAAAATCAAGTTCCAACCATAATATTTTATACATTTTATATGACCAGAAAATAACAACAAATGTAAGAAATTAAGAAAAAAAATCTCAATTAATTACAATAAAGGACAACAAAAATGGATTAAAAAATCGTTTGTAAAACCTCATTACCCTCCATTTAAAGGAGTTGTTTAAACACTTACAGTAAGTAGATCCCAAGGCTGTTAAATTCTCCTTGTTGCACAGTTTCTACTCCAACTGCACACAACACTGTAAAAAAAAGACACAAAGATAAGTCACTTTTCTTTGTTTTTGGAGTGTGTAGTGATCAAAGTGTCCACCAGGTGTCAGACTTGGTTCATGATATTAAACTTGAATGAAGCTGTTTATTGTTTGGCAGTGAGCCGGTGGTGATTTCATGAGATGAAATGAAACATGTCAGACTTTTTCAGCACACTGTTTCATGCATTTTGGTCTGAATACCTTTAAATATGTGGTCACGATAGAAGTCTTCTTGTTTGTAACGGTAATCTCTGAGGAAGTTGCTGCAAAAACTCACAGATTGATTGATTGATTGATTGACACACACACTGCAGAGGACAGTATGTTAAATTAGGATGTCCAAAGAAAACTTTTATCCATAATTGCTTTGATTGTTTCCACCATGTCCACAAAATGTTGGTAATAGCAAACTTATGCATGTAATTCCCATGTCACAGCTGACAGACTAAACGCATCTTATTTAAGCAGACACAAAACACATGATTGGTCATCTACAACAGCAGAAACACTAAAAAACTCAACCACTGTCAGTGTTTACAAGAATATAAGGAATACTATAAATAAAGCAGACTGGATTGGATACTCCACAACTTTCAACCCTGCATCTTCTTCTCACTGCAACATCAGGTATTAATCCACTACATTAACATTCAGGGATCCTTTCTACCTTTATAGGCCGAGCCAGACAATTGGACTTCTGAGAGAGGGGTGAAATATTTTCAGAAAACCTAAACCAGCATCTGATGGATCAAACATTCAAAAGTAATTTCACATTTAAGGCACCCGCTTTTATCCTGGAGGTTAAAGGGATATTCAAAATCAAATTAATTTAGGGTCAAACAGACCGCAACACCAAGTTAGACAACCTGTCGAGAGATGAATGTTGCCGACCGCTTGCTTCTCTAGTTATACCAATTTTAGTAACGACCGCACGATAGCAATACAGAGAGCCATGCGCTCAACCAAAAAGCCACTCTATAGACAACACAACTCACCCACTCTCTTCCAGCAGCTGTTTGTTTGTACAGAGTGAGGCGAGTCCATCGGCAGAAGAACTACCGCGTCTGCAGTGCAAAATGATTAATATGATGATTATTACTTCAAGGAAATGATAAAGTAATGATCATAAATGTTCTTCCTTGAGCTGCGTCACCCCGCTGCAGAGGATGGACACGCCTGGAGGTCTAGCTACAAACAAGCGGCTGCTGGAAGAGAGTAGGTAAGTTGTGTTTAGTCTCTTTGCTAAAGAAATTAGTCAAAGTTAAAAAGATGTTTGGTGGCTAGTACTATGGCTGGGACCCTATATGTCCTGTTGATGAAGTTAGGTTTTGGTCTGCTCCATGATGACAGGTAGCTCAGAGCACATCACACAGTTTAGATACAAGAAGGTCAAGCAGACTGAAGTGTTTGAAAGCTTCAGACGTCATCATCCACATGGGGTTTCATCCTCAACACAAGAAACACAAGCTTCAGAGCTTCAGTATCACACGCCCATCTCCAGGGTTTACAAAGACAAGTGATGGGAACTTCTTCACCAACAAGCGCAGTAACTCCCGGGCAAATCACAACAAGTTGGTTTATTTCTTTTGGAGAGATTCTCCTGTTTCCAGTTTTCTGAGCTGAGTTAACTCGCTGCTGGTAGAAAACAGAGCGGTAGCCAAATTTCAGTGATGACAGGAAAACATATCTGCAGCTAACATAAAAACTCAGATGACAGAGAAGTCTCACAAACATAAAGAAAGGCCTGTTTTATTAACCAGTCTTTTTCCCTGTGAGGTATAAAAGAGGTTAGCATGGTTTAGTGGTGAATCGCTGCGAAAACACATGGAAGCAATTTCTCTGTCCGGCTAAAAAGGAGCTCAAAGATAAAATCTGCAGTGGAGGGAAATCAGGGGAAATGTGGCTGAAAGGCTTCTGGTCGTTTATGGAGTGTGAGGAGAATTAACGCTGCATATAGACCTGCTGGGTATTAACATATATAGTGTACGGTCTCCTGCCTCACAGCGTGCTCGTCTGATTAAAGGACACACACAGAGGCAGACAGGCGGACACAGAGACAGAGGCACACGTAGACATCCTATAAACACACACACACATACACACGTATAGAAGCAATGCACTGAAAGCTCCTGTAGGTGCGAATGTATCACAGCTTGTGCTCAGTAACCCAGCTGGATGCACAGACTTGGTTTTGGTGTGATGTGAGGCACATGGCTCTCGGTAAATGTTCATCGTCTGCAGCTGTTTGGATTTAAATAAAGAGGGGGGGTCTCATAGTTTAAGAAACAGGCAGCAGCTAGAGAGCTATTCCCCCTAGTTTTGATTTTATGTGGCTGAGAGAGAGAGAGAGCTGCATGCAATCTGTGCCTGAGGAAAACACAAGACGAGGAACAACACCAGCGCAGGCTTTAATATGCTCTATATATCAGCAAAGACATGCTAAGAGTACAGTTGGCAAACATCCCAATCTGACCTTATCGCATTCAGGGTTTGTGAAATCCTTAAAAAGACCAGCTGGAGACCCCTTCTCCTGCATGAACGCTTAAAAAACCCAGAGATTTATGGGGATGAAAGTTAATTCATCACAGGCATAGAAGCATAAATCAGCTTTAGACATAAAGCTGCAACACTTCATAACAGATTTAGAGTATAAATAATGCTGCATCCTTAAAAAAAGTTGAATTTTAAGTCCTCATTAATAAAAATTTTAAAGCTTTGACGGCGAGACTTAACACGATGAGCATCTGGAGGCTGTTGTGCATCTGCAAGTGTCCAAAAAACAATTCACACCCATGCTGAAACAATAAGTAGTTTTTTGTTTTTTTTTTCTGTTTCTGTGTTTATTTCTCACCTGTTGCCGTAGAAACACCGAGAATCCTGCAGGCAAACTCAACAACAACCCACCAAACGCTCTCAGAGCTCCCCATGGCCTCCAATACTTTCTCTTGTCACTGTTTGAAGATGTAATTCCCACCACTCCTTCACCACTGCACCACTATCTGTAAACGTTTGTGGCCTAAAAATATTAAAGACTCATAGTTGAATGTCTTTTTGGAGAAAAAGCAAAAGTTTGAAAATCCAAGAGAGCCATGATGTGGAGGCTGTGAGAGGTTTGTGACTCAATGCCCCTGTCGCTGTATTAACAGCTAATCAGTCTCACACACGCAGAAAACACACACACACACACTCACATTGTTACAATACCACTTTCAGCTGGTTTCTCAGTCCAGCAGGTATGTCAAGGTGAAACTGTTCAGTTCCAGGTCATTAGTTTACCTCATTTTTCATTAAAGCTGGTTAAAATGTATCAGAGGGGATTTAATATACAGCTAACTCTATCTCTCACAAACAAATATCCATACTTTTACTCCACGTCAAAGATTTCTGCTCACTTTCACAACAAAATCCTCTTGATTTTTAAGGGTTAAGGTGAGTATTTGCTGGGACAGCGTCAGTACACAGTCACATGTACAGCTTCCAGTTTGGCATCACTTTATCTGGACACTGGGTTGCAGCTCGCAGTGAACCAAAACAAATCTTTTCCCTTTAAGAAAAACTCAAAATAAGTTTTACTTTTCTGACAAACCGGCCCCAACCCTCCTGCATTCCTCAAAAAGTGGAACAATTCAGTGGCGAGGGGATAAAACTGCAGAAAAGCCACCAGGGACCCTTTGACACACTTCCACGGGCGTTAATACGAGGCCTTCATAATCGTTTAGCTGAGGTGTAAGCTTGTTCAGACACAGCAGAGGCCTACTGGAGAGTCACAGACACACTTAAACACTAGCACAGGCAAACACACGCACACACACACACCCTGACTTTGGTGGAGGCTAAAGTAAGCTACATAAATCTCCTTAAATCTCCAACAAAGACACTGTTGTGTTCTGGTTCTGGTTGTTTCCGGCTTAAATTCAGGGTATTTGTGGTATTTATGATATGGAGAGAAATTATGTGCAAGAATCGCTGCAGGTGAGAACATAAAGACAAGCCAGCACGTTTACCGTTAAAGATATTAAAATCACAGCACCAGAAAATAGCAGATCATTCGTCACATTATCACAGAAGGTTGATTGATGCTCCTTTAACATTTTTGCACAAAGTAAAAACTCAAACAGTTTGGGTTTGGACCAGATTACTGACCAAAAGAGCGATACACCAGCTGTTGTTTGAAAGTATTATCCTGCTTAAATCAAGATGGTAAACATTATAACTTGACTGCCCGCCTTGACTCCACATTGCCCGTTTCGAGGCTGACCATAAGTTAGGTGGAGTTAAAGTTTCCATTGTGGTCACTTCCATGCTCGAGCTTCATAACCACAGACTGTATAAAACATGGATGTTATCTCTGTGACATCACCTGTTGGTTTCTGGGGAGACAGTCTGGAGCCAAACGATGGCGGTGATCATATTGGAAATACTGACTCAGTCTAAGTTTGTATCAACCAACAAACACAATAATGTGGAGTTAATGAAGGATTTTAGCCTGCTGGGAAACCTGTTTAATTTTGTCATTAAAATTAGCATTTTAAAATTAAACCTGATGGAGACTCTTGGTATTTGCTGCCGAGTGGTCCTAAAGGAACTGCAGTTTTTCTCACTTCTGTATCGGCTTTATGGTTCATAATACGTCTTCAGAAATCAAAAGGCAGCAGACTGGTTGAAGGGAATGCATGATATAATTGTTATAAAGATAATGACTCTTACATTGAGATTGAAGAGTGATGTGTTTGAGCACTATTGGAGAAATTGGATGGAGTCGATCACCACTTCACCACTCAGATCAGACTTCAGGTAAAAATCAGCAGAAGCTAAACTGTAATTCCCCTGGTCTTCTGCTGCACACGAGTGCTATTTGATGTCCTCTGTATTTTTTTCTCTGTCGTTTTCTTTTTATGTTTCTGCCCTCTACAGCAGTGTAGAGAGCAGTGTAGTGAAGTACACCAACTGAGGATGTACAAAACTTGATTTCTAAGTAAAAAGAAAAGAAACCAAAAGGTGATGGTCAAGTTTGATAGCGTCAGCAGTTTCTCCTTCATGGCCTTAAGGTCCCTGCTAGGGGTGTGATTCTTCCTGGCATTTGACCTCTCCCTCTCTCTCTCCACTATCTGTTCAGTTACTTTCACTGCGTATCAGATTATTTTTGAGGCCTCAAAAAGAAAACATTTGTCTACACGTCTTCCGGTCAATTTTGAGGCAATAAACAATTTGTGCCACACAGGATCAAAACAGACTTAAACAGGCTGGTGGATTTCAACATAAGATGGATTTTCTGAGAGGGCCGATAGCCAATCACAGCTTTGGATTTTGAGGCAGTAACTGAGGTGGCCAACCAGGGTTCAACCAACCTCTTCTGGTCTACCCTCCGGACACTAACCTGCTCCGTGGGTTATAAGAGGTACCTTTCAATAATAATAATAATAATAACTTTATTTTTATAGCTCTTTTAAAAACAGAAGTTTACAAAGTGCTTTGACAAACAGTCGTAAAGCATCAGTACAAAAAACAAAAACAAGACCTCTGAATTGAAGGCCAATTTCATTTTTCATAAGAAACCCAGACAATACAAGAACCCTACAACATAAAATGAGACCATGAGGATGAAAATGAAAAGATAAAATAGGTAAGAAAAAGAAATGTAATAAAAAAAGGGGGTAGAAAGAAGGGAACAGGATATTAAATATTAAAGAGGATATTAATAATGATAATAAAATATAGTAAAATAATAATGATGGTAATATTAATGATAAAATGGAATAACAAAAATGAGCAGGAAAAAAAAACAACAAAATCAATAAAGGGCCTAAAAGGTAAAATAAGAGATTTTAAGTAAAACAAAGGCTAAAAGGACAGGAAGTCGAAATAAAATAGAGATCTTTCCTTTCAATCTCTTGGATCCCACGGTGCCTAAAAGTCTCAGGTCCTTTTGGTGGAAACGTGACTTTTGAACGCAAGCAAAGCGTCTATAGAAGCTAAAAACACCATTATTGTGGTTATAAATTGGTTTAAATGTAAAAACAAATACTAAAAAGGTTTTTAAGAGGCCATTTTTCAGGTTATTTCAAAGAAAATAATTTGAAACTCCTTCAACCCCTCAACCTTTTTTCCTTCTTTCACTTTTCCATTTATCAAGAGGATGTTGTCTGATGATAATTAGGCCCAGTTTTCAGCCTGTAGATGATTATTCGAGTCAAACTTAATTAAAATGTGCCTCTTGCTTATTCATGTATAAACACATATAGTCGGGGCCGGCGTGCGGTGCAGGACATTCGCCAAATCATCAGGAAACATTTATCCTCTGGCTCATAGACATGAACTGGAGATCATGTGTTAAGTAGACAACTTGTTTAATCTCCTGATCTGCTGATGACTGCCCACACATGACCAATATAACACAGTCTACAGTAAAAAATGACAAACCTGAGTGTTGACCACCACCAGTGTGTTTAATTACTTAAAGGAAAAACAACCCAGAGGTCATCTTGATTAAATCACGTGTGTTTAAAGAGCTCGATCTGAACATACATGAGCTGCAGGAATGTACGCTGTTCATGAAAACTGAACCCCGCCAACATACCCACCTCAGGCTGTGTATTTATGTTTACTTGACTCCTTAATGACACCAAAACACTCTTATCAAAACCTCTTTATTGCTAATAACTAACTGTGTATTATTGGAGGATCATTGCTGACATTTACAGCGCGTTATGAGCTTTACGGCGTTCGTCAGTAAATCCCAGAGGGTGGAGCTCTCGGTGTGGGTGAGACTGATTGTGATCTATCAGACTGTAGATCTAATCTTTCTGGATAAATACAGTTGAAGGCTTTCATTCAGTCTGTGAAGAAAATATAAAGCCGTGTCCAAATCTACATTCAACACTCACTCCCCCTCTTAGCATGACCTCTGACCCCTCACCCTCTCACACACTTGGCTGATCACATGTCCTCTCTCTCGCTCTAATCATCACCTCTACGCCTCCTCATCTCACTGTTTCCTCCTTACTTCATTCAGCCCGTGGGCATGAGACTACGGAGAGATTAGCCATGCCTTTCTCTGCCTCCCTCCTTATCCACCCTCCCTCTGTCTGGAGTGGGCGTCTGGTGAAAACTGCTCTAATCTTAATTACACCAGCAGCTTTATGACCCCGCTTCACTGCCCCACTCTTGAAACCTCTCCATGATCACTTCCTTCAGTCTGTTTCATCTGTTCAAGGGGAGGCGGCGACAGACACCTGGAAGACCGAGCTAATTTCTGCAGATTACTTTAAAAATGAAGATATAAATCTGGGACCTCACTGAAGTCTTTAACACCGGGCACCCTGCTGTGACAGAATCTAATTACATTAACTAAAGCAGGGAGCCCCCAAGTGGTGGAGACGTGTCAGTGCATTGTGGCGTTGCAGTCAGAGGAAAATGATGCTGCAGCCTTTAATTCCCTTATTAGTTTGTTCTCTGTTTGATTTTAAGATGGCAAAGAAACATGTCCTAAAGTGTGTGGGGATAAAACGTTAAAGAAATTAAAAACCTAAATCCAACTATCCTGTCACAGAATAAAAAAGATCCTCGGATATTTACTTTCTGAGAATAATCTGAGGTTTCTAGACTTTAAGTTCTCAAAGCCCGATTTGAGATTTAGGACCAAGATTATCTAAAAAATAACCAAAAGTACGTCCGAGCTTTCTCGGCTGTGGCTCCCGAATTGTGGAACAAATTGCCACTTGAGATTAAAACATCCCCCACGCTTTCTACTCTTAAATCACGTCTTAAAACTCATTTTTATTCCTTGGCTTTTAGCTCAGCATGAGAGTTGTGTGATCTCTGTCCTTTTATATTCTTTATGGTCCTTTTATCACTTTTATTTCTTTTATGTTTTTATTTTATTTTATTTTAAATGTTTTTTTTTACCTGCTTTTATTCATTTCATGTTGATGTCTGTTCTTTTAATTTTGGTGTGCAGCACTTTGGTAAACTTGAATGTTTTTTAAAATGTGATATATAAATAAAGTGGATTGGAAAAATAACACCAGCAAAAATACTGTATATATTTCATTGTTTATAACTTATTTTAACAAAAATGTCTCGCTTTTCATTGAAATATTCTGTCTTTTCTAATATTTTCTCTTTTCATCTTTTTTCCTGTAAGAAAAAAGAAAACTCTCTGCTTGTGAAACTAAGATGAACTATTAAGAAAGATATAGAGGATGTGAGATGTCGGCCTGTTTAGTGTCTGACGATGAACACATCGTTACTCCAGGTGCTGACGTGTATTTCACAGGGTCAGAGCCCCCACAGTCTGAAGGAAGAATTATAGTGTTTGTGAAGTACTGACTGTGTAAATCAAAACAGCTCTATGGATCATAGATCACTCTTCCGCTGGGCTGTTAGGTCTCCATTAAGACTATGGGGCTCATAAAATAGTCATAAAGAGGTGGAGTTTTAATAAATATGTTGACTCATTATTTTAAAGCCTGCAGTGTCCATGTGACAAACATAATAACTGTATGTTTTAAATAGTCTTTTAAGATATAGAAATATGATGATATATTCATGATACATGCAAGTTTTTGTGCACACCATCGAAGAGATTGATAAAAGTTTTGAGAGAAAGCACGACTACCGTCCCTGCATTTACATCAGAGTCAATATTGTGGCGCAGGACTCATGCTTTTGAAAATTTTCTTGAATTTTGAAGCAAAATTAGACTTCTAAAAACATACATAATTCTAACAAGAATAGGGGGGCCCTGAATCTCCCAGACTATAATGCAGTAATGATTTATTTGTCCAAGTTAGGGCAGTGCAGCAGACATGCAGCATAAAAAACATTCATTTAAAGTTGTATTTCAGCTCACCTGATAAACAAAGGTGATATTTTTCACTCAGCTAAAGGCTCAGTTTTTTTCTTAACTAAAATCCTGAGAAATACTTGTATCTCTTAAGTTGGGCTGTAAGTTTAAACACAACAGTGCGGTGAAGGTGAACTGCAGCACACACAGAGATGGGGTCTGTGCTTGATTTGGTCCTGCAGAGTTTGACTTGGCTCAGAGGCGTGAGACGTCTGGATCCCCGTTCACACAGGATGCAAATGAGCTGACCTCAATGTCTGTTTTGGATCCATCAAACCAGATTCTCACAAACCGGTCATGTGTCTGCGTGTCAAACTTGTTGTATTAATCTTTGGCAAACTTCACTGATGCATACTTAATGCATAATTATTCCTCGCTTGTCTTACAAATCAGATGTCGAACCGTCGTGTTTCGTTTGTGTCAGATTTTACTGATTTAATCTTCACAGAGGAAATGTGACTTTATTCTGCTGTATGTGTGTTCAGGTTATACCAGCGAGGTGATCAGCTGCTCGCAGTAACAGTTTCAGCTGATCACTCTCTGTCCTCTTACTTTAGACGGCAGCAGGTTAACATGATTGAAATCATGGTTTCCACATTTCATCATCTCTCCTTCATAAATGTAAAACTGTTCAGTCCGTCTGTTTTTGGTCTGTCCTCTTTTGTCCTCTAAACAGCTGATGGACAGAAACTAGTTTTGCTTCTGACAGACGCCATCAGGTGAGCTGTTCAGATGAGTGAAGGAAGTATTTCTCAGCCAGTTAGAGGATGATAAATGAAGTCCTGTCAGAGCAGTCGGAGGTTTTTTTTATTCCAGGTCATTAGATTGAGCTATTGCAGAATTGAACTTTCCTCCCTCAGACACTATCTAATGGAAACAAAGTTCAGGTTCTTTAGCTTTGGCGTTAAATGTGGTGCTGATAGCGAGTTTGTTTTGTACCTTCAGTGGATGACAGCACAGCCTCTGTTACAGGAAGCCAACAGAAGCGAAAGGAAACTACATGTGAGTTATTGCTGGTTTTTAACATCGTTTTATTTATTTGTTTTATGTTGAGCATGTACAGCTCTTGAGTCCAAGTATTGTATCATATCGTATCGTATCAGGCTATGCTACACAATGTCCTGCTGTGTAATATGAATGCTTCCATTAACCCTCTGTTTTTTGACAATATTGTTCATCAGGGGTTGGAGAAAAAAATTGATTCACATAAGCATCACGATTTTTTGTTTTACAACTTCTAAATTGATTTTTATGTTCAAAAATCGATTTTTTTTTTTTTTTTCAAATTTAAGACTAAATCTTGAAAAACTGACTTACATGTGATGTGTATTTTTTGGAGAAATGTGGTTCCTGAAACAAGCAGTGGACAATCATAATCATTCAACTGTTACACTGGTGTTAAAAATGCAGATTAAAGATCAAGAAAATCAACAATATCTTAGAATCGCAATTTAAATCGAATCGGCATCCAAAAAAACGAAGAAGAATCAAATCAGGAGAAAAGCGTATCGTCCCAGCCCTATTGTTCATATTACTAAATAGTTCATATACACAGCACAGCTCATCATCAACAGCTGTTTGATCTTATAAAATAATAATAAAAAGTTTTCTAGACAAAAAAACATCCTGGTGCCAACAAGGAGTTAAATCTCTGAGTAAGGGCCTGAGCTCACTGGCAGCATTTTTCCACTCGTGGTGCCCACTTTCCACTCAAAACCAGCTTTCAGAACAATTCATAACAAACTTATCAGTCAGGGAAGCAGATTTGTTGTGATATAACTTCAGTGGCCCTAAAAGAGTCGAAGAAATAACTTTTGCAGACAGAAATGGGTCGACAGAAGGAAATAAACTCATGAGTTTTTTAGTTGTTTGATTTAGTTCTTTGTAATTTTGTGCTATCTTCAGACAAAAGTGTCAAGCTTCATATTTCCCTTTTAAAAAACGATCGCTGTAATCACAGAGCGGTCTCAGTGTTGTTCATCGAGCACTGATGTTGTTTATACCACAGCTCAGATCAACTGGCAGACGCCATTATCACTCAAAAACACAGTGAGACCTACAGGATGAACAAGATACTCTTAGTTCAAACACAGAGGAAAATCTTCCAAGAAAGTTTGGTTTCAGTTTGAGCCTTTATGAAACTTCTCAAGCCAAACTAGTCTGTGGTACAACCAGGGGTCCTAAAGATATAAAAACATGTGCAGCCGTCATGGGGCCCATTTTATGTATTTTTATGGAGCCTGAAACCCATGGCAGGGCTCCTGGGTGTGACCCAATACACAACATGTGTAGAAACTTGTGCAGTTGTGAGAATTATAGCACCAAGGAAAAGGGATATCAGAGGGAAAGGTGTAGCCGTGAAAATAGTCAAAAAATGGGGAACATTTTGCTCATATATCTTCTCAAAGGTGGATTTTTCTCTCTGCTAAAGACTGACCATCCTAAATAAGTACCACTCACTTTTAACCCTCTGCAAAACCTGTAAACTATTTCTCTAAGAAATGCAAACCAAACTCTTAGAAATGAGCTGGAGTGCTGGCATAAAGACACATAAACACACACAGACATTTACACACAGATTCAGATTCATTGATAGTGAACAGAGGGAAGAACTGTTTGCAATTCAGAGTTTGGCCTTGGTACTGAGAGGCTCTCATGTTTTTCTCCTTAATTTTTATTTCTGTATGAAACGACATCTCTGTCCCATGAGAAGTTATTCTGTGGTCGCAGTGAAGACTCTTTAAAGACGGAGTATTCGCCCTGTAACCAAGAAGGTTACAGCACAAACCCGGCCCTCAGTGTTCCCTGCAGACTGATGGTAGCCTCCCATACAGCCCGGCTGATGGCACACATGTCTCCTTCAGCTATGCAGACCCAGCAGAAGGAAGTAGATCCAAACTGGTTCAAGAACATGAATAAAAGATCGAAGGAAACCCGCAGTACTCTTTTATAAAAACATATAGCTGTGTAGAATCATCTCCCTTGTGATAATATCTAAGACGGTGCAGTATTTCATTGTATAGCGAAAAACCAAACTCAGCGTTCTTTTAATGTCATCCAAACTGTAGACGTAAAAATCTGCTCTTCATTTCTTCCTTGTTTAGACTCAGGAGAAGAAAAAAATATCTTTCACGGTGATCTGGTCTGGCTGTAAAGATTTTCTGATGAGGTCCTCAGAGACTGAAGTTTGACTTTTAAGACGTTTAAAAGGAAAAAGAGAGAAGAGACGTCGGAGTCAACAATCCTGAGTACACCGCAGAGAGCATAAAGAGCATCAGACGTAACTGTTGTAGATCATGATACAGAGTCAGCATGGAGAGCGATGTACTGAGCTCACATGCTAGTTTAGGTGACCCTTTGTCATTTTGAGGGTCTGTTTGGCATCGAGAGGAAAATCCTGATACTCTATTGTCCATCGAGGAGCTGTAAACGATGGTCATATTCCTTACATACATATCACCACAAAATATGGGCAATTTAGGGGAATCAGTCAGGTTCAGGTTACAGAGAAACTACCTACAAATGTCTTGAATATAATATCAAACAGGTTGGGAGTGCATCTCTCTGTAAACAAAGTACTTTTACAGCTGTACTATCTCAAAGACTTGTAATATTTATCTAAAAAAAGAGAGTTTTATGAGCGAGAAGCAGTTTGTTTTAATGTCTGAGTGAATGTGAGCTTGTGTTTAACCTTGTTTATGCTGTCTTTGTTAGAGACACTGAGGTTGGACACAAAAACACTGTTTTACTTTTTTTAATATTTGAATTTCATGTAAATACCAAGTTGCTATCACTCCAAATTTTCAGCGTAGACACCAAATACCGCACAGCGAGGGGCGGAGTCGGCTGGAAGGCCAGGGTTATATCCCAGGTCTCACACTCCACATGCCAAGGTGTCCTTGGGCAGGACACTTGACCCCAACTGCCCCTTCTGGCTGCACCCAGAAATATCTGAACAGGATTAATCAAAACCTGATGGATGCTTTACATCAGTGTGTGAGTGTGACAAGTCATGTAAGAGCGCTTCGAGTGGTCAGAAGATTTTTTAACTCTTAACTCTTAACTCTTAGGCTAAAAAAATGCTAAAGGACACCATGATGACACAAGTACAAGGAAGAGTTTCAGGTGTACTCATCCAAAATAAAAAAAAACAAAAAACAAACTGATGGATGTCTTGAAAAATGAGACAAAAAATACATAAAACGCTTAATTATTCCAGCAAAAACAGTCATGAGTTAAACTAAACCAGCAGGGATGTAATGGAAATACACAAATCACAGTACAAGGCCAGCTGGTACATATCCCATCAACTATTATTCTATAGTTCACCATTAAAGTATCATCTACCTCTGTTAGGTCAACAATCCAGCAGTGAATAAAAGCTCCTCTGAGGCTCAAACAGATGGAGATAAGTTTGTGTTTCGATATTTTTGGCAACTTGAAACCACGTCTAACGTGAGACAACGCAGCTCCGTCTCAACCATCACAGATTCAGAGAGAAATGAAATATTTCTGAGTGTTATTTTGTGCTCCAAGAAGTAAAAAACACCTCACACATTGGATGATTAAGTTCAAGATCAGGTTAAGAGAAGGGGATTATGTCTTATTATACGCCACATTATAAACACCATGTCATTAGTCAAGCTGCCCTCACACTGAATATCAAAAGAGCAGCAATCATCCTTCAATCCTTCACACATGGCTGTGTGTGGTGGTCAGGGTGAGGGCCATCTTCAGCCTGGTTAAATGTTTCCATGCAGAGGTTTGCTAACAGCAGCTGGTTGCACAATTCCACTCAATGAGAGGAGGCCTCATGCAAGGACAGCATGGTGGGAAGATCTCTGCAGCTGATCGTGCAAATTTTCATGCAAAAGGTTTATGCATACGTGGGAACGAATGCACAACATGGCAGCAGATTATATTCTTAGAGTTTCAAAGAAACAAACTTATTATTTTTGTTTAGTTTGTGAGTGTATGAAACAGGTTTGTTAACATTTTCATAAAATCGATTAAAAAAAATAGGCTGCAGTTCAGCCAAATCCTCTCAGAATTGGCCAACATTTGAATTCCCACAACATGAATTGAAACTACTTCATAACGAAAGTAATTATCTGTTATGAGAAAAGGCAGATTTGATGGCAAAAATTCAGAAATTGTTTCTTCTGGCAGCCAAAAACTCTCGCCCCAGTGGGGGAGAAAGAAATATTTTTTGGGGAAAGATTATGACTTTGACTTTATGCTAATAAGATCCACATCCCCCTGAGTGTGTGTGCATGTGAGTGTACGTGCATGTGCGAACACACCTGTCACATACATAAATCACATCAGACACATGAGAGGACAGACAGGAAGAAAGCTCTCTAATTATTCTGTTCATAGTTAACCCTTTAATGCCTTTTGTATCATGTTTGATACATACACTTATGATACTTCTATCAAATCAATATGATCAACAACACTTTACAATAACCATAACTTATAAATGGTAAATAGATCATTTATAAATGGTAAGCAGATAGTTTATTAATGTTTAATCATCATTTATAAATAGCATATAGACTGCTAATAAATTGTAAATTTTATAATTTTGAAAACCTAACCCTAACTTCACAATAACCATCTAAGTAATGTTTATAGATGGTTTAAAAACTGAATATTAACCATTTACAAAAAGCTACTGACACACATTTTAATCTAGATGTTTTACAACCAATATTTAAACCCTATATAAACCTTTAATAAATAGTCAATTAATAATAATCATGGTTTTGTAAAGTGTTACCCAAATCACGAAAAAAAAAACCCCACCTAAGTACAGTTCGATAAATGATAAAAAAAATGTCCTCTAGCTTTCAAAAACATCTAATGTATTAAACAAGATGAATGTTTATATATTTGTTAAATTTTAAGGACATTTTTATTTTTCAGTACTAAGTGAAATAAACATTTCAGCTCCAAAGAAATATGAATTTTCTGGCCATAATTAAAGGGCTATGTGAGCTGAAGAGCTAAATAAACTCCATCATTATTCCAAAGAACATTATATTGTGAGTTTTCTATATATTATATCGTATCTTTTTGCATACAGACATATTTTGGGCTTTTCAAAGATGTCAGCTTCATCAATTCCTAATAAAAATCCAAACGTGTTTTTAATGTCTTGATGGAGGGAGATGTGAGGGTAAAATTTTGGGCCGTTTGCTTCACGTATGGATTCAAACACTCTGAAAATTTGGAAAGTTTTGGGGGGTTTAATGCAGCTTGATTCAGGGAAGAAATAATATGCATTATCCATTAGTGTCTTTTCTCTTTAATAAACACAAGCCTAAAGTCACATGACCATCCGGCTCAAACAGGAGGGGTGGGTTTCGGGTATAAGAAGACGTTTAAGGCTCGATGAAGATGAAAACTGACTGTCAGAGTGACATGTTTTGATTCGCTGCCTCTACGCTGCTGCTCCCCTGTGACCTCTGACCCTGTTTGACCACACAGAAGGCCTCCCTCAGCGGGGTTATGGCCGCTCTTTAACCCTCTCTGATACCTCAGTGTTTGTAAGACGTGTGGAAGTGTGACCCTGACATCACAGGTCAACCTGGCGTGGACCAGGAGGAGTTCACAGAGAGGGTCAATGACTAAAGCAGATGATTTCAATATTGGGTACTTTAATAAACGCAAATGAAAAGAGGGGACATGTGACAGGAAATATCAAATAGAAAATTGAATAAAGGGTCAATACAAGTGATTGGTATAAGGTTGACGGCGAGGTCAGAGGAAATTCATATTACACTGAGTGAGAAAGAGGCGATATTGAGGTTTTAGCCAAAGTGGTGAATATGGGGTGTGAGATCCCAAGAGTGTCTTTTCAGTGAGAGTCATTAGTCTAAACATAGACACTCAGCACGGCTATAATTCATACATGAAATGTGTGTTTACACTTGAGAGGATTCAGCAGCAAATCATCAGATAAACACACACTCCATGCAAACAGTTGTATAAATATGAAGAAATAAGATCGCGTTACTGGACAAACATGAATTTAATGACCCCAATGCTTCCAGTTTATCCCCCGGAATTTGGATCTAATTCACTGGGGGTGGGTGATGTAATGTGAAAGCAGAAGTTGTTTCAGTTTAAAAGAAAAGCAAAAGGAACCATTTAAAGGAATCTGTGGTGCTAAACTCCTAACCTCTAAATCTTTGGAGCAGAAATGTCAGTCCCTGATTAAAGCAGCTCTGCTTTTCTTCCAGAAAACTTTAAGGATTTCCCAGAATTAGCAGTGCTGACGCTGTGACAAATCACATCACCCTGAATCCACCTGCAAACAATGTTGAAATAAAAACCTCCTCTGCTTTTAATGCAGAATGCACTAACAGCTGGTGTATTTTCTGTTAAGCTGAACTGAGATAACATTTTGCATATTGACTCTTGTCGATTCAGTGTTTTTGGTCTTTCTCAGAAGTGCCTTGTATCACTCATACCTGGCTGAATCCATGCTAGGTCTGATCCTGGTGTTAATGAAAAGGGGGCAGGGGGAAGCCAAATAAAGTATAAGCACCACTTTGTGCTACTAGCTAGTATATCTGCTCCTTGGAAAGTGTACTTACTTGATGTTTAAAGTGTATGTCTGACTGATCATGTCCAAGCTCTTTAACTCTCAGCTTCTCCTGCAAAGATCTTTTGTCAAAATAATTTTTAATAGCTCTCTCCATGACTTGTATTTTCCTCAGGTTCAACAACTCACTCTTTCACTATGTAATTCCATTTACCTTGATGCTACATACCTAACTCTTTGTGTCTCAGTTACAGAAAAGTAGCCCACCTGTTAGCTAATGGTGTGTAGTGTGGTTTGGACACAATTAAATGTGCTCTGATGTTTACTATTAAAGTTGCATATAATAAACCTTTACTTTTTTCCCCAAAACAAAAAGGCATCTCCTCAAGGTGCATGAACACCTGATAACTTTATAGTTTGCCCTTTTCTTCAACCTGCCCTTCTCGGGGTCAGGGTCAGGAGGTGGAGTGTGACTCAGCAGAGCCGTTAACCCTTTGCATCTGCTCTACAGCACGTCAACCTGACTCAGCCCAACGAGCAATAAACAAACCAAATCACCACCAAAACACAAAAGCTGAACACATCCTCAATGCAAGCGGTTAAACAAATATGTAATAAAATGACAGTAAATGTTTAAGTTTATTCCGATGTAAGTACAAGTTTGTCCCCTGACTCACATGGTAGCAAGAAAAAATTAAGACTTTGAGATTAAAGTCATTAATTTACAAGAGTTCAGTCATTACTAACGAGCATAAAGTCGTAACAAAGTAATTACTTAGGAGAATAAAGTCAGAATAAAGTCCTTATATTCTGACTTGTTTAAGATCGCAAATGTTGAAATAAGAGCGGTAGGGCATTTTGTGAAAATGTACTTTAATATATGCTCCTCTTGTAGTAGTTGTTTATTACAACTTTATTCTCGTAAGTAATGACTTATTCTCTTAAATTATTGACTTTAATTTCAAAGTCTTGATTATTTTTTCTTCTCAATGTGGCTCTAATACTCTGTCGTAAGAATCTTCAATAATAAAGTCAACATAATTTTCTTGTCACAATCAGCTTATTGTTGATATTATCATTATAACTGATTTACACACAGATTCCAGTAAATTCCTACAAAGTGCCCTTTATAAGCAATAATCATAAAACCGTCACTCTCTGTCCTGCTCAGCTGCTCATAATAACCCTCTGTATGCCCCCCCCGAAAGAAAAGGCATCTCCTCAAGGTGCACGAACACCTGATGACTTTAAAGTTCGTCCTTTTCTTCTGCTCGGGGTCAGGGTCAGAGGGTGGAGTGTGACTCATCAGAGCCGTTAACCCTTCGCATCTGCTCTACAACACGCCAACCTGACTCAGCCCTGAAGAGCAATAAACATTCCCAAAGGCCAACAGGAATAAAATGCCTGATTATCTATTTTAATAACCCCAAACTTTTAGCCGACTGAAGAGGTACAGAGATGTAACCTGAGGCAGACAGTGACAGTTTCTCTGCGTCTCAGTTTTGGCCACAACAGTGAGAAACTGCAGGGATGACCTGGCATGTGGAGGGAGACACAAGCAATCACTGCAGATCATTAATATACCAGACCTAAGACCTGTCACTTACTTTGGGTAAACTATCTGTTTACTCACTACTTGTTGCATCTTACATACATCAACTTTTAATGAGGGGTTATGTCGTTAAAAGAGAACTTTTATTTAATCACACTCTATAAAAGTATATTAATTAAATGGGAATGCACAATATGGATTATTTAAGTAAAGATTTGTTAAAGGGATTCATTAATGTTCTTCCTTGAGCTGCGTCACCCCGCTGTAGTCCATAATGGACTGGCCTGAGGTCTCGCTACAAACAAGCGGCTGCTGGAAGAGAGTAGGTGAGTTGTGTTTAGTCTCTTTGCTACAGAAATTAGTCAAAGTTAAAAAGATGTTTGGTGTCTAGTACTATGGCTGGGACCCTATATGTTCTGTCGATGAAGTTAGGTGCTGTTCTGAGCATTATTTGTGGCTATAGAGTGGCGTTTTGGTTGAGGTTTGTTTATGGCTCCTCAGACCGCTCTGTATTGCTTTTGTGTGGTCGTTACTAAAGTTGGTATAACTAGAGACGCAAGCGGTCGGCAACATTCATCTCTGGAGGGAGTGTGTAACCTGGTGTTTCGGTGTGTTTGACCCTTAATTAATTTTACACCAGAATATCCCCTTAAGTAATATCTCCAATTTTAAACAAAATTTCCCCATGTTTATGCTTTTACAGTATTTGTTTAGTGCAGCAGGAGCAGAAAAATGGTCGTGTTTAGCACCAAAGATTCGACCTCGTCACTCCTCACAGTTTGACTTGTACCTGCAGGAATTGAGGAATGATGAGAAATGTCTTAAAACCCCAGTTAGAGCCTGCAGGTGGACGCTGAGGTGGAGGTCGGGTTAAAAATTAAAGTGCAGCACAGAAGCATGGCAGTGCAATGACACAATTGTCTGTTTTTGTTTTTTTAAATGGAGCCCTCTAGTGCAGAAGGTAATGCTAAACAGTGTGGGCTTCTTCATATCTAAATAAAGCTACTTTTATCAGTTGTTCTCCATGATAAAGCTGTAGTATGAGAACAAAATAAAGACTATTTGTACCTTTATATTTCTGATAAAGCTTGATTTGATTTGGTTTTAATTTGTCTCAAACACATCTAGATAGAAAGACTCAAAAATGTTGAGAATAGATAAGCGTTTCTATAGATGATGAAGCCAACAGCTAACATGAAAAAACCTGCATGATGCTTTTGAGGAAGCGCAGAACTGCTGAGTGACAGTTTTTCAGTTTAATGTACACTCTGGGTAACAGGCTTCTGTAGTAAACTGCATCTATGTCGTCAAATCAAAACCCAAGCTTGTGGTATGAATATAGAGAGAGTATCAATCTTGACAGGACAGATTTCTTCATCACAGTCCTGAGAATACTTCCTTTGACCCCAGCAGAGTCTTGCTAACTTCATTCAATCTCCACATACCACACTCGGAGAGAGAAATTTGTCGATTAGCTGAGCAGCGTTGCATGACACCGCACCTTGTCCAGATTTCACGGTCGCTTGATTTGATGGAGGCCGCACTATGATATATCCGTACAGTCCTGACCTTTAGCTCCTGACACAGCCTGAGAGTCTAAAACACGATGTGGGTTTGGAGCGGGGGGAAAGATGTAGATGTTCAAATCCTAACTGAGCAGAGTAACTTTCCTGTGAACCTCTGCAGGAGGCGTCACAAAGCATGACTGATAAATGTAAAATTGTTATACATACATACCAAATACTCTCAGGTTTATAATCCTTTACCTGCTCTAGAGTTATTCATAACAGTTGGTCTAGTAGTTTTACTTTTCTAGACTTTCCTACTCGGCTTTCTTTCCTTCTACTAAAGTTAGGAGTGTGTGCAGTTCTGCTCCTTCTGCAGTCATGTCAGCGCTGTGCTAACTGATGCAGAGGTCATGGCTCCTCTTGTGAAAACACGTGCGCTAATTGGTACATGCATCACGTGGGGTAAAAAAAACACGGAGCAATGATTATAATAAATTGAACTTTTGAAAGTTTTTGGCTTTTATTTGTGTTGAACAAATACACAGTTTGGATATCTACATCCTAACACAAACATCTGCTGAAGAGCGGATAAAAACACGTGACTTCGCTCCCTGTTTTGCGTCACCTTCATGAACAGTGGTCAGCTTTGTTCATGGTTGTGTTCGAGTGTTTTCCGTTAAGCGAATTAAAATAATGGTCCATTATGGTTTTAAAGCATTCTTAGGCAAAATTATAGTAAATTACTGACGTCATGTACTTAATGAAACCAGATTATGGTCTGATAAGTTTTCATCAGAAGGAGAAATGCATGAGTCCTTCTTCAAAACACCTTTTTTAATTTCTTCTCTGCTCCTGGTTTGTTCTCGCCCTGAGCAAATGTTTTCACTCCTGTTCTCAAAGCTGCACGCCTGATGTGGATCGTCGCCCACGCTTGACAAGGACCAAACATGAAGAGACACAAACAGTCCTCTTTTGTGTGAATAGAGAGAGCTGAATTGCTTCACAAATTGAGTCTGTGTTTGAGATGTTTCCCCGAGGAGTCCAAAAAAGCGAGCCTGACCACAGTCTAAACAAAAGCCAGACAGATAAACCTGCAGCGAACATCTCTCACAGCAGAGACGAGCAGCACGTCCAGACTCTTCCCATACTCACTGCACATACAGAAGAAATAATATGATTCTATACATAAAGGCTTAACAATAATACAGAAACATATCTGTGACTAACTCAAAAGGACGCATGCAAAATGAGTTTGTGGATTAAAGTGATATTATGGCTTCATAGTTAATCAAAAAGACTTAAATCCTCTTTTGTGCCGCAGATGCAGGACTGAATCCTAACTTTCTGTTGTTAATAAAGAAGCACATCATATTGTTTTACCAGAGCACATTTGTTTTTAATTCTGACTCCAAACTTTTTATTTCTCAACCAATTTTTTCTGTTAAGTACAGCCTGTCAGTTAAATTTGCAATACTGAAGTCTTCTCCAAGAGTAATCTCTCACAAAACAATCACAGGGCAGAAACAAATATATATATTTTAGGGCTGTCACAATGTACTAGTATGAACGATAACTGTCTTTCTATGAAAATGAAACATGTAACTCAGGCTGAACTCTAGCTGCGTTTACACTGGCACAAATAAAAGGAATAAATACCCGATCGGAATAAAAATGAATCATGTCGATCTGAAGATTCTGATCCAATTCGGCTCAGGGGTGGTTTATGCCGATCGTTATTCCGAATCACGTCCACGTAAACACTTATTCCAATCGTGACTCTCTTACCTGACTTGCTCTTCACTCTTTAGCCTTTGGTTTATGTATTGAGGTCAGTACAGGAGGTTGATTATTAACACTGTGACATAAAACACAACCTCAGGTATCGTGTCTGCTCCTCGGGTAACAGAACAAGGCGTACATACAGCGTGATGATGTCACATCTACACGCATTAGTACAACCTTTGACTGAACAGTAAAATAAGTACGCAAGGGCGCCATCTAGTGACAACATTTCACAGGGGGGAAAACTCCTGAGTTGGATGAAGTGAGCCATGACCGTGTTTGTTGGTTTGTTGACAGTACAGGCGTAAATACAACTCTTCCTCTGTGGTTGTTTTAGTGAAATCAGACAACTCTGCGCATGTCCAAATGCTTCTAATCTGAATGAAGCTTGGTGCATGTAAACGAACGTCATGATCGGATTTATTAGATTTTGCACCCATATAAACAGTGGATTCAGATTATCGGATCCCTCAAATTTTCAATCGGATCAAGAAATTTTGCACATGTAAACGTGGCTACTGTGAGTTCATACAACACTCAGTACGCTTACATGACACCTGAGAAAACCGATTTATCGCCTTACTCCGATTAAGACCTTACAACTAAAGTGCAGGTAAACACCTTAGTCTGACTATAATCGGAGTTTGAGAACTCTGATTAAGACACCCAGATAATGCGATTGGAATTTCGATTTTCTCTACCATGTAACTAGCGCAGTCGGAGGTATGATCGGACAATACATATGCAAGTGCACCACACTTCACACGTTCACGCCAATAATTCAATTTTCTCAGCTGCATGTATATGCGGACAAGGAGAGAAGTCCGAGAGAAAACCGAATTACCAGCTTACTCCGATTTAGCTGTGCATGTAAACGTACTCACTGTTTGTTACACCTCATACAACGAAGAATAGGTGAAGAAGAAGTAGCAGACTGCTTGCAAGCTAGCGAAGGCAGGCTGAAGGGAGATGATCGGCTCAAATGCTGATCACTGATCAATAGATATGCCCACTTTCACTCCAGTTTAACAGATTGGATTAGGTTTCAGACCTCCCTACAAATGAAGCAGATGCATCTCATTTGAATCACAATGATTTGAGTGTTTGATATTGACTTGCACTGTGCAGACGCTCCTCTGTTTCTTTCTGGACTCTCCTCATAAATCATAGAGGACAGGATTGAGCTGCAGCTCGGAGCTGTGGTCTTGAGGCCTGAGTGTGATCCCCAAAGCCCAGACTGCTGCACGTGTGTGAAAGATAGCGTCTGACAGTGTTGGTCCTGGAGGACACGGGGGATTATGTCTGCATAAAAAGGCCTCAGGCTGAGTTTACAAGTCATAACTGCTTGAGTGAAGCCTTTACAAGAGTGTGTGTGTTTCTATAGGGAAGAGGGGGGGGGCAGGAAACAAGTGTAATCCATCACGATCAGTCCATTAAGCCCCAGACAGATTCAATTAAAGGGAAAAATAATTGCATGTGGCACAATAACAGAAAAACAGCTCTGCTCGAACACTTGGCCACACTCAGCCGGCTGATATTCAAACACAAGAGACTGAACTGAATCTCCACCGCCGTCTTCTCTCTCCACATTTCCTCCTGAATCTGCGGTGGGGTCCTGCATGGTGATTGTGATTTCACGCATGAAAATGTAAAGCCAGTCGCCTCAACAGAAAACAAATGTTCCTCTCTGCGCTCGTTAAGCGTTGAAAATATCTCCCTCAACCCGAACCAAAGCAGAATGTTAATAGGTTTCAAATTAACATTGTTTCGTTGTCCAAATACTTTTTAAAGTCTTTCCGTGCGTCTACGGCCAGCTGAGCAAATATGAGCGATTCACCCACGGGGAGTATAGATTTCACTTCATAGGAGAGCTCCGTGGCAGACCAGCTAAAGCAGGAAGAGTTCAGACCTTCAGAAATTAAATATGTAAAAGGGGAAACCTCATATTTTAGCACAACAATAGAAACTACAGAGGAGAGCCTCAACCAAAGTATGGAACCAGAAGAAGCTCACTAATCTCCTCCAGAGCTGTCAGGACCCGGTATGAAATCAGTTTAGTTTATTTTGGAGTGAGATAAGAGAGACGTGGATATGCCACTATAGATTATAGCGTTTTCAATGAACTGTTAGCTGCAGCTCTTTAACAGAGATCAGGAGGATGAAGGAAAACTGCTCTTTTAAAGCTTCACTAAGAATCCTTTAAGTCATAACTCTGCATTTTAAAAACATCCTTGTTGCCAAGAGTTAGATAAGACGACTGGGAGCATCTGAAGGCTGCAGCAGTTAGCTTAGCTTCACAAAAAGACAAGAAACAGACGACTGAAAATGTTCTGCTCCAGATATAACACTTAAAATAAGTCATTTTTACACTTTTAAAAGTCAAGATTCAGTGTGTTCACTTTCTCAACTTTTAAGACCTGAATGTGTTTTAACCTTTAAATCAAAGCTGTGCAAACTTGATGTCTTTTTTGCGGTGAATTGACTTGATACAAAAGTGGTTTAAGTATTTAAATGTACCATCAAAAGTGCTAAATCTTGCTAAAATCTGTCATAATTTACTATCAATGATCAGTGAATAGAAATATAGATTATTTGGTATAGAGAAAAGACTTTGCAGCATTAACAAGAAATGGAAATCTGCAGGTTGAGTTGGTTAGCTGGAAATCACTATTTGCTGTCAGGGATTATCATTAGAGCGATGTGTTGAGTAAAAATTAAAATAATACGCTACACAGCCGGTTGTGGGTTGCAGAAAAAGCCATCCTATATCACAAAAGATGCAGGCAACAGACTACATCGGGGTGACGCAGCTCAAGGAAGAACATTTTTGATCAATACTTTATCATTTTCTTGAAATAATAATCATCATAATAATCATTTTGCACTGCAGACGCGGTCGTTCTTCTGCCTTAGCGTCTCGGTCTGATTGTATTTCCATGAGGAAATGAGTTGGTATAATGAGAGAAGCAAGCAGTCGGCAACATTCATCTCTTGATGGGGTGTCTAACTTGGTGTTACGATGTGTTTGACTCTAACTCAATTTTACGCCAGAATATCCCTTTAAGTTTTGTGCTTTCCAATAAAATGCATTATCAAAGTTGTTCACCAGGTTTCACTGCAAACAGAAACTCATATTTTTACCACAGTGTCAACAGGCAGAGAGGAATCGCACCACAGTTTTTGATATGACATGTGGGATCAGGTTGTCCCTGGCAACAATGTGTTGTCAGTAAATAACACACTGTTACTGTGGGGTATTAGCCAATCAGAATTAAGTATTTAACTCAACTGGGAATGTTCCATGTTTATGGTTAGTGTCTGGTTTACATCTGTAGGTCATAAAGAGGCATAAATGTTCATTTCAGGCTGTTTCATTCGCAGTCTAAACCCTGTTATTATTACTACACCATGCTTTATTGTGTCATTCTGGAAACTGTAATGTTTAGTATAATTGTATTAAATGTTCGGGGTATAAATGTGCACACTCACACTAATCACACACTGTTAAGTTGAGCCGAATTTTAAAAGCCACAATAGCACTGAAAGAGGAATCCTCAAAACTTCCTGAACTGTTCTGTTTCTTCTCTGCTCCCGGCTGTAAAGTCATCAAACCGTCCAGCCATGTTTCCTCTGTATCCTCTCATTCAGCCACACTGAGGGTTACAGACTCCTCCATCAATCTCCTTTATCTTCTTTATACCCAAAGTGTTAAATTGTGGGAAAAAAAGCTCTTCCTCTACCCTCTCCCTCATCTTATCAGGTTTTATACGGTTAAAGATAGCGCCTCAAAGCCCCAGACATTTCCCAGAAGCCCCCTGCGGGTCCTGAGGTCTGCTCAGGAAAGAGAGACAGCAGGCGACCAATCAAAGGTTACCTGTCTCAGCCTGGGAACAAGATGTGTCTTATCAAAATCAGAGCGCGACACAAACCTGCTAACCAGCCTCACCTGATAACAGAGATTCAGAGCGAGCAGAAGAAGAAAAGGAGGAGAAAAAGGAGTGAAGAGGAGCTGTAAATTATGGAGAAGAAGAAACACATCAAAGAGGAGGATTAACAAAAGAGTGTTTTTTTAATTTGGGTGCTAAGTTCTTGATTTAATTATCAGGTGTTAACTATACAGGAGCTGTGCTTTAAACTAAATCCTGTCTCGTCCAGAGAAAGACGCCAAAAAACAGCCCTTAGTTCCTGGTAAACATGGCGCATGAAGACCTGCTGGGATTGTTAAAGGGGTCTGGAAAGCATACGGTTTTAATGTGTGTGTGTTAACCACAGGGCTCCTTGTAGTTCAGCCTCATTATCATCACTAGTCTAGCTTAGGTGTACTGTAAAACCCTTATTAGCTGCTACAGGATGTAAATCTTGTGCCTGATTGTGTGTGTAGGTTGTGTCAATAGAGAAAAATCGTGATCTGTAGGTCCGTATCGCTGTCACATAATAAAGGTAGGAGTGGTTTTTGCTTGTTTTACTGTAATCATGTGTTAGGGCTGTAAAAGTTTGACTGAAAAGCAGAGGTTTTTGCACTGATTGGTCTCTGTACGTTTATTCTGACTTTCCTCTTTAATGGGATTCAAGTGAAAGCAACAGTCGGTGAATAGCTGCCACACAAATCCGCTGACAGACAGACGGACAAGCTCACATTTCAGCAGCACAGCCGACATCTGAACAGCAGATTATCACAGCTTCTTGACCATTATACACCCCCTGAATGGTCTTGATTCCCTCTTAATGGCATCCTTGCATTTGTAAAGCGAGGAAGTGAAAGAAATGGCTGAAGAAAGAAGAAAAGAGAGAACCTTATTTCACATTCACCTCCTGAAACCTTTTCAGAGCTCAGACACAAAGATGCTTTTGTCAGGGGGAGTCTGGGGTTAACAGAGGCCTGCTAAGGTCCAGAGGCAGCAACACGGGGAACCCCTTCACACACACACACACACACAATGACATGAAACTTCAAGAATTACAGTTTATCAAATGTCTAAACCGGAATAAAACCACGTCTTGTTTGAAAGTATAGCAAACATTGATGTTGGTACAAGTGTATGAAACTTTTCGGTAGTTTACTTTGTCACCAGAGAGCTGCTTTGCTTTATTTCTAGATAAAACCCATACCAGTTCTTCCATCTACAGCACATGGAAACGTGCAACAGAGTCTAATCTTACTGGTTTTCTTCACATTTCAGGGTGCTCCAAAATAATAACAATAATAATAATGCATCAGATTTTATAGCACTTTATCAGAGACCCTCACTTTACATTGGATACATCATTCATTTGCTCACACAGTCACACCCTGGTGGTGCTAAACTACTGTAGTGGTCACAGCTGCCCTGGGGCAGACTGACAGAAACGTGGCTGCCACACTTGTGACCTTTTATTAAACTGAAGCATCTTCATTTGGTAGAGGCAGTTTGGAAAAGGCAGTTTTTTGGACATTAAAGCAAAACTGCCCTGATGGAGAGGTTAGTATACCTTTGTAATGGCCACAAGTGAAAAAGAAGATGATTTTTTGTTTTGTTTGGTTTTTTTTTACATCAAAATGTATCTGTAAAAAGTGGAATCCTCTTGTCTTTGGGGATTAATTATTACATGCTAATATGAAGCGCCACAGGGGTAAAAGATGGTGAGACATGGCGACCAGAGCGAAGTAGAGCAGAGAAAAACAAGTTACTGACTACTGAGGTCGACTAACAATGCTTTTTTGGGGGGGAAATTCTTCCAAATACAACAAGCTTATTGCCAATTATATATTTTTCTTTATGAAATCAAGATGAGGTCTTGACAGGGTGGAGTTGTCATAATCAGGGTCATCTTAGATTTGAGTGAGAAAGAGAGCAGAAAATGTTCTCAGAGTCTGACCTGGACCCTGCCTCTTCATGGAAATCATGTTTGGTTTCATCAACCACTAAAATCAAACTGAGACCCTGATAAACATGTGGCCCTAAATTTCTTAAACTACAGTGGGAACCATGTCCACAAAAATGGTCATCCTTCTGTACCCGACTTATTTATGATACCTGCAGATGCCTAAAACTTTACCTGCAACTTTAAGACATGAAAAAACATTCAGTATTATGACTCTTTGACCATTCAAAGCACGTTTTACAGACAAACCATGTGGTTCGAACAAACTTTTGTATGGTATCCTGAGTTTTTTTTATGTGTTATATGTATGCTGTTGCCTCAGGAGATTTTTTATCTCAGTGGGCGAAAAAGAGCTGAAATAAACGAAGAACAAACTGAGAAGTGGTGTTGATGTGTGCTGTGAGTTTTATTCTCATATTTGCCTTTCTGAAATGGTTTTCCAAGCTGTCTCTACCACCACTACACAAACTCAAATGCACAAAGGAAATGTTGGGATCTTGTCTTTCTCCTCTTCTTTAGTTCGTTTGTGGTTGGAAAAATCTGGGATGAGGAATTAGAACTAACAAATGGAAAGAACCATGACTAAAAGGATTGGACGTGTGACACATAAAACCTGATTTTTAAACTTTGAGTCTGGTCTAAAATCTCTGCTATGTCTGTCTTTCTGAACAATACTAAACCATTTTACATTTCAAGGCTAATAATAGTTTAAGCGATTCCAAGCTGAGACAATTGATCAAAATGTTTAGTTGTGTAGTTGTAGCACAGAAGAGGTGGAAAAATATGTAAATGATAAAAACATCTCTTTGTAAAATGACTGAAGGTGGGACTTGGTGGTAAAAAGTAAAAATGAATGTTTTTATGCCTCAATCTCACATCCAACCCCTTCTTTCAATCACAACTTCAGAAAAGTATTCCTTAACTTTATTTTTTGCTCATATTGTCTCAACTAGTGCAAATAATACAACAAATATGAGCAAATGCAAAGTCTAGGAATGCTTTTACAGAGTGAAAATCTGTTAATCCTATTTCTGTCTGCACAAAAATCTCTCTGTCTAGTGTATTTAAAAAAAAAAAGGCGGGAGAGTGAAATCTTTGTTGCAGGACAACCATGTGGAGAAGATGGATGAGCGCAGAGAGGAGGTAAAGTTGTGAATAAGCCGCTTTAAACCTCCCGTCAACTGTCTCTTTTTCCTCTCCCAGTGAAAAATATCCCGTCACTGTTGTTCAGCAAAGACAGAGCAGAACCCCACAGATATTAAAACCTCATATGAAGTGCTCCACTGTGGGTTTGGAGAGTCACAGGCAGAAATGTGACTTTTTTTTTCCCATCTGTCATGTTGTCCTCTGATGTGTGGGACCAGCAGATCTGATTTCACCACGAGGCAGAGAGACTGTTAATCCCTGTTTTTTATTCAGAGGATGTGTAAAGTCCTCAGAGTGTAAACTTCATTTCCTGCCAAATCAGACACAAATCAAGCTTGGACTGTTCTTCTTGCACATCTTTGCATAATAGGAGCAGACCTCTGACTCTTTGGTTTGTCAGCTCAGGAGGGAGGGCTGGAAATAGGGGTTTATGAGTGTGTGTCATGTTAGAGGTTAATGACCCTTAAAGCATAAAACGTTGGTCAGTGCTGCTCAAGTGGTCAGGCCACATGTGGAGAAAGGTAAAAAGAGGACGAGCGGTTAGGACCACCCATCATCTGACATCATTCTGCGTTCATTGAAAGTGTTTGAAAATGAAGAGGGCCTGAATTCAAACACAGATTTTTGACATTTTTGAGACGTTTATCCAGAGCAGAAGGAAAATATGGTCTGAGGCCCCTCTTAAAAAGAAAAACATTAAAGTCCCACTCTCAGAAAAGCCTGTCCCTAAACCGAGCTCTTGTCATCAGGACTACATCCACTCTGTGCTGCTGGACAGATGGTCGCTGCTCTTCATCCACAGAAAAGAGAGTCTCTCTGTTTGGCAGGTACTTATTTCCACTGTAGCGTCAATGATTAGATGGAAACTCCTCCGAGTCAAACTGGGCAAACTACACTCTCTTGAAGCTAATGGAGGAAACTTACTAGCCAAGCATTATTACGACTACAAAAGATCCTTTAATGCAACACAATCCGCTGGACCTGGACTCTGGGTCTTTCTCCATTCAGAAAAATCTGATGTGGATTTTTCCACAGAAACAGACCTCACTTCAGAAACCATTTTCCAGAAAAAAATGTGCGTCTTATTTCAGACACCATGGTGTGTATTATCCTAGTGCGTGTGGACCAATATCTGTCCTCTGGTAAGCGTTTGCTCTCGGGACACTGCAAAGAAAATACGATTACTCCATATCTGTAGCTGTTATTTGGCCATGAAATGTTTCATGCACTGTTATATTAGATTGAATAATAATGATAGAATCATGTTATTTAAATAATCCAATTTTGTATGTTTGCTTTGCTATCTAGTGGGCAAACTAACAAAAAATAAAATATGGCTTCTATAGCACCAACATTAGACGCTCTTTTCTGCTCTGTCCTGAGGTCTGAGTCACAAATCATATTGTACCAATCAGATTCAAGCCTCAGACCTCAGTAGATGGAAATGTTTTCACTCTGTGCAGGACTGTTTGCGCCATTTTAGATGTTGTTTATGCACTGAGTCTTATTTGAATATAAAAGGGCTAATTTTGTCCAAAGTGAATGTATAATCACCAGTTTACTGATGTGCAAACAGCGCTGAGGCTGCATTCTTTGAGGACTGACTTCACACAATCACTGCATCAGAAAGAGAACATCAGGCATGTCCTTAGCAGCCCAACACATCATGGTGATTCAGATTACAAGAAATATATGAATGTAAAAAGAGTGACAATGAGCCCTGGTCTCCCCTATGTGTCGCTTATCATATCTCTTTATCAGCAGCTAATAATCAGGAAGAATAAGAACCATGAGAGAGGCTTCTTATACTTCTACAGCCACCCTCAAGCAGTTTCTGTGGGACAGGGATGCTGAGACGTCACGCAACTATAAAGACAGCTGGTGGCACAAACAGAAAATACCTGTGTGACCAGACCATCCTTTTTGGATTCAGCTAAAGAGGTCTGCAGAAAATTTGGAGCACAGGTCCCTCAAGGATCCAGCTTATGAACTGGGGCATGGCGTGTGTCCTTTTACCTCGTTCCCACAAGTTTAGCAGGCTCCAAAGTTGCACAATCCTTTCCCGAATAAGACTTCCAGGGTCTATGTATCTGAAGCCAGAATAGTGAGGCTGCAGGTCTACTTGGACACAGAAGTACTTGAGTTAAATGCATCAGGATTTACTGAGAGATGAGGATTAAAGGAGCCTCTATTTTGCAGGTATTTGGCTTTTAACGAACTGGATAGATATATTGTGCTAAAAAGTGACAGTTTTCCACCTAAATGAAGACATTTTCAAGTCTGTTTACCAACCCCACAGGTTTTCTGTGGCATGAAAATATATTATGAATCTGCTCTCTTCAGTTTTCTGCACTATTATCTGCTCCAGCGTGAAGGGTGGAAATAAAGCCTTCTTGGTTGAGGAAGTTTTGCCACACTGATGAAGATAACAACACCTTTCACAGCAGCTGAGGCCTTTCACTCCCTGGTGAAGATCGCTTTATTCTAACACACATATTTTACTTCGGTAAACGGCGTGAATCCCTCAGCGGGTACACAAATCAGATCAGATCATAAGCTGTTGTTGAATTATGGTAACCTTAGTTTGAAAGGGGAATGTGCAGAGGATGAATCAAGAGTGGGACAGGTCTCTGATTTTCTCGGCACAGTCTGAGCTCCCCTCTCTCTTTTTTCTTCTCTTTCAGCTTCACCTCCACGCTGCGCTGACTTAATGAGGAACAGAGCCCTGGTTACAGTCACTAATCAAAACCAGCTCTGGAAACAGACCTTTAGCTGGCTGTTCATTTCTCCCTCTCACCTCTTGTTACTTTGTCTTTCCTCTACATCATCTGTACCCCTCCTGTCCTCTCTCCTCACCTGGCACTGACTCTGCTTCCTGTTTTTGTCCCTCCTCTGGCAGTCTTCTCCTTCACGTCCCTTTCTCATTTGTCATCCGCTCGACTCCTCGTTGAAACACTGATGATGTACGTATGTTGCTAATATCGAGCCCACGAGAGGCCTCAAGGATCACACGGCCCATTAAGTAAAGAGGGGGCAGAGGCAAATAACTCGGGGCCAACAAACCAACCATGTCAACACACACACTGCACACCCACGCATTCATTGGCTCTCACTCAACTATTCTACAAACATCATTGTTACCCCAAGACATCATTTAATATCCTTGTATAAATCAAGAGCCTCTCACTGTAAAAACACGCCCTCAATCAAAGCTTTTATTTTAATCCTCTTAAACATCTTCCTCATCTTTTTTTCATTAAAGGTGTCCCTCAGGGATCATTTCTGGGCCCACTACTTTTTTCCCCAGTTATATATTCCCCAAGGTCAAACTATTAGCAACAATAGTATGTATCATAGAAAAACAGTTACACATCCTGTTATGATTTAACAATCTCAAGTCCAACCAAAAATCCTATACCTGTCCTACAACATATCTGTAATGTAAAACTCAACCATATTTAAAAAAAGTGATCATTTTCACCACAGTTTATTCATCCACAGTTGGCACTCTTGGACCCCCTCACATAAGATATTAAAGGGATATTCTGGCGTAAAATTAAAAAATGCACTGTGAAATGATTAATATGGTGATTATTACTTCAAGGAAATGATAAAGAAATGAAATATCCTCTATTGTAGTTTTTTCTGTTCTCTTGCCTCCAGTGGATGTACTTTTAGTTAATTGTAATGTTTTTATAATTAAATGAATAATACACTCCTGCAGAGGTGTCACCTTAACATTTATTTTCGTTTTTGTGTGTCTTGGTCTGCACGTGTATATGTGACCATGAGTTAGTGCACGTGCAAACTGATCTGCACATAGAATCTTTTCATGTTGGTTTATGCCGTCATGAAAAATCACCTTCTCTTTCCCAGCTGGGGAGTTACTTCAAAGGCGCCGCGCAGGATGAATAGCATGTAACAATATCTCGTATTTGTCCATGTGAAAGGGGACAAGATACTCTGTCTTTGCTTCTGTCCTGGTGCTGTTTCCTCACTCTGATTAATAGACTTTTGATTGCAGCTGCAGACCTGAACACACACACTCCCCCCACACACACAGAGCTGCATGCCTGCCCTTTATAAAAGCCTGCTGAGTTACAAAGAGAGCACATAAAAGTGACAGTCACTTAAGCTGCTCCATCTTTCTGACTGACAGCTGTAGCTTTAACTCTCTCTTTAAATGCTCTTTAGGTGTTTTATGAAATGACCTGGGCACGGAGAGCAGTAAAGAGACAGCAGCTGGGGTGTTACGGCTCAGCGGAGGACTGAAAATAGAAAGACGTGGGGGGTTGTCCTGAAAGGAGAGGATGGCAGGAGGAAAAGGGAAAGATGTGTTTAAAGTGGATGAAAGTTTATTTGTTTTTTTAATGAAAATCCAAACAATTCAAAGAATATTTTTTTCACCCATTCACTCATGCAGTTTACTTTAAGTTTCCTGGAAGTGTCCCTGAAATTATCCAAAGCAGCATGTTCACGCATGTCCCTCACAGCATGAAGTCTTCCCTGTTGGTGCGGGGTTTGAGGGTGGGGGTGGGGATGAGTCTTGAGAGGAGGGACGTGACATCGGATATCTCTTACATTTAAAGACAGGACATTTCCACCCCTGTAAAGCCTGATTTATACCTCTACAATGACCCTACACTGTTATCACGACATATTTAAGCGCTAGAGTGTCCAGACCACTTTGCAGCTCTGGCCTCGTCAATGCTGATTGGCAGCGTTTTGTCTACCCTAGTCGTAGCTTCAGTTTCCAGCTTTCTCTGCTTGTTTGGACTGAATCCGAGCAAATATGTTGGAGGGTGAGCAGATGATATTTCTGCAGTATTACAAAGAAGAAAAGTGAGGAGATGTTGGAGGAGATGGAATAGGCAGCCGCTGAATCAGTGAAAATCGCAGATACTTGACAGGGATTGACACTAACATTTTTCACAAGGAGCAAAAAAAAAAAGGAGGGAGCACACAAAGAACTTTAGGGGCACAATAAAAACTGATCAAATAATGTTTGTCTTATTGGTGAACATAAGTACTATTATTTGAAATCAATTTTAGGTAAATTAGTCACATGACATGGAAGCTATTGAAGAAAACGTTCAAAATTTGCCTTTTAATTAGCAAAAAAAACAGAGGTGTTTCTTGTGATCCGACCTTAGTACCATTATTTGAAATCAATTTTAGGTCAGTTGGTCACATGACATGGAAGCTATTGAAGGAAAACAGCCTTTTTTGAAAACTTTAACTAGTAATTTATTTACGGTCCCTTATTCAACACTCGGAGTTGACAGCGAGGAGTAGATTTAACCGCACTGCTGTTGTTACTCCCTGTTATGGAGAGTGAGAAGACACCGGTAGATCCTCAGTGAATGTCCCTCGGATATCTAACCTAAAACTAACTTCACTGCGGTATTTACAGGAAAAAACATTTGTTGCCTCGGCTGATTTTCTTATGCGCACATGTGCCCCTAAATACGTTTTACAATTCGCACACATCTATTTTTAGTTGCAAATTCGAGTAAAACTGTCTCACTGTCGAGCCCTGCCTGAACTTTTACAAGTTAAGGATAATGATGGATAATGGATGATACCTGGTGGACCAATCATAGGGGTTGTTGTATTTTCGGTGAAGTGCACGTCATGCAAAAAAACTGACTTACTGTGGTCGTCTGGCTGTCAAAGTTATTCTAGCTCTGATCTTCTATCTGAGGTAGAAGAGCCTGAATGAGGTGGAAACATGTCTCTCATGCTGTGTGTTCACCAGCAGACCATCTTGGGCTTTGAGGTGTGGTAATAAATTGTGAGACTCTCACACACTAGGACACAAATATTTTGCCATTTTGTGAAAGCACAAAACTGTGGTGATGATGGGACTTTGTTGTGGAGCTGCAATGTGTAAAAAGCTAAAAGCTCACTGTGAAAACCACAGTGTAATGTTTACAATCTACTGGCAGACTAAGCCTCTCCGCTCTATGATGGCCGTTTCTACTTTTCAATCTATTCTAAGTGTTCTGCATCTGGAAAATGATTCCCCTTCTTCAAACCCAAATGGTTTCATTAAATCTGATATATGTCACTCTTCTGGTTGCACAGTATAAACACAACCACCCCTGTCCACTCGTTTAAATGTTTCTCTCAGTGCTCACACACTCTCCATTCTTTCTTTGCTGGGACATTTCACTCTGAGGTTGTCTGAAAAAGTCTGGGTAAGTTAGGGTGACAATATTCTGAATCCCCAAAAAGAGGACACGACTATGCGGGGCGGAGTCACGGAGTCGCACGTAGTTCATTTTGAGAGTTTTTCGGGTGTTTTTTGTGTTTTTTACGCGCTTCTAACTCAGTAAGTCCACGCGACACAAACTCAAAACTTCACTACAAAACATTTGAAGGATTTTATAAACTCCCCCGGACAAGGCCGAACAGACCGGACAGCCCCCCAAAAAGAGGACATGTCTGGGTAAAAGGGGACGCATGGTCACCCTAGAATAAGTCCTGACAAGCAGTTATTGCATGTAAGGACTCGGGTTAGGAAACATAGGATGTCCTGTGACTTTGGCGTATTTTTGAAGCAGTGACTAAACCCTGAAATGTTTCCTCTGAGCTTTGATTTTAAGTACATTCATGACTGACGGTCTGCAGGTTGGGGAACATTTTCCACACATGCACAGGGAAGATTTTTCTTTTTGAAGCAAATATCATTTTTCTTGACCTTCTCGTAAGACTTTACGAGTTTTTGATTTCAGCTCCAAAACGTAAATGAATCTTTCTGGGAGCCTGAGGAGGAGAATGACTGTAAAAGGCCTCAGATCGTGGAAATGAACAAAAAAAAACATCTAAATTTAAATGGCTCGCTGTTTTATAGCCAGAACAGTACATGTGTCATTTGTCTTGTATTTCTAAATATTTACGATTGTTCCCTCCCGCCAAAGAAAAGATGAAAAAGATGCCCCTTTATTTTTGGAAAAATAAACAGGAACAAACTCAGTTGCACGTGCAGAGCTATTTGTGCACATGAAATGATCCTGTGAGTATTCAGACTTAAATAAAAGGCGCAGCTGTCCACTGATCTTTCTTTCGCTGCCATTACTCATAATGACTCGCACTGAAAGACCTGCTCTTATATCTCCAGATTTCATCAAACTGTGCTGAATAAAGTCTCTATTAAGTGGTATTTCTTTCAAGCAGCAGGGGTTGGTTTTCACTTTAAACAGTGATTAATGTGCGGCCGGCTCTCAGCTGTTTCTGGCGCCCGCTCACCTGTTACAGCGTCTCAGAAACAAAACGAGTCCACATACCAGCGTGATGACTGACACCATCGCTGCAGCGCACAACACTGGAGTTGTTTGACACACATGAGCGAATGAATAATGAAATATTAACAGGCTCCATGTGTATTTAAGGCTTTTTTCTTTTTTATCACACGAATGGATCAGGTTTGAGGACGAGCCAAAAGCATCAACTCTGTGAGGAAGCTTCGACTAATGTTGGAGCCAAGGAGCTAAAAAAGAGAAAGAAAGGAGGGATAAATGGAGAAGAAGAGTATTGTGTGTCGCTGCTTTTGTCAAAGATTAAACGTGTGGTCGGGACTGAAGCCTGAGGCATAATGTTTGTGTTGTGGTTTTCAGTTTCAGTGACAAAATAAACTGCAGGAGCTTTCGCTTGTGAGAAAAAGTGTGTTTGCATATGTGTATCTGTCTTGGTATTTAGAGAGTGTTTATGTATGATTGCAGGCTCGTAAAAGGCACATGCAGACAGACGTGGATGTAAACAGGATCACGGTTCACTGCGTGTTCTGCTCTTGCGGATTGAGAAAGCACAATAAAGGAACTGAACCAAACCGATGTCGAGCAGACTGAATCTGGGACATCCTGACTCGAGTCGAATGGTTCATATTTCTAAATGTTGTGAGAGTGACTCACATTTCGCTCCTGAGAGATTCTCCAATAAAAAATCAAGATGATGTACTGGAGTAGAGTTCCAAGATTTGACCAAAAAACCCCATAACTGCATGACAACAGTATATCAGCGGTCCTGACATCAAAAGGCCAATGTAGCAGGACTGTAATGTGTCTCTGTGCAGCTCCTCTGGGGTAACATCACCAAAGCAGCTGAAGCCTTTTGGTTCCCGTGCTCGGACAGCACCAGGTGTCGAACTCTGAGGTTCCTCAGACAGAAACCTCAGCAGCTCCTGAAGCTCCACACCAGCTGTGTTTCATGGGGCTCATTGTGGCATAAAATCCCACCTGAAACAGTATAAAACTAGCACAACCGACTTTAAAATCCAACTTTATGGAGAAATATAAAGTGGATTTTTAAGAGAACCTGGAGTAGGTGTTTTTTATTCACTGTATCTCCGGGTTTTTCCGACTACAAAAGCTCGCTCTGCTGTTTGTCATTATCGGGACTCCATCTGAAGCGTTTTGTCTGCACTAAGAGTGTTTATTCACCAGACAAGTATGAAAACAGGATTCTGAGTCATGAGTGATTTTATAAGATAAATACGATGTTGACGTGATGACAGAAAAAGAGTTTTGTGGTTCACGGACCCTTTTTAGGGTCAAAACACTGGTTCAGTCACAGGACAGCTCCCAGTTAAACTGCTGGATGGACTGGTACACTGAGTGTTATTAAATTTAAACCATCAAGTCCCATTAAAGTCACTAATACAGTCTTTTCTGAGAGTCCCTGAACTCCCTCATGCCAGAGGTTCCTCTGGATCGCTGCTGCAGATGTCCTGCTGTGGACCTGCCTGCTCTCCAGCTGATTCAACTATAAGAAAGTATTACCTCACCATTTTTCATTACTGTTATAAAGCTAATGTAAAATATAGGAGTTTTTGACTCTTTCTGCTTCAATTATTCTCATTTCAACCGATCCATTTTTTTCTGATCCAATCCGATACCGATACCTGGGCTGAGCGTATCGGCCGATATCCGATCCAATTCTACTGTTGACTGAATGAACTGTCTTCCTTTCCCTGTGAGTGAAGGCATCAGGCTTGACATCAGCCTTGTTAAAAAAAGGTAGCAAATTAACACAGATATAGATTTACTTAATATTATTTATGAAAAATAACAAATTGCACATTAGCACACAGCAAAAAGAAGTAAGACTTCCATGGAAACATTTAGTGCAAAAGGACAGACAGACAGAGTATAGAGCGGACAGAATCGCTGTGTCTGATTTTAGTTAAAAGAAAAAAAAAGACTGGATCGGCGTCATTCATCACATATCTGATCCAGTTAATTTGTCGATATCGGAGCCGATATCTGATCCAAATATCGGATCGGTGCATCCCTAATTTCAACCCCCATTATTTACGTCAACTTCATTATTACAATGCCACCACTGCTTTGTTACTACCATAGATCTGTTGACTTTATTCCTCCATAATTCAGATGAAGATCAGTCTATTATTATCATCATGCTGTTCTTGTAAACGGTATGACAGTCCTGCTCAAACTGAATGACTTACTGGGACCTTTTACTCAAAAACAAACAAAATCAGTAAAGCTGTATCTTCTTCAGAGTCCTACTGCAGTCAGCGCTCCGAAACATCAGTCCTTGTGTTCAAGTTGAGTCACGTGTCTTGAAAAGTCAGTGCTGGAGTCTGAGTCTTGGATTCAAGCTCTACAACACTGTCTCATTCTTAAACTCTCCCGGGAACTCAAGAATACCGGCATTGTTCGGATGATATGGATGATGAGGTCGGTTCACTTCAGGTTTAACAAACACTTTACCCCGAGGCTCACATTAGCAAGCCTGCTACTGTTGACTGAAGATGAACCCCGCTAAGCTCATCCCTGCTTCTTTCTTAAGAATAGACAACTTGTGTTGACAACATCTTCCCACATGTCTGCTCATCCAGACTTGTTTGACACTAGACCTTTTGTTTTCTTACTGCAAACCATCATCACAGCAGCTTTTAGCTCAGGTGCCTCTTTGTGCTCCACTTGTCTGCTTCCCTTTAGGATTTAGTGCAGTGCTAAGTAATCACACATGATGATTTATTAATTTCAAGAGTGTTGCGCCATTAGTTTCCTGTCTCGTGGTGTTTGCATTCAAGGTAGAAATGTTTTAGGGAGCAGATGTGAATACAGCCAGAGAAATTCTGGAAAATTTGGGGGTTTGAATGTCCTGAAATTAGCCAAAGATTATCAGGAGTTTGCATGTCAGGGGTTTAGCTTTTGGAGGAAAAATATCTAGCAAAAGGACGTTTACCGTATTCTTTGACCTAGAGTTTTAGTAGTTGAGATAAAATGATCCTTCTGAAGGATCTGTAGATCTAGAAGCGATTCTTAAGCCTTTGTCTGATCTATTGTTTCTCCTCTGATTCAACATCTCTGCCTAAAGACTTTGTTAACAAGCCATTGAGGTGGTCCATATGTCGGTGTGAAAGCTCAGAGCTCGTGACTCTCTGGAGGATGTGTAGGAAACCAGACAAAAGCTCAGCCAGCAGGCCCTCAGCTTCTCAGAGCCTCAATCAGCAGCAGTGGATCCCCCACTGGGACCAGTTCCCTGTACGTTTTCAAACCAGTCTAGTCTATGGAAACTGGCGGCTACGACATAATACGTTCAGCCATCCATACCCCGACCTCCTGGGTCATGCGGTCTCTTAAACATTCCTGAGCTATTGTTCACTTTTTAACAATCTGTTGGCATGTAACAGATTCAGCTCATCAGTGACAGCTCGCTAATTCATGGAGAGTTGGTTATTAAATGTTTACACAAGAAACTTATCGAGAAGTTGAGTGAAATGTTTAAAACTAAATTTAATGTGTGGTTTCAGGACGATAAGAAAGTCATTCATTCATCATCTTGGCTCATTCAACCCTCGGATCAGAGAGATTTTGAAAAGTGATAGAGAGAAAAACAAAGACAGACAGTAACAAAAACAGACCTGGACAAAGTCTGAAGACGAACGTTCTCAGAGTTTTTGATGCTCTAAAAAATCTTGAGGACACCTGCTTCGCCTTCAGAGCTTCAGAGGAAAAACCAGACCTGTGATTTACTCTCGACGTCAAAAAAGCACTTACCTCGGCCTTTGAGACTACAGTAAGAAATGAGTCTGCAGAGAGGAGGAGATGGACCCCTGGTGTGAGACCTCCCAAAACACTGAGACTGACGGACAGATGGGCTACAGAACACGACACCGCAACTCAAATGAATTTACCGGACTTCGCACAGGTGTGAATTAAGCATAACAGGTAGCACCTCTCACCCAGAGAGCCCTACATCACCATCGAGCTTCAGACAAATATGCATGTTCATTAAAGAAACGTTCACTTTGAAATTAAGCCAGAAGAGGAACAACGACAGAAGAATAACAGAGGTTACTGAGGTGAAGCTACGGCATCATACGACCATGTTCGGATACACAACTAACTAATCTCTCGCTGACGTGTTTGTCGATTGTTTTGGTATGTGATATAATCCAAAGCCTAACAGTATTCTGCTTTTTTGTGCGATACTGATTGTAAGATATTATTGTTGTGAAGCCAGGCAGAACTCCATCAAAGTGCAACTGAGCGGACCTCCATTTTTTAAGATTAAATATAGAATTAAGGTTTGAACTTTTGTGGATGTCGTTGTAATTTTTAAACTGTTTTCGTTTCATTTTTCATTTTGCAACTTTCAGCATCTGACCCTGAAACACCCTCAAATTTTTGTCTTTTGCTTTCTGTTATTAAGAAGACACTCATGCAAAATAATTCACCGGGGAAAAAACAATACCAGTGAGAAAAAAGTGTGTTTTATTGAGGGGGGGATGCAGGGAGCAAACAATAAGGGTTTAAAACAATTGTGCAAGAAGATGTGCTGCCAAATCAGCTTATGAAACACTGTGGCCCACTCACCTCATAAAAAATCAATCCTGGTAACTATGACTGAAAATGTTGAAATACTTGGATGTCCTCTGTTTTTTTTTTTTTGATAACATATCACAGATTGCCTCCTCGTTTTTAACTAACGTGTGTATGTGATTAAGACAAACTAACTTGAGTTACTTTGTACTTTGATTGTCCTAAATGCACGGCACACGTGTTGCAGATTCACACAGATGAGCAGAGAGAGAGAGTCTAAAGAGTGTGAGCATGTTGGTGGGCTGGTATAACTGAAGCGCTTTGAACTAAAACCACAATGAGGTCACTTTTCCCTCAAATACGAGAGAAACTCACTGAAAATCTCAGCGCTCTTCTTCCACACTTCATGGTTCAGCTTGCTCTTCCTGAGTTTCACACACACACATAGTCAGACGCACACAAACACACTTGACTTAAGTCTTTGTGGGCTGTGAGATAAGTCAATATGTGCCTTTTTAGCTGTCAGTGGACTCTGCCATTGAGTGTGTCCGTCTGGTCTTCATGGAAACATCTATAACGACCTTAAACACACTCTGTCTGCATTATAATCGGTGAAAACTGCACATTCAAGTGTGATAATCAGCATCTTGAATTTTTATTTTCACATAAATCTTTGGGTCACATGTCGCCAAGATAACTTAGATGGTCTGACTTTGTGCTGCACTTCTGTTTTAGGCTAAATGCGGTGAAGTAAAAGCATTAAAAACACCTTCATCCTTTTGGATCAACTCTTTCCTTCCTCTTCACTCCTCTGATGATAAAGCTGGCTGTCAGCAGGTGGTTTGTTTTCCCACAGCTCTGCAACGACTGAATATGGTTTCAATAAATGAGAATAGAAGAAAGCATAATCAACCACTTCTGTTCATCATTCACATGGCTCAAAAAACAATACCAAATCACATCCTCAGTCTGTGTAAACACAAGCTTTTGTTTTCCGCTGAATAAATGATTTCAGAATATGTTTATACCGTGGGGTTGTTTTTAGCTAGTTGTGTGTATTTGGGTTAAACAACTTAAAAAAAAAACAAAGTAGCAGGAGGAACAGAGAGTGTGTTCACAGTGAAAGCGGAGGCTCATCTCAGATGTGCGCACGCACAGTGAAAGTACACTTTTATTGGCACAATCAGCACACATGTATGCGCTGTAGTGTTTGCTTTGGAAGAAGATGAAAGACGTATGTGCTGAAACTGATTCCACATCTGCATCCTGTTGTGTCCAATGTGTTAATAATTCCTCCAAAGGACAACGGAGTGGATTTGCATGTGTGCACACACCCTAACATTTCGACTATGAGCAGTCTGCTTAAAGATAAGTGTTTAGAGATCCTCTCCAGACAGTGAGTGGAAGGTGTGTGTTTTTACTGAACCCCCTGTGTCTATTTATTTGAACCATAACAGAACACTTCACGCTCATCTGAACCCTCTCCTGTTACACCTTTAATTAGTTAAAGCCAATAAAGGCCCTTAAAAAATACAAACCATGAACAAAAACAATCAAGAGACACTTATGTCTCTGCTCTCTTTCTTTACATAGCCCCAGTAAGGTAACCCAAATCAGGGAGAGTGGATATATTCCTGCTGGGAAAAATGTGTCTTAATAGGTTGATTTATATGTTTTTATTTCTCTTTATGGCCTCTTTCCAAATTTCTTATCTCTCCCTGCAGCCTTGCAAGAATCAAAGGTAAATAAATGAATACTCGCACACAGTACCGCTGAGAAACCTGCTCAGAGTTTGATATTTTAAGGTAAGTTAGCAAGAATTACAGGTTCAGTGTGTGTGTCTGTGTGTGTAAGTAGGGTAGAGAAGGCTACGGTGGCTGAGAACTGCCACTGCTGCAAATAAATTGGTTTTTTTTTAAAGTGCAAAATAATAATAATAATAAATAAATAAACCACAACGGAAGTTAATGATGCAAAAAAAAGTGGTGATGCAAAAAAAAAATTTTAAATAATAAATTGCTTACTGCGAAAATAAAAGGATGCAAATAAAAGAAGCCACGATGGAAGTGAGCTGCCAGGGACCAATGATGATGATGCACCGGTGTTTTACGATCTAGCCACAGAAGACGACGGCGAAAAGACGAGCAAAGACGTAAGTGGAAAGGTTATTGATTAATTTCGCTTCGTAAACTTTTAAATGTGTCATTTGGTTCATTTGGACCATGTAGCGCCTGAGTCAATATGAAGTTCTGGCTTTTTTATCTGCACTGTATTTTTTTTTTTTTTTTTTTTTTTTGCAGGGGCGGTTCTTGGCCACCCTACCAGGCCTATTGACATAGTCTTATGGGTCTCTATTGCACTCTTGGCACAATTTGGTGCGGCAGAAGAGTCAATGTCCCTGAGGTTAACACAATAAAACCAGAAAGAGATTTACTTAGATAATAAGAGCACAAAGCTAAAGATTTAATCAAAAATGAGTCACAAACCACTGAAATTTCCCAAAAGCACATCTTTCTTTAAAACGAGCACTTATCCATATTTAGTTTTTGATAATTCTTATACATCACACCGCAGAATAAACCTGACAAATAAAGTATGGGGAGGCTTTTCAGCTTTTATTTTGTAGTCAAACACCGGAAGTGGTATCTGTTTAATGAGTGAGCTTGACGTCAGTGCGTAACTTAGCACCCCAGCAGCGTCGTGTCTGTCACAGCTCCACTGGACTTTACCGAGAGCAGCATCAAACCCCGGACACTTAGAGACACAGGATGGATGTGAAGCTGCTGACGGTCGTGGCTGCGCTCACGGTGCTGATTTACGCACCTTCATCACAAGGTACGAACCAGGAGACTTTTGACATTTTGCCTGATTTTTTAATTTAAGCCTTAATTCCAACGGTTTTCATTCTGCTAGTGTCGGTTTTCATCTTTTTTTCTGCATTTTGTAAAAAAAAAATGCTGCAGTTTTTTAAAGGACGGACTATAAAAACGATCAACAGGATAAATTTATAAAATAAAAGTGTGCGTAATTGCGCACTTCTAGAAGATGAGCGTCCTTTCTTATTTTCTGAACAAGCGTCGAAAATCAATACTACTTTAACTACTTTAACTGTTTTGTGCCTCTTGAATATAAAAGATTTTTTAAAAGTATTCCTTTTTTATGTTTATGTCAATCCAAGTTTGCGTAAAAGCAAAATCTTGATTCTAACAATCTGCTGAATTATCCAAATGCACAATTCATATGATAAATACCAAACCTTAAAATAATAAAATTCACACCTCCTGATTATAACTACTCAAGCACTACTTTTCCTGAGCCGATCTGCAGTGGGATAAACATATTCCGCCGCGCGTAAAGCACCCACAGAGAGGCACATATGGTCCCCGCGATAAGACGTCCCCTGACGGATCCCAGATCGACGTGTGTATTTGTTCAGCTCTTTGTTTTCGTTTAATCACGCACATGGGGCTCTAAAACAAAGCCAGGGAGAGTCTTCAAGGCAGCCAACTTGAAGGTGTTGTTTCTTTTCTCATGGTAATAATAAGTGTTGAATTGATTAGCATAGAGTTTAATCTATCGCGGTACTTCTCACCATCTGTTTTTTCTATGATCGTTTGAAAAAGAAACAGTCACGGAAAAGAAAATGACACTTTTGTCGTTATTTTAATTCCATTAATTTAATCTTTGTGAAGCAGGTGATGCTTGTGAGTGTTTTTATAATGAAGTCAGGCCCAGTTAATCATGAGTTATTTTCTCTCTCTCTTATGAATCATGGAAACTAAAAGGAAACACAGTGCTGTTTACTTTTCCACAATAATCAACCATGAAAATCTGTATGTAGAAAAACCCTTAAAGCTGAGGTTGTAGTGGAAAGTATTTCACATCCGTCAGGAAGCTTTAAGGGCCACATTGTCCACAGTTACATACGCCTGTCAAAGCTCTGTGTCTGTGGGTCTTTAAGTACTGACATCAATGTCTCCAACATCTAAACTTGATCTGTGGGACACAAAAAAATCTGCAAATGTTTGTCTTTAAAATACCAAACTGAAAGAAAAAGTGAATGACTGTAGCTCTCTGTTTGCATTTATGAACAAATATCTACTGAATACTCATGTATTTTTCTCTGCTCCTTTGATTTGTTATAATTTAATTCATCCACCACAAACTACATCAGTTTTCCACTTTCTCCACATGAGACCATCATTCTTCTTTGACCTACTTAGTCCAGCTTTCTCTCTTTGTAAAACCGACTCTATTCTCTTTCCGCTTCTAGCAAAGCCCATCAGTCTTGTCGAGAGATGCTACTGTCGCTCAACAGTCAGCAGCCTCCCAAGATCCTACATCCGAGAGCTCCGCTTCATCCACACGCCAAACTGCCCATTTCAAGTCATGTGAGTATTGTTTTCAGAGCTGCTGGCCCACACAAACACACACACAACCACACACACACACAACCACATGTTTTCCTCTCTGGTCTTAAAAAGTTAAAGAGGTTTCCCCCTTGTTAGACATTTCTCACCATCAATCTCAGAGAGGGGACAGGTCAGAGAAAAGAGCTGTGCATGCATGTTCACTCACACACGCCCCTCTGTCGCTCATTTTTACACACGCACACACACACTGAAGAAAAGACGTTATTACCACAGAAACACGGACACATCCACAGGGAGAGTGGATTAAGTTTTTACTGAATGCAAATTGTAAATTGGAAGCAGTTCGGTTCTCAACCTCTTCATGCAGTGTGTCCTCACTCTGTGTTACAGCCTGATCTCATTTATTATTGCGCCTAAATTGTCATTGGTCACACTGAAAGGGGAAATTTCAGGCACAGTTAAATGATAAAGGCATGAAGTAGAATTGGCAGCTGCTACAAATACACAAACTCAAAGTGTAGAGGGGAAAAAATGTTATTATAAAGTTACTCAAAAGCGACACAGGGCCAACCGAGGCCTGATCTCCCACGTAGAGACATATGATACAGTCCTGACCCCCTCTGTAAATACCCTCAGGGTTACGCTGCATGTAGACAGAAACCTGGAGCCACATGTTCCTGGATGAAACTTTCATTTTATTGTTTTTTCTGATGCAGAATAATTTGGCGTTTCAATAAAAGGTGAAATATTTACTCTAAAGGACCTGTGAAGTGCAGGATGCAGGATTGCAGGCTGCATGAATATCTGAGGACGTCATATGTTATAGTGAAGTTTAAAGTGTTTGCACCACTATCAAAATATAAACCAATTCTGCATAACAAAAAAGTGAGAAGACAAATGCATTTCAAGAACGCACTGTTCTACTTAAAAAACATCTTTAACCAGAGTTGAAAGATGTATAACTAAATAGAAAAATATGCATTTTATTTGCGATTCATTCACATGATTATATTACAATATATCACAGTCACCATCTGAAATTTTTTTAATCTCTAAATGGCTCAAACCCTCAACAAATGCATGTAGGTTAAACACTTCCTGTCAGCCAATAAAATCCTATAGCGTCAGTGTTTGATATCAGTAAATTATGTTTGCATTCAGGGTTTTTTTCCGTTATTGTTTAGGCTGCAGAGCCTCCAAGTGTGTATGTGCAGTCTGTTTACAGCAAAAAAAAGTACTTCAGAGAGATAAGGAGATATCTGTCCTCATTCTCACCCCCTAAAATAAATAATTCATCATATTTAAAAAATAAAAAAGTGAAAACTGAAGTTCAATGTTACCCTGTTTCCAACCAGACATCGACACCAAAACTCTGTTTGATGCCTGCATGGCTATAAATAAGTTGACGGGGTAGAGGAGAGATCAGTTACCGCTGTTAGAAAGCTCTCTATTGGCGTCAAAATAACATGTCAGTGTTGATTCAGTCTTTTTAATAACAATGCATCGGGATGACAAACACTGCACAATTTACATAACCGATCCTTTCATCTGAAACTGTTTATCTATTTGTTGTCAATTCCTGCAAATTTAGCTCTCAACGTTATTTATTTTACTTACATAAGCCAAGTTTTTACTGTTTTGTGCAACCTTCTAACGTTTCCAGATTATTTTGTCTGTCTGTCTTTGTGTTATCTGAAGATTTTGATAAATAAATGATGATTCTTTATCCATTTTCTGTTCAGTGCCAAGCTGAAGTCGAACAAAGAGGTGTGTGTGAACCCTGAAATCCGGTGGCTGCAGCAGTACCTGAAGAACGCCATCAACAAGTAGGTGAAACAGGATTATTATCGTCTGCTGTCAGTTTTCCACCTTCACAAGATAACCTGTGAGAAGCTGTGTACAACACTTCCACTCTTTTGTTATTCAGACAGAGCAAAGCTGCACAACAAATGCGCATTAGGACATCTGTCAGTCGTCCATTGTAAAAGTGACAGGTCGTAATTGCCCAATTTATAATGGAGGCCAAACTTGAGGCATGCTGGTACATGACCGAGTGGGAGGACAGACTGATTCCAGTTTCAACCACAAACTGGGTTTTATGTACGACACAACACAAAAATGTAATAGCAGGTCTAAGCTGCTCCTTCTCCAGTGTGTTTATAAGTTCATCCCTTGTCATCACAATAATTGCAACACACAGTTTTAATTTGATTTGATAGAGTCCAACACCACACCTGTATAAATATTTTAATAGCTGTCAAACTTGATAATTACCTTCTGCTTTGGTCCCATAAAAAAATGGAAATTTGTCCCAGAGGAGCAAAAAAGCTGAAGACAAAGTTATGATTTAGCATCTTCTGGAATCAATGTGTAAATAAATCTTCATCAAAATAAGAAAATATGGGTCAAACGGCACCAAACTTGAGATCATTCTTACTGCGCAGGATCACCGGTCATATTTTCAGTAATGTCTGTCTGGCTCTGCACAACAATGGTGTACGCAGCAATCGAGCCAAGTGTGTTAGATCAGAAATGCGTCATCAATTCTGAGGAGGTATTTTGGGGCCAGCTTCGTCAGATTCAGGGGAACTAGGGGTTCTGTCATCTTAAATCAGTCATTTTTAATGGTCACTGACTGTGAGACAACCACAGACTCCTCTTAACCACAAGCAGTTACAACACTCGGCCTGTGAACGGCGCTACTGCTGAATTTCAACACCAATGAATTTTATAAATGACAAAAAACTCCTCACTGGAGCTTTAACTTAACAATACTTGATATTTCTAAAAACTTGTGATAATCTAGAAGTCAATTTATCAGATTGTGGATTTGTGTTAATAAAGGAAATGGTTAAAAGGCACTTTCACCTTTGGCTTAACTGGTGAAAAAAATAGGTAGATCCCCTCCAGGTTAGTAGTCCAAATCCCAGTCGTGGCACATTCTACTCACAAAAAGTCATGCTAATAATAACTGTCTCCTTCCTGCCTCCTCCTATAAACACTGTCCCCTCATAGTTTATAGAAAGGATTAAGTTGTCATCCCAAACCCTGCACAGATAACATTTCAAAAGGATAAAGCCCCCCTATAGCGCTCAGATGAAACGAACTTCACTGTGGTGGAGACGGATTAAGAGTTTCTGGATGCAAAAAAGTGACTTCCTGAAGACATCCACATCTCCTCTTCTCTCCTGATACACAAACTCAGACCTCTCTGACTGACCCCCCTGCTGTCCTGCAGTCAGACTGTCTGTCTCAGAGATGGCTGTGGAGCCCGTGACGTGTTGAGGTGTGAGCAGTCCTCTACATAACAAAACCAGCCCATGCAGAGGGTAGACAGCGACCATTTGCAGTGGATCAGACCTAATGTGTTTCCAATTACACATACAGTGAAAGAGGCGGGGCAATCTCATTCAAAACGTGTCTTAAAAAACACAGTTGTTAGTCGAGCATTATACTACTTTTAGTCTGATAAACAAGACTTCATTTAAGGGACTGTGCCCACTAATTGTGATTTTTGCTTCGGTAGCTCCCACAACCGTAGTTTCAGAGAGATTCTTACAAGCTTCTTGCTGTTGCTAGGTTACAAAAGTTGTCCTAAAGCACTTCAGCTTCCCTTAAGTCTGTTTTAAATTACTCTATGTTCTTCTTAATTGATTTTATGTCATAAACTGTCATAAATAAAGAGTCTGAAGCCCCGCCCCTTCTTAATTTTGATTGGCCCGTGATTAAGATGTGACATTTACCAAAGGTGGCACTCACAGCATTTTCGGCACTTGTGATGTCAACATCTGAAAACAATCATTTTCTGTGCAAATACAATAATTTTGTACAGAAATTGGACACTGCAAGTCCAAAAAAAAAAGCTGTCAGTGGAGACAGGCCCTAACCTTTTCTGAGGTTTATTTATTTATTTATCTTTACAAAGTATAGTTTTAGTGTCAACAGTTCAAAAGTATAAAATAACTTGGTGTTTATTTACAGTTTGCTCTGCTCTATGGGTAAATAATTTGGTAATTACCAATAAAATAAATCATTAAATCTGCTGTTTATAAACGTATTTTCTATCGGTTCAGTTCACATAAAGCTCTAAAAATAAACTGACTTACAGGCCTAACTGATAAATTTAACTTCACTGAGCTGAATGTTAACGTTTTGATCACAGAGCAGCAAACATTTTGGTCTAGTAAACTCGGAGCAGCTGTTTAGTTTGAGAATACAACACTCTATAAAATCCTGATTTTTGGCGTTTTACCTTCTGCTTCCAGGCACTGAGTCATACCAAACAAAGACTCATTACCTTCAAACTGCTGTTTACTTGTAACGTTATAATGGCCCAGTGTTTGTTCAAAGGAATATAATACATGCTTTCTTTCATATCAATTCTGACCAAACTGAAAATTCCACCATCAAAGTGCCTGAAAAGTCTGATTCCAAGATTTCCTTTTGACTAAAACTCATAGAAATGTTCTCCTTTCTCTTCCAGGATGAAGAAATCCAAACAGGGCATCTAAAGTTCCTCCTGAGCTGTCACACATCTATTACATACATGTAATATTACATGTAATATGAGATCATCTGGTTTGATGTACAGCACTTATCCGGGCTGCACGCTGCAGCCGTTACAACTCTTCACCATGAGCGTAAACCCACAAACTCCGTCTGCGTCTCCACCATCACCCCCCTCACTACTTATAGATCTTAGACGATATTAGTGCGAAGTGCAATTACATCTGTGCGTGTTTGTTTTTCTAACTGTAATGTATATACTTTCTTTGTTAATGGACTTCAACACTAAAGAGCTATTCTTGGAGATTTCCCTCTTTCTCTCTTTTTGGCCTCTCTGCCGTTTAAGAAGAAAGGGCGGACATTAAAGGAGATGTATGTCACAAACATTCATCAAAATTGACAGATTCCTGCGGACCACTGAGCCAGGACATTTATCATAACAAATCCTAAACATGGCATCTGCATATTCTTACTGTCTCTGATTTAAATTGTTCAAAATGACTAATAATGTAAAGTTTCTGCTTGGAGAAAAAACAGGAATGGGTCAAGTTTGCCAAGTTGTATTTCATGTGTCACGTTAATTGGCAGCGTGGAATTTCAGTGGGTGCCAGAAACCCTTAGACTAAATAATAAGATGTTTAAAGATCCCTGTAAAAATGGCAATTACAATGTTTTTGTGCTGAAGGTTAGGATGCCAAAAGAGCTGGGGCATTTCCTGAGCTGTTCTGTGGCTGTGATTACCTGACCATGTTACACTAAAGTCTGCTTTTTACATGTTTAGGGGAACCGAAACATCTGGATTTAAAAACGTTTTAACTGGGCGAAGACGTTTACTGTAATCACGAAAGAAAGATGGAGAGAGCAAATTATGACATGTGATGAAAATTTGTATCATATTCCCTCGATTCTGATTGAAAAAACCTCCAAGCATGAAATTACATTTTAAAGGTTTATAGTTTTTATGTGACGGTTACCAGATCAGTAGTTAAATCATAATGTTATGTTTCATGTGGCAGTACAGATGTAGTACCTTCACTGGACTACCTACGACTGTAATGCAGATAGCAATGCACTTTATATTGGATGTATTCAAGTTTAACAACTAAATTTACTCTAACTCACTAAGTCTGATCATTAAAGCCTGTCTTTAATCTCTTTCTATGTTAACCGTGCTGTTTTCATTCTGTTCATTCTGATGATTGAATGTGTCGCTGCATTTAACTGTTCAAGTCAGGGAGATCTGCTCATCTATCCATTTAACTCTCCTGTCATATGTAAAATTAATATTATACAAATGTTTTATTTTTGTACTCTTATATGCATTTATATATTAAATACAAACATTAAAATGAAGGAATTGTACTCACTATAAGTGTTGAAGCCCATGTTTTGTTGTAAAACCTGTGCAGGTGGTTGAAAAGTTAGAAATCGTTCAAATATTTCGGGTACTTTAAACAAATGTAGTTTTAGAAACACAGACACACACTTATACTCAAAGTTCTAGTCATTTTTTTTTCTTTAAAGTAAATTAAATCTCTTCTGGGACAGACAGCTGTTGAAATCCCGCAAAGAAGCTCGCCAATTAAAGCTCCTGTGAGGGGTTTATGTACTGTGATGAGTTTGGCGCCCTCTGTGGTAAAATGGTGAAATGTTCCTTTTTTCTTTGATACTCTTACCCTGTTTTTTTACAGTATTTTCTTCACACCCTCCTCTTTCAAACAGTCCACTTACTCATCATTAAAGCTCCTGTTGGAAGTTTTTAAATATTAATGAAATAGACTGACATTCATACCAATGTGTTCATATGATATACAAAAGAAAATAAGAGCATCAGGGATGAGATTGATAATCTTATTTAGTCATTTTTAATGCCTGAAACTTGTGCAGGAGGGTAGGCAGCTCTGCTTTAGATATCCATTACAAATAATAAATCTGACAGTTTAAATTGAGAAAAATAAGATTTTATTAAATTCTACAAAAATTTAAAATATACGATGAAAAAGGGGGAAAACAGACTGTTTTAGGAGTGTAAAATAAGTTGTCTTAGTGGACACGAACCTTGCAGCAGTGACTGCTAGCATTAAAAATTACATTTTTTAATAGGGAATAAATCTTTCTTATAGTCTTGTTTGCTTGTACAAGTCATAAACACAAACCAGTATGCTTTTCAGGCTAATCTGTATCCAACTAAAAATCACTCACAGGAGCTTTAAATCTCCTTGCAATAGTAAAGTTGAAGTTTTAACAGAAGTTTTAGCTCTGTACTCATGTGTACTTGGTTATGTATTAATCTAAGAGATTAAAAATTGAGAGAATATTCTCTCAAAATTTGACTTCAGTTTCAACATGTTTAGGCCGTAAACAGGAGATGTAGGAGCCCAAATATATTTGTTGAAAGTTTTATTTCTATAGGTACGTCACTTCGTCACTGAGGGGTGTGGTTTTGGGATGTTTGGCGGGTTATTTAAAATGTCACAGGTGTAGTCAGACAATGGGTTTGGTAAGCGCTGATAATTTTCTGTGGACCGTTTTTGACCGTTTCTCATCGTTTTTCACCACTTCATTCATTCATCCTGTTTTAACCTCATTTCATTGTAACACGTTTTCAGTTGAAGGCAAAAGTAATGGACCCGGATCAGTGTGTTTTCTTTCCTTTTTTGAACAATAAATTCTTTTTTAACACTCAAACCAGACTGATCATTCAAGCGAACCTAAACCCCAGCGACCTTTTTTGATGAAGGACAGCAGTCACTACTGGAGATCTTTAAATGTTATAGTTATGTTAAACACACATTCAACCACACTCAAAGCTCAGTCAGGGCTTTTATTTACTTCTTCAAACTTGCTTTAACACAAGTTTCACCGAGGCCAACATGCAGCTGCTGTAATCTTACTGTACCAAGAGGTCAAAGGGTAAATCTACTCTAAAACTTTGATGTGAGAACATGTGTTTAGCTTTACTCTGCGACCATCCTGCCTGTTATTGAACCATTAACTCAACAAGCGGCCATTAGGGAAAGATTAGAGCTAAAAGAGATGAACTTTCAACTTCCCTTAAAGGGCATCATGTGAGGCAGAGAACAGTCTAGTGTAAGAGACAAGAAGGGAATGAAAAAGAGCCTGTTAGCTTCGTATAGCGATAGACTTTAAAGTTTCTGCAGAGTGAATGCAGAGTCAGCAGCAGCAGCCTCATAGGAGGTCTGAGTGACTTTATAAGATTTTTATGAGCTTTTCTGTCTTTATGAATTCGCAGGTTGTGACAATTACTTTCTTTGTCTTGATATTTATTTTGTACAGCCACATTTTTGTGATTTGATCAGTAACGCGGTGGAGAGACCCTCAACCTGCAGTCTGGCTCAGCATTTGTCTACATATAGGAGTATTTGAATTAAACCTTAACAAGAGGACTCACACACTGTTTGCCTTTTCTAATCCATAAAACACTTTAAAGGTACGATTATGTCATCTGTAGGGGTCTCCCGTGATTCTAAAATTATGCTGTTTTATAAAAAACAGTTGTTTCTAATCGCTCGTAACTCATTGTTTTCCTGGGATTTCTGCCAACTCTCAGCACTGACGCTTTGCAGGTGGTGCAAGTGGTGCCATGAAGCCTGAGATGTAGTGATATAAGGAGGATGTCAATGTTTAACTATATGTTTTATGTGCACATTAGATTTTACTTTAAAGGGAAAATGTGCAGGAAAAAAAATACATGAATTGAGTGAGAACATCGCGTCGAGGTAGTGAAACAGGTCACTCTTCAAAAATGTGTTTAATCTTCAAAACAAAACAGCCTATGTAAACGTATAAAGAGGATTTAAAGCAAAGTCTGCGTCAAACAGGGCAGCACAGAGAGCTAATGGGACGTGTTAAAGCATTAATGCATCTGCACTTCAGGTTTACTGATGTCTAACAGAACAACACGATTAAATGATTTATTGGCAGATTTAGACGACTGATCTTGTGTTGGTACGAGAGGTGAGCCGGGCACTGAGCCTGAACAAACAGAGCTGCTCACCCTGACGTGTTTCACATATTTATCACTGAACCTGACAGACAGACAGACACACACACAGATGTAGTCAGAGGTGACTCACTGCTGCTCTGGAGGTAGAGAAAATCTCTGACACAGAAAATGTCCAGGATATCTAAAATCATTTCAATTAAAAAAAAAAGGAGAATGAAAGTCTGGTTTTGCTAAATCATGTTGAAAGAGGGGAGCTGAAAAGTCTGTTTTAACTGCTGAGTCAGATCTCTGGTTGTACAAACAAAGAAACTGACAAATATGATAAATGAAGCATCTTGTTTCCAAAAATGTATGACTCATCAGCAACCATTAGACAACAGCTATAAGCATTGAACACTTTGATAGTTAAAACTACAGTTTGATAATGCAACATAATTCATTAGAAGGTAAAAGTCCTCAGAGTACTGGATGCAGACTGGATTCACAGTCTGTTATTCCTTCATGTGATCCCCTGCTCTTTGTCTCTATCTCTACCTCATACTATATCACTTGAACAAATCAACAGGAAATCACATTACGTATTAAAAAATGCACCATAAACTTCATTACAAAATGGATTTGTTAAACCTACTCTGAAGTTTAGTCACAGTTTGCTCTTGTTCTGAATCCGTCTATATGCTGAGGACAGCAACATAAACTGTAATAATGCTTCAGGTTTCATGTAGGGCTTTATCAGAGACCCTCAAAGCACTTCACATTGGATTTATTCTCTCACACAGTCACACCCCGGTGGTAGTAAACTACCTTAGAAGTCACAGCTGACCTGGGGCAGACTGACAGAAACATGGCTGCCAGTTTGCGCCAACAGCCTCTCCGACCACCACACAACACTCACAATCACACACCAGTGGAGGACACACACTGGGAGCAAGGTGGGTTGAGTGTCTTGCCCAAAGACGCATGGACAGACTCAGGATAGGGGGGATCAAACCGCCAACCTTCCAGTTATTGGACGACCACTCTATCTCCTGAGCTACTGCCGCCCATAAAGACAAAGATTAGATTACCTGATTGTATCCAAACATTTAGGCCTGTTCTTTTTTTATCCAATCAGATCACTTTCTAACAGCTGGTCTGTAGCATTAAATCTATTATGTTATTGAATATCCTGATTAGCAGTTACTTCAGTCTTTTGACTGATAAAGTGTTGAAATTCAAACTACTTTTTAGAGTCATTAAATGTCTTTTTGTATGATTTTCAACCTGAACGACAGAGCTGTGACCTTACACCAGTATTTAAACCTCTTACCCTCGGCCTGATCTCAGGGGAAAATGTGAATTCGGTCAGTTGTGAAATATTCCAAACAACAAAAAGACAATAAGGTGACTCAGCACCTTGGTTAGCTCTGCCAAGCCAGCGCTGATTTACACAAAAGAAAAGGAATGCACAAGACAGGAGGAGACATATGAAATTCATATCCGGCGTTGCCTTCGAAATGTGTTGGGGTTTTGAGTTTGACCACAATGTCAGACAAAAACCGAACACCTTGACAGATGAGTGAGGATCTGTCACGTGGACTGCAGAGACTGAAACCGAAATAAGGGACGATGTATGTGTTCATTTAACTCACAGAGCATGTTCCCTTCTGGACTGTAAGGGCTCCCAGATGTGCTGCCTATGAAACTCCACTTAGTGGTTATTCATCATGAAAAGCTGAGCATGGAAATAAAACTATTTAGTGCATATAAGTGTGTATGTGTGTGTGTTTGTGTGTTGGGGGGTAACAGGGGTCATAGAAAGCCACTTCAAGAAAGTCCCAGTGAACATTTTTCTCCCTGGTCAGAGCAGTTTTTAATAAAAAAATACAAGACGGTTCAGTTAACCTGGGGTCAGTGTAAATGTTCATGTGTGTATGTCAGTGTGTGTGTTTCAGTAAGAGTATACATGTATAAATCCATGTGTGATGTCACTTCCTTACTTTACTCCCAGACCATTAACTCTGCATTAGCTCTTTACCTCCAGCTATGTTGGCAGCTGAACACAGCAGTCTAAAGCCCCTTGAGTTTGTCACTGAAATGTCAGGGGACCATGAAAATGACCCTGCGGCGCGTATTAGGTGGTCAAAAACGCAGACACTTCTTCACTGTGGTTCGATCGTGGATGAGTGAAGAGCTGGGACATCATTATAACCTCAGATGGAAATGAAAACTTTCAGATACTTAGCAGCTGTGGTGAAGAGTTCAAGATGAGAAAGAAGAAAGATCTGAAGTTTTTTAGTTATTCAATTTGCCTGTGTAAATGTAATATTACATTTTATTACCATCCTTGACAAAAGTCCCACATTCACACATAAAGAAAACAATAAAATGTAAAAAAACTGATGTTGAGGACTAGATTTTGGCAGCTTTGCTGTCGTGTTATTCTTGTCTGAGCTAAAAGTGAATATATTTAAACGAAGAGTAAAGTTGGACAAGCACAAGTGGTTGGCAAAACGATTAAAAGTTACCAATTAGTTCTTAGTTTCTATCAAAAAGGCTGACCTGCTTTAGTTTTGTATAGAAAACAGGGCTATCAGTGCAGAAACCGCTTTAAGTGGACACAGGCCCTTAAAAAAAAGATTCGATATTTATAGTTTGTTGTTTTTAATGAACTCTCGATTTTTATGTTTCTGTAGCTTCTTGTCCAAATACGAGAGAGGAGACAAGTTTTGCATTGACATTTGACCCCTCACTCATTTCCCATTTTCCCCCTTTAACAATTAGCTCAGGGCACAGGGTCAGCTCCTACAGGGCAGACACTCGCCTGTCATGTGGGACTGATCTTAAGTTTTTCCGGCTCAAGGTTGAAAGCTGAAGTTACCCTCGATCCAGGTCTCGACTCTGACACGAAGAAAGATAAGAAAATCAACGTGAGCTGGTCCAAGCTTGAAAAATTATAATAAAGTACATGTGTAATCTTTCACAATGTGATTTACATGGTGTAAATTCATGAACTGAGGCTCTTAATCTGCTTATTCAGTAATTATTGTTTCATAAACAGTCATTCAACAGGCTGCAGTTACACCACTGAAGAGGAAAAGGTTTTCTGAGTACTTGGACACTCTTCAGACATGATCCCAGCTAAGCTAACTTGCATGCCTGCCTCATGTAATATGTTTTATATTATTTATCTGTATATCTTGCAAACAGAGCTGTCAGTCATTTTTTCTCTCTTAGACTGGATACCCATGAGTACTGATCCTTATTTCTTCTCAGAGTTGACATCCAGATGTTTCCTATCCCCCTGCACGCAGAGAATAAACCAACTTAACCCTAAATTTGTGAATCCTGCACAGAGTTGAAATGTATGTAATGCGCCTCCTACACTCTGCAACTTAAGCTCCCTCTCTGCTCTGTGATTCTGTTCTGCTGTCTGCTGCCCCTGAGCATCGTGTGCACCAAAATCAGGCTCCCCCAGGGAAACATTAGCAGAGTCATAGCTGTTCTGGTATCGGATGACCTGTTGCACATTTCCGTATGAGCATGCTGTGACTCTGAAAAAACCCATGTAATGATTTGTAAATGACTTGTTGATTGTGCAGAGGTAGGGGGGGTGGACTCAGTGCTGTTAATTACTTTAACACTGCCAGTGACCCGCCGGAGCATTAATCATAATTCTGACAAAATTACTCAGCTGAATGTCTCCAAAGTCGGCTGCAGTGACGGATGTTAAAGTGACCAACATGCAGTGTGTAATAACAGCGGCATGTGTGTCTGTTTGGGATGAATGGGAGGCTAATAGAGGGGCCCATATGAGCGGTTGAACTAGCCCCCCGCAGCTTTTCTACCTTTCATGTGCTAATATAGCCGAGGTTATGAGTCCCAACACCATCTATCTTCTCACAGATGTTTGCGTGGACATGGGGCCTTTTTCTCCCGCACAATAACTCCAGCTACGGTCTAAATTCCTCCGGAGTGATTCTGTTTTCTAAATGCAGCAGAAACTCTTTGGTGTAGATGAGGCACAAAGGAGCCACGCTCAGGGGACAGTGTGAGGGGCCCGGTGACGCTGAAACACTTCAAACCTCACACACTACGAGTCCCTTCATCCCCATTCCTTGAGGGATCATCACCAACGGTTTAATTGGTGGATGCGTCCATAAAGCCTCCATGAAAGATGTATTTACTGTCTATCTTTGAGTACCATATGACACCCAAAGAGAGGGCCGTTAAAGATGTGTCAAACCATGAGAAGAAAGAAAGAATTACACCATTATCTGGAGATGAAACCGATCCACTGCCAATACCACAGACTGTTTTCTTTCCATGGTAATGCGATCGCAATAGAGACCCTGCTGCAGGGTGACTCAGTGCTTGAACACGCTGTACAGACGTGGAGGTCTGATGTCTAATACTGTCCACAAACGTTGTTCACCCTCAAACAATTATAATTTTCAGAAAAAACAAAACGGAGGATCCTCCCACGGTACATCTGAAGAACATTTTGATGAAACTGACAGCCTCAAAAATGGTTTTGGTTGTCTTCATTTCATTAGCTGGTTGAGTGGGTCGCTCTGACAAGATATTAAATTTGACAAATTCTGTTTGATCCTTTTATATTTTTAAACAGAACTTAACAATGTGAAAGTTCACTATGTGCTCCACAGGACGTGACTCAGTGAAGGGTTGGTCTATATTGAGGTTCTGGTGAGATTTTAGATCTGGGATTCGTCTTGTCTGATCTTTGATGTGGCTCCAGTGGTGAGCGATTCAGGTGAAAAACATTATTTAGTTTGTATCAGTCATGCTGGTAACATGGCTCTATGGATGGACCTGCAAGCTAAATACACCGTGAGGAGATTTAAAGGTAGGGTAGTCAGAATCTGCCTCACAACCAATCAGCACTAAGGAGCAGCATCTGCTTTACAATCAATCAGATTGGGGGAGGAAGGGAACGGCTTTGTTTACAGTCAGAAAGAGCGGACCGCTCAAAAATTTTAAAATGCTGACTACACAGACATAACAAAACACAGCGATATCGTATATTCCCAAATGTCATCGATGACTAATAACTATTGACTGATATTAAAAGCTTTTTTGTAAATACAGCACAAAAAAGATGCATCTTTAACGAAATCCTGCCTACCCCACCTTTAACTGGCTGGAAACAAACTGAGATTTAAACTGATGTTTCTCGTTGACCTTAAGTTGGCCGCAATGGAAACAAAAAGAAAAAAACTGACATGATTCCCCTCACTACACCTAGAATTTGTCTTATCAGCCCCTTTTTACAGTTTGTACAAAAAGTCAGTATGACCTGATGTGTGAATGCAGCTGAAAATATTCAAGAAAATTCACCTTGAGTAAGAGGGAGGGGGTGGTGATGTTTATATCATGCATCTGGTGTGAACCCAGAGGAGAAACATGTGAGAGGATGAATAAAAAAGACTGCAGATGGAGGATCATTCCTAAGATGAGAACAGGAAAAAGGTCTGTCCATCTATCTGTTCACACCTAACATTGATATAACTCAAAAACTGTCATCGCAATAGAGGTCGAGGTTATTTCATCCATCGTAAAGTTGTAAACATTATTCTGTGGCTTTTTCATGTCATGTCCAAACTCCCAATCTCATCTCACACCTCATCCAACATCGTCCTTGAACAACAAGGAGAGCTTCACATTTAAAGGAATATGTGTGCACAACAGCTGTGGAAAATTTCAGGATTTAATTGATCAGATTTTAGGGTGAAAGAGTCTCTACAGGACTTATGACTCTCCCTTCAGTCTCAAATGGATTTTTTTGGTTTATTTAGTTTAATTTTTATATTTTATAAACAAATCTGATATTGATAATTAAGAAGACAGTTACTGGCACCTTCCACCGCATCCGGGAAAAGGACGAATGCTCCGATCGTAGCTCAAAATAAAACAGGCGTGTTTCAGGCGGATCGAATTTCACACCATCCAAACGGGTGGGGACGAACAAGTGAAAGGTTTTTAGATGTCATTTCACAGTGATGACACCATGGATGAGGAGATGCTGATTCTAGAAGTCTAGAAGTAGATTTCCTCCTCTGGAAGGACACGATCTACTGCTTATATGGTTAGCCTATGTGGCCAAAGACAACTTGTTATCGCGCGATTGAACGTGAATCCGTGGGTTCTTGTGAGTTCTCGTGATTCCTACTGTCTGTAATCCACCACGAAATTCACCTCACAAACGGATCTGGTAGGAATTGGCGTAGGGCGAAAATCACCGCCGTTCCGGATCTGAGCTATTCTGGATGCGGTGGAAATCCTGTGTTTCTCACTCTCTACACCTCACATACACAAGAGGCTCATTACAAAAAACATTAAAAAGGCTTGTGAGATTATAGCCCCCAGAAGATGCAAATACACGGAAAATGGATGGTTACTGCTCTTCTCTAACTTTATGATGCATCAGGATCACATTGCATATGCATTTCTTATCAGAAATAATGCAATCTTGAATTTAGGATTTTAAAAAGGCAAAATATAATACTCTTAAACATATCTTCTATGAAGCTTGAGCTCAATTATTTACACTCTCAATGAAAAAAACAATCATCATGAATCCTGGCATAGAGAATTGAACTGGATCATGAGTCGGGTGTATCCTCACATCCTTCTGATTATCAAATATCAGCTCAAGGCCCCTCTGAGCCTGAGTTTAATCTCACAAAGCTGCTTCAGTCTGTCGTCTTTTAGTGTGCACAAGAATTTTATTAACGGCATTAAATACTGGGTTTTATTATTACAGTATTAAATTGACTGTGATCAAAAAATCAAACCATCTTTATTTTCCAAAACCAGAAACCCTTCCCACACTCACTGAAGAATTAGTTTCCAAACTCTTAAATTACACAGCTTTGAGTTCTTTCTGGAGTTTCAAAACGTGCGCCGGAGTCCCCTCCACTGTCAGGAAATCCAACCACACCACAAAAACAAAGTAAGCTGAAGTTGTGCCGCTGAAGTTATTAACAGAGAGGAAGATTGAAATTCATCCACCTTGCAGTTTGCCTGGTGCATTTGTTCCAATCCATCTGGCTAATAAATCCTTCCTGGAATCACATCTATTGTTTTAGGAGAGTGTAACCCTGACAGACCAACCAGTTGTCTGCTACAGTTTATATAAAAACACATCAAAGAAACCAGAACAAAGGCTTCCTAATACCCAGACTGGAAGGAATTCCCGATCAGTCTGGGATGAATTCAGCGATACATAAAGGAGATCTTGTAAGCCGGCTGTTTAAAAGCGGTGCAGAGGAATGAGGTTTGGCTACTACCTGATTTTTAAAGGATTTATTTAAGGAGTAAAATAATTTCTTTAAAAAATATTACAAGTTGACTTTGATTCATTCACAAAAAAAGAAAACACTGTGGTAGTGGGTGTTCTTCAGACTAGTCCAGGATGTAAAAATCATGAGTTAAGAGTGTGAACGATGAACTTTCCTGTCACTACGCTGCGGTGGGGTCCAGCATTTAAAAGATGAAGACGACAGAGACAGATCTAACACGGCTTAAGTCTGTTTTTCTTCCCTCGGCCTCTTTATGAGAGCTCACAAATCAGGATGCAGCTTCTTTCTGTCTCACCGCTGGCCTCATCTTAAATGTACAGTATAACAACACCTCCTAAAAAATAAACACTGTCATCTATTTTTCCAAGTCAAAGGTCTGTGTGTGTGTTGGCACAGAGACCAAAAACAATAATGTACTGCTTTAAATGAGAAATAAACCGGGAGAAATATAATTTAAAACCCTAAAAATAACAGAAGTGGTGACATTTAATAGCTGCAGCTTTGCTAACAAGTTACAGACATGTGACACAGGTTGAGCTGAGAGACAAAGAAAAATAAACTATCAGTAAAAGGACTTAAATATAAAAGTGTTATTGTAATATAAAATGGTAAGGTATGATGCATTATAAACCATACCTTTATAAAAGGCATTATGCTCACAGCTTAAAATATTGGTAACACTCTACTCGACACCTGTCTCTAAAACGCATTATAACTATATTTATAATGTGTTATAATCATGTTATAGTACTGTATAACTATAGTTATAAACCCTTATAAATGATCATAATGCTTTATAGCAATAATATTAACATATAAAGCATTTTATCATGACTTACAAGGTCAGGTATTATAATGTGTTATGCTTATTGTTATAAAGTCTTATGATAATTAATGAGTGTTTATAATGATAGTTATATAAGTTTATAAGTAAATTATAACATATCATAAATTTATGTATAATGCTTTATCTATGTGGGCATTGTCAGTGAGTTGTTAACATGTATAATGTGCTCAAACTTTGATTTAAAGGTTTAAAATAACACCTGATCTGATTATTTCTTCATGGTGATGATAGATACAGACAGCTGAAGTCACGGCGATGAGACGGAGCAGTGAAGGAGCGAGCAGAGGAGCAACATGGAGGTGTGAAACTTTGACTTTGTTTGCAACACATTAGGGGTTTCATCCTTCAAAGCTTCTGTGAGGAACTTTCAGATTGTGTCCATTTCAGCATTAAAAGGTATTGTATAAAAATTGTGAGTCATGAATATCAAGAAACGGCATCAATATTAATTTCATTCTATTTTATAAACTTCATAAATCTCCTTACTGGAGCTTTAATGCTGTTTTTTCGTGCTTGCAGCACACGCAAACCCATTTTCAGAGCGCTCCACGCCGACCTTTCCTGTTGCTATGTTATGACTGTTGTCCTTCTGCCTCCATTAGCAGTGACCGTAACATGTTTGAAATGCTCTGTTTGCTTCGTCTTTGCTTTAATTGATTAGTTTGAGTTTCTACGTCCAGTTTTCGAGGAATCGGTCTTTGAAACTTTTACCCCTGTTCCAGTTGGACTGAGATGAATAGGACTGATTTTGTGGTGATCCCAACAATAAATAACTGCAACAACAGCATGTCTTTACAAGACTGGTTATTTTGGAAAGTCCACAAAGCACAGCGGGAACACTTTTCTCTGGAACCACTTTTGACCAGTGAAAAATCCCATGAAACTTTACTGTTTTAAATTTGAATGTTTGTTTTAAACAGTAAAAATCTCTTTATTGTGACAAAACTCAGTTTAGGAACATGAAAGCCTTTCAGGAGCTGTAATCAAAAGACAGTAGGAGATTTTGGCAGTGTCTCGTTACTACTTTGACACTCTCACAGCGATCCTGAATTCTTTAAAGCTGGAAATCTGAACAGAGCTGGCGAAGCTGCCAACATGTGAATTCCTGCTTTTTGAGTGTAACTGAAGATGTGAGTCCACCTGCAACATGAGGTTCAGCTGTCATGCTGTTTCTTCTCAAACTCAAACTGTTTCAGGCATCTAAATGAGCCACAGTATCCTACACTCTTCCTCACAAACCACAGCGTAGGGAGCAACAATGTTGAGAGCACTTCTCAAAGTGATCACAGCCTGCAGTACTGGCTGAGTTTGGAGACCGGGCACCAGAAAGAGGACAGCAAAGCAAAAGCAGAGAACTAGTCCTGGGACTAGAGGTGAAGCCAACATAACATCATCTTATAATGAATTCCTGGACAACTCACAAGTAGTCTGCTGTCCTCGGTGATATCCAACAAAGGAAGAGTTTGTCAACTGACCCTGAAAATTTGCTCTCTTCTCTGAAATATGAAGTACAGATGAAGCTCAAGCTGTGCTAGCAGGCCTGCTTTCTCTTTGTTCTCTCTATCCACCGTACTGACGGGGGTTTCAATTTTCTCATTGGACTATTGTTAAAAACAAATGAGCTTTGTCTTTGTATTAACTTGGATTCATTTAAAAGCAGAAGAAACTGTGTAAGATATATTCTAAATAACAAAATAAGACATCTCTTGACAGCGATGCTAGAAGACAATGATTGCTCAGTTAGAAAGGAAAAGGAACTGTCCGTCTCTTTCAGACTTTTTTGAAAGTGATATAAAAAGTGATATAAAATTACAATCCTTCTGACAGAATGATAAAACACCTGCACATACACCTCAGTGTGTGTGCTCTGCAGGGTGTATTAAAAATAAGTTGCATACTATAGAAAAACAGTAGGGCTGGGATGACATGGTTTTCTCCCAATTGATTCTTCTACGATTTTTTGAATGTCAATTCAATTAAAATTGCGGTTCTACAATATTGTCAATTTTCTCGATCTTTAGTTGAAGTGAAGTGAAACAGTTGAATGATTATGATTGTCTACTGACTATTTCAGGAACCATATTTCCCCCAAAACACACATCACATGTAAGTCAGTTTTTTAAAATTTATTCTTGAATTTGAAAAAAAAAAATCAATTTTTGAACATAAAAAACGATTTAAAAGTTGCAAAAAAAAAATTTGCGATACTAATGTGAATCAATTTTTTCTCCCACCCCTAGTAAACAGACAACAACCTATCAAACATGTTGCGATGCTGCAGCACCTCTTCTCTCTGCGTCCTCTCGTTGAGCTGAATCTGTACCTCTCATGTCTTTTCTTCTGTCCAAATAAAGCATCACTCTCACTGACTGGTTTGTGTCTATGTCAAACCACCACCAAGACATATCCGCCTTTCACAAACTCCCTGCCAGCTCTTCAAGGCCGCTTACAAAAACAATCACGTCAACATGGACAACTTTCTTTCCTGACAGATGCACACAAACACACTCATGCGCACTGACAGAGCTCCATTTCACCTTCAGAGAGTCTGTAATTTTCACAGTCGTGGACAAATCTCTGCTCTCTCTTTGCTGGCTGATCAGTCGAGTCTTGTGAATAGATCTGTGGTGACATTTGTTGCTTTATTCGCTTTTGATGGTTAACTCAACACACAGTTGCTTATTTGAGCCACTGACCCCATGGAGAGGTTTTATTACTTGCATCCAACCATCAAGAGTTAATAAGAAAATCTCTGTTGTCAACATACTGTGAGTGACTTTTCAAACTCAATAATATGTGACACAAACGTGAAAGCAGTGGGTGATATTTGTCAAAACAAGACTTGAATCAAAGGAAATATGACTGACAAAAAGGCTTTTTGTGTCCATGCAGAAGATAGACTTAGAGATTTTATTGCATATTTTTGTCATTATCTGTGCGGTGTGATGTTAGAGGGCAAAGAGCAGGATGAGTTTGCTCAAATGGTTGAACAATGCAGCTTTGCATGCTGTTTCTTGCATACACCTACTGCAGATTCTTACAGATCATGACTACCTGTGCAGGCGCAATGGTGTATGAGCGAAACAGGCAATGAGAGTTTCCACCTGGAGCAACAAAAAAACTGAGATTTGTCCTATGTGGTGGCAGTGACAGACTGAAACCAATTAGATTTCATGCCATACTTACATTCTTATTACTTGCTGCTCTTGTTCGATTGGTGGACATATTATATCTGCAACAGGATGTTTGCATTTGATGGTGCTAAACTTGAAATGAGCCACAGTTGTGTCGTTTTTCTCAAATTTCAGAATTTTCAAGGATTTTTTTGTAAGAAATAAACATCACTGCTGCCTATGCAAACAAGATGCAGTAATCTGAACCAGGATACAAGTATTTATAATCGATAGAGAAATGAATAACTCAGTGTTAACCCCATAATCCATATATGATCAAAACCAGAGTAAAACTCACACCCAGAATACTGAAGTCAATGTAAACACACCGTTTATAGGCCAGTTAGCAATTCAATATTACAATAGAAGTGAAATTCACTTTTCTATATGTCTGCAAAATAAACATGGCCGTGTCTTGGTTCATCGTTTCCCCTAGCCTCTTCATCTGTCTCTGGTGAGTCTTAGTTTCGCTGTAAAGAGTAAGTTGCACAGAGGCTTCACTCTGATTGAATTCAGTGATTTCAGCCTGATAGAGAAACTGATTTTCTTGTGACTTTTTTGGTGCTTATACTACTCAGACTACAGATGTTTGTATGGTCATTTAAAAAAAATAAAAAATATCAGAAAAATTCTAATATTCAGGCGTACTTTTCTGTAACCGTGTTGTACAAACCCAGTGAGGAAGGGGAGGAAAATTTTGGTGTGGCTGTGTTCATGTGTTTGTGTTTGAGAGATGAGTGGCTGCATTGTGTGTAATTTCCTGAGGGGTGAAAGTGCAGCTCACACCTTCTCCGGCCTGCTTATTCCACTCCAGAGAGCAGAGAAGATATTACAGTCCCATTCAGTAATTACACTGTGGTCCAGATAAATGCTTAAAGTTACAGACATGTTATCCTGCATCCTGTCTTTCTCCTGGGATTCACCTGAAAACTGCTCTCAGAGCTTTTTCCTACAAACTTAATGCTCCGGGTTTAAGTGTATCGAATGAAGAGCTCATGAATGTAGAACAGGGTCATGGTTGGTGCTGCACAAACAGTAGAAATAATATGAAAGATAAATCTACAAGAATTTACCCTTAGATCATCTGGGACTGATTTCGTGCAAAGGAGGGCTGTCTTCTTGGATGTTTTTGCTCGTAAAATCTGTTTGCTTCCAAAAAAAAAAACATTATTCCAGTACACTGACATGGTCATGAAAACCAGTACAATTCTGATTCAGACTAAAGCTGTTTTTTCCCCCAGCACTTAGTTTCCAGTAAAGCATGCCATTTCCCACAGAACCTCCAGACGGTCATCAGAGTTCTCAGGCTGGTGCATTTTTAAAATGCTGATCCAGAGATAAAAATGCTCAGGAATTAACACAAGATGGCACGTGAGCTAAATGGACCTCATGGTGGCAGCCAGGGGTAGACCAAAGTCAATATTCAGATCATCCTGAGGGCGCCATGTACATGTCTGCCCCTCATTTGGCACACATCTGGAAATTTGGTTGGAAAAAGTAAAATTCAGAATATCCAAGTTAAAAGTCTTAAACCCAGAGCAAAAATCAACTTTTAACCAAGTTCTTAAACACCTTATTTTGGTATTGCTGCTTATTTATGGAGGTTCTGGTAACTGATAACTTACTCGTAGCAGACAGTGTTGAATATCAGTTTAGTACACTTCAACCCCCAATTTTTACCACATCTGGAAGAGACAACCTGTTATCGCGCGATTGCACGTGGATACGGGGGGTTCTTGTGAGTTCTTGCAATTACCGCCATCCGTAATTCACCACGAAATTCGCCTCACAAACTGATCCGGTAGGAATTGGGGGATGGCAAAAATTGCCACCTTCCGAATGCAGTGTAAATTGGGGTTAAGCAGCACATGTGTAAGTTCTCTAGTTCTCAAAAATAAAGCCAATACAGAAGTGCCCCTGCAGTTCCTTTAGTGTCCACTTGAGGCTAGCTTCAAAAGTAAAGGAATCCTCACTGAGCCCTATGTAGAAACAGCTAACTACACAACAGAATTGGATGTTTGGTCCAAAGATTTACAACTTTAAATTCACCAATCTTGTCATTGATGATCTTGATTGTTTTTACATATCATCAAAAGTCTATTTTATGATGATCAAAAAACTCCCTACAGGACCTTTAAGAGAGTCCTCCTTAAAAAACACTACAGTAAGAAGTAAGATTTAGTATTCAGAGACACAAGTGGCTCAATTAACTTCCTGAAAGTGTTATTAATGACTTTTTGCAGCCGAATATTGTTTAGTTTACTAGTTAATTTGCAGAGCACAAGCAATCTTTTGAAATGTGTCCTTGTTTCATTTTGTTCTGCCAACATCAAGCACCCGCCCATCCACCCCCAACACACAGTAAAGAGCCAATAGCTTCAAAGAACCACAGAGCCTGAGATCTGGAAATGATTGACTGGTTAGTATTAACACTGATACTTCACAACAGTGCAGCCGTCACTACTCAAAGCTGACACCACAAACAGAGAGGAGTGGGCCACGCTGGAGAGAAGGAAAGCACATGACTCTTTGAAAAGTACTAAGTTGTAGTCGACATGGAAAAAGAAGTTGTGGTTTAACTTGGCAGATAGTGCCAGTGTGAGATTTCACCACAAGGACTGACCTTCTGTTTGGGTTTCTTATACTTGGAAACTGTTTTAAACTATTAAAAGATTTTTTTTCTCTGTCTCTCTCTGTGGTGGGATCAGCAGGATACCCCAAAAACCTTTAAACACATTTGAACACATGTTTTCCTCTATGCACAAGTTTCTTTGTTGACAAGTGTCCTGTTGTTATAAGAGTAATGAATATTTGAGGAACAATAGATGACTTTACAGTGCTGATTTAAGAAAAATAGTACTTTAAAAAGATAAATTGTAGGTATTAAATATGAAGTTCTGATGATATGGCACCTCTACCCACTGAAGAAGCTGAAATCTTCATAAAGGTAGAAGAAATTTTGAGATTTTTATTTGACATTTTATCATAAAATCCCCATATTACCTCTTTTTGTGCAGAGGAGTCATAGATTATGCCCTAATTTCACAATCACACACTGTAAATCCTCAAATAAAGACCAGGCCTCTTATTATGTCCAAGATCACAGCCTTTACAGATAAATAAAAGCTGGCGTTGAGTTATATTTACAGTCGATCCTTCACTAGCTACACTTTCACCACAGAAATTATGAATCACTCTCTCAATGTAGTTTGCTCCAGTTTTGTGTTATCCTAAAGTAATCTGCAAACATCTTTGCTCTCTGCTGCCCAGAGCTGTGCTGTGCACTCTTTTCCTGACAATGCTAAATTCAATTCATATGTCTGATCAGCTGGATGGAGAGAGAAAGTCCTGACCATTTTATTGTGGGTCAATTCATGACAGATGTGACAAATTTTACGGTTTTGTAACTAGCTTACCTCCTAAGGTAATTTAGCAACAACAGTTTGTTAAGGTTTTACATAAACAAATAAATACTTTGTTGAGTGTAACGATGTAGTCTTTGGGGGCTTAAGCCACAGATCCCAGTGCAGTTGGGAAAAATTTGACAAATTCAGCACCTGTGTAGATGCATTATTATTTTCTTTGTTTTTCATAGATGCACATTTGCAGAGACAGAGGCATATTTTTTGTGTGTACAGAGGATCATGTAGATGTTTGCAAATAACACAAATGCACAGAAATGTCATTTACACTGGGGATTTACAGTACAATCAGGTTAGCCTTCCAGTAATTAAGGGTAATATTGGAATAACACTGTGTGGTAATTAAAGTATTTTTCAGGTGCTCAAGTTTGTGTTAACAGGAAATAAGGTGGAATAAGGGCTGAGTCAGCATAAATCTAAGGCCCCTAAGTACCTTGAACTTTAATTCTAAGTGTACAGGTGCTGCATTTATTCCTGTTTAATATTTTAGAGACATGTCCCAAACTGAATTAAGATAAAAAGAATCAAACTAAACTGTCTTCAGGTGCAAAAGCGTCCACCGACAGATTTCTGAAAACCATACAGAGTGAATCACTGCTCTGTAAGTGACCTGTACAGTTATAAAGTGAAACATGCTGTTGCCCATTATAGCCACATTACAAAGCCACAGGTCCATATGTGTTGTGTTGTGCTAACTTTTCATGCAGTCAGTTTGCGGAGATGTAGCTGTGGAGAACACAGGAACAGGTCTCTCCTCCGCTTAAGAGAGATGAGCTCTCTGGGGAGGCTCGGTGTCTGTTAAAACAGATCTAGAGTTTGTTATTTTAGCTCCAGGAGGGAGAGGGGATCTGTTTTCAGAAGTAACCGCAGGGATGCTAGTGTGGATGTTTATTTGTCTTTCTCAGTGACAGAGGCTGTTATCAGTCACTAGAACTTCAGTCTGCAAGAATTACCAACAGCCTCCAGCCATTGATCATAATCAAATCAAACATCTCCAGCAGATGGTGGTCAGACGCTCACTGCTGCTTTTACAACAAATATGAGCTGTGATCACATTAAGAGAACCAAATAAACACACACGTGAGGTGATAAGTAGTGATCACTGTGGGCCATTTTAGACAGAGGATACCAGGTTGCCCTCTCAATATATTGTCATCTCAATATTAAAATTTGGTTGATGTGGTTAATATGACTACCATTTCTTTTCTGTCCTCACCATGTGTGCAAATTACTGTCATCTGTGTACAAATGGGTCATAACTTTAAAAGGGATATTCCAGCATAAAATTAAGTTAGGGTCAAACACACCATAACACCGAGTTAGACACCCCGTTGAGAGATGAATGTTGCCGACCGCTTGTTTCTCTAGTTATACCAACTTTAGTAACGACCGCAGAAAGCAATACAGAGAGCCACATGCTCAACCAAAACGCCACTCTATAGCCACAAATAACGCTCAGAACAGCACCTAACTTCATCAACAGGACATATAGGGTCTCAGTCATAGTACTAGTCACCAAACATCTTTTAAACTTTGCCTAATTTCTTGAGCAAAGAGACTAAACACAGCTCACCTACTCTCTTCCAGCAGCTGCTTGTTTGTAGCGAGACCTCGGGCCAGACCATTACGGACTACAGCGGGGTGACACAGCTCAAGGAAGAACATTTATGATAATTTCTTTATCATTTCCTTGAAGTAATAATCGTCATATTAATCATTTTTCACTGCAGACGCGGTAGTTCTTTTGCCTTAGCGTCTCGGTCTGATGTATTTCCATGAAAAATGATCATAAATGTTTTTCCTTGAGCTGCGTCACCCCCTTGTACGCTTTGCTGCATTGATTAGAATGGAAACCTGTTGCTGCGTGATACACGACGCTGCTGCCACGCTCCAAACACACATTCTGTATGTTTTAGTCTTAACTCAGTGAAACCCACCCCATCACACATTCATACATGCCACTTTGGATTTATTTTGTCTGAATTCACTGAAATTAGTCGATTGTCTCGTGGGTTAACCAGCAAACAACAGTCACCAAAACTATGGATCCTGACACGCAAATAGGCCACATTTGTTGAAAAAAAAATCTGACTGACATGTTGACAGTTCATGCAAGCAGAGTGACCCACAGATACAGATGAGGATAAAGAGGAGACAGAAAATAAATGTCCCGACAGGATTTTTAGGCTGTTATTAGAGTACAGCTGTGGTTTAAGTCTCAGTTATATTGGCAGGGTCTCCACACATGTGGTTTTTAAGAGAATGAACGGCAGAATCAATGTTTATTGTGGCATAAGGGAGCTTTATAAATCCCATTACAAAGGAAAATAAAACAGGAAGTGTTGTATTGTGATACTACACGCCTGAGGAGGTGTGTTAAAAACGCGTACAGACACACGGATCAGACATTGACGCTGATACAGGCTGTTTGCATTAGGCAGGATGTTTAGATGTTTAGTCTCGGAGCCCCCCAAAACCCTTCAGGGAGACTTGGCCATGCAGGACCCTGAAAACCCTGTGTGACCTTTGACCTCTCATAGGGACTCTAAAACATGGATGCTTGTGTCTTACAAAAAAGACTGACTTTGTTAAGTGGAACTGAAGGGAAGCTGAGCAGGAGAGGCGGCAGGAACCCGAGGAAGAGGACAGGAAGGCAGAGTGTGGCCTTCAGTAGGTGTTAAGGATAATAAAAAGAGGCTTAGGAGGCTTTAAAAGCTGTCGGTGGATAACAGCAGGATAAATGAGAGGATCTCTTTAACAGCAGCAACACTTGACTGACACCAGCTGAGTCAACAACATCTCTGCGGGAAATCGGACTACCTGGACAGGCCGAGGAGTGAGAGGAGGCTGAGCCTCATCCAAGAGTGAAAAATTCCTCCTCACCATAGATAAGGTTAATGGTTGTGTTTTATGCCCTATTAAAAATGATTTACAGTGCATATGAGAGAGGCATTAATGGGAGGAGTGCTTCGGACAGAGCTGCATTCATCATCCTTATCTGCATTAAGTACACACAATGTTAGTGTTGATATAACATCCAGTGATATATTAGATGATAATATGAAATTAAAGGCTTGTAGTCTGAATATTCAACATATCAGGCTGCTGATAGTCCGTGAAGTTTTCCAAACAGTGCTAATATTTTCAAAAATGGGCACTAGGACTTTTTTTTTTTTTTTTCCAGAACTTATGAGTTTAGGTAAGGGCCTGTGTCCACTAACAGCATTTACGATGCTGGCAACCTTCAACCTTAATTTCAGAGCACTTTTCGTGGCACTCACTGTTGCTAGGTTGCAAAGTTGGTCTACTGAACCTAATTTCCATCTGAGCTTGCGTGTTTTGGGGATTTGAATGCTAAAAACACTGAACTACACTGGTTCTGCATAAAACATACATGCTGCTCAAAAGATGCTGTTAGTGGACATAGGCCCTAAATGCATTTTATTTATAGAACAAAAACAGGCAATGTTTTACATAGGAGTTACATAGGTTTGTCTGTAAAATCCACACCTTGACAACTTGATTAAATTTAATAATAAAATTAGAAAAACACCACATTTGCAAAACTATTTTGGGAACTTTTCTGACAGATAATGACAGATTACTCTCATTACATCTTGGTTTGTTACTCTTATTGTTGCTAACCCTTACTTGTCACTGTTTATCTTGTTGTGGCTTAAACCCTGTATGTTTCTAGTTTAAGCTTTTAAATGTTTAATGTTGTGTGTCTGATGTCTCTTTGTCCTGCAGCTAAAGTTTAGGGCTTTAGATTTACTGGTAGGCAGATTTATTAATCCTGAACCGAGCCAGGCAGACCGTTTCCCCTCCTGTTCAAGTAAGGTGACTGGAAAGCTGATTTCCAAGGGGAAATTCATTTGCTTCTTTTAAGCCGGCCGAGTTAAAGAAGCGAGGGAGCACTTCCAGCTTTGAGACATTGCCATGGGAGCCTTTGACCTTCATGTTTTTGGCATGTTTTGGGGGATTAAGGGGCTTCCATGCAACACAAGGAGAACATTCAACTGCACACTGAGGCCCCGGCTTGAAATCAAAGCCAGGATCTTGTTGCTGTGAGGCAACAGAGCTTATAGTTAATACCCAAGATGCCCCTTGATAGAACAGCAAGAAAATGAAGCAGCAATCCCTCCAAAATGTCAGATTTCCAATTATTTGTCATGTCACTGAATCAGCATGAGTGTCTTTTGCTCTATTAAAGTAAGTTGGCGGTGATTCATGAACACTGTAGACCAAAGCCTGGCTGGACAAACATTCATAAAAACTGATTTAAATTCCTCGTTGGCACACTGACAGAATGAGAAGCATGTATTAGATCACACTGGATGAGAACACAAATGAAAAAGTAACATCTGTGTTTCATTTCGCCAGAAGCCAAAAAGTAGTCCGCTCTACTAAAAATATTTTGCATCCAAACAACAGATGTTAGTGACTTGGAATCAGCTGTTTGTGCTGCTAATGGTCAGTCAAACACATTTCCCTGTAAAACACTGGAGCTGGAAAACAGGTGAGACCTCACACAGTTGTGTTGATGCAGAAGCAGTGGGCGGTTAAAGCAAGAGTTTCTGGAATAGAAAACTTTTATATGTCAAAGATTTAGTGTGGTTGCAACGGCCCTTTAGCTGAGAAACAAAGAGAAAGCATGTGCTGGAGTAATTTTCATCGCTGAGTTTGTCCGATAGCTGTGACATACAGTATGCTGGTATGAAATGCTCTCTGCAGATGAAAACATTTACAATAAAAAAAACAGGCAATGACAGAGCGCTTTTACATTTCTTTCATTCATGCAGAATGAACAAAACTCTGGTTTTTAGCTGTTAGAATAAAACAGTCTAACAACAATACAATTAATATGTAGTACAATTAAAAATAGTACCTTATAACATGAACAGACATGATGTTTCACAAAAATCTGCAACTCTTGCTCACCTTGGAGGAACTTAATTTTGCATAACCACCTACTCACTATACACTATCCCACTCATTACCTTGCTAATAACCAAAGATACCAATGGGTTGACTCAAACTGTTGTTATAAAGACAATTTCATTGATTCGGAAATGATTGATTAACTCAGATTCAGTTGTTGGTTGTGCAACTATGTAAAGGGTATTCTGATCAACCCACTTGTGGGTTAAGTTAGCAATGAACATTTTCATTCATGGTAGTCTAAATGGTAGCTTTTTTTCCCTTTTGGCATCCATGACAGGTTCAGTTTGTGTCTGTTTTCTTTAATTTGTTAGATGTCGCGATCACTCAGCTATTTGTGTTTTTAGTTTCTGTTCTATTTCCCTCCTCTTGCTTTCTTCTCTTGGCTGGTGACTCGCAGACAAACAATCACCATTCTAAATTTTAATGCTTTTTAAATAAATTGAGATTAAAGAAAAGGCATAAAAATATCCTCCATGTTGTTTTATGGTTTTTGTGTCACTGTCAGCAGGAAGAGGTAAAATCAGAAACTTGTGCTGGACTTTCTTTAGCAGTTTTATTTGATGATGTGTGTGATCATATTGTCCCTGGTGTTGCCTCTGCATTCAGGATGAATACCCACTATTATGGGGTTTTGTCCAATCAGAATCAAGGATTTCACAAAGTCAGGGAGTAAGCCAGGAAATAAAACAGTTGAATGATTATTGTAATCAAAAGGTGAAGTCGAAGGAATGGTGAGGACTGGTCCCCTTTCCAGAGCAGCTTGGAAAACAGATTTGTGATTCCCGTCATGTTTTGGATGAAATATCAACGTGGCCTAGGCTAAGGGCTGGTGACTGCCAATGCTTACAATAACGTTACAGGCCTAAATCCTGTAAAGCATGATAAAATAGATCCTCTCTGGGTCTTTTTTACTCATTTTCCACCACCTGACAGTGCCAAGGAAACACTTAGATGATGACAGACCATTTATTTGTAATAAAATCTGCTGACTCGAACTACATATACCCAGAACATTTCCTCTCTTTGCTGTCACCCTTAACTGTTATATGTTTCTTCTCCAATCCACATTAGAAACATTAACCACAGCAGCTGCAATCTACTTTTCACGTCAAATAGAGTAGGCCAACAACAATTAACTTATAGAGGCCACCCACCTAGAAATATGACAGAAAAAGGAGTAATTACAACATCTGAGTTTTCATACATATCAAAAATGCATTATGTGGAAAGCAAAAGCACTATTTCGCAATAGATAAATCAAGTGTTACTGGGGTCAACCAATAAATAAAGATCTAATCCAACAGAAATCTGGCCTCCATCTTATAAAGAGTTATGAGAAAGTGTTTCATTCTCACACTGGTCCCCATTTTCCTGTTTTTCCTGACACCATCTCTGCCCTCGGCTAAGAATTCCCCTTCACATCCACAATGAGGAGACCCCAGGTCATCACAAACATGTGGCAAGATAACAAGAGCTCCATTAACCAGGACCAGGGCGCCCCTCAGGATATCACAGAGAGAGAAGAGCTTGTTCTAGACAATAAAAAATGTCTTGACACAGGAAACACAATCGCCTGTGCTGGAACATGACAATAAAAATGGCATGACCTTAAGCACTCACTGCTAAACTTAGACTACAGAAACATAGTGGATGGACACTGAGGTCATGAAGTTTGACACGTAAAAGTTCAGTGCTCGCAAAACTAAAAATTTAGGATAATTTAGAAAACAGAAAATAACTTCAAAACATCATAAATCTGAGTAGATGGAAAAACAACAACAAACGGGCCTGAGAATCTTCTTGAAATGAAATCCACACAAACTGGTGTTTACAGACTGTGTAAAAAGGTGGACATGATCAGAAACATGTCTACTTGCAGGCCCCCTGACTTTTTAAAGAAATGAGAGCAGAAATACTGAGTGGTTTGATTCATGTTGCTCTATAAACACACCTTAGAATAATCGAGAATCTTCGCACCCCATGCCTAACTTAGCCCTGGGATTGTGCACCGCTTAACTAGCAAAATGAAGTCGAACATGCCGCAAAAATGAGGTTGGACTTTGCCCCAAAAATTATGTTGGACATGCCCTTTTTGTACCATGCTTTTGAGATCATGCATCCACATTCAAGAATCCAAAGGTATAGCATAAGTCAGGATGAGTGCTGCTTATTCACAGTACGATGGCGGTTAAAAAGTGATCCAACAGCTGAAATGAATGAAACATAACCAAACCAAGTGACTGTTTCTCATCAGTGAAGCGGTTCAATTTTCACATCTACCTTTCATCATTACTTATAAATGGGTCGTTTTATTCACAATAACAATCCCTGATACAGGAAGCCCACACAGCGAAGTGAGGAGAGTCAGGAAGGAAGGACTGTTGTGGGAAAGCAGAGGAAGGGGACATGGTTGACAGCAGCAGGGATCTGGATTTTCCATGTTGGATCCCTTCTTTGTAATAAAGTGTGAATTGGCTGCCGAGAGGATGTGGTGGAATAGAGAGGACAACAGAGAAACAATAAGGTGGAGGAGAGAAGCAGGCGTTTTATGGTTTCTATATTTGCTCATTCCCTTTCTCTCTCCTTCGTCTGAATACTCCCCGCTGACCTGCAATACACAGAGAGCATTTATTTTCCCTCTCTGACATGACTCCTTTGCGATACTTCGGCCCAGAGCTGATATCAGATTGGGTTTCTCAGCGGCTAATCGACTCTTGGCTCGAAGGCATGCCACTTTATCTGTCCCAGAGTTGGCCTTTCACTTTCCCAGAAAAACTCCTCATTTATCTGGATGTGTCTTTGGTGCATAAACATAAATCTGCTGAGCGAGAGTCTTCTGCACCTCTTGCAAAAAGGTCTTCAGTTGCATCATTACTGCTCTAGAGGGTCACATGATGGTCACAAAGTCAGCTCCTCTCAATCTTGACACAGTAGACTTTGGACCGCTCCTGCTAATTCAATTAACTTTTGATGCTTTAATGGGAAACAAGACCTTTGTAACCAGAGCCTGGTGTGAGGTGGATTTGCCAAGTCTGGAAGCAAGAGCAAGGATCTCATGAGAAAGAGAGTAGGCAGGTAACTTACAGCTGAACTAGGATTAGACGCTCTGTAAAAAGGATCTCACATGTTCTTCTAATGGTGGTTTGGTTGTTTTACGAGGTCGCTCATTGCCTCCCACACTTGATATCTTTGTGCAGCTGGAAATACTTCTGATACGCAATTAAGATTGGCTCTCAGAAGACGTCAGCGTGTTTGATTTGGTCCACCAAAGACATCGGCTAATCTTGCTCATTCACTTTGTTTTCGCAGTCAGTTTTTCCAATCAGATCGTCCTAACAGTAGATTAATAAGGGTTAGCTGTAATTACATGTGTGTCAGAGATTTAATTGAAAGTAGCTGGAATGGATTTCAAACTCGGGATGAATTGGCATTTGTTTTAAGCCACATGACAAAACCACAACTATGAGTTGTGTGCTACAAGTGTGAAGATTGAGGTTTCTCTGTTTTTTCGCTCATTGGGGGAAGTCAGGAAGCCAGTTGGGCCTTCTTGTTATCGTCATAACTGCCACATACCCTGCGGCTCTGTTTGCTCTCGGCTGCACAGTGTGGTGCGTGCTTCCAATCATGCTGAGTGAGGACAGGGGCCAAGTCAACGGGGATAAAGAGGGTAAGTGTGGCAGAGGGGCGGGAGCAGAGGACTCAGCGGCAAACAAAGCTTTGGGCTAATTTACGACTCCCAGAGCAGATGTAGGTCTGGATCCAGGTCCTCGGTCATGAGGGGCACCCTGCCTTGGCTCAACACCCTGTGATCCTACCCTGGAATAAATCAACCACTCAAAAGCCTGACGAACTTGGGAGCTGCCCAACCAGCCAATGGTTCCCTGTTCTACACGCCACAGGCCTGGCGTAAATCATCTGGGCATCAGAGAGAGGGAGAGGCAGATGAAGGGTGAGACGGACAAAGGGCCCCCTTGAGGCTGAGGTCCCCAGAGAGAGAAAGCTCTCTGCATCTTGTCAATGTGGGATTTTAAGTCTAGTGTAATTGGGCTGATACTGGCGACACCATCTTACAACTAGACAGTATAATCAAAACGCTAAATTTAATCAGACAGGAAGTATAACGACTGGAGATGTCCAAGAGCAGCAAATTTCCTGGTTGTGCAAACAGATTTAAAACTCAGAAAACTAAAAGAAGTAGAATAGGATCTGAAATATGATTACAGAGTCTAGAAGAGATGTCAAATTGATTTGCAGAGTGTGGTCAATATTATCAGAGCCACCACCACCAGCCTTCAGCCCTTCCTGCAGGTTAACATCCACACGCTGGTTTGGCATTATGGGGTAAAATGGTTATGTGCCAGTTCTAATCACTGAGAGCTACAACCCCTGTTTGTGATGAGTGGCTACAACAGCATTTCTGACCTATAATATCGTTTGTATTGATAACAATTGGTTCAACTGTGTTATTTATGGGACAAGTTGTTCATCATCTAATCAACTTTGCAGCTGATAACTGTTGATCAAGTTCCCCATTTGTCTCATTCTGCGTTTATTTACTGTAATCCTTTTCTAAATCTCATTTGTTGCCTTGTAACAACATTATTTATGTCGCCTGTTTAAGTTTCTTCTTTTGCATTTGTCGACAAAAGCACACTGGTCAGCCCTGATAGTTTTAGATGCACTTGAGTAATAAATTCCACTTGATTTAATGGTTTGAAATCCTGGCTGTTCTTGCCCTGGACCTACAGCCCTAAATCTCCAAATAGATCTGCATAATCAATCAAAAGTAATTAATTTACTTTCCTATTACTTATGAACATCTTCTGCAAGGCCGATGTCCAATCTGTATGTTAAGTACATTTGCTGACCTTTGAACTTCTTAAATCCTGATATCCCTTGTATATTCACTCATACTAGCTTGATCATCTTTGTTGTGTAACAAAGTCAGACCAGGTCACTTCCTTAAATGTTAGTGTATGGACAAAAATGATGATTAAATCAGTCCTAAGTTGCACTGCAAGCAACTTCCCAAATGGTAAAGCAGGAAAATGCTTCCTCAGTGGGTTTCAAAAAAATATATTAACTGTGAAATTCCTGAAAATGAGCCAAACATATTTGCTGATACTGTAATTCATTTATTTCATGCTTTTTTTTTTTCACTCGTTTTCCTTGACACTATCATGAAACACTCCAGGGATTTGGTTGATAGTTTAGAGTGTAAGCACGATGCTGGCAAGAAGCGAGGAGTTGCATCCTGTTCCCAGAAGATCCGCAGTATGTCTCAACACTCTGACAGGAAGGGAGAGTTTTGAACTCGCGGCTTGACTTGACCTTTGCAACCTGGCGTAGTCCCGCTCGCTGATCCTCTTGACCTTGAACTTTTTGTCCCAACTTAGATTCGAGATTGTGATTTATAATCCTTTTACCTCGTGTTTTGGGGGAAAACACAAACCAACTCATCAGATTTTCAACAAGTTTATCTCCTTGCACAGTTGCTCTTCTGAACTTTACTATAATGACTTTAGCAATGTACTTTCTGGTTCAGCACTTCATCACCGCTGGTTCCTGTTGTTCTGTGCTCCATCACTTGGGTTTACTGCAAATCTGTTTTTATGCCTATGAAGCTAATTGCCCAGTGGGTGAGGTCCCTGGTGTGCAGAGGTTCCCCTGTTAAAGTTCTGTGCACTCAGCACACATTTCCGATGATGGTACACATGTTTCTGATTAGACCGAGAGAACAAACACACAACAAACAATAGAGCTGTTCAAGTGTTCTCTATAGATGTATCCCATGTGGGCTAAATAGCATCAAACCTATCGAGCACCACAGGGTAGCGGCGCAGAGAAATGTGAAGAATCTGACTCTGACTGCTCGCGTTGAAAGGCATGGAAAATCACTGCTCACAGCCAAATAAGTCAGAGAAACTGAGCACAATTGAGTTTGACATTTGGAAACATTTAAGTTGTGAGGGAGAATAGGCGAATGTTATAGGTCCAAACTCTGGTGATGGATATTGTCAGTATTCATTTACCTTGAGTCTTGTCATTTGTGGGGTTGAAGAGAAGGCATTTACACGCTACTGTACTTTGTTATGAGAATAAAGATATCAGACAGTGTAACGACAGAAAGAGGCCGAGGGAGAGAGAGAGAGAGGATGGGAGAGGAGGAGGAGATGGTAACATCTCTGAGTTTGCAAAGTGACATCAGATGGAAGTGCAGGGTGGAACAGGTGGAGCTATAGATGCTACAATCCTCAATACAATATAGACCATTCAGTATGGTATTCATGGTTCAATACACACATGAGAATAGCAACTATGATGGTTTGGCTACAACAAGCTTCTATCTATTAGACTCCTCTCTCAATCTGTTAAAGTGCCTGGATGAAGAAACTTCTCCTTCAGGTAAATACCAACAGGAAGACCTGCTGAAAGCGCTGAGTAGCAATTTCAGCGTGAATTCAGTCAAAATGCAAAACAAAAAATACAGTTAAAGATGAAGATGAGGGGTGTACTTAAAAAGACAGATTTGAATGAAAAATTAAGTCAGTTGATTGTAAGTCAAAGTTTAGTGCAACTAAGTTATTTCTTCTTTAACCTTTCCGGATCACCCTGCTACTTACTGACCAAGACCATCATAAAGTCCATGGTCGGGACTTATTTACAGTCAGGCTAGAAACTTAAGAAACAAGAATGAAGTCAGCATTGGGAAACAAAATCTAAGAGGGGATAAGTAGTTGTAATTTTTCACTTGTGCTTTAAGAGAAAAAACGTTTCTGAAAACACACTAAAGTAAAGCACACATGCCTGGAAACTTTTATGTGCAGGGATGGAGAGTATACCTCTTTACTGTCTTCCTGCAGTTTCCTGTCTGAGCTTTATTTTGATTCAAAATTTATGGGAGTGCTTAACCGCCAGCCATCTTTCATTGGACCAAAAGGTCGACAAATTCAGATCCCCTTTCCTTCTCATCTGGCTCTCATTTTAAAGCTTTCTGTATGAAACTAATATTTGGATGTTTTCTTACTTACGAAATTTCACGAGAGGTCTGTTTATCTTCCACAAAGGGTTACGTATTGACTCTCTATGTTGCAAGACTTCCCAGATGAACTCATGTTTTCTTGGTAGATTCAGAGCAAATCTATCATAAGATTGATAAGTGGGGATGTATGTTCTCAGGCCATAGTTTAGGGTGTAAAGTCACAAATCTGTAGCCGTCTCTGCATCTGTTTCGCTGTATTCTCCATGCTTGTGTCAGCTCGTGTTTAAGGCCGTGCTCTGTGTCAGGGCAGAGCTGCCACTGTGCATCACCAGAACTCTCCTGATCCCACTGTTGTGGTTTACGGTTATCTCTGATTGGAGTCCTCCAAGCCACATCTTAAACAAGACTATATTTATATCACTGGAGAGCAATGAATACCCAAGCTTTCTCTCTCTTTCTCTCACACTGAAACTCAAACACGCTCATAAAATGGACATACACATAGAGTGCACTGGTTCCACACTGCGGTTCTGGTGGTTTCTTGTGACGTGTCACTGTGCCACACAGGCTTTGTCCTGATTCTTTCTGGTGTGGTTTGTTCCAGCTGTGTTTGAGGTCTGCTAAATACACACTCATGTGTGAACTCTCAGCTGACAAAAACTGACCCTGAAGAAGTAGGCAAATGTGAAAATGTGTTTGGTCCCGGTCAGGACCAGTTTGCATGCAGGTGTTTTCCTGTGCACACTTGGAAACATGTTTTATGAGGCAATAATGGTTAAGAGTTATTCCCTTTAGCTCAACACTTTGGACAGTCCACCTCCGAAGCTCATTTTCGTGGAGATGTTTATAAGGGCACGGTAGTATACAGTTGCTGTGTGGTTTCGTGCCTACTAGTGTGTATAAACACACACCTGCTGCTGAGTGAAATCACAAGCAGATGCATCAGGCACACTGCAGCATGGCAGAGGTCTGACACACCCGATGAGGAAGCAGCCCACCCCTTAAATTACTGTCAGACACACAGACACAGACGTGCACCGAGCAGGACAGGAGAACACATGGGAGGCATTAGAGCTGACAGTACGGCCACACACGTGTAAATTACAGTACAGCTCAAGAGTACATCGATAAAGACAAGATGATGCTTTACTTATGTTGACTTATTAACCAGTCAGTGGGTTTAATGACTCTTCTCTCATCACAATGAGACCCTGAGGAGGTCCTTTAACCTAGAAATAAGGCAGTGCCCCACTTTAATGCACAAGATTGCTGCTTTACCTGAAATTATGCAATGAGTTAATAATGAATAATGGTATATAGGAATTCTTTCTCTGGTACCTACATGCTTGCCTGTCTGTTTTAATCAAGAAATTTGCTGTGAGATTTACAATACAGAGACGTTCATACTCATTTGCAAATAACTAACAGTAACTTTATTTATTATTAAGTCTGGGTGATAAAATGATAACGATATATTCATTTCCCTCAATATCAGTATAAAACATGGTCAATGTGCTTTTCGATAGTCGGTTTATTGCTATGTTCACCTGTGCAGCTGAAACAGCCGACCATTACGCTTTCTCTAGCATAATGCCTTGCGACAAAATGTCAGAGACACAAGGATCTCATAGATGCAGTAGCTTATTGTATTGCAAAAGACATGCTACTAATAAACACTGTTAAATTTCTTTTTTTATATCGTGATATATATCGATATCGACTGATTTGAAAAAAAATATATTGCCCAGCCCTAGTCTGCAGATTACTTTTCTGACTAATTGATAAAGTGAGGCCTCTTAGCTGCACCTCACTCCCATGCGTTGTTCCATTAGGTGATTAAACCATGCATCTATATTTTTTTGGGTTACAAATCAAACAACATTTGCAACCATACTCACACTTCTTACTGAGATACACATCACAAGGAAATAAGAGAATCTGAGCCGGAAAAGTCCTAATTATACCGAGGGAAATATTTCATTGTAAGTGTGTCCAAGTATGGAAATCAACCAGAAAATACTCATATAGAGCCTTTCAGTATAATCTTTTCATAATCAAACACAGTGACAAGACAGTTCTTGACCTAAAGCTGGTTTATATGAAGCAAACCATCATGCAGTTCCATGGATGTAATGTCTGAACCACTTCTCCCACTAAATTCCTGGTTAAATATTTTCACTCCTGAGACATTAGTCAGACTCCAGGCAGCTGATGAAGGCCAACCAGACTAGAACATCTTTTATCAATGCAAGGAGAAGATAACAGAAGAAAAATGACTTCATACTTTATCACAACACGAAGCAGAAAAAGAAAACAAAGCACACGTCACCTGTGGGACTACACTGTGTATTTTAGGGTTACCCCGCCTACCCTCTTCATGCTAGTAAATTTCTTGCATCTTGGAGAATCTTAATTGCAGAAAAGCCTCATCCTTTACACGTGCAAACACTAGACACATAATGTCCCATCTTTAATTCCTGCCTCATTTAACGCCACATGCAAAGCAGCACAGAGCAGCAGTGTTAACGTGGCACCACCACACCTTCTGAGGTTTGCTCTCTGCCCTCCTACACCTTATAAATCTTTCTATCCTTTGCATACAAAGAGAGGTAGGATTCATCACCACACACGCTCATGCACACACATGAATACACACAAACATTAAGTGAAGATAGAAAGCTTTGCCGCCCACTGGGTCCTGTGAACTTGGTGGGGTCCATCAACTAACCTTAAAATTATGATGTGCAGAAAACACGGCTGTACATATAATCTCCTCCTCCTCAGTGATAAAAGTTGTTAAGTACAGCTTGAATAAACACAACATGAGGGGTGAGGACAGACAGGAGGTTTTCATTCCTCTCTGCAGCTCAGCCTTGTCTTCCCAACACGGTGTAAATGTATCAGGACATTTCTCAGTGTAGGTGATTCATCAGCAGCTTGATCGTTTATTTGACTTTCTCTTACTCCTATCTGTGGGCTTTTGTATCAACAACCCCAACAAAGAAACTGTGTGTGTGTGTGTGTTAAATACCTGCGCACTGAAGGTCTTCTAGTTACTGAACTACGAGGTCTACTTCTTTTAATGTGACACACTTTACATTTGATTCAAGGTTCGTTTAATTCCCTCCTCTGGAGTCTCTGGGGAGGTCTTACTGAAGGTGACCCACATTAACTATATAAGCAAATGTTATAGACCAGCGTCTCCATCTACAAGACTATCTGAGTCAGGGTGACAGCAGCATCCATCTCTATAGATATGTCTATTTACACAAATATCACTGTTTAGAAAATGTTGGCCTTTGCTCAGGCCCTGCGATGCTTGGCCAAGGGAATATTTTAATTAAGTCCTTCATTTATTGTTGCAAGAAAGAGGAAATAAACTCCCTCTGGGATTTAGGATTTTGGTATTGGTTACGTTTGTGACAAATATGGAGTGTAAGCTTTGCAAATCGATTCCAATTTATGTCAAAAAGTTATTGATCTGAAGCAGGAACAGAAATCAAGTTGGACTGCATTATAACTGAAACACGAAAACTTTCTCCTGACTCTTCAACAAACAAATCTGTCCAAGTCCCAAGCAGATTGTGCAAAACACAAACACATTGGGTTACATGTCAAGCTGTGGTCCAGCACATCATCCCGGTGTGGAGTCCTACAATGAGTTCCTTTAAGGTCAAATTTCTGTCACAATAGTTGGTTTCATGGTGCCATCTAGTGGGGAAGCGACCCCACTGCTGAGATTCAGCAGAGGGCGCTGCAAACAATTGTGAACTGAAGCACATTGCTTTCCCTGCAGGGTTGCCAGATCTGCGTAATATAAGGAAAACTAGACTTGTTTTAATGTGAAGCTATTCAACAGCCTGACTTTTGACTTTTTCAGAGCAAGGAGTCGTAGCAGGCGCTAATGACTTTTGCCAACAGAGAGAATTACTTCACTGTTTACAGTTACTGCATACAGTTGATATCCAGTTTTGTTTCATTCAAATCAGGTTCAATACCTGCACAGTTTGCTCAGTGCAATGCCATCAACCGACTCAAAAACATCCAGAAAGTAGGCAGCAGCCACAAATAATCACAATCCAAAACATCATCACAACATTTTTGAGTCAAACACTTGAGGAGAAGCTGGTTCATTTTGCATTTCTACAACACACAACTCCTGCTTGCTAGCAACTGCCTTCCAGCTTAGCATTAGCTCACCATACACAGCACATGGCAGTGGTGTGGTTTCAGCTTTGGTAGCCAACTCACCTTATGAATGCTGTTCGTTCAGGTGGTCCTCTTCTTTAAGGTAATCCTCACTGTCTGAATTATCCTCCTGTCAGGCAGTAAAACGTCTCCGATGTTAAGACTGAGCTGTCACCATCACCATCAGCTATCCTTTTTGTCCTGAAACAAAAGAAATGTCAAACAAAACTTATCAGCACAAATATGATGGTTTTGGACAAATCTCTTGGGCTGTTGTAGTAACTCTTAGCCCCAAAACTAGTGGACTTCAGTATCTTTATGTTGTCCTACATGTTCAGTCAGACTTGAAACAACACTGATGCACTACCTTAAGATATCTTTGAATTGTTCATGGTTATACCACTTTCTGCATGACAAAAAATGCTATTGTTGTGGTTGTTGTTCATCAGAAGTCTTTAAATGATATGTAGCCTTACTAGGCCTACCCCACATGTGCTGTAGATGGACCTAAGGTAGGCCGAGAATTTGACCCTGCTCTTTGGACTTTTGTGTATTTTCTATATTTATGTTACCTTCTCAAACTCGTTGTCCTTGTTTCCATCTGCCTTTGTAAAGTCCTGCATGATGTATCAATTATTGGTATGGTAAAATCAGAGTGAAATACCTAATTTGTGCACAAAAACCTAAAAAGATGATTCATGACAGCTGTGTACGTGTTTCTCCTGTCGGACATGGCAACGTCTCCCCGTCTGTCACCGGAAACCAGGAAGTTTGGCTGCTAAAGTGACATAAAGCCGAGCGGTGATGTTGTGTAACCTCACGTTTTGTAAGTACTATCTGTCATTGTTGCTTTGATATTAGTCTTTGTGTATCTTATTTTACCCAGAGAACTTATAACAGAAACCTTGACCTCTTATTAGACGGTTTAATATATGTCGGCTTGTTTAATTCCACTCGGACAGATGCGGGTTCCGCAGACAGCTGATGATGCTCAGCTAACCGTTAGCTTAGCAGCTAGCCCAGCCACGTAAACAATAGAGAGCTGTGGGGGATTTAAAGGTTTAGACTTCAGTGTATGTGAAATTATAACAGACTGAATATCTATCACAGAGCTAACTGCTTAAATATCTTTAAATTATTGTGAACGTAGACCTTTATGGAGTAATAGAGCTGAAGTCTGTCGAGATTTAAGAAACCATGAACTAAACGTACTGCTAATACTTTGGTTATTAGTTATGTATCTGTGTGAGCATTATAAAGTTATCCCATGTTAGCTGATTAAGAATATTTGCCAAAAAATAAAAGTTAATTCCATTTAATGTGAGGTTTGTAGTATGAGGAAGCTGGTTCTCTATATATTTGACTATGTCACCATGGTAACCGTCTCTAGAGTTAAATACAGCTCTTAATTAAACAATGTAACTCAATGTGTCCTTCCCATCTCCCCTTTTTCTGTCAAAACAGTGTCGTTTTCTCTGCAACAACTTCAACAATGTCCATCACTACTTATCATCTTATCAGTCCATTTCACTCAGAACCATCACAAGGCTTTGAAGAGCCATCCTATTAAAATGTTAAAATCTACTCTGCAGTACACCTCTGACCTCTCTGAATAACTCACCGTCTGAATGGTTGTGTCTGCAGCAATATCACCATGCCTGTAGAGGGTTCAGAGGACCAGCTGCCCTCGTCTCTCTCCAGCCCTGTCAGTGCTGCTCTTACCCCCGGAGGAGGGACAGAAGATGATGGGGCAATTGGGGGCACAGCGGTCTGCTCTTTCCCTGGAAACAACCAGGGCTCTGAGGCTGCTGCAGCTTTTCCTGCAAACACTGGACCTGATGAAGGCACAAGTGGTGAGCTACCTTAATACAATAGAGAGTAATGCCTCAAATAGCTTTGATCTGTTCTCTAATGTGTTTTGATTTGTTGCATGGTACAGGTAAAAGGTCTGGAGCCTTGCTGCAGATTGATCGACAGCGGATCCAAGCAGCATCGGCCAGCTCCGGAGCTGATGAACTCCTGGGTCTTGGGGTGGCTGTGTACGATCAGGACGTCCTTGAGCAAGGTGTCCTGCAGCAGGTGGACGAGGCGATTCATGAGGCCAGTCAGGCTGCTGCGAAAGTCGAGGCAGAGAAAGAATATCACTCTGTGCTCGATGATGTCAGGTAAAGTACAACATTATGTACTACAGTCACACTAAGATTTGTACCTAACATCTATAAATGTAAGAGCACACTGTTGAGTGGCAGTAGCCATTTCTATTCTGATTGTAAATTTCTTACAAAATAATCTTTGAAAAAGAAATCGAACACTTTTACTGAAACTTTACTTGGTCTCCCAGATTTCTGCATGTTGAATTTGCATATCAAATTAACTTCTAACCCTAACAGGCCTTCTAGAACATACTGACTATATATGTGTGTTTCAGGTCTGTTACTTTGTCCCTGAAACATATCAACAAGATCATCGAGCAGCTCTCTCCGTATGCTGCCTCCAGCAAAGATATCAGTAGGAAGATTGAATCGGTTAAACGGCAGAAAGAAAACAAGGTACAGTAGTCAAGATGACAAAGTTTCAAAATAAAATTGAACTACTTACATTATAAGTGTGGTGATAACAAAAACACTTTTTATTCAGGAGAAACAGCTGAAGAAAATCAGAGCCAAACAGAAGAGACTTCAGGCCATTCTGGGAGGAGAGGACACCCAAAGAGTGGAGGCTGAGCTTTTGGCTGATGAGGATGATGAAGAAGAAGGTGAGGTGTCTCTTGAACTCAGATACTCATGGAGGTAGTGATTATGAGGCTGGGAGGTCAGCCCTTGGTTAGATAAGTCTGAGAAGTGTGTGTTTTTTTTTATTTGTTAAATTTACAGTAAAGCTCTGCACAGCCAAAACTATATTGAAGTAGAGCTGAAACAGAAACAACACACAGTATTCATACCAGCTGAAAGTATGGTTGCCAAAAGGCTAATCTGTGGCGTCACTTTTCTGAATTAACAGAGTTGGTCATGAGGAAAGGCTTGATATTAGGTTATTTACCCTATTTTACATTAAAATGTTAAAATCTGGAATGGACTTTATTTTTTACATTTTCTTTTCCAAATCCACCATATGACTTATTGAGTCTTATAATGTTTGTTTTTACTTTCTAATAAATGTAAAAAAATGTAAAAAAGTAGTGATGTGAGATATGTTAACAGTCTGAGATAGTTTCCCTTTTAATAATGTGTGAAATGACAAGATTGGATCTCTCAAACATTCATAACACACCTTGACCTTTTACACACCAGTGCTGGAACAGAGTCCTTTAATCACCACACCTGTGTACTTATACTTTGCACTTCTTTGCACTTGAAGAAAGCATGATATTAGCGTCAATCACAGTGTGTGATTACAAACAGGTTCTTAGCTCCTACTCTACTCATCGCCACCTGCTTACCCCCTCTCCACTTTTGGTACTTCCTCAGAAGGAGAATCAGAGGCAGAAGACTTTGCCCCACTATTAAATATTCGGCCTTAAAATGGCAGCATTCAGCACCGAGAATTCACACACAGATAATACCTGGGCGGTTTGTCCGAATAAGTTTTTTTCAGCTTCCCAAGTAGAAGCACTACAGTGACCTTTTATAGATCTTGTCTAAAGATCAGACACAGTGAAGGGAAACCAGGGTTGGAGGGTGAGACACAACATAGTGCAGTTTGTGTGGGGAGGGCAGAGTGGGGGTAACAGAGCTGAAAGAGATACAAAGATTTACCTGACAGTGACAGTAGAATTTACAGTACTGTATGTAACCCAGTCTGTTATCTGTGTTTCTTCAGAAGCTGGGCCGTCTACCCTTGGCAGCATGCTCATGCCCGCCCAAGAAACAGAATGGGAGGAGCTTATCCGAAAAGGTCACATGACCCCTTTTGGTACACGCATCCCGCAGAAGGAAGTTAAAAAGGAGCCTCGAAAAGTGATGCTGGCTGAGAACTCAGCATTTGACCAGTACTTGATGGACCAGGCCAAGCTGGCTACGGAGAGGAAGAAGGTCCCTGCTCCAAAGAGGAGGAGGAGCTCCGGACACAGCTCAGGACCTGATGATCAGGCCAGAAGTAAAACCAAGAGGACTAAATTGCTTCCCAAGGATAAAAAAATGAGGAAGCGCATGCGAAAGCTACAGATAACCGCTCTGAAGGCTCATCCCAAAGCTCGGCCTAAAATCGAGCCACAGGCTCCTAAACTGAAGAAGAAACATCGCGCTGAGGGAGAGGAGACCGACAGTGAGGGGTCAGAGTATCTGCCCAGCGATGAATGCATGGATCCAGAACAAGAAGAAAGAGACGCCCTGGAGGAGGGCTTTGGGGAGGATGATGATGAAGAGTACGAGCTGAAACCATACAAGAGGAAAACTGAAGGAAAAGGGAGAAAGAAGGTGAAAAAAGAAGAGAGTGAGGAGGACTACTTACCAGAGAGTTCAAATGAAGAGGAGGATAAGAAGGGTAAAACCATAAGATTCAAAGATGATGGAGATGTGGAGTACTACAGACAGCGAATAAGGTATGACCATGTCGCAGCTATGAACTTGTTGACATTATTTGGTATTTTTACCTTCATATTTAAAACGTGTCTTTCGTTTGTCAGCAGCAGATTGTTGTCAGAGTTGTTTTTGGATGTAAAGATGCAAAAAGTTTCCATGTGAAGTTTGAACGTATACATCCGGGCCTGAAAATGACAGGCTCAAAAAACAAACACTGAGTCTTTAACTTTGGCAGTGGTGCAAATGTGCTATTGTTATTCCCTTTAGTTAAGGAGAAAAGCAGTTTGTTTCTGCTGGCTCCGTAGTGCAGAAGGAGAGTTAATCCCAGATGAGATTGGCAGCTGTTTCTTGACTAAGCAAATTCACTCCCTGCTCTTCTTCTCTCTGCTCTCACACTGGCCTAATTATCCTCCTGCACATGGTTTTATACACTCACTCACTCTAATGCTCAAATTAATGGAAGAGCAGCCCTAATGAGATTTTATATTTATAGCTGCCAAATAAATTGTGTTGGCATGTGTCCTTTTTCTACACTGCAGTGATTGAATGTCAATTCAACAGCATAGACACGGCATGGATGGTGAGGCTAGCTTATATGAGGAATGATATTATTAGAGCAGGCTGTATTTGTAGTTAGGTAGAGGGGGTGGGGATGGGGCAGAAAAGTGTAATTAACTGAACCAATGCTTAGTCTTGACTTAATTAGAGAGTGTGGTCTCCCAGGCCCAGCTAAAGGACCAGTTTCATGGCAGGGTGACAGGACCAGGCCCAAATGAAGATGGATTCTTATCCCCTCCACCTCACACCTTTCTGGGGAACTCGCACTACTAATTGTCTGTATCAATCTTCATTTGCTGCGCGACGACTGTGCCTCTAACTGCCCTCTCTCCTGCACCATTAAAACTCTTCTCTTTACATTTCCTTTTTTTGCTGTGGATGTTCTACTGCTCGAGGGAAATACCCACAACTCCAAACACTTGCTATCTTCACACCTGTGTGGGCAAGTCTAGAACTACATCACTGAGGACCAAAAGTGCAAATGTAACATCGAACTATCCCTTCTGTGTCCCTGATAACTCTGCTGGGGTTTGAATTGAACTCAGCCTGGCCAAATTTACATGGGACTTTAGGAGACTTCTTGGATAGGTGACGAGTTGAAAAGCTGCGAGTTGCTCTGTGTGTCTTTTCGTTAAGTTGTAACAAGCTCATTGTTTGGCGTAGAGCTCAATCTCTGTTACTTCTGTCTAACTTACTGAGATCTTCAGTGAGACAGAAAAGAGAAACTATTTTTACTGCCACATGTTGTTTAACTGCATTGGTATACACTTGTTTGCTCTTTAGGAAGTGGAAGCGACAACGTCTCAGAGATAGGGAGTCGAAGAGAGAAAGAGGCGAGGAGCTTTCGGATGACAGCGATGAAGAGTTTGACGAGGGCTTCAAAGTACCAGGTTTCCTGTGGAAGAAACTTTATAAGTAAGTACAAAAGGAAGCAAAAAGGCAAATCCCATATTCAGTCACTTAAAGGTGTTCCCGATGGTAAAGTAAGGAAGTGATGACAAATGATTGATAGCAGTTTATCTGTTCTTGAATAATAAAAGCTGTTGGCACATACACTAAAACTAACAACCTTTATCTTGAAACTGTAATGATTAATTAAAGATTATTTGATCAGTATTTCATGAAGCTGCTATTATAAGTCACTATTATCCTGTAGAGGTGATTCTGTTGTTTTTAAATACTTGTATTAGAAACTATGGCATTGGTTTAATTTGAATAAAACTTAGTCGAAGAAAGTTTATATTCTTTACATCTGAAACTTTAACCACATTACAAGTCCTGGTATTTAGCCCCCATGTCATCTTATATGACATTTTTTTTCTCAATAGTAATTGTAACAATAGTAATAACAATAATGATAATGATAAGTTAATATATATAGAATATATAATAATTATATATAATAATTATAACAGCAGACAAGAAATGAATATTAGAATCATAGAGAATAAAGGGCGAAAAATCCTAGAACAGCATTTTATGGACATTAAAGATTCCCAGAAGAGGGAAATGAACAAAAAAGGAACAAAAGCAAAATGACAAATGAAAAAGATAAGGGGCAGTTAGACGCAAATAAAGCAGCCAATAAATAAATGAATAAATCTGTGAGTAAATGAAATTAATGAGACCAAGGACGGGATCAGATGAGGACGTTCAAACAAATGGTGTGAACAAAACATAAATAAATGAAATAACGTTTTTTAAAGGAAATAAATTTATCAAGTTAAAATTGACGAGCGGTTAAAATGTATTTACATATCATTTATTCGTTTAAGCTTTTTATTTAATCATGATAAATATCTTTATAGTTAAAAATGTACTTTTGGCTCACCGGTCTAATTTATTTATTTCCTTGGTTTTACTCAGGGAAGCACGGCTGAATTAGAGTTCAGTTAAATTACAGTGTGTTAGCATCGTGTTGTCGTCATAAACAGGTGTTTACCTTACCTGTATGATATCACTCTGTCAGGTACCAGCAGACAGGTGTGCGGTGGATGTGGGAACTCCACTGTCAGCAGGCTGGTGGCATCCTCGGGGACGAGATGGGATTGGGTAAAACCATCCAGGTCATCAGCTTCCTGGCTGGACTGAGTTACAGCAAACTGAGGACCAGAGGATCCAACTACAGGTACACACACACACATACACACACATATATACACACAAACTGTGGCCAGAGACTGTGTGTCTGTATGGTATGAATATTTGATCAGGGGGATTTCTGCTTGAGAGTGTTCATCTGAATTATTAAACATGTTTCAATTATCCGACTCTTCACTTTCTTACTGCAGACATCAGAGAAAACACTGACACTCTGTTTGTGTGGTGTTCCTGTGTGTGTGTGGGTGAGAGACAGTGTGTATGCGTTTGTGTGTCTGTTAGAGTGGGGTGGAGTGTCTTTATGAACACTTAAAATGAAATTTGGACTCATGAAGTGGGGGTGGAGCCGGTGTGGGACAACAAATCAACTGTAGAAAACATGCCACAGCGGTGATGATAATCTGGTTTTACTGCTCAAACGACACTCGTGCATCAAGGAGGTGGAGCTTCCCTGATGGTCAATACTCTGTCTGCGATGGACGCCCACAAATTGATTGCTTTTAAACTCAATTATGGCCAAGTATCAATAGCTTCCACCGGGCAGAGGTTCAGACCAGCCCATTAGTGTATCTCTGTGCATGTCAGTGCGTGTGTGTGTGTGTTTGATAACTCTTGTAAATCTTCACATGAAGGTGAAGCAAGTGTTTGTACACCTTGTTTGAGAGAATCTAACATCAGAGTTCGGCTGTGTTTACATGATTCTGCTGCATTATTGTCCCTTAACCCTTAGCTTCCTATATTTCCCTTATGCCCAAATGCATCAAAAATTCTGCTTGCAAGCGAAAAACATTTTCTTTTCATGTTTTGGGAAAAATTAATTTCTATAGCAGCTCATAGTATGGAAATGATGACTCTAATTTGCCAATAAAATTTGCTGAGGTTATCTAAAGTTTTATTAACATAAGCTCCTTTGTTGCGCGTCTCAATGGCTGCTCGGGGATTATGGATTTCTATACTGTGTGTTTGCTTTAAGGTATGCTGGTCTGGGTCCGACGGTCATTGTGTGCCCAGCTACAGTCATGCACCAGTGGGTGAAAGAGTTCCACACCTGGTGGCCTCCTTTCAGAGTCGCTGTCCTGCATGAAACCGGCTCCTTCACCAGCAACAAGGTAATTGTTTCTTATTGTGTGTTCAATTTTCATATTCATAACTCACTTGGAAAGTTTTCTACAGGGTCTGTTTTTCCTCTGGGGGGCACTAGAGCTCTGTTTATGCAGCATTATCTCCTAACCTTCTCCCCTCTTCCCCTCTCTCTTCAAACCACATTAAAGTAGATGCCCTACTTCCACACTTAAGCTTCCACACATGGTGAGAAATTGCACTGACGAGAACTTGAATGGGTCTATATCTTTTTTTTTTTTTTTCCTCTGTTGCAGGAAAAGCTTATACCAGAAATAGTAGCGTGTCATGGTATCCTCATTACTTCATACTCAGCTGTGAGGAATATGCAAGACACGCTGCAGCGCTATGATTGGCACTATATTATCCTGGACGAGGGCCACAAGATCAGGAATCCAAATGCTGGAGTCACCACTGCCTGCAAACAGGTACTGATTCAGACATGAACATTAACACACACATTTTGACTTGATCAAAATCTTAAAACAACAAAGAAGTTATATATTGGACAAGTTTCAACTTTGTGAAGTAAAAAAAAAAAGAATTCTTTTAATTTTTTTTCCTAGTTTATCTTATTTCTCCTTCAAATCAGAGCTCATGATTTGCCTCCACTCTTTTAGGAACACAAACACAGTCTTCCAGAAATAAATAACACACGTCTTTTCCTCTCTCTCTCTAGTTTCGGACTCCGCACAGGTTCATCCTCTCAGGCTCTCCCATGCAGAACAATTTGAAGGAGCTGTGGTCTCTGTTTGACTTCATCTTCCCGGGGAAACTGGGGACATTGCCGGTTTTCATGGAGCAGTTCTCTGTGCCCATCACCATGGGAGGATACAGCAACGCCTCACCTGTACAGGTACCAGAAGGAACACACAACAAAATATAATTACAGGGTGTCCTGGAGGCTTATTTGGTAGAATGTGACATTTATAGTTTTGTCTTCTTAATGTTATCTGAGGTTAAATCCATCTCTTGACTCTTTTTGATTATTTAGAAAAATACTGTGAAGCAAAAATCAATTGTTTACAATTATACATCTATGGAAAAATTCAACGAAATAAAAATTAAATATATACACAAAATAAAAGTTAACCTAAAAACTAAAGTGCAGAGGAGGCTCCTGAAGTTGACTCAAGACATCATGGGATTCATTTATCCTCTCACATCCTCTTGCAGACTGTTTCAAAGACAGGTCACGATAAAAGCTAGCTCCCCATGCATTTGTGAGTCATTTTTTATCATGGGCGAAAAATGGGGAAAACAAAAACTAGTCAATTAATCCAGCATCCCTACAACTAATCCTCTAACTCTCGCAGTGACAGGGCAAAATCTTCAAACACGCACGATTTTGTAGATCTACATACTTGAAAGCAAATCAGAAGGAGAGAAAACGCAGCAACAGAGCCATTAAGTGCAGAGCAGGATAATGTAGGACCATGCAAAGGAACTTCAGTGCATCCCTTGTGTGTGTGAGAGAGAGAGAGAGAGAGCAAGAGAGGGAGAGGCTAAAGTGGAGAGCCAGCCAGCTAAATTGTAGCCCTTTGTCATTAGTGTTCAGTCGTTAATAATCCACTGACTGTATGGATTTAATTATTTAAGCCGGCTATTGATGCTTCTTCCGCTGTCGATAATAAAAACCTTTACTAATTATTAATGTTATTAAATGGTCAGAGAGGGCTAAGCTCTGCTGCCTTATCCTCTTCTCGAAATTGTCAGAGCAGCAGAGCAGGTCCACTGCTGAAATTTACGCTCATAAAGTCAGATTTAAGTCAAACTGTACGCTGGCGGGGTGGGGTTGAAGGAGCTTTTTGTTCAGGGATCCATTACTGACCCCCACGTGGATCCACTCAGCAGCTTGTGCAGAGATCACCAGATCATCTGCTGCCCTCCTCTTCTGACCTCCCTCAAGCCCTAAATCCCACCACCTTATTGCCCCCTCCAGCACTGCAAAGTGCGTCTTTGATCCCCTCGTGGACCCCCAGTGAGTTAATGTTTAAAAGGCTAACTGGCCTTTAGCACCGAGTCGGGATGAGGAGCAGCATGACGTTTGCAGCAGGGCGGGAGTGGATGTTTCTCTGTCTTCCCCTCTGGAGCTGACCGGCTTGTACAGCTGATGAAAGAGGAGGGTTCATCCCCAGAGACCAGCAGCACTCTGATCAATGTTTAATGGCTCGTACTACAGAGAGGGACAGCAACATGAGGGAGGTGATAGGAGAAGGCAGAAGAGGGGCTAAAGGACAATCATGCCTCAGGAAACATTCACACCGACAGCTGTGGGTGTTGACTGTTTGACATGCTGAGTTTAATCCTTTGTTTTTGTCTTTTAGGTCCAGACTGCGTTCAAGTGTGCAAGTGTCCTGAGAGACACCATAAATCCTTACCTGCTCAGAAGAATGAAAGCAGACGTCAAGGCCAACCTGTCTTTACCTGACAAAAACGAACAGGTATTCATCATAGTCGCTGACACTTTGACCCTGTCGTGTCTTCGTATTGATCAACCTCTCACGCCCAGATCTCTGAACTGGGGAGGTGTTTATCTGATTGGATGTGACTGCATGTGCCACGTCTAAGGAGTATTTGATGAATGTGCACGGCCCTTGTCAGGTGAAGCCAGCTAATAAAGTCCCAGTAAAGTAAAAGGAGCAGGTATTCATTAAGGTGGCCGGTCCCTGGTCTGTCCTCGCGGCTGACGCTGGTTGACTCCTCAGTCCACTTCAGCTCATTAAGTAAATCCCTCAGGACAGCAGAGGCTCCAAAAAACACGCTGCTTTCCCTTTAATTTCTCTGCTCACACTCTGCACTTCATCAAAGAGCCTTAAAGTGGATTTTCACTGCTCATTACACACTCTTATACTGCTGTGTGTGTGTTTCTGTCCAGGTTCTGTTTTGCAGATTAACAGAGGATCAGCGGCAGGTGTATCAGAGTTTTTTGGATTCCAAAGAGGTCTACCAGATCCTCAATGGAGACATGCAGGTAAAATCAACAGTGTTTGTTCAGTACATCCTTTACTTACTTTTCACAGGCCCAAAACAAACCTCAAGACTTAACCTTGGGAACCAAATTCTTCCAGACAGAGCAGGGCGCACAAGTTGCCTGGAAGAGATAAATAACTACAAATCCCTTTCTTCAACTAGAAAAGCACTCGGAGAGCGCAGACCTCCGCCAAGCAGCTCATGTCCCCCCTTATATTGTGATTCACACCAAAACTTTTACTGTTACGTGTCTTTTATTAACTTTTATTTGTGTTTCAACTGGTATGTTCACTGTTCATAATGTTCCTAAAACAACAAAGCTCATATTAGATACATAAATGCATGATTTATTATGCAATACACTTCCTTGTATCTTCATTGGTTATCTTTCAGCATTGAAAATTCCAACGACACCCTTATTTTTGTGTGTTCTGGATCACAGTATCCAGAATTTTGTCTGGATCAGGATCAACCTTTGACACCTCATAAAACTCATTAAGATCCTTTTGTGTCATTTTTTACTAAAGACTCTGGACATTTTTATAGAGTTAAATGCAAAAATTCCAAAATTTGCCCTCTCTCACAATGATAAAGAATCCTTCAAAAAAATTCCTGGATCCAGAAGGCGATCCGGATCACCACCAAAATGTAATGGGATCCTCCTGGGGCTGAGACGCACCTCTGGTGAAAATTTCAGGTCAATCCGTCTGTTACTTTCTCCGTAAAGTTGCTAAAAGACAAACAAACAAACCAACGCTACCAAAAACATTACCTCCTTGGCGGAGGTAATAAGTGATGGGACATGTGGAGCTTTTCACAATATTTTCAAGCACTGACTTAAAAGCGACAGGCTTAAGTGTCAAATCAGCTAAATTCACACACCTTTATCACCAATTCTACAATGGACTCTAGGTAAATCCTAAAAGAGAGATTGCAGAAATACAGACTCACAAAAAGGTCATAATTTTGGGCTGTAAAGTCCTAATCTAAACCCTCACACACTTACATGAACGGCTCAAAGACCTGAAGCCAGAGACAAAAAGAAGACTTTCAGAAACAAGTCTGTCTGTTTTCATTCATCAACAGTTCAACTTCTTCACCCACAGTTTGTGTTTTTTCAGCGCTCTTATAAACTTAAAATAAAACACCACTGTGAGGTGGAATAAAAACATTTTTCAGGTAAAATTTTTAAACCTCACAGCTTGACTTTAGTTTTCTTTAAGATGCTGACATAAAGGAAGCTGTGCAGTTGTTCTTCTCACATTAGCCAGACCCTGGAGAGAGAGAGACTCCTCCATTTATCACCACTGACCAAATGGACGTGGTTGGAGAGCCAGGGGTGACCACGGCAGATTGCGCATGCACACACACACACACTCACAAACGCTCATTCTCTTAGACATATTCAGTGGTCACTCTCAGTCCATTAACCACCATTACTAATGCAGTGACCGTTGGGCCTTCATCAACAAACAGCCTTTATTGTCCGTAAATAAATTATGTAAGTCATTCCTGAAGCCAAAGTAAATGTGTTTATTTGTTTAAAGCTGAAATAGAGTAAAACTGCTGAAAATACACCGACTTTATTGTAGTTTTGTGACCTGTAAATTAGTCCCGGACATACAGGGAGTGCCTGTTTATTTAAAGGTGCTGCAGAGTTTCCAGCTTGTCATGAATAAAACCTAATTAATGAATCAATTAATACTTACATGTGAGCTACAAAAGCGAACAGGACCATCAGCTGGAGACTGACAATTTTTTTAAGTCATTTAGAAAAATTCTTTATTTTAGATGTGAGCCTGACAATTACAATCAAATGCAAGACAAGTAAAATTCCTGTACTGTAAAGCACAGAATCAACAGTTAGATAAGTTATGTCCGGAAAAGCCGCCAAAATGTATTCAAACGATTTACTCTTTTTAAGAACCTTTCCTCCTTTTCCTCTCTTTTTATTTCGCTGTTCAGGTTTTCTCTGGTTTGATAGCGCTGCGTAAGATCTGTAACCATCCAGACCTGTTTTCTGGAGGACCCCGCATGTTGAGGGGAATCCCCGAGGACCAGCTAACTGAGGAGGAACACTTTGGCTACTGGAAACGCTCGGGAAAGCTGATGGTGGTGGAGTCCCTGCTCCGTCTCTGGTTCAAACAGGGACACAGAGTCCTGCTCTTCACTCAGTCCAGACAGGTGAGGAGCAGGTCACTCCGGCCGTCTCTTACTTCAGTGGACTCTCATGATCACATGTCTACATTTGTTTTTGTGATGCTACATTTCCTGCCTGTTTGCCTGCTTGTTTTGCATGTGAGAACAACTGAGCTAAAGAGTGTGTTTGCATGTCGATGTGTGTGAGAGAGGAAGGCCCCAGCTGTTGTTGTCAATACCAATGAGATTATACCTCAGAGGGAACCTGAGACCCTCCCTGTCGGTATCTCTGTCCATGTAATATTAATCTGCTCTAATCCTTTTAGAGATAATCCAAACCTCAGCCTCTTCTTTCCTCCTCTCTTTCTGTTTTCCTCCTCCTCCTCCTCCTCCTCTTCTCACTCTGTCTTCATCATCTCCCTTGTCTCTAGATGTTGGACATCTTGGAGGTTTTTGTGAGGGAGAATGACTACTCGTACCTGAAAATGGACGGCACCACCACAATAGCTTCCCGACAGCCGCTCATCGCTCGCTACAATGAGGTAAGGATTATGTCTCCCTAATGGCTCTGAGTGTTTCTCAGGAAAATCCCGTCCTGAGGGACAAAAGGCTTCAGAGGAACCCGAGGTCCAGAGGTGGAAACATTTATCGATGACAATCTGTTGTTCTAACTGAATAAAAATCAAGTTTCTCTGCTTTGAAAAAATAAAATTTAGTATTCATTTTAATGATGAGTTCAGCAGAAAGAGATCATATTTTTTAGATTTTTATCATTTTAGAATTAAGTTTTCGATATTTTATAATAAATAAATAAATAATAATTCAGTTTATGTCCTAACATTCGCATTAAATCAATCACTGCTAAGGAAATGAATTTAAGGTACAGCATTACAACAATGATGTCAGCTTTTAAAGGGATTTTTAAGGAATTTTTAGTCGGTTTAGAATTTTAACTTCTCAAGAAAAGGATTTTTTTTTTTTAGGAAGGAGGGGAGTCAATTTTTTTTTTTTTTGGAGGTTTAGTTTCAAGTTCTCTCCTGATTCTCCTTGAAAATTAGTCCGTTTTTAAAAGGCTGTACATTATTGCTCTTCTGTTCTTGCTGAAACCGTTCAGAGATAATCACAAACAGGACATGATGTTGATTTCTCACCGACGATCTTTTCTGTCCTACAGGATAAATCCATTTTTATTTTCTTGTTGACCACTAAAGTCGGAGGTCTGGGAGTCAATCTGACCGGAGCCAACAGAGTCATCATCTACGACCCTGACTGGAACCCCAGCACTGACACACAAGTACGACAAACACACACTCAACACTCAAAATACACCATTTACAGAGTGCAAACTTTGTCGATTTATGTTGTGTAGTGTTCTCATGCTGAGTAAGACAGCATCTTGAAAACGCACTTTTACTCCCTGGCTTTTAACTCCTGAGAACTCGGCCTTTTAATCATGTTTTTACTGAACCATCTATGTCCCCCTGTTTTTAATGTGTTCCTGTGTCTTGTTTTTATTGTTCATGTTAATTGTCTGGCTCTTTTTATTTTGTTTTTAATTTTACTGTACAGCACTTTGGTCAGGGCTTTGTTGTTTTTAAATGTGCTATATAAATAAATCTGGATTGGATTGGATTGGATCTTTTCCTGCTTCCTCATTTTCTGTAGTTTAACTAAAAGAATGACTCCACTGATATTTCTTCCTTTATTTAAATTGTATCGCGTTGTCTTTAGGCGCGTGAGCGAGCCTGGAGGATCGGTCAGAAGCAGCAAGTCACGATCTACAGACTTCTGACGGCTGGGACCATCGAGGAGAAAATCTATCACAGGTCAGTTCGATTATTTGTTCTTTTTTTTTTAACCTCCTTTCATCAGGATATTCGAACCCTCATTGCAATTAAAACAAGGTTTAAATCATCCTGTACTGTCTTTGTTCCGTCTCTCAACCTGTTTTGCATTTCAGCTGTCTGTCTGTCGACTTCATATGTTTATGAATATTGGTAATAACATGACTAATTACTCGCATCACCGCTGAATTACTACATGCACTATCCCAGATCTCAGTAATTGAAAAGCTTTCCTGCTTTATTAAATGGCCAATCTAGGACCTCTAAACTGTTGCTCTGTTTGGTTTGGGTCTGTGATGTGCTTTGAAACAGCAAACTGGAAAAACTGCAGGGATTCTATTTTGGTACCTGCAGAAGTGTGGTTAACTAATTTTCTCATCCATCAGCCAAACTACTCTGTAGTGACAGAGGAGCAGGGAAGCAAAGTGAGGTAAAATAGCACATTATGCACAAGTATCTAATTCTGTATTTTATCTGTTTCAATTCAGGCAAATCTTTAAACAGTTCCTGACCAATCGGGTTCTGAAGGACCCCAAACAAAGACGGTTTTTCAAATCTAATGATATCTACGAGCTCTTCACCCTGTCGGATCCTGACGGAGCTCAGGGAACAGAGACCAGCGCAATTTTTGCAGGTCAGCAGATGTTTGTTTGTGTTTCCCCTTTTCTCTGTTAAAGCTGGATTTGATTATTTGATGGTTTAATCGTATGAATGTCGTTTTTAAAAGGTTATGATGTGATTCTACAGGTACGGGCTCTGATGTCAGAACACCCAAGAAACCTGAGAGGCCAAAGCCATCACCACACTTGGTAAAACATGGCAGCAGGGCTTTTAAACCCTCCGCTGTGAACCAGAATGAAACTGGTTCAAACAGAAGACACTCCTCTGCAAACATTCCTACATTTAAAGATGGAAAAACTCCAGCACGCAATGAAATCTCTCAGCATAATGTTCCAACAGACCAAGGCATCGACCAAAACGGTGTGGATAAGGAGCCAAATATTTCAGGCAACCCCACACTCGCAGAAGAGGATAACAAGGATGTAGTCAAAAACTCAAACACACCGAGCTCTGCTCAGCGCAGAGACAAAGACTCGGCTTCAACCAGCCCACAGAAACACCGAGACAAGAGGAAGCACTGTGAGTCCTCCGACTCAGACAAACACAGTCATAAGAAACGGAAACACAAAAAAGATGCCCGATTCGAGGGCCACCGTATCTCTCACTTGGTGAAGAAAAGGACATTCAAGAAAGCTGACAGTGAAGAGAATGAAACCGGCGACCAGAAGAAGTCAGACGATTATGTTTTGGCAAAGCTCTTCAAGAAATCTGGTACGATTTTTCAACTACACGATGAAATTACACAGTCTCATGAAACAAAAAGCTTATCTTTGTTTTTTTTTATCCTCTGGTCTTCTTCAGGTATCCACAGTGTGATGCAGCACGACACCATCATGGAGTCCTCTAACCCTGACTACGTCCTTGTGGAGGCCGAAGCAAACAGGGTGGCCAAAGACGCCTTGAAAGCTCTCAAGGTTTCTCGCCAGCAATGCAGGCTGCCCTATAACAGACCCCCTCCTCCACCTGCGAGGTAAACATTTATACGCTGGGCTTGTTCAGAGCGTCTCGATTCACATTTTGAACAAACTTATCTCATTATTTTGATGATCTTCTATCTCAGGAAAAGGTTTGGCCAAAAGAAGAACTCTCTCTTGGTTGATAGTTCTGTTAAATCAGCGCCTACTTCAAGCAAATGCAAGGTAACATCAGCATGAAGAAAATAAAATGAGAGTGGTTTTAGCGTTTTTTTTCTGTTCATCATGATTTGATCTGTTTTTCTCTAAAGGATGCTGCCCTCGTAAAGAAGTCTGTATCAAAGAAACCGGGTTCAGCAGCTCATTTCAGCGGGGAGGCCCCAGAAAGCGACTCAAACTCCGCCCCACTCTCCTCCTCCTCCCTCCTGGCCAGGATGCGAGTCCGCAACCACATCAACCTGCCCTCCAGCCATAGAGATGTAGAAGAAGAGGAAGAAGAGGAGGGCGGCTCTACAGCAGCAGCATCAAGCTCCCAGGCCCCGCCCACCGAGCACGACGAGCTGCTGGTGGATCTGAGGAACTTCGTAGCCTTCCAGGCGAGCGTGGACGGTCAGGCCACCACACAGGAGGTGCTGGAGTATTTCAAACCCAGGCTGACCCAGAATCAGGCGCCGGTCTTCAGAGAGCTGCTCAGGAGCATTTGTGACTTTCACAGGAGTTCTGGTCAGGAGGGGATGTGGAGGCTGAAGGAGGGATTTCGCTGAGTGGAACAAACTGATGCAGATTTGAGTTCTTCTACGCCATGAGTCTAAAAACATGACAGATTTGTTTTCACTTGTTTTCAGTTACCTTTTGGTTCATTTCTGACAAAAACACATTATCCACCGTTCAGCCATACTGACATTTACACATTATTAAACTGTAAGTGGAGGACCATGTCGTAGGAAAGCCACGGCGCAGTGTCATACACACTCCAACTATAGTTAGCTGTGAAGGAACTTAAGTTTGTTTAATTTTTATCTTTAGTGTTAGCTGGTTTCAGTTCTGCTCTTTCTTTGCACCTGGTTATACTTGAATTCACTTTTGTCATATTTGCCTGAGAGTCGCCCTGTACCATCCTGAGTAACCGTTTACACTGATGTTTGTTGTTGCTTATAAAAACCTGCACCTGGACAGCCTCAGAGGTTGTAATACACTTGTCTAAGCTGTGATGAGAGTGCTGTACTGTTCTGTAAATATGATTGAGACCTCACCGGTTGTGCAGATTTTGTCATTCTTGAACTGTGTGTACAAACACAACCTGAATTTGTTGGTGGTTTACAGTTCTGTTGAAACACCTACCTCCTGGTATTTGTGGTAAAACTGACAGAAGCTGAGATGATCAGCTGCCATGTTTTATAGGGAATAAAAATCAACCAATGCAGTCATGCACTGACTGAATGCAGTAAACCTTTGCAACTGTGTTTTCTCTGTTTGTTACAAGAGTAAATAGACTGAATAAGTTTGAATCAAGTATAAAAATTAAGGCCTTCAGTTGCCCAAAAAACAGTTTCAGTTTCTCACCTTTTTGTCTAACAATAAATATCTGAGAATCCTGAAGCATAAAGGGACTTCAGTTACATCTCCTCAGATCAGATCAGTTCTGTGTTATAATCAAAGTTCTGCTGACAAAGGTCCTGAAAAGTCCCTGGTTCAAGAAGTGACCTGAGGATCCAGGATTAAAAAACTCGTTAAGGTTCACTTGTTCGACTGTTTCTAACCAACACAGATGAGAGTTTAATTTCACTAAGTTATTTAAACAATTATCAGAGGATTGAGGGGAAAGACGCTGACAGGAAGCACACACACACACGCGCACACATACACACACACACACACTTCAGGCCTGCTCTCTTGTCAGAGTTGTCTAGACCAAATATTGGGATAAAGTTATCAACCGTTATTTGATTTCAATTTTCTCCACGCACCTCGCCGAGGTCATAATAACAACTTTATTTTCAGTGGTGCATAAATTAATTACGCGCATTTAATAACTAAAATATCATTATATTCCCCCTTTAATAACATAAACGCTGCACGCCAGGGAAACCCTTAATAGCGCGGGGCCCTGTAACTGGCCATTATCCGCCTGTAATGATATTACAGAACCAATTACGCGCCATTAGAAGGGATTTTCTGCACTTTATGTGGTTTAGTCCAATCCCGCACTCCTCTTCTAAATTTCAGCTGCTTCTCGAAGCCTCATTTTGCCTCCACCTCAGAGACGCATGGCGTCTGCGCTCTGCCGTCCCAGATGCGCTTTAAAACTAATTGAAAGGGTCCCGCAGCACATCATTTATCTGAGGAAGCGAAATAAATCGCAGGACCCCTTGCTGTGAACAAAATCAAAAATTTGGCCTTGTGAGTCTTCTACATGCGCAACCCCTTGTAAAGTGGACCCGCTAACACACCCTGACGAGCAATTAACCCACCCGACAGTCAATCTAAAACCCAAAAGCAGTCATCCTCCTTTTTTTAATATATGAAAGAACCAAATAAAAAGTGCAGCGGGTATGTGTGCATGTTTATGGTTAGGGAATTTGCTTGACTCTGGAATAACAATCACTTGTGATGAATTTTTTGGCACCAGAGCAGAGCTGCCGTTTGCCACCCTGAGTATATCTCCATTCTCTCACTACTCTTTCTGTCTTTCACAGACACACACACACAAGAACACGCTCTCTCTCTCACACACGCACACACACATACACACCAGGGGTTGGGGGTGAGAGAGACAAAGCCGTGATAATCCGATTAGGACCAATTAGGCGTGAGATTCTGCGACACTAGCTGAAAGCCTTAACACTCTGCAGACAGTTATACAGTTATAGAGACATCTGGACACTCCCAGAGAGACACACACAAAGATGTGAGTGTGTGTGTATGTGTGTGTGTGTGTGTGAGATAGAGTGTAAGGGAGAGAGAGAGAGAGCGAGAGAGAGAGAGTGAGAGAGAGGGATGTGGACACTCCCAGAGTCAGAGTCAGAGGAAGTGCAGCAGTCACCTCCTCCCTCAGAGCGGGAAGTCACTCTCCTCAGCATCCTCTCTGCAGGTACGATCCTCCTCTCCTCATCAACTTTCAATCCTTCACGTCTCACGCGCTGCCATCTATTCTTAGAGCCAAACTGATGTTTCATTTCCAGGAATAGAAGCGAATTTCACCACAGCAGCTGTAGCCGGTGAGAGGCTCAAACTTTTTTCTCTCTGTTCCAGGTTCAGTTCGGCAGCTCGGAGACGCGTCAGGATGTTCTACTTCCACTGTCCACCTCAGCTGGACGGAGAGTGCTGCCGCTCAAACACATGTAAGTTTACTCTCCAGCATCTCGACACACTGTCTTCACATTTATTTATTCTATACGGTTACAAAATATTTGTATTTCCTCTCTTGAAAGTTTGATCGCGGTGCGTAATTGCGCGCAAAACGTGTGTTGTTCGAGAAGCGAGAGCAGGCCTGAGCAGCTGATTTCTCCTATTTATATCCTCAAAAACAGTTATATTCTATACTTTTCGAGAAGAAGATAAATTAACGAGGCTATATAAGCAAAACTTTTGTTTTAAAAAAGCTGCGATTCATTTAAAGATCAAAACAAATCACCACAATCGGCTCTAAAAAGATTTATGTTTTCAAAAAATACATGAAATGCTTTTTTTTTAAACTATACACAGCAGTGACTTTCTAACCACATACAATCTTACTATCTGATATCTTATTTTCTTCGCGATTCCAAAACTGGATATCAGATCTCTACCTCTTTTTTCCTGTGCTGTGTCAGTCTGCTGGCTGTTGTGGTGAACAGAGCTGCTGGTTTTTGGCCCCGGGGCAGAAGGGCTGTTTTGTCCCGGGCACAGATGTTGGGTGTCATGGCTCTTAGTCCGTCATGGTTCCCCTCAGACTCCCGACATCAATGTTTCATGGAACTAATGGAAACACGAAAATGTGCCAGAGAGTTTATACCCGAATCTACGGGCTTTGGCCAAAATATAAAACATTATTCCTTCTTTATACATAAAGCTTTTTTTTACCGTAATTGTTCAATTATTTTGACCTAAAATTTAATTTTAAAAAAGAGACCTTATTTTACAAAGTGTATAAATGATCTCTGCTTGACTCTGTTTCAGTGAATTCAAGCGGATTTGGTAACCACGCTCCTGCAGACTTTGATGATGGATTTCTACGAAGAAAACAGCGCAGAAACAGAACTACATTCACTCTGCAACAGGTAACCATGAAGCTGGGGGAGAGAGATGTAAGAAATATGAAGAAATATCTAAAAACAAATCACTTAAAGGGGGGCAGACACAGGCCTGTGAAAGTCAAGGAAAAGAAAACAACAATTTGGAAAGACTCTCTAAATGAAGACTTTTACAGCTCAGTTGTGTCCAGATAACAAAACAAAACATTAAAGATTTATTAATTGATTAAAAAACTAAAACAGGATAATAACATAACTTCAGCAAATCAATATAAATCTAATTGAAACGATTAGAAAACTTACACAGACTTTTGTAGTTAAAGATCCTGGATGGAAATGTCTCTAAACCATCTGGTTTTCAACTCATTTGAGTTTAAAGCAACTTTTATCCTTTTTCATTTCTCCTAGAGCTTATTCTAACTTCCTCACCATTTTATAAATCTTGTATTCAGATGAAAAATTGTCCCAATAATAAAAACAGGCTACAGCAGATCAGGGGGGTTAGAGACTCAAAGAGAAACTTGTAAACTAAATAAACTGAATCCACAATCATCCAACTTTGCTCTTTTTTCACAGTTAGAGGCTTTGGAGGCTGTCTTTGCGCAGACTCACTACCCGGACGTGTTCACGCGCGAGGAGCTGGCCATGAAGATCAACCTGACCGAGGCCAGGGTGCAGGTACGTGTTTCTGCAGCTTTAGCGGCGTCATGCGTCCTGCACGGGCACGTTTGACCACGCGAGGAAGGGTAAATGAAGCCACTCTGTCATCCCGGCGATGCACTTTAATAACATCAACATAATGGTGAATATTAGATTAGCTTGATTAATCGGTCATTCATAATTAAGCAGCGATAATGTTCCTCACTAATTTGTCCGCGTCTCAAAGGTAGGAATACATCATCCGTGCAGATCTCTGTCCCGTTACGCACAGAGAAATATGGTTTAAACTCTCCTTTTCTGTCAAACACACACACACACACACTTTCCAACACAAGAAAAACCCACACACCTTAAATTCGCCAATTTATATTCCGCTCCTGCCCTGCACATATGCGCGGTTATAAACTTGGCCAGATGTAATTAAGTTATGTGTCCTGTATGTAATTTCCTGCATTCCAGATTTGCTTTTGGGTTTTGTTGTGCGCGCAGATCTAATTGTGGGAAATATAATAGTTTGCCTTTTGTTCCCCTGGGTCATCTTACTATCGCTTAAACCCAATGGCGGGGTTGATAATGGAATCCAGCGCTGTAAATTAGGGATTGTAAACAAATTATTCCCCTCCTAATCCGATTACCACATTCCTATTATTAAATCTGAACATGAATCCAGCGCAGTATGCAGGGATATTAAACTTACATTATTATTAGAAAATAAATTTCCTTTCTGTTGTAGTGTTGTTGCCCCCCTTTTTGTAAAGTGTCAATGGGCCTCCCCCGCATTAAGAGCACGCGGCAAATTGAGATTAATGGAGCAATTATAGCCCATTCAGAGAGGGGTGTGTGTATGGGGGGGCCGCGACTTCTAGCTGGAAGGTGCAGGGGTGAGATAAGTCCATTGGTTGCATTGTTGTCCTGCCACCAAAATGTTGTCCTTTCTTTATGCCGAATGAATGCACGTGTTTTGTTTGGCTGTTGACATCGTTTCTACCTCCACTAACAATAGCAGGGATGCAGAGCACACACAAAACACACACACACACACCGGCTCTAACCTCCATTCACACATCATGATTAATGCCTGCTAGAACCCAGTCCTAATCGAATCTGATGTTGTCAAACAATCACTAAATAGGGAAATAAACGACTTCATCATAGCTGCCCCTCTCTCGGGCAGCACAACTGTCAGTGGGAAGTCATTAAAATATGATAATGAAAAATTGCTCAATTAAATGTTGTTATAGGCAGTGACCTTCATTCGATTAAGACACCAGAACTTGCCTATATGTTCTCCCTCTGTGTGGATGGGGAAGTTTTGGGACAAGTCAGGGGGCTGTGGGACATTTAAGCGCCGGTGTGAGACATCCTAACACCTCTCATGTGCAGGACAAAACAAAGAAGTTGAGGATATGTTTGAACTTTGCTTTGTCTCTTCACACGCTGGGAAAATACTGAACTGATGCGCTTTATGTTGGAATTTTTTCAACTGTGAAATAAAAGAATTATTAGTAAGAAAAAATAAATGAAAACTGCTAATGTGTTGGTAAAAGTGGCGGAATTACACTTTTAATTAGAAAAATTAATCCAATCTTTTTAATGTTGATTCTTTTTTTTTTTAAATGCAGGTTTGGTTTCAGAACCGCAGAGCAAAGTGGAGGAAGACGGAGCGAGGGAGCTCAGACCCAGAAGGAGGTAAAGACCAGATGAGCGAGGGCACTCCTCCGTCTCGCAGCATCAACTCCACGTCTCCTGTGGACCACAGCAGGAAGCAGAAAGAACCGCTGGAAATGCAGCAGAGGTGAGGACAGGACGGAGGGATGTTTACACTATTGTGAAGCAGCTATAGGGGAAAAAATGCGTAACAGAAACGTAGCTGCTGCGATTTTGCAAACTGATGTCAGGATTTAAATGTGAATGAATTTCTTCCAAAACCTCCTTAAGAAATCCAGAACATTCCTGTCGCTCACATAAACTTTTCCCACTCAGTTGACTCTAATAGCTCAAATAAAATAAGCTTTCCATTTCACAGAGCAATTAGTAAAAGAAATAAATACAAGTGTACCTAAAGATGACTGGACCTTGTTTTCTCCAGCATTAACAGGTCAGTGGGTCCAAGTGGTCCGTTCTTCCCTTCATGTATCCCAGGAACTCTCCTCAACTCTGCCACCTACGCTCAGGCCCTCTCACAGGTCGCCACCCTGAAAGGTAAACACCGCTTCAATTAATCGCCACACACAGATAACCTGCTATTCGTCTCAGTCCATTTGTTTGTCTGTCGTTTTCAGTCTCTCCCTACACTCCACTTCTTCAGCTCACACAGTCACTGCAGACGGCTGTCCACAAAGTTCCTACCTGTTAAAAAGCTGCTTTTCTTTGCCACTGTTTCAAAGAGCTTTCTCATTAGTGAATTAATATCGTGTGTCTGTTTATAAAACAAAAAATAGTTAATTTGTTCCATTGTTCATGTCGTTTTATCACACCATCAAAACCAGCACCTACAAACTGAGGAGCAGCTTCTTCATCTGAGGTGCAGCAACCGATTACATCCCAATCTCCCACACACACCTTTAAACAGCTGCTCAGGATTATTTTATAAAAAGACGACTGGACTTTTTTTTCTCACCTTGTAATATTTTTTTCTGCTCTTTTATATTTTGATGTGTGTATTGCTACAGGGCTGAGTGTCACGAAAAATGATATGCACACAAAGACAATGGAGTGTCCAACTTCTCCATAAATGAGGACGGACTAATAAATTGAAAAATGATAACGTGAAAATGAAATTCTGGTTGGAACTACTCTCACTGGAGTTCTTTAATCTTTCAGGTAATGGTTTGTGCTCCTGCTGTGTCTCTGACCCCATGGGTTTGTCCTTCCTGCCGCCCTACGGTTGTCAGGGCAACCGCACCGCCAGCGTGGCCGCCCTGCGCATGAAGGCCCGTGAACATTCAGAGGCGGTGCTCCAGTCGGCGAACCTGCTCGGAGCTGCGGCAGGTGGGCCAGGTGCCGGCGTGGGAGTCCTGTCTGGAGTCAGCGTGAGCGCAGCCGGGGTGTCGAGACCCTCCGTGGGCCCCGCCATCGAGGTTCCCGGCTCTGTGGGGAGAGGCGGGGACAGCTCCAGTCCCGGTCTCTCCAACAAGGTGCCGGTACTGGGCGGGAGTCCTGATAAACACCCTCACTGCTCCAAGGATCAGCTGGAGAAAAAGTGAGGCGCTGGACTTAAACGTGGACGTACTGATATCTGAATCTGTCATCATCGCAGTTGTTCCATCTCCACTTCAACCTGAGAAACGAAGCACAACCACTGACTGACTCCAGAAACATCCTTCGGAAAGACTCAATATCACAATGTGTGGATGCAGACATGAAAATATTTATTTGACTGTAAATGATTATAATTGTTTTTGAGAAATGCTGAATATTTGGGGCCTTGTTTTCCCCGGTAAAGCACAAGTGTGGTTTGGATCTATATCTGTCTTCATGCACTCTTGGACTCTATTTAATGGACTTACATGTGTGCTGCAAAGACCTATTTGATAATGTGAATTTAACTAATCCAGATGCTTACATTGTGAATGTTAATGCATGTATACTGTACGTGTAGAACTACTGGTGGGACTGTGAGGACGTTGGCAATATAATGTTTCTGCCATCAGGTCAGTAACAGCTCAATCAATCTCTCATCCTCTTGATTTTTAAAGTGAAAGTGCACTTTAATATTTATCAGCCATTTTTCTATGTCAATGTGTACATGTGCCAGAATTCAGTCTTTGTCCCAGGGACAGAGAGAGAGAGAAAGAGAGAGAGAGAGAGAGCGCCGTTTGTGTCTTCTTCTCTGTTAGCACGTCTGGAGCGTCAGCAGACAGGGAACACACCGGGCCTGTTGTGACATGTTCTTTAAAACAATTAAAGATGTAGTCGCTCATGTTCCTCTCCTGTTGCCTCTCGCTCCAGCCATCTGTTCTGATACATTATTTATCAGTTTCCCTTAAAGCCGGCAGAGGAGAGCAATCGTGACTCTTATTATTTATTTACTTTTAGGGCAGCTCAACCTCTTCCTCTTCATTCTTCTCATCACATTTTACGATGAACCCAATTAATGGTGAAATTTTCCTTTTCGTCAGCGTGGAATTTGCATTTAAAAAACACACCACCTCTCATCACCTCAGGGCTCTCTGTGCGGCGGTACATCACAGGCCGGATTTGTCAGCTCTCCTCACTACATCGACTCTTGAATAAAGAATCGGCTGATCACATCCAGAATACTTAACCGTCGAGCTCACGGCCGGTAGTTTGGCTGATTCAATTTGCGTCCTTGAGGATTTTCAGGAAATTACTTTTGATAGTCAATAACACAATTAAGTAAACTACACACACATTATCATGAATAATTGATAAGAAATTATGTATTACCATGAAGTACTGGTTCAATAATTGATGAGGCGACACCCCGGTGACACAGAGGAGGGAGATAATGTCAGAAGTCGTGCCAGGTTGTACACAGAGCACTTACATCCTCTTTTTTTATACCATCATTAGGTTTGCATGTTGTAAATACCCGACAAATATGACAATAAAATGATGCTTTTAGTGTCTATGAGTCACCAATTTGGCAGATTTGATGGGTTTTCGTTTTATTTGAGAACACCATATTTCCCATAAGAAAGTGCACACCAATAAATTTGCTCCTTTGAGACGGAAATGTGGAAATAAAGTCGAAATAAAGTTTCAAAACCAGAACCTATTGTACTTTGTTTTTTTCTACATGTAGTGTCATAATATTGTGGGCTGTTTTACAGCAGGTACTGTGTCCATTCATGCCTTCAATAATATTACCAAAAACCTCATGTTCAATAATATACGGATTTTGCTTTTAGTGTATGAGAGCCCGCAGAGCAAAGATGCTAAGCCCCCTGACATGGCAGCTAATGATAACACAATATCCTCACACAAATCAGCTCCTTTTCCCCCAAATGTACCAATATGGACAACAGAATCCAGCCAACTCATACAAAAGAGGAGAAAAACACATTCAATCCCTCCAAAATTGAATACAGTAGTTGTGGAATTTAATCATTATCCAAAACAAAGGATGCTGAAGTTATAATGACTCCGATCATCATTAAGTTCTGCACGGCGCCCATAATTCACTGCTTTAATATTTGATAAACAAGTCAAGTTGATGTTGACATTCAGCTGTGCATGTGGCATCATTGATAATTTTCTGTCACCTAAAAAAAGTCCTGAGGCGGTTTTGTGGAGCATTGTTATATCAAATTAGCTGGAGAGCGGCCAGAAAAGCAGACAAACATGGTGAATGTGGGGGACAGCAGTTGAACTCTGTTCTTACAGTGCAGTTAATGGGCTTCTTTTGTTGCAGTAATGAAATATTTTGCAGGGATGTGGGGGAATATGTCCTGAAACAGGGAGTCGTGTGCACATGCACCCTTCCACAGACAATATAATGCACACAGAAAGAGACAGTATGCCCGCGAGGGACTGGCACATACATACTATTCTTCTGCTTGACATTGGGTGCAACACCTAAATTTGTTACTATTCAAGAAACCCAAAGTCAGACTCAAAGTGTATTCAGGGCTGGGGCGCTAAAGGGCCAAACAAACAAACCAAAAAAAAAAAAAAACAGCGGAAACATCTCTGCAACACAGCTGATCAATAACCCAATCAATTAGAATCAATTAAGCTAATCTCTGAATGGAGATATTACAAACAAAGCATATCTTAATGCAGCAAGTAATGCGCCTGTCTGATGTCTGCCACGTAACCACAGCACCTCTCCTCCTTACTCAGCATGAGGAAAAGCATCTCAGATCAATGCTTACAGTCCTCAGGAGCTCCACAGCACAGCCATGTTCAAACAAAGTCACAACCAGAGCTGGAATGTGAAGAAAAATCTAGTTTTGTTCATATAAAAGTCTGATTTTTTTGATCAGGCCAAGCCAGACAGTAAGTGTTTCAATTCTGTCCACTAGAGGGAACTGGTGAGCAAGAAACGTGCCGTGCCTCCTCACAGCAGGCTTCAGCTTAAACTTCAGTGGGAAAATTGAGCCCATGCTGCGTAATTTTTGCTAAGGGAAGTTTTTGCAAATTAAATTTTATTAATCAAGACAATTTTTTAACAAGTGCTGAGCATTGAAGGCCCAGAAGAAAGCCGCACAACAAGATGATATAACAGCTCGGTGCAGACTGGCTGTGGATTGTCTGAAGGCGAAAGGAAGAAATGAATCTGAGGTGAACATGAGCGCAGTGTGGACAGAAAGTGTTGGACTAAAAAGGTGGAATGAGATTAGAAAAAAGAGATTATCAAAGCTTGTGCTGTATGCAACACCATCTGTGTGTGTGTGTGTGTGTGTGTGTGTGTGTGTGTGTGTGTGTGTGTGTGTGTGTGTGTGGCATATGTGGAGGAGTGTGTCTCCATTAAGGCCCATGTGTGTGTGTCCATCACCCCACCAGGCCGGCCCTTCACCCGCCAAGAATCGCAGGAAACTATCTGCTGCAGCAATCTCCTATTATAGCAGCGGGTTGAAGGAGGGGAGGGAGAATAGACGGTGGGGGGGCAAAGAGGGAGGTACAGTTCCTCCCCTTCGTCTGCCTGATGGCCTTTTCTGCAGGGGGGGTCAGTGACGCTGTAGCTGGGGAGATTAGGCCTCTATAGTTGAAGCGCTTGAGTGTAAAACCCGTTGGAAAGGAGTATCTCCAATGAAAACTTCAGCCGGAGGTCAAGGATGAGAAAAACAGCTGAAGTGTTTGCATCAAAGAAGATTTCCCTCAAAAGAGAGCCTTCTCCTCCTCCTCCGGGCCTGCAGAGATGATAGTGGGTGGGTGGTGACCAACAGCCACTTGTTGACACTCCAAAATGTGCTTGTCAGTTTTGTCCGGTGAAGAGGGTGGCACTCAAGTGTGAGGCAGTGAAGTTATTTATGTCTCTCAAAGGAGCATCCAAACTAGGGTTCCCATTTGACAAGATTGACAACAACACAAGAAAGTGAGATTTTGGTCTTCAGCTTTAAACTCATCCAGCTCCTATCCAGATGTAAAACTGGTACAGTTTTTGACAGTTAGATCTGGCTGCTAATGGCCAACGGTTAGTCATCCAGATTTATAAATAGGTGAGAGGCTGTTTGTTTCATCTGTCTGACACTCGACACCAAAGGATCTGACAGAACCGCATGCTAGCTGAAGCCCTCGTTCTGTCCCCCATGGTGGACACTCTCTCTGGGACAAGTCCTCTATTTCTGTCTGGTCTACAGACCAGAGTCCTGCTGCCTGCTTCTGGTCAGAGGCTCAAAGACCCAAATGTGGACTATATAGAGATTCTCTCTCTGGATTATCATCGATAATAGAGACAGAGGTGGCAGGATCAGATCAGCACAGGTGACGGAGCCTTTTGAGGAAGTTACAAGGCTTAAGTTATGGATTATAAGACCATAAGGTAAGATAAACTCTGTACCTTATTGGTCATGTTAAAGAGGCACACACACAAAGACGAATTCAATTGACCTCCCCACAAAAGCATGCATTCTCGTTTGCTAAAGATTTTTTTCCATATAAATACACATATTTCCTAAAGGAAAAGCATGTTCTTTTAGTTTTTTTTTTTTTACATGTTATATGGAAAATAGAATTTGATCTTATTTCACTGACAGTTGGTGACATTTATAAACATTCAGTCATATCCTCTCTGCTCCCAGAAGTGACAGATTTGCTGCAGTTCAGTCTGTTCGAAGCGCAACGCCTCTGAAAAAAAAAAGAGGCCTCTCTGGTGTCGGGTTTTAGAGTTGGAGGCCCGTCACTTGACTAAAATAAACCTGTCACATGTGAGACTGAACAGAAATCACTCTGACGGTTTGACATGAGATTATCTTTGCAAAAAAAGAACTGTAACTATAGCTGTGCATCACCGCTCAATGCTACTTCTGACATATGCATACTTCTTTATTTGTACTGGGCAGAATCTGTTTGCAGAGAGATAAACGTACATGTCGATTCAAGTTGTGTAGTTTGAATGTTTCCTGATGCTCAAATTTAAATGCATCAGATAAGGGTAGGGCAAGCTCTAAAAGAGAAGTTTCTGCATTTTCAACTCTAAAACACTTTTATTTAAATTAGTCAAAACCGACTTCGCCATCATGGTGAAAAGATGAGTATGAGATGGATGGCCTCCATCCAGGTAGGAGGATATTAATGAACTACTGACTATAGTGAGAAAGGTGACGTCTGCCTGGCAGCTGCATTAAAATTAGCCAGGATGTTCCCATGACGTTTCACGCTCAACATAAAACTCTTATTTTAAGTCACCCCACACTGTGCACTGAGCAGGCTGCATAAGTTTGAGGTCCCAGGATCATTTCAGACTTGTTGGTTCATTTTGCGTCATATCATGTGTTATTTATTAGGTTGTAAGGCTACTGTTGAAGGCAGCTGTCACTCAGCAGGCAGCTAGCTAGTGAAACTAGGTTATGTGATATGACAACAGATACAAATATGTCTCTGCACTCACCCATGGCTTTGGCTTGGTTTAAGTTATGGGTCATAAAAACTCCACTTTGGAAGAGAGATCAGCACCAAGTATCAGACTACCCCCCTTTAACTGTCCTCAGCTTTTTTAGGCTTTATCTGTAACCTGGTTAACTGTTTTAAAGTAAGAAAGTCAAGTTTCCACACTTTTTTTTCCACTTTAAATAATCAAACCACCAGATTGTCTTAGAGCCACGGCTGGGCGATATGGGAAAAAGTTTATCACAATATATTTTTTCACATCGGTCGATATCGATATAGATCAAGATATAAAAATTAAATTTAACAGTGCCTACTGGTAGCATGTCTTTTGCAATACAATAAGCTACTGCATCTGTGAGGTCTTTGTGTCTCTTCAACATTTTGTCGTAAGGTGTTGCACTAGAGAAAGCGGACTGAATGGTCTGTTGAGCCTTCATCTGCATTTCTGCTGGGGGTAGCACTTATTTCCTTTTTTTTTCATATAGATATCGAGGGAAATTAATCTTTGATAGAAATCATTATTGTTTTATCACCCAGCCCTAATAAGACAAGAAAAAAACGTTCCAAGTTTGCTTCCAAAGTCTTAATTTAGCAGCATTTAAAGTTCGGATATTTTTAATTGAGCTGACCACCTGTTCGCTCTTCCTGCTTCAGTAAAACTAAATACGTTTTACTTAAGGTTTGTTTTCAATGTAATGTTACAGTTGACTTATTCTGAACAACCTCAAAGATTAAGTTCATCTTGTCTGATTAATCTTGATACCAATACATATCAGTAATGTGAAATAAAGTCTTAATTTCCCCATAATGACTGAAACAGTATCAGTACCCAGCTTTTAATCTGAGAATGATCAAAACCACCACATCCTTTTTATAAGTGCCTCTATGTGTGCGTCTGCACGTGTGTGTGGTCCAAGTTTGCGCCCTGCTTTCCCAGAATAACTCACGTGAGACTGTCTTTGCTGTGCCTAGCAACAGTGTAGTTTTATTCACAACATGTTTCTGAAGGTCAGGGTGATTGAGTAGAAGGATTAGCAGGCTGTTTTCAGAACCACATACAGTACATTGCAGCTTAATGCAAAAGAAAAAAAGCTCATCAAGGCCACAGCAAGTGGTGCTTCAGTTTATAATGACATGCATCTCTTGCATGGAAGAAAATCATGTATGCATCTTCAGCTTTGAATCAGGGTTATGATACATTACACCTACTCTGCACATTTATGAAATTACTTTTTAAAAAGATGAATGACAGTGTGCGTGCATGGATAGATAATGACTGATTCTGCTCTCTTTTTCTGCTGCAGGAGAACAACAAGATCCAGGATTTTTTGGACTAAGGCTGACTGAAAGGCACCATGCCTTAGGAGCTACTGGCTCTGCAGAAAACCTGACTGGAGGCCCCAAACTCTGGGTCCTGCAGCTCCAGTGGCAGGCAGAGAGAATAATCTAGAGGTCTGTGTTTGCGTGAATGACTAGACAGCTGAGGACAGAGTGTCGTCTTTGTGAGCTTTCATCATGACCTCAGTTGAGAAACGCCGCTCCAGACGAAAGAGTGGCAGCCATCGAAAGCACAGTGATGGAGGCTACAGTGACACTTCCAGTGCCGGCTCCTTTCTGGATGAGACTGACCGTGAAGTCAGCAATCTGACAGATCGAGCCTTTAGGAGTCTCTGCATTGGAGATGAGGCGGTTTATAATGACTCAGACCTGGGTGCGTCTTCACCCTGCACCCAGAGAGACAGACAGCTGGCCTTAAGCCACAGTGGTCAGGACAGGGACAGAGAGAGGGAGGAACTCAAAAGAGCTGCACATGAAAGCTTCAGCCTCAGGATGCAACAGTATGGACAGGACTGGACCCATGGAGGAATGTACGGAGCTGAGATCCAAAGAGATCCACAGTGGGAGGGTTATGGGGAAAGGGCACAGGGGAGAGTTTCTGCCACATTCCAGCACTCCTTTATGGAAACTTCTCAACAAGAGGAATCTCTAAGAGGAGAACAGCTGTCCTGTCTGAGCAACGGAGCCACAGAGGTGAGTTCACAGCAGCGTAGAAGCCGCTCCAGAGTTTCCTCCCTCATTAAAGCGTTTAACTCGGAGGGAAACAGAGATGGAGCGGTTATGGATGGCAAACTCAGAGAGTGGAATGACGACACAAGCTGGGACAAATCTGCTCTGATGAGTATACAAAGGGAACTTTCTGAATTCTCTACTTCGTACCAGGAAAACTTTAACAGCGTCCATTTCCCTTCAGCCGGCCCACTCCCACCCCAAAACACCAACTTCTACTCCTCTGAAGTAGCAGCAATGACTCACATGAATTCTGGATCGGCTTTTATGAGATCTTCCCACAGTAAACACAGCATGACTGCCCAGGTCAACTGCAACTCTAACTTCTTCATACACAGTGAGTTCAGTCCGTTCAAGGTGTGGAGGGATCATAACAGGTTCCCCTTCCAGCAAGGAGAAGTCTCAGGGTTTATGCATTATCCAGACTTCCCAAGATGGTATGAAACACCGATGTACAAGGAGCTTTCACTGGAGCCCCAACCACAAGGTCCTTATAGGTATGGAGAGGAGAGAGGGTTCAGACACCCGAGGAATAACTTAGCACCTGTGGTTCCTCCCACTCTTCCACGCTCCACCTCGACTTCCACAATGCTTCAGAAAGCTTCAGCTTTGGAGAAACGCTGTGATTCGGAGCTGGCAGGTCATTACCATTACAGGAAGCGGACACAGAGCCTAGGAGCCAACAGGCTCCCAAACCAGCGCCCATCAACTGCATCACCAACCATTGAGATGTCTCGACGTGTGCAGGACACCATCAGCTCTGTCAGAGCCCTACAGCAAAAAATCAAAATGATGACAGAGCAAAATATCTCCACTGACCTGGCTATACATCAACAAGAAGTACCATACAGCAATGAGAATAATATTCCCTTTGGAAACTATCCAACAACAGAGGCACCAAGTGTTGTGAACAGTAACACAAGCACGACTCCCTTCAACATCAGCCAGCTTCTCACACCTGCAGGCCACGCACAGCCAGAAACGGAGACCCTGGATGTCAGGAAGCATACTGTTTCCCCTCAGCCTGTGGAACATCCGCCAGTGCGTGCCGAAAGCAGGGGGGCCACTCCTGATGTTAGGATGTCCAACTACAAATCCAGAGCAACAAGCCTTCTCTTCAATCTCAAAGACAACAGAAAAAGAGTGAAAAGCACCTACAGTCCCACCAAATTTAAAGGCTTGGAGACGCAAGAGAGGAACAAACAGCCTTCAGTCCAGGAGCCCAGAGACACTGTGATAGATATCCCAGATTTCCCAGATACAGAAGTGGAGGAATATGGCTGGACAAATGCTGCCCAACAACAATATGCCGACCAGTATCACAGCCATGGATCATCATTTGCAACGACACATTATGATCCTGTATCTGCGTATACAGGCCAACATTTGGAATACACTTCGAATGATTACCAGACAGCTCAGATGCAAGGTGAGATGGTTCATCACTCTGGCTTTACACATGGAAACTACACAAGCAATCAGCTAGCTAATGGACAGGCGTTTATTCCCTATGAGCAAGGCATGATGGATAATGTGGAAACTCTGGGAGGAGATGGATACGGGCATAAACCTTCTTTCACAGCAACAGAGACACCGAGGTCAAACGTTGTCAATCAAACTAGAGAACTTCCAAACAATACAGCAAACACAGAGCAACATTTTTATGAGTATCCAAAGGTGGACAGATATCAGCAACTCAAAGACAACCATTACGATTATAATAATGTTTCATGGAAGCAAGAGCAGAAATATCAAAACCAACAGGATTACCAGAAATTACCAGGGGACAAGTACAGCCTAGAAAACCCACAAATTATTCCAAAAGAGCCGGAGGGAAGTCAGTTGGGCAAAGGTTTGGGTGTTGGAGCTTCTTATACGATGGACAATTTTGTCAATTCTAACATTTTACACAAACTTCCTAAAATCAGTGCATTAAATAGTAACGCTGAAGAAAATTCTGCGTATTCTGGACAACAAAAGCCTGAAACTTTACAGGAAACTCATGGACATCTAAAGAAAAATGGACACAATAAAGAAAATGAAATCAAAGATGATTACATGTCGCAGACTTTTAACAAATATGCCAACCAGGGATACAAAAACCAACACACTGCTCTTCCAGATAAAGACAAAACTACGCTCACGCAAGAAACAATTCAACGAGAACAACTCACATCAACTTTAAATGGCTATGTAAGCGAAAGTTTACAACCAGAAGAATCGAAACCACAGTTTGAACAAAATACACAGAAGAATTATAACCCTTACAATGTGTCTGACCCCACAATGGAAAACCAAGGAAAAGATAAAAAGTTAGACGAGGTCACAGCTGAACAGGACATGGCAGTGCCTGTAAAAGTACAACACGCCCAAGAAGAACTGGCAATGGCTCAGCTCTGGGCTAAAGAGCAGCAGCCCAAAGTGGAGTCGTCTAAGTTAAATTTAGCAGAGCAGACTGGTGCAGAGAAAGTCAGAGGAGAACAGGTCCGAGAAGAACTGTCAGAAAACGAGAGAGTGAACCAGGCCGTAGCAGAAGAAGTGGAGAAGATGGGGAGGAAGGATGATCTGATAGAGCAGACCACCGAAAAACAACCAGAACTGGAACGCAAAGTGGAGGCTAAGGCAGAGAAAACAATCGTTCAGAAAGTAACAGAGGCGCAAAATCAAATCACAGAGGAAGCAGGGGCACAGCACATGAAAGAAGAGCAGGATGAGCAGGTCAAAGTAACTCAAGCCGAAGCAGAGAGGTTCAAAAACGAACACATAAAAACAGAGCAGGCAGAGACAGAGCGGGCAAAAGTACAGCAGTCTAAATCTGAAAAGGTTAAAAGAGAAACGGTTAAAGCAGAGCAACCTGAGGAAGAAAAGTTAAGAGCAGAACAAGCTGAAAGAGAACAGACAGAGACAGAACGAGCTAAAGCAGAACAGGCTGAAGCAGAGCGAAGAAAAGCAGAACTGAAGCAGAAAGAAGAGCAAGTTAAAGCAGAACATGTGAAGGCTAAAGTCGGGGAGAGGGATTTGATTCAATCCAGTCATGTAAACAATGCAAATCTAATCGCACAGATCAGTAAAACCAAAGTGGAAGGAGCTGAAGAGAAAGCAGAAGATCAGGTCGAACAAACCAAAGTGACCATGTCTAAACTGGAGGCGACAAAAATAGAGAGGGTGCAGGAAGAGTCCGTCAAACCAACACCAAAACCTACACTGCCAAAACAGGTCAAAAGCGAGCCGGATAAAGTGGAGCAAGTGAAGACTGAGTTAGCTAAAGCTAAAGCAGAACTGGCTAAAATAAAGGAGAAGATGAGAGGAGAGCAAAAACACAAAGTCAAAAACACAGTTCTCACAAAAGAAGATGAAGTTACAAAAGTTGGTCCTGAAAGTGTGACTACTGATAAAAATGAAGAGTACAAAGATCAAGACCAAGAAGTAAAAACACATCCACAGAGCAAAGACATGGAAGGAACTTGGAGACAAAGTGTGAATTGTAGTGGGATGGACGAATATTACCGTCTCAGGGAAAAATATGGTTTTACTGATACGCCAACAATCATCAACACACTACCAGCTACAGGAAATGTTTCTTTAAATGATGCCGACGAAACACCCGATGTAACTCTCAATAAACTGGAGACGAAGATCGAAGAGAAACCGAAAGACAAACACAGTCTTGGGAACAAATTTGCAACAGCCGACACTGAAAAGAAAGAAGTAAGCAGCTTTAACTCAAACGAGGGAACAGAGAGTCAGTATGTTTACAGTGAGTCATCCAAAGAGTTTAAGTTATCCAACAGTAATAATGTTCCCAAAAATGTGGAAAACATACCAAAAAATGACTCTGCGAAAGATACAGTGAAGGTAGACAAGGTTGAAAAGATGGAAACATGTGACCCACCAATACCACCTCAAATCCCACAACCAAGAGACTCAATATTGATGACTGTTCCCCCCCTTGAAAGAAAACCCAAGTTGAGTGAGCACAATGTAGGTCTGAATAAAGATTTGCATTCAAACCCTCCCAAAACACTGTCCCACCACAGAGAGAGAGCTCAGACAAAACAGGAGATCCTGACTTCAAAGATAAAAGCTCATGCTGAAAAAGAGATCTCTGCAATTAAAGAAAAGGGGTTTGCTTTACGAGACGGACTTATGTACAAAACTTCTACCAAACAGTTTGTAGGGGGTCAGAGTATGAATATTCGACAGAGGCCACCATCACAAGAGGTTCCTAAAAAGCATGATGGCACAACGTCCAGTAATACAACACCAAAGCACCAGATGGAGCCCCAAGGAACACAGATGGCACCAGTCAGGTCTGTTCCACCCTCCAACTCTACTGCAGCACCTGTTATGTCTGCAGCAACAACCAGTCAGTCAGACCTTTTCCAGAAAGTTCCAAAAGAACCAACCAGTGAAACAGTAGTAAAACCACCCACAGATGCAAAACAGACAGGAACACATCCCATGAGACAAGATGATCGCTTGGTAGATAATGAGAATGAAGATAATGAGTCTCCAATGCAAAGTAAAGTACAAGCTCTCCAGAACCAGCAAGGAAAACAGGAATCAAGTCATGGAGACAGCAACTCTGGAAACGAGATAGCTGGGCCTAAAAATGATCTTGCTATAGATGCTGTCAATCCTATTCAGGGGAAAGAGGCTTTACCAGTGGTTGAAGTCAAAAGCTCCCAACAAACAACAAAAGAAAAGGCTGAGAACAAAGAAGAAGCAGTTCTTGAGGACTCTGCACCATCACTTAGTCTTGTTATTGGTCAGAACAGGACCTCTGTGGCTGACAGTAGCCTACAGATCAGAGGAATAATGGTAACTGTAAGAGAAAGAAAGCCATCTTTAAGCGATGATCAGATGGCTAACACCGATCAAGATCAAATTAGTGCAAAAGATGAAAAGAGTATTTCAGAGCCAAATAGAGGCTATTCCAGCTCAGGACCTGAATCAAGCAAAGAAGAAAATATTACCAAGGAAGTCAAGAACGCAGAACCAAAAGATGGCGCTGGACAAAGTACTCATCCGACAATGATCAATGACAAGACTAAAGAGAGCATTACTGTTCGTTATGAAAACCTGCAAGGAACTTCAAACCCAGATACAAGAAGCAATGATTTGCCTGAAAATGTCAAAGGGAAAAGAACTGGAGAGCTCCTACACACAGATATGAGACCCCAAAGGGAAATACAACCCCAAGAACCCCTGGCTGAGAAAAGTTCACCTTCCACTGTCACTGTATCTGCTAAAAATAACACACTGGCTGAAACTCAACCCCTTCTACACACTACTACAGACAAAACACAGATGGAAAACTCGACAAACGGTATACAGACAAATGAAGTAAAGAGTAATACCCAAGAGAAGAATCCTCAAAAAAGGCAAACACCGCATCCAAATGAGTCCAACATAGTGACCAAGCAAATCAGCCACATAAACGATTCAAACAGAAACGGAGCTGAAAAACTGGACATCCAACCCGCAGTGAAAGACGATACAAAAACAGTCATAAATTCAGCCAAAAGCAGCGACACTGATGGCAATAGTGCACCCCAGCAGGAGGACAAGAAACTTCATCTGGCACAGCCAAAGCCTCCCAACAAAACTAGTCCATCTTTAAGCTTCACTGAGAATGATAACACACATGTAGAAAACACCCAAGTGGACGATAATCTGCACATAGACAGCATTGCCATAAGAGTTGTGCCTGCAGATTTTGAGAACATCGCTGAAGTGGAAAAGCAGAATGTGACGGCTGTCCCTACAGACGTAGTTGCTTCTAATGAGCATAAAGAAGCTGCATCAACTGTTGTTGAAAGAGGTTTGAAAACTCTTGAAGACAAAGATCACAATGCAGAAGGAAGTCAAACGCAGTTGAAAACAAGTTCGGAAGAGAATTCCGTCATGGAAAGTGTGAGAAAACTGTCTGACTCACTGAAAAATGGCAATGAACAGGAGAGCATAGACCGAACCAGCCAGAATACCAGAGCAGAAAATGGAGTAAATACAAGAAGCAGCACTGTAGATGAATCAAAGAGTCAGCCAACAGAGGAAGACTACTTTCAAGTGCAAGGGCTGACCGAATCACACCAGAACCTGCAGGGTAAAGTAAGTGTGGGAGGAATCTCAGATTCTGTTCCAGAAAGAAGAGAACTCCCAGGGTTACTGTCAAACAAGGGAGTTCTGAACAAAGAATCAAACATAGAAGGAAAAAATGAAGTCTTTTTGTCAGATCAAAGTAAGACAGAGGCACCAAGGTCATCAAGCCTTCAAGAAGAGAACATTAGGAGGAACCTAGCCTCAAAACAGAGTGATGGTCCCACAGAGAGACATACTACAAAAAATGAGAAGTCTGATGCAAATCAAGCTATTCATATCAGAAAGCAGCACACAGAGAACCGGCCCCGCTTATCATCCAGAGAAAGACAGAGCCCAAGAAATTCTGATCCGACAAGAGAAAATGCAATCACAGAAAAACCTGAAGTGAAACCAAAGCCAAAACCCAGAACATCCACAATACCCGAGATATCAGCACTTGCAGACTATGCCAGGTTAAAAGTAATTGTTTCAGAGGACAGGGAAAACACTGTTCAGGAATTCCCACCCAATAAAAAGGAAGGATTCTTCCCACTTATACAGACTCGTCATAGCAGACGCCCAGTGTTCACCGACCCACAGGACTTCACTGTGAAAGAGAGAGCTTTGCCAAACAAAACAGAGGTCAGCTCCAAAGTGAACAAAGAACCCAAACCCTTGGTGTTTCCCATTACAGAGAAGGAACATCAAAGGACGGGGATGTTCAAACTAGGAGACAAAGAAAGACAAGAGAAACAGTTTTCAGATGCCAAAGCCAATGAGGGTGTATCAGACGCTCAGGTCAAACATTCACAACATATCCAAGAAAGACAAAAGTCACCGAAAACTCATCTTAAAAAAGAGGGAAATGAAGAAGTACCACCAATCTATAATCAGAGAAGGCATCAAGAAGATCAGTCAAATAATCCTCCCTCGCAAACACCAACCTCATTCTCTGCACACAGTAGGCCAGGCAACAATTCAATGTCCCAACATATAAAGCCATTGAGTTCACAAGAAAAACATGAAGAATTTTTACAAACAGCTGAGAGCACACCATATCTGGATAAAAACTCCCATCCAAAACCAACTTTGAGGCAAGTTAACAACACTCAGGAAAGCACAAGAATAAGAAAAGATGAGAAGATTGAAAATGCTCTCGCTGAGAAAGTCAGCGTGGACAAACAGCTTGAAGACACCAAGGTGAAACAGCAGAGCAGAGCAAACCAGTTGGAGGGAGAGCATCCATCCAGGATAGATGATCAGAAAAGAGAAGAGAACATGAAAAGACAACACATAATTGAGGAGAGTAGAGCTTCACTGGCTGAAGAAGAGAGAAGAGCAGCCAAGAGAGAAGAGGAGAGAAGAACCAGAGAGCGAGATGCCATAGCAAACAAGATCAAGGAGAGACGAGAAAAACAAAGAGAAGCAGAAAGAAGAGCTGAGGAAGAGAGAAAAAGAAAAGAGGTAGAAGGCAAGATCGCTCAACAAGAGGTAGTGAGGCAAGTCAAAGAACTTGAGGAGACAAGGCACTTGAAAGCTGAGGAACAGCAGAGAAAAATGGATGAGGAGAGAAGGCTGAAAAAGCTACAGGAGATAGAGGGGCTAGCTCGTCAAGAGATTCATCACAGAAGAGCAGTTCAAGAGGAGCAAAAGAAGAGAGCTGCTCTAGAGGAGCAACAAAAGAAAGCTGCAAAGGAGAAGCTGGAGAAAGAGGCTGCTGAAAAGGAACAGCTCAAGAGAGCTTTACATGAGAAGGAAATGAGAGCAGCACTAGAGGAGGAGAGGAGAAAAGCTGCTCTGGAGGAGCAGAGGAAGAGAGCTGTTCAAGAGGAGAAAGACAGAAGAGCTGCACAACAAGATCAGGAGAGGAGAGCTGCTCTAGAGGAGCAGAGGAAGAGAGCAGTTCAAGAGGAGCAGCAAAGAAGAGCTGCACAAGAGCAGAGAAGAAGAGCTGTTCAGGAAGAGAAAGACAGAAGAGCTGCACAAGAAGATCAGGAGAGAAGAGCCGCTCTAGAGGAGCAGAAGAGGAGAGCAGTTCAAGAGGAGCAGCAAAGAAGAGCTGCACAAGAAGATCAGGAGAGGAGAGCCGCTCTAGAGGAGCAGCAAAGAATAGCTGCACAAGAGCAGAGGAGAAGAGCTGCTCTGGAGGAGCAGCAAAGAAGAAAGGCTCAAGAGGAACAAGAGAAAAAAGCAGCTCTGGAGGAGCAGCAAAAAAGAGCTGCAAGAGAGGAGCAGGAAAGAAGAGCTGCTCATAGAGAGCAGCAAAGGAGAGCTGCACAAGAGGAGCAGGACAGGAGAGCTGCTCAAGAGGAGCAGGACAGGAGAGCTGCTCAAGAGGAACAGCAAAGAAAAGCAGCACAAGAGGAACAGCAAAGAAAAGCAGCACAAGAAGAACAGCAAAGAAAAGCAGCGCAAGAGAAACAGCAAAGGAGAGCAGCACAAGAAGAACAGCAAAGAAGAGCAGCACATGAGGAAGAGCTAAGAAAAGCAGTACAAGAAAAGCAACAAAAGAGAGCAGCACAGGAGGAGCAGCAAAGGAGAGCAGCACAAGAAAAGCAGCAAAGGAGAGCAGCACAAGAGGAAGAGCAAAAGAGAGCAGCACAAGAAGAGCAGCAAAGGAGAGCTGCTCTTGAGAAACAACACAGGAGAGCAGCACAAGAAGAGCAGCAGAGAAGAGCTGCCTTCGAGGAGCAACAAAAACGAGCTGATTTAGAGGTGCAGCAAACAAAAGTGGCTAAAGAGGAGCAGGACAGAAGAGCTCATCAAGAGGAAGAGCAGTGGAGAGCTGCTTTGATTGAGGAGCAATTGCAAGCAAAACTGCTTGAGGAGAAGATACTTTCTGACATTGAGGGGAGAAATAGAAGAAAAATGAGAGATCAGGAGAGAGCTTCACAAATCTCAAAGGAGGAACGGGTCGTAAAAGATCTGGATCAAAAGAAAGCAGAGCAGTACAACAATGAGGAGCACAGAGGAGAGAGAAAGAAAAAGGAGGGAACGGTCAGAGTCCTAGAGGAGAGTCAAGCAGCACTTAAAGAGGAGAAGAGAGACGCACAGGAACAGATGCTGATTCAAAATGAGGGAAGAGAAAGAGACAAGGCAGCTCAGAGAGTGGATGCTCTTCAGTACTATGCTATCACCTCAACAGACTCTGAAAGAAATCCAAAGGAGAGAGAATTGTACTCTTCTCAAACTCCCCAACCAAGAAACAATCAACAGTATGTGCAGGACTCAACTGAGGACTCTGAAAGCCCTGCAAGATCTCATAGGCCACATGCTCCTGCATCTCCAGCCCCTCCTCGCTCCAACACTTCCTCTCCTGCTCTTGGAGTCAAACCTTCAATGTTCAGGGTTAAGGATAACACCTTCAGAGGTTCCTCTTTTACCAAGTCAGTCAAACCTCGTTTCCACAAAAACTTTGGAGAGGATTACAGAGTGGGCTCTCCCATTGAAAGGGGGCCAGAGGAGGAGCAAGAGAAGATGAGACGCAGTGCTGGAACTCCTGTCCACCCTGACATGGGATCAAACAGACTCGCTTCAATCAGGGAATTCTCCAGTTTTCAACCATCCTCTTCATCACAGGACAACTCAGCACCTGTTCCACAACACAGACCTTACTCCAGGAGAAGTATTGCTCTGGATGAAGATGACTGTCGCTCTGTCATCAGTACCACGTCGGAGGGTGTGGAGAGTTTCGCCACCAGTGCAGCAGACCTATCAGAGATAAGAAGCTTGTACTGTGATGAGAGGCCTGAATCAGCCTGCAGCTTCAGCAGTGATGTGTCCCGCTCTTTAGGCAAGCCTCCAGTTGTTCCACCAAAGAGTGAGAAAGCCTTACGCAGAGCAAAAAGGTTGACTTCTCGTAGAATCAACAAGGAGTTGTCCAAAGCTGGAGCAGACAGCCCTGCTGGAGTAGAGAAACCTCACAAAGACGTCTCCAGTACGCCATCCTCTTCCACTGAGGTACGCCCCTCAAACAGCCGTGCCTTGGCTTCCCCTCATTTTACCTCACCTGTATCCCTTGCTCATGCTCCAACATTGGGGTCAAGCTTGCCTTCTTCCCACACTGAGTCTCAGTCTTCTTATAGCTCTTTTCATGCATCCCCTCATGCCACTGGCCCTGTCTCCCTTCAAGTAGCCTCCCCTCATGCTGCTGCCCCTGTTTCCCTCCCTGTTGTCCCAACCCATGCTACTGGCCCTGCTTCCCACACTGCTGCCCCCAAGACAGTTGCTCATGTTCCCTCTTCTCCAACTCTCCAACGTGCCAACCACCCAGCTCCAGTGACACAGTACCAAGTAGAGTCAACTTATCCCCAGTCCTACCCATTGACGCAGCGTAAAGTGCTGCAAGACATTGGCTCTGGTCAATATTTTGTAGTGGACGTGCCTGTTCCAGTGAAAACAAAAACTTTCATTGACCCAGAAACAGGAAAATATGTTCAGCTGAATGTGCGCGAGTCTGCTCAGAATACTCCTAGACCCCAGCGAAAGCTTCAGCATCAGCAAGCATACATACAGCCTCAGCTTCAACCACAAATGCAGGCCAAACCACAGCAACAGCCCCTCTCCCCGACTTCTCCAGTTGGCAAACCTGTTGTGCTTTATGATGGCTACCATGGTTATCCCCAAGGATACCAGCCTGCTGCTAACAAATCCGTTCCCCACCACAGGTCATCCACTCCTGGCACTTCCCACCAGGACCAACAGCAGGTCAGGGAGAGCAGCAGCTATGGATATCCAGCCCCTGAAAGTAGACAGAACTCTGAAGGGCCTCGCTACAGCCCAGAGAAGACTCCGTACATGGACACTGTTAATGATTCAAGCAAAACATATAACACAGTTTACAACACACACAGCCCACATGAGTCGCTCCCAGAGTGCGACACAAACAGCCAGCTTGCAGGAAGCTCAGTGCGTGAAAATGATAACTCAGCCCACTCAAGATATCAACCCCGAGAAATAATAACCATAAGTGAACTCGAGGACTTTATGGAGGTGTCTGACTGGTGAGAGCAAACATGCGTACAGTCACTGTGTCTAAAAAAAAGTTGATAATGTCAAGAGGACAAGTAGTGAAACTGAGCATTTGGCTGATTCAGAGTACCCACAAGCAAAATTGAATGGATCATTTTGTGCAGTAATTTGAAGAGTTTGTAAATGAACTTTAAGTGGAAATAGTTTTCAGAATGTTTTTTGGTTTGCAGTTTTAAAAAGTCCCTGCTGTTAAATTGCTGCTGTTGTTTGTAGGAATCGTCTGTTGATAGCTATTTATTGTGTTGCAGAGAAGTCACCATTCCATTTGACTTTTGAATGTGCGAAGCTATTTTTGATGTGTATTTATTGTAAGCATCCTGTAAAACCTAGAAAAAAAGTCAGTAGCAGTCAGTACTATTGCATAGATTGGAAAAATACTGCTTCAAACATTGTCAAGTCTGCTTAAGTCTTCATCATTATACCCCTTGTTGGAAAAATTCTTTTAGCATTTGTGATGCATTTAATATTGTGAAACCCACAGGATTACTGAAAGATCTGCGGATGGAGGGAAGCACAGTTTATGTATTCTTCCACTGTGTCAAAGTTCAAACACGGCGATGAAAATATTGCTGTGTCGAAGGTTTTGTTTCGAATGGTTTATAAAGGAAATTTGCTTTGTGTTGCTGTGAAGCAGAATAGTGTGACATTGACTTTTTCAGGTTGTAAAAACACACTCCAAGGAACCTGATAATTTCTCTACAAAATGAAAGTCTTTCGAAATCACCTTGTAAAAGTTATAAATAAAAAGGAAATGTAAAACAGTGTTGCTGCAGGTTGATTTCATTTTATTTATTAAATGACTGTAATAACAACACAGTGTTACTGTCACAGGCATCCTGTTTGTCTCTGGTGATGCTCTCCGGGTCTGAATGACAATAAATGAAGTCTTTATTGAGTGCATGAGACAATTAGACAGTGTTACAGTGAGAGCACAATGATATTTCCTGAGTGAGTTCATAAACAGAATATTGAGAGATTATCATTTTGTTTATGAAATTTCTGCATGTTTCCTTTTATTTCTGTTTAAGTCAATCCAAATGGTTAAATATTTGCTTACTATACCTCAGAGATGCAATGAAAGACATAATGGTGTGAATTTCATCTTTTCTTTAATTTCCTCTGTTTACCTACTGAGATTATATGTATATGTCTGGGGTGAGGATGCCTGGAAACATGCCTCAGTTTAATGAATTTCAAAGCATCCATCAAGTAAGGTTGATCCCCTCACAAGCAGTAACCTGCTTTGACCACTGTAGGGCAGAAGAGAGTGTTTCCTCCACTGGAGGATAGATTTAACCTTCAGAGTTATGTAAAGAAAAACTTCAAGCAAATCCTTAAAACATGGAGATCAGCGACATAATATTTCTCCATTATCATAAGAACCATCATTTGAGCACTAACATGACTATCTATTGATTGTACTGCTGCACAACAAACCATGATGCCACTATGACGTCTTCAAAACAAGAGATTTAGTTCAAGTCAGAAAAAAACACTTTATTAACCCCGCTGGTACCCTTCCCTCTGACTGCACACTTTCCAAGAGAAACCTCTATGCGACCCGAAGGGTTAAACCTGTTGTGTAATTCTATTTGGCTTTGGCAGAGCTCAAAGCGCCAGCAGAAGCCCTGCCTCAGCAGTTTAGCCTGCCCAATAAAGCAGCAGGCTTCATACCACTGGGACAGTCTGACAACCACAGCCAGAGACAAGCCCATGCCACTCGGTCCTGCAGCCAGACAGGGACACACACAAAAACACGCACATCCACCTAAACACATTAACATATACAGGTAGAGACAATAGACATTAACATTTGCTTCTTCTAATCCTCACACAGAGATGCAAAATGGGGATGGCGCCTAAATTTTGATAGACATTTTGCTGATGGAAATGCATGCTCAGCATATATGCTTCTCAAAATGACACACAGTGCAACAGGCCCATACACACACACACAAACCACGAGACTTGACCATCGCTTTAGAGCTCTGGGGTTTTGGGCCACGGTCCAAGACTCCTCACAAGAACACAGGAAATGACATTTCCTACGTTTTGCAGGACACAGAGCTAGAGAGAGAGAAGGGGAGTGAAACAGAGAGAGAGTGCTGGGAGAGTGAGTGGGAGTTTCTAAGTGGGAACAGAGCATTTACTGTTTCATATTACAGAGAAAAGAGGAGAAAGGAGAGGAGCTAATGGTGGGTAAGGGCTCTGGTGGGTTTAGGCGTTAGGCACTGTTTTCAATGTAGCTGCTTGTGTAAGTGCTGTGCAGTTGTCTGGGTTTATGGATTCGCTGACTGTGGAAAATGTACGTCTCTATAGTGGTCCTTGTCCTGACTAAAGCTCTGGTCACAGGTAAGTTTACCTTGTTTACAAAATATAAGTCTTTACAAAAAAGAGAATGCCTCTAAGATGTTACTTGATACATCTCACATACAGAACTTGAAGTTTGAGTTGTCTTATGGAACTTTTGCATGAAAATAATGTGAATCACTGAAGAAAAACATCTTAACAAACAAAAGTTGCAAGTGCATCAGTCAGACTAACACGATTGGCATTACTGACAAATTGTTTCAAGTCAAACCAGTTGTAAAGTTGAAAAAGTTTGCTCTCTGTGATCAGGGAAACCTCACAATAATTTGCATTCTATGAACTTCCATAAACTCTTGTTTCCTGCCCTGTAATCTTATGGTTATGATAAGTTTTGTGTTTGGTTTTAGTCTCTGTTTGTGCTTTTGTTGTCATATTAAATAGTGTAAGACTGACCCTGAGGGAGATTCCCCAACAAACACAGCAACAAACAGAAAAAAAAACAAAAAAGGCAGCCCAGATGGTCCCTGTTATCTTGTCGTGTTACTCTTTGCCTGCCTGTTTCAAGTTGTACCGTAGCAAAGACGAATGTTTCCCACCTGTAGGTTCTCTTTGTCTAACTGATCACACATATTGTGTCCAGACTTCATGTCTCTTCTGGACAGACCTGACCCAGCTGGCAGCAGAATAAAACACAGGCCAGTAAAAAAAGAAAACAGGGCACGCAGAGTGTTTCACTTTTCTCAGTCCTAGTACTCTCACACTGTTTTGCTATTAGAGCCTGAATTCCCATGCAGTGATGGAATGACATGTTTAAGCAGGAACAGTGATAGTATGAGCACAAACACCATAAATCCAAGCAGCCACTGTGGGTGTGCATATAAACCTACTTTGTCTAAATGCTGCAATTATGTCTAATTGGCAGGAAATCAAACATCTTGAAAAAGTGAACTCAGACTTTTTCCATGTGAGGGACATTACCATCTCTGCTTCATTACTAATTTAAAAAGCAAGGAGGGGTCACATATGCTACAAGAGCAGAGTTCTTTGAGAGTACTCATATTTCTGGAGACAACTAACTTTGTGGTTTGGGTTGATTTCATTTAACTTTTACGCACTGAAAAATGAACACTTGCATGAAAAAAAATTGAAAACCCACCAGTGAATGATTTGGCATATTCACAGGGTGGCCTTCTTTCTAGCATCATGCATACATAATGTCCTACTGATGTGTCTCAGGTTTAAGTCTAACACATGCAGGATAACTGACAATTGTTAACTAATCAGCACTTCATTACTGATGAGCAAATGTAATGATAATTGATACAGTGAAATCTAGAGACATCAAGACGTATTTCAAAGTAAAACACCATATTTGATGAACTGTCAGCTCTTGTTTGTTATAAACTAGAGTAAGCATTGAACCCATTCCTGTTTACTGGGGATGCACAACATTATCAGTTTATCATGAAGTCAAATAACTGCTAAGAGTTTATTATGAGTATCAGCAGTCATGAAAATTTTCAACAATATGAATAACTGATGTAGTGACGCACTATGTGATGTCAGTTTACATGCACCACCATGTGTGAAAGTACTAGAAGTGTTTGACAGTAAAAGAGCAATGTTTGACAAGAACAGGTGATGCAAGGGGGAGCAAAAACACTCCTTTAACTCTTCCTTTTAATACTGAAAATAAAAGTTTTTAACTGTGAATCTATAAGAACAAACATCCAAGACTTTCTGTATAGTAGAGATTGAAAAGTATCAGCCCTTACAAAAACTTCTAAGTAGCCTCTACCTCAGTTATTTAATCAAGTTCAGAAAACTAGCAGAGGCTGCTGTCTATGACCAGCATTTGAGCATTGGGGGAAGCACCAGGGTAGTGCCTTTGTTGGCTTAAGATGTACTTAGAGCCTCACAACTCTACAACAGCTGGAGTGACTTCTCTTAAGCGTGTATATTTAAAATTGGTACGAGCATGAAAATGTAAGCATACCAGATATCAACGAACATCTAATATTGTGCAACCCCACTATTCCTAATGTCTAGTTGACGTTATGTTTGCCAAGATTTTACTTCTTTCCTGTCGTACTATGTGGCGCCACCAAAATGTAATATAACCTTTCACCTGTCAGAAGGGAAAGCAGATGTCCTAAAGTGAGCTTAGGGAGGACAGAGACCACCCAGAGGGCAGAGGGGCAAAAGCTTGCTTGATCTTATGGGACTAGTAAAAGTTGTGAAAGCAGGGCCTCACAATCCTGCAGACTTTCTGTGTTTGAATCAAAAGGTGTCAGAGAAGTTACTGGCTTGCGACGGCCAAGTCTTCAAAGTGACTTTTCGTTATCTAACATGACTCTTACCTTTTCAAATTTTTATTGTTGGCTCTTCTTGTCATTTCGAAGCAGAATTCAGCAGATGATGGATGGGTTTCTCACTAAAAAGAGAAATGAAATGAGTTCATTTGTCTGGCAGAAGTTTGCAAGTAATTGTAATTGTAACTGTAATATAAGATTTCCCGTCAGATTTTAACTTTCCAATTATTGTTTTTCGAGTGGCTGATGAAACAAGAAGTGGTAAAAGCATAATTGTTTATATGATAGTCTTTAGATGTGATGACAAACAGCCTTAAACACAGCAGTAGGACATCATAACAAAATATTGTTAAAGGAAAAACTGTCCACTTTAAGATTATGGTGAAACAAGAGGCAGACATGTAAAAAAAGGACACTCCTTATATAAAGAGTAAAGCAGAACATGTAGAAGTGCACATATTATCTCTAATGTTTGTGTCCTTTGCCAACAGAGGTATGTCATGCCCTGAATGTGACTGTGACCCCTGGGCCTGTTGTCATGGTACCAGAGAAAGACAACGTGACCCTCTCCTGCCTAGTATCTCAGAGAAAGAGGAGCACCAGCCTCCTCATCCTCCGCTGGTTCTTCTCCCCTCTTGCTGCTCCCACCCTCCCTCCCCCTCCTCCTCCTCCATCTCCGTCTCCCCCTCCACCCGAGCCATCTCAGGTTTTGATTGTGAAGTTGGGCATAAAGAAAATTAGACTGTATGGGAACTACACCCGACGCTTCTCACAGCCAAAGTTTCGTCTGTATGAGGAAGTGGAAGGAGAGGTGTTCCGGTTAAGGGTTCTGAATCTGACCGGGCAGGACCAGGGTTTCTACACCTGTAAAGTTCAGGAGATTCACAAGCACAGGAACACATGGCGGGCGTCGTCCAACGGTACCAGCACAACACAGCTGACAGGTAAGGTGCACCTCAACCCATTCAGTGGTTAAAAAAAAAAAAACGACTATGATATATATCAAAAATTTATTTCCCTCGGTATCAATATGAAACATGGCCAATATGCTTTTCAATAGCTGTCATTCTGCTATGTTTTGGTAGACTATGCAAATAGCCAATAAAAAGGGGAGTTGCTCCGGGTCTGGCCGCACTGAACCGACCATTCAGTCCGCTTTCTCTAGCGCAACGCCTTACGACAAAACATCGAAGAGACACAAAGACTTAACAGATGGAGTAGCTTATTATATTGCTAAAGATATGCTAATAATAAACTAATAATTATAAGCACTGTTAAACTTCATCGAAGAGCAACAGGGAACATTTAAGATTGACAAGTGATTTTTTTAAATCCTGATATATATTGATATCAACTGATGGTCCTAAATTAAACTTCCATTGTCCAACGAGCAAACTGAAGCAGACGAGAATCAATCTTGTTTTCCACATAAATGTTTCCATCAGATTGATAAACATATTAAAGGAGAGTCCAGAGATGGTGGGCTTGGGGCTTGAAGTTTTAAGGTGCAGTATTTCTGTAGTTCTTAACATGAGGTTCAGACCCTTGTCCTGGTTCTTTGAGCAGAATAATAAAGCCCTATAGAATCTGCATCAAGTCCAACAAAGAGTTTTAAGTATGCTGTGTTCGGTCAAACCAGCACAGGTATGATTATGTTGAACTTCTCCTACCTTCAGGTTAGTCAGTCAGAATTTGAACTCACATTTTAACAAGATACGAGTCTCTTCAAAACGCTCCTATTCAATAATGTACATTGTATTGTGAATAAATTGGCATTTGAGGGAGTCATTTTTCCCTCACTGTTTAGAAAACACCTTTGCTTAACCCTGGTAACTGACAGGAGAGGATGAAACACAGAGGGGACTTCTGGTGTTTTATTGCCCTAAAATGTTTCCATGGAATAATCTTTCCAAGGAATTCCCTCATAGCCACACACGTTTAGCAAAAACATGCTGTCTGTGTTATTCTGCAGTGGAAATTACCGAAGAAAGGAGCTGCAGCAGTTGTTATTAAAAGACAAAGGGCACATAAAAATATGAAGCGTGCGTTTTCTAACTCTCACAGCACATTTTGCTCTAAGTTTTGTGCCTATATGTGTTTGAGTGTGACCCCAATCCTCTGGCATTTCCATCTCAAAACAATGAGCTCACACAGCCAAACCACACTCAACAATATCACTCTGTGCATGTGAGGAGTAAAAGGTGGAGTGCTGCTGAGCTGGCTATGTTCAAAAACTCTAAAATACATGACGTCAGCATTCTGGGTTTACTTTGCAAGCTTTAGGAGAAAATTTACAGCATAATACTGTTTCAGTGGAGCAGATTTAGTCTGTGCTCATATGTACCTGACCTGAACAAGTCAGGGTTAAGAAAGTATTCGACTCCTATGCAGGAAAGACTTCAGACAGTTCATCAATTATCTTGCCGTTTGTTGGTGGTTATAAGATGCTTCGGTAACTACACCTGGTACAGCTGCACAGTTCGCCTTTTACCAGTTTTATTGAAAAAAGGCAAAGAGTTTTGAGTCAGACAGCGCCATCGGACTACGCCCTGACCTATATTCGGGGCAGTGTCCCACTAAGGAAGCCACACAACCTCAGGCATCTCCGACATGCATTGACCACAGCAGCAGAAACTGACATTATGATGGTAAACAAAGAGTAAACTCAGCTGTAACAGTAATCCAGGGAACTCCTCAGTCTGCAGATTTGATTCTGCACATCTATGAGCAAAGGCTACACCCCACTGAGATAATTGTAGTGCTTTTATTCGAAAGATTTTGAAGGACAGAGGATCATTTTTCCTCTCTCACATTTCTACAGCGCTCCTTCAGACTTTCAGGATGAGGACATTTAGCTGCCCTCTTACAAATTAAATCACTGCACAGTTACATTAAACTCTATTTGACACCTAACTTTAGCTTCAGGTTCCTGACCCTGCCTTCTGCAAAAGACGGATCTTCATCTTTACTGAGTCATCTCATCACAGCTGGGCTGCAGATGAGTCTTCATCTATACCTGATGGTTTTCAGCTTCCATTAAAAGCTGTGCAGTATATTTTCCTGACTCCGTTGGGGAAGCAACACCTTGTGTGGATAAATCTGCTGCGTGTTAGCTATAACATCCATCTTGTTACCTAAGGCTGCACACACGGATCAGACGGGAGGTTTAGTATGTGGCTAACCACGGTGTAAAGGTCGGATCTGTGGTTTATTTACATTAACTGTAAACTGCTCACACTGTGAAGAGTTGCTGCCGTGAAAATAGAAGTCTTTTCCTGTCAGATGAGCAAAGCTGCTGTGATTTTGTCTTTTTTGTCATTTTTTCTTAAGCTGTAATTATGTTTTAATTTGGTCCTAAGATCTTTAAAAAGCATTGAATTGGTCCATTTATCACAAAATTAAGATGGTTAAAATGACATGAGCCTGCAACCTCAACATTAAAGATCTAACTGTTCTGTGACAACCTAAATCAGATCTGGGTGGTGCAAGACTTGGATGTAAACTTCTAACCTTTCACAAGTCTTACCATAAGAGACTGGTGACAGAGAGTAGTTCAGTCTTACACAGACAGCAATAAACTATAAGATCGGTGAAGTGGTTTACAGTCTAATCACACCAGTAATGAGGCTATTTTGTTCATGAAAAAATGTACAAAACTCTGTCTGTTTGCTTAGTGGAAAAAATAAAATAAATAAAAATAAATTGTGCGCGTGGACAGAGACAAATTTTACCAGTTAGGAACAATCTCGTGTCAGGTTTTCAGCATTAGCAAGCAGCAGCACAAGGAGCCCCAGAAAACAAACACTTTCTCCAGCATTAACTCAGAAAATGCTTTTGATCTCACAACATCTGCATAACGCCTTTTTTACTGCCAAGGTTTACTGCTTTGCTGTGTCATTCAAAGTTGATTGCTCTTTAACGTTCTAATGCATGATATCCAAGTTACAAAATACTGAGCAGACAGCGTTTCTCTGAGCGACAGTCATGTTTCTCAAAGTTTCAAATGAAGACCATGTGGCTGTAACAACAGACGACTGGATGTTATGCACAATTTATACATCAAATCACAGAGAAGTTACGCCAAGCGAAAGAAGACATCTTTAATTTTCATCATTATAGTTTTACGACAACAGCATCGCTCTTTTATTTAATGAGTCACATTGAGCTTTACCATACAGTGTTTCAATCTTCTTTTATTGCTGTATTGGCTTTAATTTTTGTCTGCTGGGGAAATACAAATTATGTTGCAAGTGTTAGAAGGGCTTTGCAAATCCCAGGAAGGCAGATGTACAAAACACCTAAGAATTCTGTGTTAGTTTAAACAAATATGAATATTTATCCACCCAAATACTAAGACTTCAGTTTATTTATTATTATAGTTTGTACAGCAGGCTTGGTCTTTTGTTGTTTGAAGAAGTAACAAGACAACGACATGTTACTTTGAAATGACACATTGTCTTTAAAATGTTCTCAGTTATGTTGAGTAAGAAATAAAGTGGGACTGAGCGATACATTTGTACTGAAACAAACTGAAAATACTTCTTTATTTTAATTAACTGGAAAACAGTCATTAAGAATTGAATCAGATTATCTAAAAAAGAGGGGACACATCTTTACTACGTCTGCATTTCATCAATACAAAGTCATAATCAAATCTTTTCATACACTTGTTTCTTGGACTGGAAATCTCTACTTTAGCAGAAACATGTGTAAAAAATCTTATTTAAAACAGATGGAAGCATATTTAAAAACACATAACTTGTTTTTTCCCCTGTAATTACAAGATTTTCTTGATATGGATTCAAATGAAGCTTTAAGTTTGGACATAACACAGAGCCAATGTGTTTATCCCTGACATTAATTATCTTGTTTTTCCAGACTTAAGGCCCGAGACCACGTTTGACAATTTTGCAGGCAGCTCAGTGGTCTGGAAACAGGCTAGAAGTCAATTAGAGCTAACATCTTATCATTTCTTATTAATATGTTTATCAACCTGCGTTTAAAAGACATATTAAAAACTCATTATGTGGAGCAGAGACTGAGTAATTTACGTACATAGCCTCTGTTCACTCTCCTCAACCCCTGGCTAAATACCCCTGACCTCGACACAACCCATCATTCACAGCCTCACACTGACAACAACTTCCTTATTCGCCGTCTTTTCACACCAAGGAGAGAGACAAAGGGAACTGCAGCGTTAAACAATCACAGAGCGGCCCAGAGAAGGAAGTAATGGGGAAGCCCCAAACACTGTCCAAGAACAGCAACACAGCCGGCCCTGCCTGTGTGTGTGTGTGTGTGTGTATGTGTGTGCGCGCGCGTGTGTGTGTGTGTGGTGGGCTGATGCCGCAGAACTAACTCCCTTCAATACAGCAGTTTTGATATTTTTGGAAACCGCTGAGGTTGTCGGCTGTATTGAGTCTTTGCCCTCAGACAACAGCTATTTACAAAGACACTAAGTCAGGCACAGTGTTTCCACCCTCAAAAAAACTGTTTTTGCTGACTTTTTTTTAACTATTATTTCTACAGTGCACTTAACTTATGAGGATGCAACCAGTGAAGGACTCTGGCATTTATTTGCAGGTACTTTTTTTCATCTCTATCCCTCCAACATAGTTTCACTAACCATTTGCAAGTTTATTTTATGACACATCCCTTCCTTACTTTTACTCCTCTATCTTGCAGACGTGTATCTGTGTGCGGTCCTGATTTGCTCACTGGGCCTTCTCTCCATCTTTCTGTTCACTATGGTTCTCACATGCCAGTATTTTTACAGGCAACACAGGCTCAAAGGTAACCACCCAGCTCTTGTTTTCTACATAAATAACATTTTGATTTTGTTTTAGTTTGTCTATATAAAAGGGATTAGTGTAAGTCTTTGCTGTGAATCAACTTATTTTTTCTGCTTCTGTCTCCACAGCGAGTTACCTTCTGGTCAAATGCCCAGAGAGCAGGTAAAGTTGATTATAAAACTATTATTGAAATAATAACTGATTTATTTAGCATTCAATAACAAAAATAAATCACTTTAACGAGATTTCTTTAAAAATCTACTTATAATTTTTGATTTGTTTTAGTTAACTTTACTCAAGCTTAAACTTCTTTCCTTGTCCATACAGTTCAGGAGAGACTGTGACCAGCTCCAGCAGCTCCTCCAGTTCCTCTCCAAAAGCCCCAAGGAAAGAACCGAGACAGAAAATCGACAGAAGAGTGATAATATCGCCACCTAAACTACCCGTGGAGCCTCCACCACACATACCAGCCAAAGGTAAGACTGAATGTAACCTCTATGACCGATGATTAGTATTTTATCGTTCGCCAACGATTCGTTCAAAAGAACCAAATCATCATCATCATTTCCAGCTTTTAAAGATCTACCTGGGTTATGACCAGAGGAATGAAGGGGGGGTAAAAACGGAAATGAGGCTCAATAATCCCAACCGGAATCCACTTAACTAAATAAAAAACGCCAAAACAACCTTGTACACAACTCATGCAGAAATTAAAAGCAAATACGATGAATGAAATCAAAATTGTCGCCTTAGGATTCATGAAATCCTTTGGTCATGAGCAAAAACTCACTGCATAGTAGAATGAGGCTTACTGCAGCGGATTTATAATATAGCTGAAACCCGTTCAGCGTTTCAACAGAGAAGAAAATTGGAGGGAAAAAGAAGAAGCAGCTTAGCTTCCAAAACAGCGAAACTCCAGCTAGCTAGCAGCTGCTACGTTCGCTGTAGCTCAGGTTAGCTTAGAGACTAAACAGTTTACTTTCATTCAGCAGAGGTTACTTACTGTATTATAGAGTCAATCTGGCTGTTGGAGTTTCTCCCCTTCATACTTCTCCTCCTCCTCCTCCTTGGAGTCCTTCTTCACCTGTTGAAACTACAAACGTTTATCTTCCCACCGCGCTAACACCGACGGCTGGAATCATCTGATACTCTCTCCACTCTCGCTTATTTCTTACCGATGAGATTCATAGTAAAGCGGTTCGTTTTTAGTTCATCATTTCAGGGCACAAACTTCACAAAATTAACGCCGAACTGACTCCTAATGTTTACTTTTAACTTCCAGAAAAAAGGTGAGTTACCGCCCCTCTCAGTGCTCACCTGATATAAACCCACCAATTGAACCGCAAGTCTAATGGTCAACGGTCAAAGGTCAACGTTACCGCAAGTAAATATTAAAAACAAAATGTGGGTTCGTTTTTTAAATATAAGCCAAATTAATTTATGGGAAGATAGCAATGGCTTTAAGGAAAAAAAAACATTTTAAAGGCTTTCACGGCCTTAAAGTTTTTTTTTTAATTCTATTTAACCAGTACATAGATATATATATAAACACTAGATGGCTTACGCAACCGACGTCCGCGCATGGCGGCCATTTTGCTACGGGACGCTCGTCCACTCCTAACATTCCAGTCTACGGTGCATGTAGCATTTAAATAACCATAGACTAATTTCATAGATTGATTAATTTTAAACCGATTTTCAAACGGTTTGGTTTGTAACAAACCTCAGAGTTTTAATTATGTTCCCGCATCCTCAACACAAATTTTAACCATGGATTTTCATAAATACACATGAAGCAGATAGGTGGAGCAATAGCTATAGGCCTACACACAGAAGGCAGTTATATTAAATCATTTATATATAAAACGTTTAATCATTCCATGTATGTTATATTACTAATACTTCTAAGACAGGGATAACTAAAACAACATATAAAAATAACATATATAAATATTTATTTTAGATATAAATTTCTGCCTCATGTTGCCATTTTAGATGTTTTTAACAAACCAAACAGCTTGGAAATCATATGCAACTTTAGTTATGTTGACACAAACAAACATTTTTGCCTCTTTAACTGATGTAAAATTACTGGGTCAACTGTGTTTTAGTTCTTGGTCTCACTCACAGCCAGTTTGGTCACAATGAATGAAGGTGTACATCAAGTAAAAACTATAGATAACTGTAGCATAATTCATTTTTTCCACAGACAGCTCTTTGACAAAGACCAGAGCCAAGATTTAATGGTATCTATTCAGCCTATGAATTTATAAAATCAGAACTGATGCTAAAAAGTACAAACTAAAGCACTTATTTCTGTTATGAACGTAGACCTTCATTGTGTGTGGTATTTAGAGGTAATAAAGGACTGTGTTATGTTGTTTTCAGTCAGTCAATGTTACATCTGTTTTTTAGTGCCCATTCCTGCAAAGAGACCTCAGAAGCCACGCAGGTCAAAGAAGAGTTCAGCCACTGTGAGTCTCCTCAGTCTGACCTACTGCACGAGCACAGCACTTACTATATGGCCACCTCTTCCATAAAGTCATGTATCAAACATATTCACTTATTGGATCTGTAGAAATGTATTCATTAGAGGAAAGAATGGATGTCTTTTCCCACACAGTTATTGTGATACATACAAGAGGGAATTTGTTTCACGACTCCATGATTGTCTACAGGAGTTTATTGCCATCTCTTCATTCAGTTATGAGCTTGATAATTCTATTTAGCTTTATTGCTTCTCAAACACAATTATTTATTTAGAGTGCTTCATTGGTTTTATATCTACAATAAAAATGTCAAACACGTATAAATGGCAGAGAACTAGTCAAACTAAGGATCATCAGTATTTCTACTACTGCTGCTCTTGTGATATTATGGTGACTGCAGCTCCAGAGATTCTTTATTTGCACGAACATACTGATTGGATTAGTGAAAGTAGGAGGATCTGAGGATGTTGGATAAGACTCCTGTTGTACAAAATGTTTTTCGAATAAACTCAATGTTCTAAGAGGCCCTACAAACCATGTAAACACATACTTTCTGCAGCTAAAACACGTTGAGGGAACGAAGCAAGGAGGAATACCACTGTTTTCAAATAGGTTGATGTGCAGACATGTTTACACTCCTACATACATCTTTTTTTCACCACAAAAGCTTTGCAAAATACATATGGTATAGCTTTTCCTCTTTTGCCCTCTCTGTTGGCTACATTCCTTTAATTTTCTCACACTCTTGTCCTCCCGTCTCCAGCCTCGTATAACACAGGACGATAGTCTGACATATGCAGAACTGGAGTTGGTCAGAGCGAGGCCGCAGCCCCCAGCCCCCTCCAGTCCTGACCCTGCACCCTCCAGCCCGGATACGGTGTACGCTCAGATCCTCTTCCAGGAGAAACAGCTGTAAACACAGCACCTCTGGACACACTGATATCAGGGCTCCTCCTAGTAAAGACATACATAGATTCATCTCTCCAAAGCAGACTGGGTGGCATTCAGAGAAATATATTTATGAACTATCAGTATGGCATTTAGCATATTTGTTTTTTGGCTGTAAGTATAATACAACTGTTGGGTAATGAGGGTTTTGTGTTTCCTCGGCGCAGTTCCACTCCAGCATAGCAGTTTTTTTGGGTCTTATAATTCTGTTGTTTTGTTCGTTGGCATTGCTGGCCTGTGAGCCAGATGTTTATAAAAATGCTCTTAATGTTAACTATTCAGTATAAACTCAGGAGACTGTGTGGAAACAAACGCTTGTCCAGGCTCTCTTACTGCAGTGTAATAAGGCACTGTAGCACTTTTCAACTCATTTGTATTTACATTACTAATAAATATAATACTAATAAACATACGCCTGGGCCTGACATGTAAGAGTACAGTCTTTAATTTTTATAAATTATATTTTCAATAATCTTCCTAAAAAGGACCAACAGAAACCAACCTGAATGTGATTATTGCTGAGGTCCAAACAAGTTAGGAGTAAAATTTACATTCCTATAGATGCCTTTTTTATGATAGACAAATGCAAAGAAGACCATCAGTGATGGACTCACTATTTTTTATTGTAGTTTTTTAATGTTTGAAACACGAGCTAGGGGTTAGTTGTCAGTTGAATAGCTCCCTGTTTTGATATTTTACACACTAAAAATTCACAATAAATGAACTATTATAAGTCCAAAAGAGTGGATTTTCTTCAAAAAGCACAACTAAAGCAAGCAGAGTACAGCTTTCACAATTTAAAGCTCCTGTGAGGAGTTTTAACTTCTTAATAGGGGGTAGGTGTCGAGAAGACTGATAACAAAAAAGTCTTGGAGATTAGCTTCAGTGTAAGTACCTTTAATTTTTTTCTTTAGTTTTGCCAATACTTCTCTGCCAGGAAGAAGACAGACAAACACTGGCCTGGTTTTTTCCAAAGGTAACAAAATCTCCTGGCTGTGAATCTGAGCTTGTTGTGTCATGTCTTTATTCAAAAACTCAAGTCTACCAAAGACTTTTTTTCTGCTATCACTTTTGGTTGAATAGAGCTTTGTGCATGACTCGTTCTTCACCTCTGTAGGTCTTGTCACCACTTGTGAAGACACCAGGAGAAACCACAACCAAAACACAGACCATGTAAGAGATGTTGTTTTGTGCTGCTGGTGAGGAGATTTTGAAACCTGCAGTTTCCCATCGAGGGACTTGACTTAAGTAAACATGATGTTGTGTGACTTCATTTTGTTTGGCAGAGATTAAGGATTTGTATCAATCCTTTTCTTTAGTTCTCAGTAAGGAAGCGAATGGACCCGTTTGCCTTAAAACTATTTCGAACGGCGGTGACTAACGTGCCAAATACTACATTAATACACCTTTTTTCATTGATGTGCTTTTGTTTTTAGAGCTTGGAAAACGGCAAGCAGCAGCTTCAATTCAATACTATTATCATTATGTGTGTTTCCCTTGGTTTATGACCTTTCTTTGCTCAATGACTGTGTCTTAAAGCTCCTGTAAGGAACTTTCAGTTTGTGTTAATTCTGGCGCCCCCTGTGGACAAAGCAATATTTGCCTATCTTGTCTAATGACTTTTGGCAGAAAACCTCTTCCAACCAACCTTTGACTATCAAACATATAATTTATTGTAATATATTCTACAGAAAATTTAAAAATTTTACCCCAACGCACCAGTTTCAGTCATCAAAAATCACAATATAAAAATAATCAATCTTGTTTCTGATGGTCTTGTTTGATTTTGTTCACCAGAAATAGGTATCCTTGTCAATTTCAGTATATTTCATAAACGTTAACAAATCCCTCACAGGAGCTTTATAAGAATGTTCTGGACTATGCGAAGTATTAATACATGACAAACTGACACAGCTAAATGAATCAATCAAAAACCATTATGTCTTTAGACTTTGATTTTCTAGCGTTGGACAAACAAAGCTGATGCGAGCGGATGCTGGTTTCAGAGTCTGGTCGACAACATGGCACAGTCATAAACAGCAAACATGGTTCTGGAAGCAGCAATCATTATACTCAAGTACCCAAGAAAGGTGAGGGGTGTGGGCCATTTTATGAAGGTCAGTGTATGAAATATGTGATGAAGATGGAGATGCATGCAGAGAGAGAATGATGCCCATCCACACACCCTTCTTCCTGTGAGTGGGAGAGATGAAGAGTGAGAGAGAGAGGCCATCATCCCCCACAGTTCAGACTCAGTGACTTGGATGAACCCGCTAATGACTACATTTATTTAAATTAGACTAATTGTAATCATGGTTAATAATTAGCTTTACAGTGCATTATAATTGGGTTAGGCTACAAGATGGTTCTGCCTAGGTGCAATAATTTATTTGATTTAATTATTCTGAGGAACCCAGTGGTTTGACATTTCATATCATAAAACCAGCGGTGTAGAGAGAATGGAGATGGCCGTTGTCTTTAGAGAAGGTCATTGCTCGCTCTCTGGGAAAATTATGAGGACTATTTTCCACTCTATTAAGCTACTCCACTTAGCACAATTAGCCACACACTCAAAGGTTAAAGAGAGAGACCTCTTTCTTTATGACAGAGAGGAGTGGTACATGTGCATGAGAGAGGAGGAAAAAAGGCAGACACAAAAGGAGTTCCCAAGTAAATTATTCATATACCACTGCACTGATGAAAAAGAGAAAGATTTGCAGTTTTTTAATCTAAATTTATGATAAGTGTTTAAAAAAAAGGTTTGTTCCTCATCTCTGTCTTTGAATTAATCTGATTCACCAAGGAGTGTGTCGTTGAGACCCTTCAGTGTTTACAGATTAAATGATCTGACTTCATCTACTAAGTGAATAAGAAAAGGACAAAGGACAAAATCTTCATCCAAAAAGGAAAAAAAAAATCTGATGAAGCTAAAAAGACACATTCATCCCTGTTGAAGCATAAACACAGAAACACACACGAGCGGAAAATGCTTCGACAAGCAGAAAGGCCTCATCCACATCACACACACACTCGCACACACTTCCCTTGTTCTCGGTAAACTGTGGTAGGATAATGCTGCATGAAATGAAAAAAACACATTCAAGTCGTCTCCATACTTAAAAATACTAAATTACAAAACAGATTGAAAACACATTGTGAAAAGAAACAAAGCCCAGTCAACTATTCATGACTAACTAAACATCCTAAATTGCTCTCACCACAGACATTTAACAGAACCAAACACACCAAAAATGCTCCAACCAAATTTTTTATACGGGCTGCTTGTTGGGCAGTTTGTTGGAGTTTAACTGTCCCAGATCACTAATCTATTTGAAGCTGTGGGGATGTTTGCTGAGGATGCAAGCACTTGTTCATCATTCACACTTTTGTTCTCGCTTTCGAGTTAAAAAAATACCCCGTTTTACCACAAACCTCTGCTGTGGCTGCTCACTCGACAGGAGTAACAAGAGTTAATCTAAAAGAGGATTTTCAGTGATGGATTCCAACTACATAGAAATTAAATACAAGTTTTAAAAAATATATATTCTTAAATGGAAAGCCTTCATTTTATCATAATTAAGACAGAGACTCGCAGCAGATTTAGGAAAATGACTGTCAGTAGTTTAATCCATTTCTTGCATTTGTTCATTATTTACAGAGAAAAATACAGAATTAAATAGGAGGTAAAGTATTCTACACCGTCTGAGACAAAAAATGTAACACAGTCCACTCCGATCGCACACATAGACCTGAAGTGACATGCAGAAATCTCAGCGCCCTTCTGGAGTCAAACCTGAGACACTGATGGATTTCCTGTCAGAGTCTGGAGGGAAAATAAAGTGTGTGCAGAGATGTTTGTCTGGAGGCATGATTGTAATCGGAGTGCGCCACCTCTCACTCACAGGTCCAGGTAAAAACTCGGCCCCAGGCATCTCCTGCGAGCAGAGTGGCATGACTCCTACACAGACGAGTCAGATGTAGATGTCAGGTAAAGAACATAATAATGCACAAATAATGTGACTCAGATAAGATAAAGAAGAGTTAGAGGTGTTTTAGCCTTGAAATTAAATTCTAAATATGATTTAAATTCGATTTTTATACACATTTGTAATTTTCTATGAGTATGTTAATAATAAGGACTGTACCTGGACATTGCCAGCGCAGTGATGGCTGGATTTTTCTTGTAGCGTCTTTGTGATGTAGGCTGGTTTCTGTTCAGCCTTTCACACAACACCAGATGCCTCTCCCAGCCTCCATCCTGGCATGAGCTGCTCGCTGTGAAAAACAACATGAGGATAAATTAATGACGGACTCACAGGATGGATGTCCACACAGTCTGATAGTCTGATACCCCACCAAAAATTAAAGTCTGTATTAACTCTGTGTTCATCTGTGGTCAGGAGTCTGTTGAAAGGAGAAAAATCCCTCGAATCAAACCGCTCCAGTGTTACGCAAAGACTTGTCTCAATGTAATTTCCCCAGCATAATACTCCTATGAGGTGACGCGAGGCTGTAACCAACGTATGCCAAATTGGATCTGGGTATTATTGCTTTCTAAATTATACAAGCACACACACGTCAGCAGAATTACTCATCAGTGTTTACTGCCTCTATGTTTAATAACTTTATAACAACATAATTCCTGCTAGCCCTAATGCTAGTGAGGGATGGGGTAAGCATTACAAGCTCTCATCTGGAAACCACGCTGTCTTGCTCTGAGATGAGCGGTTAAAAATAATCATCCCGCACTTAAGGATTTATCTAATTAGACGGTGAATGAGTCCTTTTTGAACAACAAAAAAACGAGAATCATTTCTTTTAATGCCGCCAGTTTTACTGCTTTGTTACTGTCACCCACTCCCATCATCGGATTGTTTAAAAAACAGTGCCTATATGCATATCCTGTCCTACTGCCTGTAACATTACCGTCTCTCTCCGCTCGGTCTTGCCCTGGGGACACAGGCACTTCTGGAGGGCCAGGTAATTGTGTTCTTGTGTACTCTGTCTTCCATATCTGTGTGAGAGACACATAACGAGTAGCAAAATCAGACATAATTCAACATAATAACAAACATGCTCACAAGCGCACACACACACACACATTCCAACTCACGGTAATAATAAAGTAATAACACCATTATGAGTGTGTGCGTTGCGCATGTGTCATGGACATCCACTCCCGAGTGAAGCCCAATTTAGAGTCTGCAGCTTTGATTGCAGAGAGGCAACATATGCTGATATGAATTCAAACACCACACACACAACCCATATGCTGTTATTATTACCTCGATGGACATCCAAGCTGCTACCTGCGAGGCCAATACTAAAGTAATGACAGCTGCATTTGAATACAATGCAGTGTGCTGTATGAAAACAAAGCAACCTCTCCTTCTCATCTATTAGGCCTACAAAGACTCTAAAGACAGATGTAGTCTCACATATATGAATAAAAACCTACACGTATGATGCCGTCTGCACAGCCAGTGATGATAACGTTCCTGGTGTCCCACTCGTGCCGCTGTGTGAAGCTGACACACAGGATGTCTGGCTGAGGCCCACAGGAAGTGTCGGTGCAGGTCAACAGCTGACCCTTCATGGTCCACAGGTAGAGCGCAGGCCCCGCGCATGATGCAATCTCACCCTTGGACAGAGTAAAACAATGTTGATGCCTCTGTGTGTGTGTGAATTGGGAACATACATAAAGTGGACATGAACGCTGTCAACAATGAGAGTCCACCCTTCCTCATGCCGTGTCCTGAACTAAAGGAAACATCGTGACAGAATGAGAAGAGATGAAAGATAGCAAAGGAGAAGAGGAAAGAAGAGAGTCATGACGCTGAACTCACAGTGAGGTCATTGATAGCCAGTGCAGAGATGCTGCCTGTGTGTCCTGCGAGCTGAGTGACGTAGCTTAACTCCTCTATGTCCCACAGGATACAGGTGAGGTCATGTGAGCCGCTGACAATCAGACTGTGGACTTCAGACACAGCCAGACACGTCACCGCATCTGTGTGACCGTATAGTGGCTGAGGAAAAAAATACGGCTGATCTGAGCGTGTGCAAACACACTGAGGATGCTTCTGTTTCACACATGGAGACAAACTGACAAACTAACCTGTCGCAGTCTCATGTAGGTGAGTTTATCCTTGTTGACGTCTACGTCCCACATGCACACCACACCGCTGGTTCCTGCAGTGATGATGGTCGTTGGGTTGGGGCAGGCGGCGCACAACATCTCTCCCCAGTCACACAGACTCTCACACACAGCGAAGGTCTGGAGAATGGAGTAAAAATATACCAGACTGTCATCATATCATTTTGATATTTATTTATGTTTTGGCCTTTTTTAGGTCAGGTTTTTGTATCGGACTGTACATCATCACTATCAACTTCACCCTCATCACAACTATAAATTTCAACAACCAGCTTAACCAGATGGCGAGCTAACCCCAGAGAGTGTGGTAGGATTAGAACCACCTATAGGGGTTCCTGCTTTTACTCAGGAACAGACAAACTTTGGATTGTGTGGTGTTTTTGTTTATTCTTGATACTAGGTTGGAATTGGTTACAAGCAGTTTTTTGTCTCCTGGACAAAATCTCAACCACCTTTCAGTTGCAATAATTGTTTTGTTTTCATTTTTTTGTTCATCCTGTTAAAATATTATTGAAATACAAAACATAAAAAAAACATATCTTTGTCTGTGTATCCTTCACCCACACCTCGGGCTCCTTAAGGACCAGAATTTCTGATGCAAATATACATGGTCCAAATTAGTGTTACATATGTATTATGTAAAAAATAACCAAGTGAGTTCATGGATGTTTTTTTTCTAACATTCTGGCATATTTGATATCTTTTTTTTGTGGGATGAGCAAAGCCTGATGGTGGCTAAAAAGTCTGCTTTACTCTGTTTAATTATCTTTTTTTACTTTCTCTATCTTTTAGCCTAATTATATCATCATTTTTGCATTGTTTAATTTGTGCATACAACAGTTAAAATGACTGAACTAAACATAAAAAAACAAGATTATGCAAAGACAAAAGATAAACAGAGCACCTTGGAAAGAAAGAGAAAGACACATAACACTGATGAGATAAAGTTACATGTGGCTCGAATAAAACACATATGGATCCCAAGTATGTTTTTAAATCTGTATTAAACATGTAAAATACTGAAACTGAGCACCATCATCTACTACAAAAAATGAAGTAAAATGTGTCTGTTTAATACTGTATTTTCAAATAACTAAAAGATTTTTATTTACAGAAAACAAATCTATTCTTTACGGTCATACATGGTCAGCCTCTGCAGGATTTGTGTATTCTTACATTTAACTTCAGTTCATATGACTTGGTGGAGCTTGAAGATGCTGAAATAACACAAACAAAAAAAAATGCGCTGACTGATAAACAGACCTTTTCTGTGGTGTAGTTTCCAAATGCACAGCTGTTGTCAGGGAAGCCCCAGCTGAAGGAGCAGCCTGACTGGGCTGACAGGAGGAGGTGGTTTCTCTCCAGGACCACAACTTCTTTTTCCAGACACAGTATTTGACCTACAGGGCCTCTCGGCAGCTCTGCAGAGAAACACACATCGTGACTGAGAGTGCGATTATACACGTGAAAAGTTTGAAAGAAGATTGTTTCGCCATGTGCACCCAAAAAGTTAGAGCTGCGGTGTGACCTCATTCTGCCTTTTGTTTACACCTGAATAAGCTTGCACGGAAAAATCAAGGTAATAGCTCTTCAAAAGTGTCACATTAAAGAGTTTGGTTGCTCTGTAAACTAGTAAAGAATTTCATTAAACTGACCATAAAAAAGGCAATTAAAACAGCTATTCCCAGGATACAGAGAGCCGAGGCTCTGTCCGAGGGGGAAACCTGCATCCCGGACAGCACAGAGTCTGCATGAGAGCCTGAAGAGAGGCTGTAATTGTGCCTTTAATTGACCTATTCATGCAGGAACAGGCAGAAATCGTTACATCCTATAGTCTGTCCCCTGAAAGAATTTGTGTCTGCATTGGTCGTAGAAATTCTCCCCCCTATTCATCTCTATCTGCTTATTGATCAGATCAGACACTCTAAGATTTAATATGAAATGTAATTTGCAGGAATCTCTCCCCGAGCATTCACAGTTTCATCTCCTCTCCCTCAGTGGGCCTGTAGGGATATTCAGATTATTAAGTAGGGCTCAGCGGAAGAGTCATCTCCGTATCGTGGCTCTAACAGATAGCGCCTTCCACCTTCCATAGTGTAAATTAATCTATGGACACGCTCGCTCTGTTTCAATGATTCCCTTTAGACCTACAAACATCATGTAGATAATAATTGACACCAAAGATTGTGCAATACATTAAAAAGGGGGTTCAATGCAAATCAGTGCCACGTGCAGATGAAAATAACTGATCTGATTTGCTTTACTCAGCAGGAAATAGCTGTTGATTCAGATGTTTTGGAAATCTCTGTTGTTAAATGGCTTTGTTATGATTTGCTTTAATTTTGTACCAACATTTTCCACACAGGCCTACTGATGAGTAACCGGCTGCAGAGTCACAGCTGCTCACCACTCACAGTCAATGGGCGAGTATTCACATCCATCTTGTTACATCTAAATACTGCAGAGTGTGCAGTGAGAGGAGAGACCTCCCAGAGCATAAAGCTACCAGGGGTGTGTCCAAAGGGTTGGCCAGGGGTGGCTCTGCCCTTCTTACTTGGCATCTAATATTTCTTAAAAGAGAATAAAACTCCCAGAATTTAAACAGAAAAATTAAAGATTTTGGTTGAGATGAGCTTTTTGAGTTCGCTGTACCTCTGAACGGCTGAGCTGTGGTCCTCATTTTATCCAGTTTGAAGAAAAATGGAGTTGGATACTGCGCTCCTGTATCTTTCCTAGAGCAACTGCGGGTTGGATGTGGCTTGGTGAAGAGCTGTGCAAAAAATCACAGGAACATTTTGAAGGATTTTTCAAAATAGAGTAAATGGCAAACTTAAAGGGATATTCCAGTTTAAAATTAAATTAGGGTCAAACACACCGTTACCCCGAGTTAGGCTGCTGGAAGAGAGTAGGTGAGTTGTGTTTAGTCTCTTTGCTAAAGAAATTAGACAAAGTTAAAAAGATGTTTGGTACTAGTACTATGGCTGGGACCCTATATGTCCTGTTGATGAAGTTAGGTGCTGTTCTGAGCATTATTTGTGGCAATAGAGTGGCGTTTTGGTTGATCGCGTGGGGTTCTGTATTGCTATCTGCGGTCGTTACTAAAGTTGGTATAACTAGTGAAGCAAGTGGTCGGCAACATTCATCTCTGGAGGGGGTGTCTAACTCAGTGTTACGGTGTGTTTGACCCTAAATTAATTTTACGCCGGAATATCCCTTTAAATGCATTTTTTCACTTTTTGTTTTTACCTGTTTGGGAACCTGACCAAAGTTGCTGACGTATCCCAGGATTGTGCTCTTGATGATGGGATCTTTGACATCCTTCCTGCCGCTCTGAGCGTAAAAGTAAGGATGGTATGTGTTCACACTCTCCACAGCAGCGGGGCCTTGTTGCCGGTACCCGAAAATCAGGTCGATCCACAGGTGGAGGTGGGAGCTCACATAGTCACTTTCCAAGGCCTTGGGGAAACAGTGAAAGAAATTGTCGCACAAACTAAGACCACAGAGTCAATATTACAAAACTACTACACCTGCACTGAGCAGTCTTGAAATACAGCAGTGAGCAGTGTTATTACAGAGGGACCAGAACCATCAGTCAAACTGTTAATAAAAGAGTTAAGAAACACGAGAAACTTCTACCAGGATGCACAACCAATCCGATTATTCAGGTAGAGTATGATTTCTTCCAAAAGTCAATTTGCAGAGAGCTACACAGCTTGGTTATGAGCGTATATCCATGTTCGGATTAAAGAATAATTTGGGAAGAATTAGCAAGAGATTGGTTTTGAAGAGTTAATAAGGAAAAGTGGGCATTATGACCAGCATGTGTATCCCTGCACCCAGTGATAATAAACCCATCCTGGAATATCAGAAAACCAAAAACAGCGAAAAAAACATCATAACCAGGATATATTGTCCTGAGTTAATTTGTCTATGGAGGAAAAAAACAATCCTCTAAAGTCACTAATTTTATGAGGGTGGTGGGCAATATGAGTAGTTCAGTAGATTACAGAGTGATAACTATCTTAGATGCCTGAGGAATGAAAAAAGGAGGGTCACGCTGATGATATCAGACCACCAGGAAAAGCAGAGGGGTATAAAATAATCACTTACAGAGAAAGAGGAGAAGGAGCTGAGAAAAGAGTGAATATTCAGTGGAAAAGAAAGATATGAAGACATAACGAGAAAGACTCTTGTACTGCCTCGAGTCGCACTAAATGGGCTTGTGAATGACACGTGTGAAGATGAATGCCTTTTCAGCATTTCTTTGATAAGAAAAAGAAACTGGCCATTGTCTATGAAACTGCGAGTAAAAAAAGCAACCAGACTAAACGGGACAAGGAGGCCTTTGGGAAAAATCATCATAAGACGGCGATTGCTGTGAATAAGATCTGTCTCTCATACTGTGGAAGAAAGAATGGAGACAACGGAGCAGAGTGCAACCAACACTGTGCCACAATTACAGTGGACACTTGTTTACAATACTTGAACAGTGCATCTTCTGTAAGTGAGTATTGATAAAAAAACATATATTATTGGGCCATATGGGAAAAGACGGTGTAAAACGTGCAGGCTGTAACAGTGAAGCTGGTGTCACTGACCTCTCGATGGACTCTAATGAACTCCTGGGGGTCACCTTTTGCCCATGGAGGCAGCTCCACATCTCCCAGAGGGGTTCCATCCTCCATACAGCCTGCAGAGACATTCATGCACACGGATTGGTCACTTTGATTCACTGTGACAGCTTCCAAAGAACTTTAACGATACACTGTTTTTTTTTCTTTCCAATTACAGCTTCCTCACCCCGTTCAGCTCATCATGCATGTGGAGAGAATTTAGCAGAGGAGGGATACACATAGATAACGGTCATCATCAAATGTAAAACTACAGCGAACTGCACAGAGCTGCAGAACTTTTGCGGGTGTTACCGTTAGCACAATTAGCTTTCTGAATTAGACTTTGAGACGGAGCAGGTAGCGGGGTTAAATTGATGCACGATTCTTGTTGCTATTAGCGGCTGCATTCCATTCTCAGAGAATTTCCCCCCAGAGAGTTTTACAAGGAAAACATTTGCAGCAGTAAAAATTGCTTTACTGGAAGAATACCCTTTGAACTTTCACAAAGGTTTTTTTTTTTTTATAGGAAATTCAAACTGTCAGTCTTTCATTTCGATTAAAAGGAGATGATTTTGTGGCTGACCCAGCTGGATGTGGTTGGAGTTGAGCAGGAAGTCGGGCAGGTAGAAAAACTCGGGGATCAACTCTCTGACGTCGCTCATATTGTCTCTGGAGGCGGATTCCCACTCCTTCTTTATGCTGTAAAACATCCGCTCTGGGATGTCGAACCCGCCCTGCGTGGAGACACAACACTGTCAGACTCTCGGCACAGCGCTGGAGCAAAGTTTGCGACGGGCATATTAATAAAGTAGTCTGCCTGATTCAGTGTAGTGAGCCATATTTTATATTCTTCATTGTATTATGTAAGCAGGAAATATTTGCTGCTACTTGAGGGAAGCTTTTCATCTTTCTTAAAATCCCATAATCTATGATGGAAACCTCATGAGAGAGAATGTAATTTAGAGTAAAACAATTACCTCAATGAATGAAAATAGCATATATAGAGGTAAACTCAGTTAGAGATGTAAATCCAGTTATGGATATTACTACACAGCTGTTACGCGCTTCAAAGATAAAAAAGGCGCTGTAATTCACCAGACTAACATCTTTATTGCTTTATTCTGACTATCAAATATGCATGCCTTTTCATTATAATCAATTGGATGCTGTATTGTAAATTGGTAAATCTGTGGCTATTTGCATTGGCTCCTTTTCGGTGCATTCTGTAATTATTTGCATATATATTGAAATTTTTTCTGTGATTCATTTTTGTACAAAAACAAGCCTTGAAACAGACCAACCAGAGAGCAGAGAAGAGCTCATACTGGAGTTAAATCATTAGCACAGTTATCTGTTTAAAACATAAATAATGATGAAGTTCTGGGTGTTGATGGACAGCTGGCTTTGCAGAAAGATCTGAGTTAGCGGAAAGTAAATGAAAATTTCTTTCTTTGTTTAGGAAAATTAAGACAAACTTGATGTAAACCCTGATGCACAGAAGTCTTATGTTCTTTACTCCTATATTCTTTATGATAGAGAAAGATTTAATACAGCGCTTTTATACCTGAGATTATTTTTCTGACGGTCTATTAAAGGTGAGCAACAGATGAGTATCTCACATCATCTTATTACTGTAATGAAATAAGAATGACTAATCATCGTCATTCTTATTATCTATATTAACGTTACTGTACTCCTGCAATGTCTTGTGTCCACTGTCTCACCTGCAGTGTCTGAAAAGTGTGAGAAAACGGCTCCATCCTGACCAGGAAGGAGGCCACTATGATGGCAGAGGAGTAGTGGGTGCAGTAGTGGCAACGTGCTGACAAATCTTCTGCAGGGTAGAAGTAGTTAAAAAGAAAAGTAAACAGAAAAGCTGAAGAAGAAAATAAGAGAAAAGTGTAAAGAGGTGGAAAAACAAACACACCCTCACCCTCAGTGTTCTCCACTTCTTCATATCTCTGGATGAACATTTGTTTCCTTTTCTCCGTCTGAGCTCCCATTGGTTTCGAGAGGTCACGGAAAGTTGCAGGATTTGACAGATCGAGTGTCTATCATCAAGGACAGAGATGATAAATGTAACGTGTAATGTTTTTACTGGCTCAGTTAGCCTCCAGACAAATAAACATGACCGTGAGTGTGATGTTACCTCTGACTGGTAGTCGGCTATGACCCAAGGAAAGACCGGGTACTGCATCAGGTCATTGTACGTCCTCCCAGCAATGGTGTTCAGATGCATCAAGTACTCAAAGTTACTGATTTCCCCTCTCTGAAGGGAATATTTTGGAGATTACAATTAAAAACACAGTTAACAACAAAATGGTAATGATAATAACATTTTTATTTTAATCTTAACGGTTACTGTATTTTCTGGACTATAAGTCGCACTTTTTTTCACAGTTTGGCTGGGTTTGCGACTTATACTCAGGTGCCACTTAAATATATTTAAATATATGATTTCATATATAACTTGGTCTTGGATTTTGTAAAATAAATTTCCCCCAAAAATGCGACTTATACCAGTATATGTTTTTTCTTCTTCATGATGCATTTTTTGGCTGGTGCGACTTATACTCCGGAGCGATTTATAGTCCAGAAAATACAGTTACTTTGGATTATAAATGTTAATGCCAAAGGAGTTAGGAGTAAATCTGTGAGCAGAAACAGAAAAAAATCAAACATGTAGAGAACTGTTTTTAATGCATTACCTGCCATTTAACAAGAGCTGTCTTTTCAACCACTGGAGTCTTCCTAAAACACATAAAAAAAAAACTTGAATTAGCATCACAGGCTGATCACTGAGCAGTGCCTAGCAACACAAAGTTTTTTTGCCTCTCCTGTTGCCTAGTAACCGGTGTTGAAATGTAACACAACATAGTTTCAGGAGCAGGAAGTGAGTGAGGGGAGCGGAGATTGTGTGTACACAGCTGTGAGAGCAGTTACGGGACTGAGGTGAGCTTCAGCATGACGCTCAGAGAGTGAGGAGAGAGGTGGAGGAAGTCGCACACGGTCCCAAATTCAGGCTGTGAAAAAACAAACTCAAGGTAACGCTGGATTCCTTTCAGTCACTCCAACACTCCTCTGTTGTTTTTATCAGACCTTTTCAAATAATTTTTGTCTTTATCTGCAGGTTTTACAGCCTCACAGTAAAAGACAGAAACAGTCTGAGCAGTATTTTTAGATTAGATGGGATAAAACTTTTTGTTTTACTTTTTCAGAGGACTTTTAGCGCGCTTGTTAAAACTTATTCTTTCATGCTTTATTGAGACTTCTCTTTATGTTTGATTCAGTTTCGTTATGGTCTTGTGTCTAATTTAAAGTTGTGTGCACATTTGTGTTTATTCGTCTTTTAAGTCACTCCAAACTAACTGTCCTCAGATGAGTAAATAAAGTTCTTTAAACTGATCTGTCAATTAAGACTGAACAAAAAAGTTTCAAAATGAGCTTTTTAACTAAAGGAAGAAACGTTTTATGTCCATAGTGAGTTTTTAAGTGACTTTAAAGATGGGGATAATTACTCCTCACTTCTGCTTCCTTCTTTTCCTGTAGTTTTTTTTTTTTTTTTTGGTTTTCTCAAAGAATTTTGTAAAGTCAGCTTTCAATCCCTCCAAAAGAAGCAACCGAATCAAAATACCTGAGGTGTAATTAAAGCTTCAGTGAGGATCTTTTGGTTTGTGTTGATGTAGGGGGAACTGTATAGAAAAGACAGGACATCTATCTATCTATCTATCTATCTATCTATCTATCTATCTATCTATCTATCTATCTATCAAATCTTTAAAGTTGTTTTAAAAAAGGCTGTTACTGCAGCATGCTGATAATATTTCCTCGTCTGACACCTCCCCCGTGACATGACAGTAGTTTAAGGTATTATTATTTATGGAATATAAAATAACCAGTCTTCCTGATGATGCTCTCTTTTGTAGGTCTCTATGTAGGTCATAAAAAGACATCAGTCTTGTTTTCAGTCTGTTCCATAACTAGATAAAAATCCCCCACAGGAGCTTTAATACGACAGAATTTTTGTGTAAATACACAAAATATCCAGACCTGTCAAAAATTCGGCTCAATGTTTCCTAATTACTCTGATAATTTAAAAATTATCTTAACATCTACATAAACTTGTTTCATCTGCGTTAGGAAAGCATAAACTGCTCCTGAAATCTCTTCCCCCTCTGTGGCAGTAACACGGTAATAAAGTCCTGGCGCCAAGCACCCTGGTTGCTAAGAAACACCATTAAACAAGAACCTTGACTTTAACTGTTTGTTGTAGGAGGCCAGGGAAATGTTGATCTACAGAAACAGAGGGTTCCTGATCTCTTTTTTTACTTCATCCTATTTCACAAAACAGGATTACCGGGTATTTTTTTAAGTGCAACTTCTGCTTTACAAATGTGATTCTCGATGTTTTCTGTTTTGTCGCTTTGCTGAAATGTGAAACAGTGATGATGTTTTTTACTGACTCAAAGGTGAGAGGCTTTAAATCTAGATGACCAGCGTACTGACACTAAAGCTGCTGGGATTTCTCTGGAGCTGATGATTTTCACCTGTTTCACATCAACTTTACGGGAGGAAAAAAGCTAAAGTACAGTAAGTACAAATCTTTATGTTTTAAATCTGGAAAAGTTTAATCTGAAACGTAATAACTATTTATGTAGTTTAAGCCTTTTTACTCGGCTGATCTGGTAACTGGTTAGAAGAGCCAGGTCTGTAGACTGGCTGGGCCATCCTGTTGTGTGAATCACTTGCCGCTCCTTCCCACAACAGTCTGGACTTCGGCCCATTGGGAGCGTGTATTAGTGATCAGAAAATAACCGGGCCGATCAGTGACTGTGTTTCCACTGTTCCCCTGACAACGGGGAAAGGCAGCCCCTGATTGGTCCATGTGGAGATGGTGACGTCTAACACATGCTGCGGGACTTTTCAAAGCGCCGTTCATTCAGAACGCCGTTAATTCTGCAGTTGACTTTGCAAGGTCGGCAGAAATCATTTATATCCGCAGAAGACGTCGGATAATAATACATAAATTTAACTTTAAAAGTATTTGTTATTTGAAAAACCCTGTTTGTGGAGTTTATACGTAAAATATTCGCTATAAATGACACATGTGACTGTCAGAGTCAGCAGAATGAGAGTTTTTAATGGAAGTATGTAAGTAAGACAGTGTTGTCCACAAGAAGCATCAAAATTGACACAAATGGAAAGTTCCTCATGGTAGCTTTAATCATGACACCTTTTTTTTTTTTTTTTTTAATTACTTCAGCTTTTTCTGTTTTAACAATAATTGGACTAAAGAGCCTCCAGTTAAGACAAAGACAGTTTATAGTCAAACAATGTCGCGACTAATAAAGTGAAGTTAACCGTATCAAAGGTGTGGCAGGTCACATCTCCTCTTGGAAATATTTGAACTTTGTCTACGTTTGTGTATTTTTAAGAACTCGGTCACTCTGTCTGTTTGGTTTAGAGAGCGAGGGCCACCTAAAGTGCATCCAGTCTCTAACACAAATATCTGCTCCCCTTGTCCAATACCTCCTGACCAAATTACTTTGTAAAACTACACTAAATCAATCATTGCATTTGGCCCAGAATGTGTTATCTAATTGCAGGCAATAATTTCATGCAATAGTTTTCTATAGGAGGTTATAATAGGAACAAGCACCGGTGGATAACCTCTCTCATCCTGAGGATGATGAATGAGGCGAGAGAGGGCCTTGGGGTGTAACACAGACACAAACAAACACACACACACTTTGCTCTCTTAGACAAGGAGGGGACAAAAGCGAAACCCTCATCACACACCATCCACCTCCTAACTATCATTTATCAAAGTCCTGATTTGACTCTTGTGCACTGGCGCTGTACAGTACATCTATGTCTGTCCACACACCTGCATCTCACTCACACACACACACACACACACACACACACACACACACACACACACACACACACACACACACACTCACACACACACACACACTGTCCTTGCCTGAAAAGAGCCAAACAGCTCAATCAGTTGAACGGTGAGGGAAAAGCAGCACTCATTTGTTTCAGCTGTATTACCCACTGTCGCCCCTCTCCTTTTGTTCCCCTGCATTAGCCTTAATTAGAGAGTCGTGCTCTTAAATACACCCATGGGCAACACCGGGTGAACACACGCCAGTGCAGACATAACACCGCGACACACACGCACACAAAACACACACGCAGTTCGAGCGCTGATACCTCAGAGAGCGTGCTTTCACTACTGCCCCGGGCCGTACATAAGCCCTTGAATAAATCACATCAGCCTATTTACACATGAACATACACACAACACATTTGTAAGCTATAGGACTGTGTGGTGGGAGATTAGCCTCTTGGGGGCAACTATCACAAGAAAGAGGCTGAGCAGAAATTGAAACTGAGTGTTCTCTCTGAGTTTCAGTGCCATGCCCAAAGGGAAAGGACCCAAAGGGACGAAGGTGACCCTGAAGATCGCCAAAAAAGCGGTCAGGATAACCCCAGAAGGGTGGCGCAGACTCACCCTCAGCAAGATGGGAATAATCACTTTCCCAAAGTGTCTCTTCAAACTCACAAACGTGGACGAGCTGGACCTGAGCCGCAACATGATTCAGAAACTCCCTGAAAACATCGGGAGCTTCTTTTCTCTGCGATGGCTGGATCTGCACAGCAACAAGCTGGAGTCTTTGCCCGAGTCCATCGGTAACCTCATGGGGCTGACGCACCTCAACGTCTCCAACAACTGCCTCACTTCTGCAGGTCTACCCTCCACACTGGGCTCCCTCACCAGCCTGAAGAGTCTCAATCTGGGGTTGAACAAGCTTGACGCGCTGCCGTCCTCTATGGCAGATCTAAAAAACCTCAGCGAGTTAGGTCTGTTTGATAACCTCTTCACTACTCTGCCAAAGTTTGTGATGGAGCTACACAACCTCAGTAAGCTGAATACGAGAAGAAACCCTCTGTCGTATGTTCAGGAAGAAAGTGAGAAGGAAAAACCTAAACCACAGGAGACACTGTATCTGGTCCACGAGAGTCTTCTGTGCGAGAAATGCATTAAAAGATGTAAAGAGCACAAAGAAAGGATATCAGATGGAGAAGGAGGAGGAGGAGGAGGACATGTAGGAGTACAAGGAGAAGATGGTGACGTGTGTGAAGACAAAAGGAAGAGGAGGTTTAAAGGTCTCATGGTGCCAAATTCTGTCGCTGCAATCAATCAGGACGTGTGGAGGATCAGAAAAGTAGAGCAAAAGCCCGACAAACGAATATAAAGGTGCTGGTTTCATTTTTGACTCGGGCCAGCTGATAAGTCAAGTCATCAATTTGTCAAAAAGTGACAAAGTTCACCATTAAATATTAAAACCACTTCAATTAAACAGTCAGCGTCTAATCACAGCAAAGTTGGAGACAGAGGAGAGAGGATTGACTCATCAGTTTATAAGAAAAAGCTTCGTCTGTGTGACATTAACCATGCAGGTATAATAAGCAGGACTGTATATTAAGTAACCGTTTAAAATCACCTCCTCTCCTCCAGCACCTCAACCTTTTAATCGCATTTACACCGTCTTTATTTCGCTTCCTTTCACACACCTATTTTGTGTATTTTTCATTTCTTGAACAAGTTAAGGAAAGTCTGTGATTGTTGTCCAATGTCTGTGAAAAATGTCTGCACTCACCTGGCATTGGCGATGACCTCAGCGACCCCTCTGCCTTTCAGAGCCGGTACCATCATACAAAACCTACAGGGGGGGAAAAAACTGAGTCAGACCGCTGTGAAATAAAACACTATTTTTAAAACACTGAGTCTTTATTCATGTGATACCTTTTATACGCAGAGACGTGGTCTCTATTCACAAACACCAGGAAGGATGAGTGTCCAGTTTTCATGAAGATCTCGATGGCGTTGTCCTGATAGTCAGAGAGAGGCAAAGTTCTGCTTCAGTAACTCAAGATAATCACAGTTTCTCTAATAAGTATTCAGTTTTAAAGCGAGTTTTAACTGGCACAACAACTGGCATTCTGTATTGCTTCTTTTTAAATGGATAAAGTTTATTAATTTCTGTTACTTAATTGAATTCAAAGCCTGACTTTTTACTCCGCTATTGCTGTGATTTCTTACATGCACTTATAATCCAAATAAACTCAAACTGAACCCTCTGCTAACACATTTTAACACTTAGATGCATATTCATCCACGGCCTCTGACCTCTAACAGGAAACGCATGAAGCGTGCCTCCTTGATGTCCTCGTAGGGCCAGTGTCGACACCTGGCTGACGGCTGCTCTTTTTTAAGGATAGAGGAAATATAGGAATCCCTCACACTGACGGGGGAAAAAGAAGAACAAAGAGGATGACAGAAGATTTATACAAAGCTGTGAACCAACTGTGAACTTCATGATAAATAAGATAAAGAGTAGAGAGTGGGGATGACGTGCAGAAAAGGGGTTAAACCAAAAACTGGCAGCCTCAGTGAACAGGGGGTAGGATTAAACTATAAGGCCAACCATCAAATTTTTACTTGTACTTTCTATATTTTAACAAAAGCCTTTTTGATTTTTTAAGGCGAAATGCATTTAAGGGGAATTATTCTTCACTTTGTTTAGCATTTTTGAGAGCAGTCCTACTAAAATCAAAGCTGATCTGAAGCCTGATGGTATGTTAACGGATAAAAAATACAATTCCTTGGCATGAGCATCAATTTGATAAGAGTGAAATACATTTTAGAAAGATAAGAATATAAATTAAAAAAATAAAAATGAAATAAATATAAAACACAAATAAATAAATAAAATAAAGTTAAGATTACACTCATTCAACTTCCCAGTTATGAAAATATATTAAGTTAACTTTGCAAAGACACAACCTATAAGGATCAGCTTTTACTGTGCGCTACAACAACATTTGATTTTATTAGCTTTATTTTGGATCCACCATTAGTTACAACAAGATACGCAGTAAGTACTCTTCCTGGGGTCCTTATCTTCTACATTTCAGAGCCTGGTCTCTGCTCTGTTACTTAAATAAAGACTGTATGTACTTCTGCTGTGTATGTAAACAAGGAGCTGATGTAGGCCTATTAAAACACATGTTTTGTTGTAATGACTCTACCTGCTGGGATGGTGTTCCCTGCAACAAACATCTCCAGCAGGACTGAGAGTGAATCCCTCACACAGGAGCAGACTCTCCTTCCCAAACAGCAGCACCGCCTCTGACACTCTGAGACCGCTCACCATCACCACACACATCTTTGCTTTTACCTACAGAGAGACACAGAGAGAGAGAGAGAGAGAGAGAGAGAGAGAGAGATACATTACACCCTATGTGAGAGGCACAACACACATCAGCACTTTTCTCTCCAGGGACATGACATGGCAGCGTCACAGGCACTTCAGGCTTTACTTGATTGATCATTTTAATCACATATTCTAATCATTATTAAAAAGACACAGTTGAACACTTCATTATCAGAGCTGATTGATGGGGAGGAGGAGAAAAACCCCGCCCTCCTTTTTTTCAGCCGTGTGTGTGACAGCCTGTTTCATCCACAGCCAAAGTGGACCCACATGCCGCTTTCAGCGCAGGTCGTGGCTAATGCTAACTGCATTGGGATAATGTGTGGCTAATTCTATTGTCTCCCTTCATTTCACAGCAAGTGTGTGCACCTGGCTGTCTCCCTGCGTCGGCCCCTCTGGGACACGGCACCCAAAAACCATATGGGGCCTCAACATACCCGGAGGCCCCTCACAATTTATACTAATCAAATCAGACCCCCCCCCACACCCCCAGATATGGAGTCACACTCTTGGTGGAGGACGAGACGGCTCTGCCTGGTCATTATTAGGAGAATTAATCACTGCCACACACACAATAGGAAACCTGCTAAGTGATCAGAACCTCTTGTCTGGATACACACATAGAGTCACGCTTTGATGGATACTATCACTTGTCTTATAAGAGGGTTTAAGAGGAGTCAAGGCGAGCGAGGCTCAGCTATATTGCACAGAAATCTTATATTGGGGCTATATCATAGTCAGATTTTACAGCAGCTTCCATCGTTGAACACAAACTGGCATCAGGCACAATGTTTCCAACAATGAGAGTCAAAAAAACGAGTTAAATTTATTGTTATCAAAGATTAAATACATAACAATAAACTTGTTTCCTTATCTTTTTACTGTGCTCTGGACAGATAGGCGTTATCAGTCTGTGGGTGATTTAGCTGATGATGGGAAGAAGGAGAGAAAAGGAGGACTTTTATTGACTGAGAGCCTAATGTCAGACCATTGATTTCTCCCCACACACATTACTGTCATAATCACACTATTGGCGCTGGCAAGCTAATTATGAGTGGGTCTCCCTTTGTGTGTTTCAGTGTGTGTGTGTGTGAGTCCGAATGTGTGTGTGCATTTTTCAGAGCTAATGACTGTGTTCATTTGACAGGAAGCTCAGCAGGACTCACACACTGAGCCGCTGCAAGTCAACAGGACGCGCTTGCACACATCACACACTTACTAAGCGGATGTAAGACAGCTTGCATCACCTCCTACTGTTTTTATTAATACTTCTGTCAGAAACATTAAAAGCCGCGGCTGGTTGCCGGAGCGATGAGAGTCCCTGTCAACATGCGCCTTGCTTTCTAACACACTGGAAGAATGAGAGGAGCTGAGCTGGGCCTCCACATTAAAACATTACACTAATGAGGAAAGATGAAATTCTGATAGCAGCGCTGGGCTGTTGGAATCCCTCAGTCTACATCAGATAATTATGATTGTGAATATTAGCAGGCTAAGGAGAAGTTGTGCTCATGTTTAGGCATGTTGTTTTTAGCCAAAACATACAACATGGCCTACTGAGCGGCAGTACCTCCTCTCCAGGGTCCAGCTCCTGCAGAATGATGCGTATGTTGGCGCAGTCTGATGTCTGAGAGCACGATTCGGGGTCTGGGTGACTCTCCGTGGCAGCGGGAGTCTCATTCAGAACAGGGAAGAAGGTCAGGCGGTCACAATCCTGTCCTGCGTCCTCTTCGTCCTCTTTGGCCTCGGCTCCGACTTCACACAGGATCTTCAGCTCTGACACAAAGAAAACAAAACATCTTCCACTTCACCTTCATCCGTTTTCAATAATCTAATGAAAGTATGTTTTCAAAAAGTTCAACAGGAGTTTAGAAGAATTTTATAATAATACTTTTCCCAGCAAAATGTGAAACTGTTTTAAAGAGGTGAAATATTAACAAACGTATTGATTTTTATTTCATTTTATTTAGAAGCTCTCATATATTAATGATTTGAACCATTTGTTTGCAAGCCTTATTCATTTATCTATTGGTTTGTTTATTTGTATCTCTCGGCCCCTCATCTCTTTTTTTTTATTCGGATGAGATGTCATCGTCTTCTGGGGGTCTAAAGTTATTATCATCATTATTTTTATGACACCCCCACCACCTTAAAAGCTCTCTGATTTTATAAGATTCTCAATCCAGGACCAAAAGGACTCCCTTTATTTTAATTAGATCCAGGGACACTAAAAAAAACACACGTTCAACGAGAGTGCAACACGCACACGCACACACACACTCTGGGGCATGTATATACACACAGTGCTGTTCTGCCCGTCTGGCTCCAACGTGACACATTGCCCCACCATTATGTGTAAAAATTCTGCTTTAAAATGGAAATTGTTGTTAAGTGTTAAAGCTGCAGAGGGGCAGGTCAAAAATATAATCGACCTTTATTCAGCCAAAAACTGAGATGTATTAAGGAGTAACTTGATGTTTAGGAGGAGGTCATACTACACCGTTACAGCTTCTTTCTCTTTATAAATTATCATACAATAATACTAAGCTTTTCTTCGTGCTTTCTTGTTGTTTTTTTTTGCTCTGTATTTTGAGTCAAACTCTGTGAATATGTGGATCGACAAAGGAAAAGAAAACAGACAGTTTTCTGCAGCCTGCTCTAAAATATCTGGTCTGACTCTGCAGCAGCCTTTTTAGGCAGGAATAACGTATCGTCTCAATCATGGTCTTCATTTGTTTTTAAAAGAGGCATCAGCAGATATTCCAGCCTGATTCATAAACAGTTCAAAACCCTAAAACCAGTTCATTTAAAGAAAACAACAGGCGACACTTTTCTTTACCTTTGTCACCTTCTGTTTTGCTTTTGCTCTCCTCACACATCCCGGTCCTCAAACTCAGACACAGTGTTCCTTGCACCTGGTGGTATAAAGTGTGGCACTATTAAAGCTCGAACACACCACACGGGATCTTTTGGTTTCACATATTTCCGCTTTAGACTGGAGGGCTTTACCCGCTTGGATCGCCTCAGAGCTTTTCTGCGGATGCGTAATCTGGTCCGGTTTGGTCCCTCGGCCGCATCTTGCACCCAATCTCGACTCAGCAGCACCCCAGGGCCGGGGCCGAATATAGCCCTCTCCCTCAGCAGTTCTGACTCCACATGCAGCCACTTGGAGCTCACTCGCTCCCACTCACTGGCTTGTAACTAGGAGGCAGAATCAGAATGGAGGAAACAAACATAATTACAGATCAAACCTCAGCTTCAGAACGAGATTTACTTATGTATATTTAACACAACATTCCCGTCACACCTGTAAGTGGTTTGTCCTCATACTCTCGAACACGTTGTGGCCTCTCTGCCGATGAGACTCCATGTATGACAGAAACTCCTACAAGCAAACAAAAGTAACATGATGGGTGCAAATTAAAAGATGGAGTGGCACAATCTCTGCTCCTCTAAACTCATATTGTACGCGCACAACACGCAGCACGTTCGCAGATTGTAGATTCATAATGGTATTGTTGTTTCCTCATGCAATTACGGTGCATTCATACAATTACATCTGTTGTAAATTGCATTCACTGGGCAAAATAAAGCTAGTGGCTACAGACCTACAATAACCCTGTCTGGAAATGTAATCATTTGTTGGTGTGATCTAATTAACATAAACATTAATATCACTGAGCCACGCCACAGTCAAGGGCAAGGTAAGAGTCTGCACCTTTATTGTGTGTGTGTGTGTGTCTGACTGTGTGTGTGTGTGCGGCAATAAAAAGAGAAAAGGAAAGAAAAAATGGAAAAACCCAAAACAGAGGCGTGTTGACACTGCAGGATGCTGGTGTTGAGCAGACACACTGGGATCATATTCTGACTGTTAACTGCTTCATTAAGCCCATCATCACAGCAGTGCTCGCTGAGAGACTAGTGAAACAACATGTGTCCATCTTCACAGCTGACCCAGGAAAGCCATTTAATTGACTGAATGAACATGCAGTAACTCTTACTATCCAGTCTTATTTACCGAGCTAATTCTGCGTTTTGTGGTGTAACCCCACGAAGGCAATAATTGATTTCAAGTGCAATAATAAAACAGCTACTTCTGTAACACAAGAGATGCGGAAAATTCGACATCGTTTCAGCATAAACCCATGCGTAAAAAAAGTTGAGGACAAACTTTGACAAGCTCTCCGGAGAATGGAAATTTGTTTCTCTAAATGACTGACTGCCGATCCAAATGAGGAGTTGTGCCGAGAAAGAAATAAAGGAGTAATTTGAGGGGAGATTATAGAAATATTACAGACAAAAAAGAGAGTAATAATGAAGTTTGCGACTAGAGCCGTGTTGCGACAGATAAACAGCAAGTCAGCGTCATCATCTCCTAATTTCATTCCTTCATTTGGACAAACATAAGTAATATATAGCATTAATTACCCTATTTAGCAGATAGGAACCTCATTGGCTTTTTAAATGCTGCATTAAATACATAACTCATCTCTTCCCTCTGCAATTAACATCAGAACATCACACTCATTTCCATTTTAATGACTTCCCAACAATACGCCACCTTTGATGATAAGGCAACATAATGTCAACTTCATTCTGGGCTGGCAGTGAATGTGTAATGAACTTAACGTGATCATTAGTGCTGTTAATTATCTTTCTAATATGAGGACACAGATATGATTATGGAAACTGCATTCGCTGATGAAATAAATCTCTAGAAGAATTGCACTGAAGCTTGACTGAGGACACAGTCTGCCTATCAGTCTCTGTATTCTCATTCATTACCTACAGTCGGCTTTAAAACTCTCAGTTTGCTTCATAAAAGTCAATATCTAAAGACTCGGGGACTACGAGCAGAGCTCTGCAGAAATACATTACTATGGATCCAGTGACCGAGAAGAGACTCCATACAAGCTCAAGACTTGCCAACCAAAGGTCATAAGTTGATGATCCAGAAATTAATTAATGAGTCACTTGTTTCTTCATGAGGATGAATGGAAAATGAGCAGACCGGCTGACCACTACTGATTGAATATCATCTTTTCTGCATGCTGCTTCCACAGAGCAAAGTGGTGCAACACTCAGCAGCAGCAGAGGGAGGGAGACAGCAAACGTCCCTCCCTCTTCTTCTCTGCCTCTCAGATGGAAAAACAATTCATCACCTTCTCTGATAGCCTGTCAAAGACTGATATGATAAAGAATAACATCAAATGAATAATGTTTTCATCAGATTGGTACTACTATAATTGCCAACCCGATTTCTGTCGGCGAGAGACGCACACAAACAAGAACACACGCATACGCGCGGTTTGTGGGGGGTGAGACAGACACACAGACGCGGTAATTTCATGCCTGTGTGCCTGAGTAATATGTCCCCGCTCCCTGCTCCAGATGGCTCGACGTCTTAAGCGTTGTGGGGGAACTAATGATGTGGGCCACGTGTTTCGGGGGGAAAAACAACAATAAACGCGTCTTTAACCTTCAGCAGCAAACAGTGTGTTGTAGCGAGTGTTCCCATGGATAGGCCTAACAGATATCAATTACTATAGCCACTCAGGGGCAATCAGCTGTGATAATCCAAATCCATTTAAAGAAATAATCAAACACCCCCACAGGGCTGGACGGCCCACAGCACAAACACAGTGGTGACTTTGGGATGAGTGTTCGGGCACGGCGCTCTGGAGTGCAGAGGCACCTGGGAAAAGGTGTTGAACTCACACACACACACACACACACATCTCTCTGTCCTTTCCAGAGCAGAAGTTTCACTTTAAAAGAAGGTGAGTGTGTGTGTTTACCTCGACTGTCACTGCCGGCTTGTCGGTTTTGCCCAAAGCTGAGCGGACCGCACTGCTGATCACATCAAACTTTGTCTGAGAGCTGCTGGACAACTCCTTCTTCTGAGACTCTGAGAACACACACGTAAATGTTGGAGACATACAGCAGAGACTCGGAACATCTCATCTTTCAGCAGATATTATTAGAGTGAGAGGTCACCTGTGTGCAGCAGCCAAGCTTTGTGCGCCGTCTCCTCCCACAGAGGGCTGACGTCGGTCATGCTGACAGGCCCTGTCTGCGCTGAGGGGCTCGCCGAGATCTCTATCTTACAGGTTTCCTCGAGTGTGTGTTGCCTCTCCATCATGACCTTCGACCAGCAGGCCTCAGCCAAGGACACTAGCTCTCTGTCATCTGAAACACACACACACATATTTCGTCAGAACGCTCTGGTGACCCGGGTAACCTCCACAGACTTTAATAGTTAAGAAAATATCAGGCGGGAGTCTTGGATGTAAATAAACTCTCACACACTGGCGCTCATACCTGTGGTAACGTCTCCTCCGTTGCTGAGGCTTGTAGAAAGGCCGGTTTTAGTGTAAAACAGGTGGGGGGAGGTTTGCCTGTTGTGCACTTTTTTGGCTGCAAATCCAAAACCTTCAGGGTAGCTGCGGAATAAAAGTATGATCGTGTGAAATAAATATCAGTGCAACCCTGTGTCTGTATATATGTGTGCACCTTGAAAAAGTATTCAGACCGCCTGAATTTTTTCTTCTTAAAACTGCAAATTCAGATGAATTTAAGTAGTCATGTTTTACACACCAGGATGACGGAGATAAGATGGTCTTCAAAATAAGAATATGGATGTTAAAAGCTACAAAAATCCAGTGTTAATATTCAGTTTCAATACTTTATTTTTTGGTGGCTTCATGTTCTGCTTTTACCTGCCAGATCGTATCAGTAACAGACAATGAAGGAGGCATGTGATGAAGTTCACGCTGGAATTGTAGGTTGCCATGACAACATCCCAGCGTTCCATAAAGGTCTGCAGCGCCCTGACGACCACTTCCTTTTCCTCGTGGGATTGTCGTGGTTGAGACAAGAAGTAAAGCAGGACTTTATTGGTGCAGGAGTAGAGCGCTGACACGGTCCTCTCTTTCTGACTTTGGCCTTTCTCCAGAGCCTGGAAGAACACAGCGGCGCAGCTGCTATCAGTTTGTGTAAAGCTGGGATGTATTTACACATGCATTTACATGTGGCTAGATTTTACATTTACACAGCTTTCATTGCTGCATGAAACCTTCTCTGCATTGACAATCAACGGGTTATTTTTAAAGCTTTTTAAATCAGCAAAAGTTTATAGTGAATTTTGATTTATAGTGAAAACAAAACAATTATGATGATTTGATTTGTTACACTCTTGGAGAAATGAATTTCTTTGTGTGCCTCACCACCACGATCTGATCAGCGAGGAAGTTGAGCAAACTCTCTGGGTCGCCCACAAATGTCTCAGAGTAAAGTTTCTGCAGCAGAGTTTTACTGAAGAGCACCATGTTCTCCATCATTGTGCCCATCTGCCCTTCAGGAGCCTGATTCTTGCCGTCTGAGAGGAAAATCAAAAGAAAGAGCTTGAAAACGACAGGGTTTCAGTGATGCTAGTTTGAGCTTTAAGGAGGGTAACGGTGGTAGTTGTACCTTGTGAGCTGAGGTGAGTGTTGTTTTCCTCCTCATGGCTGAACATGTGGATGATGTCCATGATGAATTCTAACAGTTCAGTCTGGAAACTCTGCCTCTGTCCCAGCGATGCACCATCGGGACAAAACTGCGACATTCAAGCAGATTATCAGTCAGACAAATTAACGGAAAAATGACAAATAAGTGGCTGACAGTATTACAAAGGACCCCTTGTGGTTTGGAGTGAGGGGCACATGCTGTTTGATTATCTCCAGAGAAGGTGTGGTGGGTGAAAAATTCAAGGGTTTGGTTCTTGGCCTCCTCCCCCTCCTAGTGGTGAATGATGTTACTAACAGAAGTTTGGCTCTTCCTTCTTTGGAAACTGAGCAAAGAGTGGCCCCTCCTGGAGAGATGTGAGTTTTGCAGTTTTGTTGTAAATCAAAAACAAGAGCAATGTGCTATAATTTGGAAATAATTAGCATGTGTTAAAAATAATCTGATATCCCATTAACAAAACTTGAGCAAATATTTTCAGCTAAGTGTGAAGAGAAAGGAAGTAACAAAGCAAATATAATCTACTAACTGTTCTCATGTTTATTTTTTCAAACTGGGTATTGTATTATTAAAAACACTTTGTTTACTTTAACCAGTTAAACATTTATATTTTAATATAGTTCTTATTTTTTATATATTTCAATACCTATTTAAAAACACACTTTTACTCCTTGGCTTTTGATACATTGTAGTGTTATTATTATTATTTTTTTATCATCTTAGCACTTGCCGTGAGCCTGCTTATTCATAAACTTATTTATTCTTTTGCATTACTGTATTTCTGCTTGCTTTATCTTGTTCTTTGATTGTTTTATTTGTTTTTATGTGTCATTGTACAGCACTTTGGCTACCCTTGTGGTTCTTTTAAATGTGCTTTAGAAATAAAGTTGATTGATTGATTTACTTCCTGTTTCCAATATTAGTTTTGCTCTAAAGGCCCGTTATTACAGCCTTAATGCATTTCAGGAAAACTACTATTTGATTTTTTACATCCTTTTGCACCAACTTCTCAACACTGAAATCAAATTTAAGCTACATGCATGAAACAAAAGTCTGTAAAAACTATTACCCTTTTTTTTGGAAGTGCTGAATGAGTGAAATTTGTTTATTTTTCATTATTATTTATTGTCTTTTATTGATAGGACAGGGTGAAATGTGGGGAGATAGAGAGAGAGTGGGGAGGACATGCAGCACAGGGTCGGGGCCGGACTCCAGCCTGTGACCGCTGCGAGGACACCAGCTCAGCCATCTGCGTGTCCCCAGAAATGGTAATTCTTACATGTAACGATCATTTCAAGCTATAAAACGTGGATTAGCGTACTGAAACTAATGCAAAAAGAGACAAAACAGAGCAGCACACAAACTGCAGCGTGTGTGTGTGTGTGTGTATTCACCTCCAGCAGCATGAGCAGAGGGTGTGTGTTGTTGTTCGCAGACACATTGAGAAAACTGTCCATCAGCAGGATGCGGATGAAGTCACACACCGGCTTCCTGTTTGGATGACCCTTAAAAGTGTCTTCACCTTCACTTATCACCCCAGTCTCAGCCTCACCCTGAAATACGTCAACAGTGAATCACAGCAGATCTCTCCGAGCTGAAAACCTTCACTCATTCATAAATCAGAAAAAACCAACAAACCTCTGAGCCGTCCACAGGAAACACAACTCCTGCAAGTGCATGGAGGAACTCGGGTGACGCCCACAGTGGGTCTCTGGGCCGAAGATTGTGGAGCAGACAAAGGAACTGCATCACACTCGCAGGGAGCTGCAACTCCCATGATGCATCAGTGATTGCAGAAGGATTAGGCTGTAAAAACACGGAGAAGCACTTCACACATACTGGAACTTTAAAAACGCTTCTCCTCATTATTCTGTATCAGACTCTCTTACCTGAGTGATGATAACTCGGACTAATTCAAGAAGAATCACTGCAGCTTCTAAACAGAGCTGCTGAGCGGGCGTCTGTGTTTGGATGTCAATTAAAGTCTGAAGAGCATCATCCAAAGACACCTGTCCATCACACAAAATAAGGATCAATATGAAAGCTGAGATAAAGAAGAGGACTTCCTGAAGTAGATCATTTACACTCACGTTTCCTTCTGCAGTGTGACTGAACTTTCTCTCCAGCAGCAGAGCAGCCAGAGCCTCATACACCTGAGGCAGGCGAGAGTGTCTGATCAGCAGCCCCTGAAGAATGTCAAAGCCGGGACACGACGAGCTCGAACACTCGTGAGACCAGGAGTGGACTCGCAGGTTTTCTGGTGATAAGAGAAGAACAATTAAAAATAGATGGATTTAAATAAACCATCAAAAATCCTTTAATGGATTCACTTTTTAGAAGAATACAACAAAACTTTATCCATGAAGTGCTGTGGTTACATCTTTATTTCCCTTGAACTTTTTTAAAATGTTGTCATGCTGGAAAAGCAAATTAAGCGAGACGTGTGTATTTATGTCACGGACCATCATAAAACCCTTTCTTTAAATTGTGTGTGTTTGCCAGGAAAATATACACAGTGTTTAAAATGATTTGCAAACAAATTCATAAAGAGCTTTGGAGCTAAACTTTGACATTCTTGAGATCATGTGCAACACACTGCCTTCAGGCTTAATTCCAGTTACGGTAATATTAATACTGTGAATTTGTACACTCAGTGTCTGCTGTTTGGTTTTTGAGTTTGTTTGGTAATCAGACTGTAAACCAGTTATGAAAAATTAAATACTCTGTGGTAATACTGAAAAATTTAGAAGAGTCAGCAGACAGTGAATGTTAAAGTTGAACACTGTTGGCTCATATATTCATTATTGATAAATAATTGAGACATTATTTAGGAGAAAAGTAAAATTCTGCAGCAAAAACTGAACTGTATATTGTATACTTTCATAAAAATCAAGATATTAATTTTCACTAAATGCATACATTAGTTTTGTTAATACTAATAATTTATTATGAGCACAATATGACCCTAAAGAGGCAAAATAATGTGGACTGAGAAGGTTTGGGACAGAGAGATTTATTAAAGGTGAACTCTGCCTTCTTCAGTTCACACACTATTACTGAATTGATCTGGTATACTTCCCAGATAATGTACCTCCTCTAGAATATATACAGTATATACAAGACATCATTCACATCCTTCTATACACAGACACAAGACCCACATCGACCTGTATTTTTATATTTGATTTGTATTATGTTGGTTTAGATTTTTACATATCCCCTTATAATATTCATTTTTGCCTCATTTGAAGTGTAAATACTGAGTTGAGTTCAAGTTTGTTCTTGCCTAATTTTCATTTTATTCTATAAAATATTTATAAATCCTAAAACAAAGCTGCAAGAGCAAAAATGGAGGAAACTGGGAAATTAAAATAACTGTGAATATGACTGTTTAGGCTGATCAAACTGAAATAAAAACTAGGTTAAAAAAGGCAAAATAACATTAAATCAACAAAGAAAACAAAGTCCTCCACTCCTTTCATTTTTTATATTTGTTAATGTATTTCCCCTTTTTCAGTCCAAAAAGGTTCATTTGGTCTGATTCATAAAATGCTGACCTACTTTAAATACTCGCTCAGATTTACACACGTACAGTCCTGCTTCACTGTGAGAAAAGGTTTTCAGCTTTATTTACCCAGGACAGTTAAGGGTTCCTCCATGCCCTCTATGAGCGTTGCTGGGAGTATCCCCTCTCTGAAGCTGCTCTGCTGGCTGGGACTCCACAGAAAGTGTGTCAGCAGGACTAGACCCAGTTTGACGGTGGAGGGGTGGAGGTGCGGCTGAAGGAAGAGCAGGAACCAGTCGCTGCCCAGAGTGTCGAATAAACTCGTCTGTAGGCTGGTGGTGAGTGAGAACATGACAGTAAATGTTTCTGCTGTGACATTATGAGACATGATAGACTGGGAAAACATGTTTTATTACAGTTTTTGGTTTCGCTAAGCAGAAACACATGTTACTCACTCTTTGGTTTGAGGGCTGTCTGAGTCGAGGAGTTCACAAAGGGAGAGTAACAGCTGGTTGCGGATCCAGATGAGGCTGGCTGGATCAGATCTCTGAGCTACAGCAACGACACGGCAAATTCAGGTCAGAGGTTTTGTTGAAAATCTACATATTTAATATTCTGTAAAAGTTAAACCGTGTACCTGACATGTCCAGTGATAAATCACTCTCAGGTATCTGTTTGCTTTCACTTGTGCTGCTAAGAGGTGGGAGAGTGTAGACCAGGAAGAGCCCCAGCCTGAACAAAACACAAAACACACTTTAAATCCTCCTTAAGATTGAATTCAGTATATTTTAGGGGTTTGTTTCATCTGTTTGGAGTCTAAACTGTACCTGCTTATGTCCAGTGGAGTGCAGTGAGCTTTCAGCAGGGATGTAATGACAGAAGAAATGATCTGAACCTTCTGAACGGTCACAGCTGGGTCAGAGAGCTTGAACAGCAGCTTCAGCGACACACCCTCGCTGTGGAGGATGGCTGTATTTGTGCCGTCACTGCGGAGAGCACAGAGATAGAACCAGAGAGAGCATTAATGTCAAAGAAAGAGAAACACCTCATTTAGACACTCCTCTCTTCAGCTTCTAGTGGACTTTCCCTGAACTACTTCAAGTGAACGTTTCTGTGATACTGACCGAAGAGCTAATGCATTCTCTCATGGATCCTAAACAAGACCCTCTTTGTTAGGTTATGTAATTTGTCGTACCACGGCCATGTGAGCTAATAATAAATTAGATTAAAACTAGAACATGTTCGAAGAGATCTGGTACAGCGCTCGTTAGCTGTGGAAATTACCTTGAGGAATTGAGGAGTTCAGCGAAGTGGTTCAGAACAGAAAGGTCCAGATTATCTGAGGTCTCCTTCCACACCTGGAAACACGGTTTGATGGGAGAGCAGTTAAAACACTAAACTGTGACGTACACTGAAAAAAAGGGATAAATACAGGGTGAAACTCAAACGCTCACCTCCAGGTCACAGAGCAGAGCCTGGAAAGCCGGTGTGTTCTGCAGGAGCACCGACCCAAAGCTCAACTGCGCTGAACTGCACAGATACAGAACCAGCTGTAAGGTTCTGTGGCTGACCAGACTCCTCTTCATCTTCAACAGGAAAGCCAGCAGCTACAGGAGGACAGGAAACACACAAAACCTGTTCATGAGGAGGATTTTTTAATGAACCAACAAATAAACTCAGTAGTGAGATCAAACCTGTCGAACTGCAGCTTTAAACCTTTGAATGAACTTGATCAGGTTGTGCGAGCTTTAATAACGTCAGAACTTCAAGACTGACTTTCACATTGATGTTAGACAAGCCTCTGTCTCGTCTGCAGCTTGTTTCATAACTTCTAAATGCCTTCACTGGTTTTCTGTGCATTTTAGGGTTTAATTTCAGATTTAATGATTAACAGATACAGCTCCTACCTGTCTGTCAAAACCACATTTTATCAAGGACACTTTCAACCTACTTAACAGGTGTTCGTTATCTAGAGTGTTTTTTGGGTTGGATCAAGTGTCTTTCACCCACTTCTATCTCAGTAAATCCATGCGACACAAACTCGAAACTCTCGTACAAAGCCGCAGACATTTGAAGGATTTCATAAACTTCCCCAGACAAAGCGGGACAGCCCCCAAAAAAGAGGATATGAGGACATATGGTCACCCTAGGTGACCTCAAAGTCTATGCTGAGAGTGAGTCTTTTCTGAAATGCTTCGTTTCCACATGTTCAGCTGTCCCTCACACTGAAACCTCAATTTTGATTCTTTAGCTTTTGTCTCAGCATGAAAGTCAATTTTTTTTTAATCATCTTAATTTTCATTTGTTGTTTTTGTTCTGTGTCATGTTCTGGTTGTACAGCACTTCGATCAGCTTCTGTTGTTTATAAATGTGCTCTTAAAAAAACATTAGCCAACATGACGGAGGTACATTTTAGCTCCTTATAAATCCAACCGACCTTGTATCCATTGATGCGGTTCATTTCCTGCTGCATGGCCGAGTTGGTCTCCAGCACAGAAAGAAGAACTTTAACCGCTGCGTACAGAGCGCCGTCATTTGGCGCCATCGCAACCAGACTGAGAATGACTGCAGGTCCACCTACATAAAGGAAACCACTCGACGCGCTGCTGGGTGTGAACGTCCGCACACCTGGTCGGGAGAGGACACACATACTTGTAAGATCTCCAGTTTTTGCACAAATACGTGAAATCAGGAAATAAGTTCTTTACCAAAATGTCCGACCAGAGCTGCTCCTATAGTGCGAGCTGTGCCACTGAGGTGCTGACTGATGTTTCGAGCAAGAAACACAGGTGTGGACTGATCTCGAGACGTTATCCCCATCTGTAATAAGACACAAAGGTTTCTCCAGTCTGTCCCCAATAAGAAACGTGTAAATTCAACATAGACTCACCTTACCTCTTTAGCAATCAGCCTGCAGTCCACCTCATTGTAATCCTCTCTGATCTGTGCCACAGTTGTTAAAGTAGAGATCGCTGGGTTGATGCCGAATGAGATCCTCTCCTCAGGAACCAGCCTGAGAGGAAGAGACTCGGCCTCTGGATCATGGCCTGGTTAAAACACGAAACAGGAAGTTAAAGAAGCCGCAGAATTATCACAGAATTATCACAGCGACATATCTGTCCTCATAACACTTCAGTAGAAAGAATCTAAAGCATTCAACGGTAAACTCTGATCTGTATCTTAATAGGTTCAAATCTGTCCCATGTGTTCTGCAGGGAAAATCACAAATGCATGGGATGAGCACCATGGCAACAGAGTTTAGTGCATGCAGTGCAGTGGTGGGAAAACATAATCTCAGTGCATTCCTCAGGGTGCTCCCACACTGAATGAGCTGAGGAGAGAGAGCGTTTAACGTGTTATTGTGGCGGTGAAGGGGCTGATTTGGCGACACACACTGAGCCAGTGTTACGCAAAAGAGCGTGTAAATTATCACGAGTTTCATGCGGTTTAATCCAGACTGAAGACATCCTGTAGAAATCTGGTGACCCACCTGTGTTGCGCAGCCCCAGGAAGTTGCCCAGGTAGCCGGTGCCTTGTGTGTAAATGACTCTGACGGCTTCAGCGCTCAAGACTTCTTCAAACAGGTAAGACGGACCCACTCTCCACACCAAAGCGGCGTGCTCCTTCCAGATAGGCGGTGTTCCTATCAGTCCGTACACGTCGATCACGGCTGTGGGGTCCATGGAGACGTACTGACCAGGGAATGGCTGTATGTACTTCATCTGACAGGAAATACAGAGGTTCAAATAAATGGGTCATCAGACTTGAGTTCAGCACATACTTGAATGTCTCATGAGTCTCTCGTCCGTACCTTTCCTGTTCCCACTGCTTTGCTGTTGAAGTAGGCTGAAACCAGACAGTTCTTCTTCATTTCCTTAGTTATGACCACGGTCAGGTGGTGCCACTGACCTGGGATCAGCATGCTGGAGCAGCGAAACCTCAGAGTTGTAGGCAAAGATGTGGGTGTGCTTACCTCCGGCTCCATCATATCTGTGAACAGTCATTCAGTCTTATGTAACATGTGTGGGGTCTGACTCTAAATGCCACTCAGAGTATTGAAAGCTTCAAACAAAACTTCATACTTCTATAATTGTTATGTAAAGTCCTTTTTTTTACTCCTTTTACCCAGATATGTGAACGTTTCCTCCTCTGTGGAAATGACCAGACAGCCGTCATAAGCTGAGAAGGAGACGGACAGACAGACGTACTGCTGCTCTGTCCGGGACATGTGGCGGACCACTGACAACAGGCGGATTGGATGGGAGTCACAGGCTGAACTGAATCTGTTGATCTGGAACCAGCAGGAAAAGGAGAGACCGGCTGCAGGTGGGAAACCGCGACAATCTGAAACATGAGAAGGAGAAGAGTCAAAATGTTTTCTAGTTTCAGAAGAAGTTGTCAGAATTCAACATTTAGATGCACTGATTACCTCCTCCAATTCCACCTGTGGAGATCGAGTCTGCTGTCACTCCTTTCACTGTGGCCAGAGAGGGTAAGAAGAGGCAGCTGCGAGGAACACCGTCACAAATCAGAGACATTAGAGAGTCAAATCATAATCCTTTCTGAGTGAATTTATCACATCTGTTTAAGCAGGACAGAAACAGACTCAGACAAGCAAATGATGTGGCATTTTCTACCATATTTTTAGTCATCATGTGAGTTGATCAAATTTGGTCATCGAGTCAATTTGATTCTGTCCAATTTTACAGAACAAGGAAAGAACCCACTGAGCATTTTTTGGTCTAAAAGAGGTCTAAAAGACGTCTAAATGTAGCCTAGATGACTGGTCTAAATCAGGCTACCACAGGTCTAAAAATGAACGTTTTTTAGACATTTAAATTTAGACTAAGTTTAGACTAGCCAGCTAACAGAGGTCTAACACCCCACGGAGCATTTTTTGCTCAACGGCTATCATATTTATTTTGGTTTTTGCTTTTAAATTCCGTCTAAAAATATACAGAATCTAGACGGTTGAAATTAGGTCTAAAAAAAAACTATTTTCTCAGTGGGAAAGAACTCACCCATATCCACTCTCACTCATGTCAAACTCGACAAAAGCGGGAGAGGAGGAGACTCTGTGAGGTCTGAAGGTGCGGGGTGACGTCATGGAAACCAGGCTGATGATCTGGTGGGCGGGTACAGCGGAGGATTCGCTGCGAGTCACAGACTGCAACAAGCTGAAGGAGCGCTTCAGTGTCTTCACAGAAGATCCTGAAGACGTATCCGTCTCTGAACTGGGACCTGGTTCACACAACACAACCAAATATCATGAGTCTTTTCTTTAATGCCAAATTAAAGTAGAAGAGGATGGGTTTCATCATACATCATAGTTACTATAAAAACACATTCATACCATTTGAAACAGGAGATGTGACCGGGGCCTGACTTTCTTGTTGTGGTTGCACGGCTGTTTTGTTTGCCGAGCACATGAGCGGGTCCCCTAAGCACAAGAACTTCCTGTAGTGAAGAAAATAACAAACCCGTCAGACACAGACTAATGTGGAACAAAGACCGAAAACAAATGAAAACAGGAAGAGACGCATCTTCAATCTGAACTGATTGTTCCGTGAGTTTCACCTGAAGTTTGACTGTGAGATGGCCTGAGATGAGATCTTCTCAAAGACTCGTGTAACAGGTAGATGTAACGGGTGTTTTGGATTCAGTAACATGTTCGGACAGTGGGTCAGGAGTGTGGAGACCAGTCCCCCCTCACACATTATCTGGCGGTTCTGCTCTGGTTTCACCATGTCCTGGATGTGATGTGCCAGAGAGGATTGGACCTCCATAGAAAGCTGAGAAAGAGGAGAAAAGTCAGTTTCATGCTGGGGTCCGGTCTAATAGGCTTATACTTAAAAAAAGTTGTTTTAACTGATCATTATGGGCTGTTCTGGGGGGGCTGGCATGAAATGAAGGTGGAGGTATTTACTTGAAGACTACCTGTAGACAGTGAAGTTCACATGGGACAATGCAACACGTGTGTGCCTGTTGTATTTGGATAAGATTGTTTAACATATGAGCATGGAATAATTTTACCTGTCTGGGACTTATGTACTTTTTTATTTTATTGTTTTTACGTCTATGTCTTATTATCATAAGACTGTATCTTGATTTTGCCTTTTTTTAACAGTTTTTTTTTTATTTGGTCTTGTAGAAAAAAATTAAACTCAATAAAAGTTGAATGATAAAAAAAAATGTTTTAATTCAGAAGCTATTATCAGAAAAGCCTCTGATTCAACCTTTTCTGGTCCATGTGGGAAACTCAGATATGAATTATCTTCTGTTCTTGATGTTTTTGGATTTTGCACAATGAGTGTTATACTTTATGTCGTCATTTTACATATCGCTTCGCCCTTTAATGCCTGAAACCACAAATAATGTCCAGAAAATTCAATTTTTTTGGAGCTGAAATGTTTATTTCACTGACCACTGAAAACCAAAAAAATTAAAATGTCCTTAAAATTTAACAAATATATTTATTGATCTTGTTTGATACATTAGATGTTTTTGGAAACTGATAAACTACAAGAGGTCATATTTATTATTTATCGGGCTGTATTCAGGTGTTGTTTTAGTAATTTGTTGGTCATAGTGAGTTGATAGAAGTATATAAAAGTATGTATCAAATATGATACAAAAGGTCCAAAGGGTAAAGATATTTTAATAGACAATAGTCTGCACAACGCACGGCAATAAGTATCAGCAGAGAAGACAAATAGCAGCAAGAGAGTTGTTTTTTCTTGTACTTGTATGTGAGAAATTACTCTGTAACAGTCAATTCTCCAGCCTTGGTGTCAGATCAGTATTTGAGTTATAAAAATTATATCAAGAGAATCTCGAGTGTTAAATAGCAGGTAATGTCAAGTGTTATATCTACAAAGGTTACCTGTGGGTCCTCTGGAGTAAAGACCGATGGAAGGAGAGTCATAATAACTCTGATTGCTCCTGGATGAAGAATGGTGTGATCGCAGGTATACCTGCTGTAAGACAAGGAGAGATATGGGTTTAAACCGACGAGGACACATGCAGTCTTCATTTTTAAGTTTATGATAAATGGTTAAATATCCACCTGTACTGTGACTCTGTGCAAACCGTGGAAAAACTTGATGATGTGGTCCTGGGCTTCCCCTGTGTGTCCTCCACAGACTGTGGCCCTGAATATACCCCCTCATGTCCTGCTGGTCCATTTAGTCCATCTTTATCCTTATCACAACCATCCTCAGTTTGTAGTCCCAAGTATAACTCCCGGGGAGAGTAGGTCCCTGTTGCAAACTGGTCCAGATACGACAGCAGCCTCACACATGTTCGAAGAGTGAGAGGCAGATCAGGCTGAGGTTTTGTGGAGGAGGAAGAGGAAGCTTTAGGGGTCTCTGCTAGCTCAACAAAATCATAGAAGGGCTTCACAGAAGACGTGGTTTCCTCTGCGTCTTTCTCCTCACAGTCAAACGTTCCTGTTTCAGTGTCTTCAGTGTGGAAACAGCCCAGCTGGAGTAAAGCCTCAGCCAGCCTTTCATAAAAGCCCCCGGTCTCGAAATGATGTGCGTTTACTGAGTGAAGATGCACAGCCAAAGCCAAGACGTGAAGAGTGAGGAGCAGGAGGTCCAGAAGTGGTTGATGCCCCAGAGACTTCCACACTTCACCCTGAGGAGGGTCAGACAGAGCTCCCTCCATGTCGATGACCAGAGACAGAAGTCCGGTGAAGCCTCCTGCCCGCCTGAAGGCGTCCCAGCTGTTTGGACTCTCCAGCACCTTAATCACAGACTGAAACACAGAAGAGAGAAGTAGAGAGCATGTGGACTTAGACTAATCATACATAAATGTGACACTAAGCTTTGCTTTAAGTCTCTGGATTCTCAAGGATTACTTGGCTTTTACGGCTGCTAAACCCGTGCAAATGACACAAAATTAAATCAAACACTTGAGGCAAACACAAAGGCGTAATGTTGACCCAGTTGGGTTTTACAGCGAGCAGTGTCTCTGTGCGCTCTTCTGCAAACATCTAGAGCAAATTCACAACTGTTCACCCCTCTACGAAGGACTGTATGAGCATGAAGTTTGACAAAGATCTTCAGGACTTCATCGTCTTCAGTACATCATAAAAAAAAAAAGAGAAACTGGAGGAAACTCTGGATGGCTGTAATCTTCAGGCCCTCTGGCAGCATTAACACTCAGTCTACCAAAATTCTGCAACTACAAGAATGACCATGGCAGTCATTTTGACATTTTGCACATAATTTGGATAATAAACAACAAAAAATTATAATAAACTGGTGGAATAGATAAAAAAACATCAGTGCACAAAATGAAAAATATAATAAATGAGATTTTTAAGAACTTTCCTCAAAATACCAAAACACATCACTGCCTGAACTTGCTCATCCATCTGATTCTTCCTCATTAAGGCTCTGAAGTAAAGTTAAAGCCTCCATACTTGTCATTTTTCTTCTAGTTTTCATTTTTGAGTCTCTTTAGTTTTGAGTAAATTTAGAGCAAGATTTATAGCTTCACAGAGCTTTAAGTACAAAACAAACAACAGAGCAGGAGGAAGACGAGAAAATCTAGCAAACAGTGAAATATAACACCCTTTGTCAAAAGCATGCAGTAACTTTGACTGCTCTGGTCATTCGAGGGAGTCATACTCAGATCTCTTTTGTGTTTTGTTATTGTAACGATAAAACCATGTTAGAATAAATTATAGACACATTTAGGAAAAGTCAAGGTGTGACTGGTGTAAAGGTTTTATCTTTAAAAAGTTATGACATTGTAAATCCTGAAAACAGTCACAATGACTGCCTTGGTAGTTCGAGTTTTAGAACAGTCCTTTTCCCATCTTTCTGGAAAAATGTAACTTGAATCAGATTGACAATGAGCACCTGTGTTTTTTCTATATTTTCTGTTTCATCTCGTATGTATTTTTGCACTTTTACAAATGATCAAATTATGTTTTTATCAACAATTTTTAGCTGTTTTGTGACTCTTTAGGAGTTGGGGTTGCATGTTAGGATGTAAAATAATGTTCACATGTTATGTTATGAAGGAAATCAGGAGACATATCATTGCAGAGCTTTAAAAAAACTGTGAAGTGTCACAGGTGCGATTGTTATATCACTGGTGCACGGTGCGAGAGATAGGAGAGATTCCACTTCACCATTCCTGTAGCTATCAGCAGCCTCGATTCAGTCTTTGTGAAATCGCCCCTCAGCTTTTATAAGCATCTCTCCAGTCAATTAAAACAATGTCATGAAAAATAGATGAAACATATAGATATCTCATAAATCATTTCTGGTAACTAGTTTTCAGAGGTGAACGAAATCAGATTATCTTTATTCAATTTAGAGAGCTAATCCATCAGGTAGGTAATGTGTGAGAGAAATGCGATTAACTGAAACTGGAGTAATCACAATGGCTCTTAACACTTGCCAACCCGGGTCGCACCCAATCTGATTGCCACCTGCTTTAACCATGTTAGCACAAAGAACACACCCACACACACTTCTGAGAGCATGCACAAGCAGGCGCAGCACGTTCACACACAATGAATGCGCACAATAACTGCAAGTAAGAGCTCTTCTCACTGTCATCTATAAAAAAGGACACATACAGTGGGTGTGTAACTCATTTAAGTTTAATCACATCTCTGTCCCATCCACTGATCTGATAGAGGTGGTAATCTTCAGCGTGCCACAGCACAAGGCTGCTGGCCTAATCGAGTTGCCCCGAGTTAACAGCTAAACCACTTTTAGCCAATCAATCTGTATTTGTCTGTAATATAATCAGGGTCTCGCATGCTTAGAAAATAAATTCACTACTATATGTATTTGAAGTGCTTTACAATGTGTTATTACTGCGTTGAGTTCAGCTGCAACAGATGAGCTGAAAGTAACACCAACCTGCAAAAGGTCTCTCTTCAAGCCGAGTTCCTGCTGCGTGGAGGAGCAGAGCGCTCCGATGGCGGTGCTCATGAACTCGTCGGGGTTGATCTCGGCGAGCTGCTCCAAAATGCTCAGAGTGGGACCCCGAAACTGATCCTCATCCAGGAAGATCTTTATGTAGGGAACCATGCCGAGGTCTCGTACTGAAACTGAAAGACGAGCAGAGATTGAATACAGAAGAGCGGTTTCAGGCTGAAATACAAGTGAGGGGAAAATGGTGTGGAGAGAAATGAAACCTACCGGTGTTTTTGATTGAGCGCAAAGTCAGGGTTGACACAACTTGAAGCATACAGGCTGTAAGTAGTTTTTCACCTTCTTCCACTGAAGGCAGGCCCTGAGGATCTACACATTTAAAAACAATCGAAGAAAAAAAGTGTTAATTGTTCTTTAAGGATCTGTAGAAAATGGGAGGGTGTTCACTTAGTCCCAGTGTTGCCTAAATAGGTGTATAAACTGTATACATGAGGTGTTTATCAGGCATTGTTTTTACGTTAAGATTCAGGGACAACAATGTGCTGCTTCATACTTATTTGAGGAGGACAAACGACTCCAGCCTTCCTGATGATTTTGGCTCTTCTTCGCAGTTCCCCGAGTAGCAGCTCCAGCAGACCACGGTCACTTAGCACCTCAGCTAGCATGCTGCTGTGAACTGTCAGCCTACACAGCGGGGGAGATAAATCTCATTCAGCCCACGTCAAGGAAAGAAAAGGAGCTCTTCCTCTTTAGCAGTTTTGTTCAGTGTTGGTCTGTTTGACACTTTTTCTTCTCTTGTATTTTCCTGATTTAACTCACCAAACTGTTTAACTAATATGTAGAGGTTTTGACATTAGACCACATTAGACTACAGTAAAGTTGGCCAATGTGACACAATCATCTAGATTTTACTAAGCCTCCTGAGATTGATTGCATCATCCAAGTCATTTCAAATATTTTTAAGAAGGTAGTTTTGCAAAGAGAGGGAGAGAAATGGAGGGGAAGAAGGAGAGTTTTCCATATCATAATTTTTAGAATTGCTTTTGGAAATACCGACATTTCTATTTTAGAAAACAGTATTTTAGATCTGTGGTCTGGAAATATAAATATTTTTCCATACTTTTTAAGATCTGGAAATTGATCAAATTTATTTCCATGGAACCCTGAAACTTTCTGCTTTGAGGCTAACATTAGCCAGCAGACCACAAAATAAGCAAATATTTGTGTACCGACATTCTGTTTTTCACAGATAACAGTGAAGAGTTTCAGTTTCATTGCCTGGTTCAGAGATTTGTTACTGTTTTTGAAATTCTCCATCCTGTTTACATCCAAAGAGGTGAAAATTAGAGTGTGAAGACCATCAGAGGATATTTTTGTCCTGAAGTTACAAATGTGTTCCGCTCACCGGTGAAAACACTTCAGAGCTTCCACTCCAAACTCAATCCCCACCAGTCCTCCAGCCAGCGTCCCCGCCCAGATCTGCTTCAGCACAATCAGCAGGCCCCGCAAAGTCTCATGGGGGATGTAGTTTAGTTTGAAAACCACCTATAAGAAACCCACTATTTGATCAGAGCTCACATGCACTCTGTGTCAAAGAAAAGAAAAGTATGCGCATGAACTTTGGAGGTCTTACCATCTCTAGAAGTGAAAAGAAGAGTTTCCGGACAGGTGCAGGTTTTTGCCACATGCAGACTGCCAGCTGAGACATGGTCTGGACCGTCCACTCCAAGAGGAAGAAATTGGCGGGGTCCCTCTCCCATATTGTCTGCACGGTTCGAAGGAGCTGGCAGCACAACAGACAATCCTGACAGCGTAGCAAAGAGGACTGCAGCAGGAGGAAGGCCTTGAGGTTTTTCACGGCTGAACCTGGACACAAAAGAATCAAACAAGAGTCTTTATACTCAACTTTTTCAAAAGGTTTGAGCACGTGAACTGAAAGTGTTCTGCATTTTTGCTTATATCCAAACTTTCTGAATTTCAGAAGAACTACAACTCACTATCAGAGGTCAATTTAGCCAAGAGATGTTGAGAGTTTTTAGCTCAATTTGTCACATTTTGCTTCTTGCAAGGTCAAAGTCATTTTCAAAGAAAGAGCAAAAACAAATAGATAACAAACAACCTTAAACGCAGAAAACACATTGAATTTCACGCGCCAATCGAGTTACTCATACATAGATAGATTGAAAACAAACAACATAAGATCCATGACGGCAATATCGTCTTAGCATAATCTGCCTTGATAGAGTTTGTTCTCTTCTTTGTCAAAATACTCAGAGAAGGTCTTCGATTTGGGGTCCAGAACACGCTTGTGTTTGTTGTGAATAAATACATACCTGGTTAGTAATAGGATTCATTTTCACACTTAGTCTAAATTACATCAGAACCAAATAAGATCAGCAGAAAAAAGTCCCCAGTGCCTCTGCTGGAAAGAGATCTACTCCTTGATGTGATGGATGGGTGCTGAATCGGTGTGTCTTTGTGTCTGTTTGGACAGGAATGTGTGTGTTTATTATGGACACTCTATTTATGAGTGTTGGATGGAGGTGTGTGTGTGTGTGTGTGCACGTCTATGATAGATGGCTGGTTGCTGTAGGCCAGTGGTGAATGGATGTGGGGCATCCTAACAGAGTTAGACAGGGAGCCTCCACTTCATCATCCCAGACATAATCACCTCAGTTTCCTGTTAACCTGAGGGGTGTTGTGCACTGCAGCGGTGGTAGCTGTGGGGGAACTGGGGGGATGGCTCACAGGGTTGTGGTGCATTTTGGGAGGGTTATGTGAGGGCCAAAGTGCAAAGGGTGGATGAACTGTGTGGCCATACGAGGAGCTTACTCTCCTCCTTAGGCAGTGAAGGCGATGACAATGAGACAACTGATTTGACTTGCAGTTGCAGCCTTTGAAAACAACAAGATATAACAACAACAACAACGACAACAACAAATGTTTTCACCTCCGTGTCCCATCTCACAAGGAAAAACCTGTTTGTTTTTACAAGTTTGTCCATTTTGCTGTTTTTCTATAGTAGAAACCAGCAGTCCAAAATGCTGGCCTCTGTGGAGGGGAGTCGGCTTCGTTGCAGAAATAAAATAACTCATCCTTAAGGGGATATCCCGGCGTAAAATTCAGTTAGGGACAAACACACCGCAACACCGAGTTAGACACCCCCTCGAGAGATGAATGTTGCCGACCGCTTGCTTCTCTAGTTATACCAACTTTAGTAACGACCACAGGATAGCAGAACACAGTGGTCTGAGGAGCCATAAACAAACCTCAACCAAAACACCACTCTATAGCCACTAATAATGCTCAGAACAGCGCCTAACTTCATCAACAGTACATATAGGGTCCCAGCCATAGTGCTACACACCAAACATCTTTTTAACTTTGCCTAATTTCGCTTGTTTGAACAGAGACCTCCAGGCGAGTCCATTACGGACTGCTGCGGGGTGACGCAGCTCAAGGAAGAACATTTATGATTCTAAATTAATTTTACGCCGGAATATCCCTTTAAGCAGCGAAACCAAAACAATTTTTTAATTAATTAAGACTACTTAAAGAAACAGTTCATGGAGCAGTTTCACATTATTTCTCGGCCTTAAAAGGATATTGCGTGTTAAAAGGGGATTTAATATCCTTCACTTTTGGGTAGTGGCTCTTATTTCTTGTTGCTTCCGATGTTTAATTCAGAAAATCTTTAGTCTCGACCTGATCCAAAAAAACTGATTCAAACCAGTAAAAACACTGAAAAGCAACCCCATAAGGAAACATCAGTTCCTCTCAGTGCTCTTTGAAACAATTAAGAGTAAAATTCAAACAAATCTTCTTCTTCTAAAAAAATAGCTTGTTTATATAAAGTTTTGACTCTCTTTTATCAACATTCATTCTGTTAAATCACATCCATGATTAGAATCCTGAGCAAAACTGAACAAGATGATACGTTAGTTTGTCTCGAGCTGCACACATGACTCAAGTTTTGATAATTATCATTGAGTTTTTGTTGCTTTTTTTCAAAAATTGGGTCAAATTAATTAATTTGAAGTAGAAATTTTACAGCAATGAGTCAGAGTTCATCCAAACAATCAGCCTTTAGAAATAATCAGGAGAGCTGACCAGTGAGTAACGAAGCAGAGCTCATGATGAGGGCTTGACCTACCTTTGGTGAGCGGCGGGTCAAACTTGAAGCCCAGGGGTTGAGGGTTGTTGACACAAAGAGCGACTCTCAGCTCAGTTTTCCCGAAAAAGGTGAAAGAAGCTATTAGGGCCAGGAGCTCCTCTACGGGCTGGAAAAGATCCACAGAAACCCCCTCCTCACACCTAATAACAGGAGAAATCAAGAGACAGATGAAGAGCAGAGAGACCTTCTGAGGGGGCTGCTCATTTCACAGCTTCATATCACTTCCTTCGTTTGTGTCCTTTCAGCTCACCTGATCAGGATGTTCTCGAGGGCCTTGTAGCCGTTGTGGGCGTCAAACTCGAGGAAGAGGGCTGGATTACAGGCGTAAGTGTCTCTGATAAAGCTGAACACAGCCACAGCCACTTCGGCTAACAGCGACCCTGAGACATCAGGACTGATGTGCAACAGGTTCTGGATGCAGATACGAACACAATTCTTCCCTGACGAGGTGGAGACAGAGGGGAAAAGTTCAGGACTTAGAGGTAAACGCTGCATCAGAGTCGAATGTCGGCACACTCCTCCTGATGCTTTTTATCCCAAAATCAAACACGTGGTGACCTTAGTGGCCCAGGTCGATCCGGCGGCTGCAGAGATCTGATTTTAAGGCAGAGAGCATCATGTGCTGGGACATGGATAACTTCTTAATCTCCCAAACAAATCAAAGTTATCTTGTTTGTACCAGAACAGGGGGGGAGCGAAGGGTCATCAGTGCTGATAGAGGCATCATGTGAAATCTACTCGCAGTGTGCGTTTCCTCTGAGCGGTGTGGTCATGTGTTTTCCGCTTAATTAAATCATAACTTCAACAAAAGTATCTGTCCGGAGCGGAGGAAAATTCTCGGATTAAATCTAATTATTCACTTTCAGCCAGGAAAAGTAAACGTTCACAGATGCTTTCCTAATATCCTCAGTATGATAGAGTTTTATTATGCCAGTCAGAAATAGAACAATTAAATGAAGTCAGATGAAATGCAGTTAGTTTTGAGTTGCCTCACCCAGCAAGCTCGGGACGGTGTTGCTTGTTGCCACAGCAGAGACCGCCTTGAGGACACGAGAGGCCTTATGCCTCCAGTCTGGACTGGTCTGGTCCCACAGCGATGTGAGGCCGATGATAAGACACTGCAGCTCCTGAGTTTCCACCAGTCTCTCCACATTAGCTGGCTGCCTGCAGAGCTGGAGGAGAACCTGGAAAGGAGCACAGTCTGAGACCAAAGTCCAGGAAAAGAACGAAAATCCACAAGAGGATAAGTGCAAAGAGCTTTGGCTGTTCGACCTGCGTGAGAGGCTCTTGAAAGGTTTCCTCTGTGGTGAAGTTCTCCTTTGCAGACGGAAGACAGACCAGCAAGTAGAGGCATTTCACCAAAGCTGCAGGGAGGCCCGGGTTTATACAGGACAGTATATCCTGAAAAAAACAACACAGGAAAAGATGTTAAGAAGTAAATCCAAAATGACATCTTCATCCTGAGAGAGTTCTGATAGTTATGAACACGGTGATTTAGCGAGCCTGGCTGGGCCATCCTGTTGCGTGAATCATTTGCCGTCCCTTTCCGCAACAGTCTGGACTTCGGCCAATTGGGAGCATGTATTCCCGGTCAGAAAATAACCGGGCCAATCAGAGACCGTGTTTCCACTGTTACCCGGACAACAGGGAAAGAAATCGCAGAAATCGTTTATTCTGACGTCTTCTGAGGATTTAAACAATTTCTGCCGACTTTGCAGAGTCAACTGCAGAATTAACGGCGTTCTGAATGAACGGCGCTTTGAAAAGTCTCGCAGTATGTGTTAGACGTCACCATCTCCACATGGACCAATCAGGGGCTGCCTTTGGAAAACACGGTCTCTGATTGGCCCGGTTATTTTCTGACCAGGAATACACGCTCCCAATTGGCCGAAGTCCAGACTGTTGTGGGAAGGAACGGCAAGTGAATCACGCAACAGGATGGCCCAGCCACGCTATGATTTAGCCACTCTGCATAAAAAAGTGCAATAACCATTAACTTAGAAACTTCTATTCGATGTAAAAGATGATCAGTAAATCAAAATATAATCAGAAACTTGACTTTGAGTAGGTAATCTGAAAATCCTCCCCGTCACTCACTGAGCTGTCAGCTGTCAGCAGCAGCAGAGACTTTAACAGCAGCCATCCTTGATTTTCTTTCACCTCACACTTTCTTTCCTGGGTATCTTGTTTTTGGAAGAACTGCACCACCTCATCCCGAGCCCCCTCTGCAAATACACAAAATTATTCACACTTTAAAAAAGTTTTTAGCTCAGTTTACATGTTAAAGCACCGATTAAATCAATCCAAAGCCGCTTAAAAAGTGCATAGTGTATGTGCATGGGAAGAGTTCAATTCAAGAATTAAAAAAAGAGGTTTTTCAGAAGGACACCAGACACAATTAGCGCACAGATCAAGTAAAGTGACGTAACAGCAGTTCCTGGTCATGGACTTTATGAATAAAAAAAGAATCTTAAAAAAAATCCTGAATCTGATTGGGAGACAATGTAGAAAAAAATTGATGGGTATAATTAGAGTCGCCCTGCTGAAGCCCATCAACAGGTTTGCAGCAGCTTTTAGGACCATTTGGTGGAGGGGGGGATTTGCTCAGCCAGGAGAAGAGGGAATTGCAGTAATTGAGCCAGAAAGCATCTTACAAGTGTACAAAAAATTAATGTTCTGATCAAAAAGCATCAGCTGATCAAATATTACTGAAAAAAGTTGCTAACGAGAAGGAGGACCTCTGTAATGTTGATCTGAAGGAGGTTTTCTTTGCCTAGTTCTTGATAGCGGTCGGACATCTGCACAAATTAACAAGTTTGTCAGAGTTATCAGGACACTGTACAGTAAATCTGAACGTCATCAGCAAACGGTAGAAAAGGGAAGAAGATTAAAAAGCTAAAACAAAAGGTCTGAAACAAAACAAGAACAAAAACACCAACACTGTCTCCACAAAGCTGATGTTTTTTTCATCATCCACCCACACACAAATCTGTCTGATATAAAACCAGTCCAACACGCGGCTGCTACAACAGAAAGTAAAATGCAGATCTATGCGCAGTTTAAGAGAACAAGTATTCTCAGAGAGGTTTCACTTCAACTTTCAAAGAAGGAATTTGCTTTGTGGGCACATGTTCAGTGACATGCAAGAGGTCCTGAAAAACATTTTAATACTTGCATCAAAAATTAGCAGAAAACAAATCATGATAAACTGTGTAAGAAAAGTCCTACCTTTATTGGGTTATTGTAATAAAGCTACATACAACAAATGAGCGGCTAATTAAAAAGAGGTACAACTGAAAACACAAGTTCAATTCACTAACATCCAGAAAGTGACAGAACCAGTTGCAGACAGAAGAAGGAAGAAAGACGAGGGGAAAGGTAGAGAGAAAAACTCTCAGAACTACAACAGACTGTTTTATAATACCAGAGATCACTTCCTTGTACACACTATTGTGAATTTTTAAGTGATATCTATCTATGAGTGATATACCTGTTGGGCAGGAACAAAGCAGAAGTAGACAGAAGAGGTAGAAAGTCCCTCTGCCTGAGAAAAAAAATGCACCACAAGCGTTTGTATGAGAAGGTGAAAGTACCTGCAGGCTTTTCTGCTAATCTGCTGTGGATGTGCTGGATGACAGTGTCAGCCGTCACAGCTGCGAGCCCCTTCAGGTTCAAACCTTCGAGTCTGCCTCCCTCCTCACAGATCTGGGGACCAGGAAAGAGAGAAATATGTACGAAAATGAGGATAAAAACACTTGAGAGGATCTGAGAGCATCATCTCATATCAAAACAGACCCTGATATAAGTGTTGTCATGGAAACTGTTGGCGTAAAACACCATTATAAAGTGAAAAATCGTAACCGTTAATGCACTCCACTATAAATAATAGAAGCAAGTGTGTACTTCTGCATACTATGCTCATTTAAGGTCCGTAAGAGGATATCCAATTTCACTGCGTTTGCTGTTCTTAAGTGAGGCCCTGCATTCTGGTCAAATCTCTGGTCATGAGGCTTACATAGGCTTCCACTCACACATACACACACACACAGAACAGCACACAAACCACAGAGTGATCGCATCTACAGCTGTAAGCCTGATCAACAGCGTTACTCGCACAAGTATGCAGATCGGTGATGGTATTTGCGCAGTATGTGTGTGCATGCAGAGCAATAAAAGTAGGGCAGTTTCTCTGAGAATGTGACACAGTTCAGGCACCAAGAATTATGAATTCCTCTTAAGAACCAAAGCTGGAAGCTGTGGGTCTGATGTAAAACAGTTTGGTTTTAATAAGAGACTACAAACAGTACGTACTCATTCAAGAGACAGCGATATAACTACCTGAGGGCCAAACATCTGACTTAGGCCTAAAGTTGTTGTCTGGTTTATCCATACCTGTATGTAAAGAGGGAGGACTTTGATGAGACGCTCCTCTCTCAGCTCTGAAGGCACATGGTCCTGTCTGTGATCCGGACCCTCACATGGGTGAATCCCCAGCTCCTGCAGTTGTTCTCTGAGCTCTTGTGAGAGTTTGGGGTTCCCACAGGAGCCCTCCACTTTGTCCAGGTTTAACTCCACAGAGACAGATAACTCCCCTGAAGCACTCAGCTCCCCGGTTTCCTTATTGATCCTTTCCTTTTTAGCAGTCTGTTGCTGGAGGGGGAACAATGAAGGGATAACAGTGAGAAATCCTCCAAACGCTCAATCTTTTTAAGATGACAAAAACTAAGAATGTCTGAATTATTCTTTCATCATGTTGTGTCTACGGTCCTCAGATCCCAAAATCCCAAAAGCACACTGTCTGCATTACCAAATGAGCAGAAAGAGTAACAGATGCCCAGCAGTCATGTGTCAGCCTGACTAACATGCTGTCCAACCACAGTCCTGGATCTGTACGGTGTAAATGACGCCCAATCTTTACTATCTGTAGGCGTGTAAAACCACAGAGTTCAAACCCCAGGATCTAAAATCATCTCATGCTTTACAGTCTCCACTCCAGAGTCATGGCCGACACAGATATCTATTTGTTTCCCTCGCTAAAAAACAATGTCTCAGTTATTGTCTGTTTCAGCTTTACTCAACTACCTGTGACCTAAATAATTGATCATTGGTCTAACACTGATTGTTTTTGTCTTATGAACCCAAGTGAGGCCTCAGATCCTCTGGTTCTACTCAGAGCTTCTAAATCTGGAGCCTTTCTTAACTCATCCCGTCTCATCTTTTGGGGTGAGCTCTGTTTGGATGCTGAATGAAACACCCTTCATCAACATGGAGGGATCAGATACAGCTGTGAGCTTTCACACAAATTCCTCTCACACCCATGGAAGTGGGGACTTCCCTCATGGAAGGAAGTAATCATGGTTACATATCACACAAATAAGTAATTCACAATAGTGACCTTTCAGCAGACCCCCGAATCACTCCACAATATGAGAACAACAAACATGTCCGCTCTTTTTAATATTAGAAAACAGTCAATAGATCAAGATCGTACCTAAAACATTCAGATTTTTATTTCTGTATGGTTGTATGACTTAAATCTCGATAACAGCAGTTTAAGTCTGTTTTCAATAGACAGCGTTACACACGCTCAGTAAGATGTGTTAAGGTCTAATGACTCCCTCCCACACTGAGAGGTTTGGGAGGAGGACACTAGATGTGATGAGCCCTGTGGGGAAACCCAAATGGAGTCATGGTCTGTGTAGGTTGCAGGTTTAGGGAGTGATTGTATCAACAGGGTATTTGTTATCACTGTCACCTGGAAAGATAACCTGCTAAAGGAAAACTTTGAAAAAACTTCTTTTATTTAACTTTTTTTTTCATCACTGTTTTCTTTTTCTATCCTGTCCAATTCAGTCAATTTTAAAATTGTTCTTCTGTGTCATCAGTCACTTTTTCTTTGTTCTGTTTCTGACATGCTCTTGTTAGTCCCTTTGTATCTGTATTTTAAAGACATCTTAGAATTAAGTAGTTTTAATTGTATTATCTACTTTACATCTTAAATGCTAGAAAATAACTTTTTGTTTCATATGAGTGACTTAACAATCTTTGAAAAACAAAATCTAACCATAAATTATAATTGTACGTAAGTTTTGATGTGTTTTGACAAAAATGTTAATAGTCCTGTTACTTAACAAATAAAAATAAATAAGCCTTTTGTTCTTGTCGAAAGAAAAAAGTGGGACTACAGCATTCAAACTGAGGGATTTTAGTTCTAATCATCTGAAATAATTCCTCTAAAGACCAAAAACTTAAGGCCGGCTGTCAATAAGAAGTTCAACACTTGTTTGACACAACATTTAGATTGGTTACCGTATGATTGAGGCTTAACTCAGGCACTGTTTCCTCATTACAATCATTTTATTTTGGTACTCTCTATTCAGAGACACTCAGTCCTGCTGAATATAGACAGACATCCGCAGAGACAGACTGCTTCACTGATAAGCCAAAGCTAATAGAATCAGTTATTGAGGTATGTAAAGGTAAAGATAGTTCACATTCCTTAGAAATTCAATAATACTTTGAAGTTTCCTCATGTGAGACTGTTCTGTGTGCAATGAGTGTGTGTGACAGACACACACCACACACAAGAATTTACAGTGAGTGCTTTCTGTTTTGAATAGAAAAGGAACACACGTCTCTAGCTGGTTTAACACGTCAAAGTGAAAACTGCAAACATGATAATGGGTACAGGGATACATCTGCTGTAGTCAGTGTACCTGCGTAAAACACGATGAAGGTGTGTTCCTCACCTGTCCTTGTGTCAGAGCCATCTGGGAGTTTCCGGGCTCCAGGTGGACGCTGTCATCTGCGCTGTTTTATCCAAACCAAGAGCGTGGTCTGTCCCATGTCAGGCTGGAAGACAAGCACAGGCCTGCTAAGACATGACAAGCGGCTACAGAGCAGACCCTTCAGTACAGCCGCCCGCCCCTTACTAATCTGCACCAAGTAAGACTGAACTTTGAACAAGTCGAGCGACTCACATCAGCTGGCTCAGGTCATGTGCCTCCTAGCTTCCCCACAGAAGCAGAAGTGAAAAGCTCTTGTTTAGCTGGTTGGATGAGGCCCTCCCACTACAGCCCAGAGAACAGTCCCTACGCTTTTTTTAGACATGTCATGTAAGTCTGGCATGATATGAATCACAGCAATGGGATGATCCCATGATTCACCAAAGGAGTGAGCTGACACAGTTTGTAATCACAGGTTTGTGTGGATAAATAGAAGCAGTTGACTTCCATGTGTGAAACAAACAGCAGTATGTGTGATAAAGCTGAAAACTCCACCTGCTGTCAGCTTGTTAAAGACTGAAGCACATGCAGAGACCATAGACAGCATCACAAAACAATAATTAACTCTTAAACTAGAATATACTTCGAACATTTGGTGCAGGCACTCTGCATTCAATCCTAGGGGGGTTAGTGAATTTAGTTCCCATACTTGTGAAGTGTAACTGCACTGAGGTTTGGAGCTGCTGTGAAACTAGCAGTGCTTGAGACTCTGACAGCCTTAGTCAGTAGTCTTTACCTGGACTCTGCTTACCATTTACATGAATACTATTTTACTATTTAGTGTTGTATACAGTGTACATACTTGTATATTATCTCTTATAATCACACTCCTCTTTCTACTTTATTTATTAAAATTTATTTGCACTGGAGTTTCTGTGACAAAAAGCAATTTCCCCCTGAGGATTATAAAACTTTTTCTGATTCTGGTTCTGGCTCTGATTCTTACATACTTCAGCCTAACAGCGCCATCTCGTGGGGATTTGTTTGTATGTTGTAAACATGCTGTTAGCAGCCAGATAAATGGATGAAAAAACACCAAATACTTATTGACAACCTTTACACTTGTTCAGAAATGTTCACCAGAGATTTGCGCATAACAGGAGAGAGATGGTACAAATTAAGCGTCCCTCATGTAAGTATCTATGAGTGTTTTTGCTTCCTATTTTGCAGAATTACTTTGGCGTGTGGCTCATACCACTGAATGCACCTTTGAATAAAATGTGTTGAATTTCGTATAAGCTTAAACTGCAAAGGGAATAAGAGTGTGGACATAAACAAAGCAGAGAAAACAGAAATGAGCCTACCATGCAGCAGCTGTCCACACGGATGTAGCCCCCCTCTTTGGACACTCTTGAGCTTCAGGTTGAGTTTAAATTCATCTTTAAGTCATTTTTCCTCTTTAGCGCTGAAGCGAGACTACACACTTCATAACTCGGCAGCAGATTTAAGTAAATTCATATTATCTGCCAAACAGACGCTAAAATACCCGTCTAAACATGTCCACGGTTATTATGACACTGAATATTAACCGCACTGACGAGGGTATTACCTTATTTACAGCGACCACGTGTTTAGTCAACGTGGTGACGTTGCGTGTCATATGACCCCCCTCGCAGCCAATGAGATTCCCAGGGCGTGATCTGCCTCAATCAGTTTAGCACAATGCTGCAGGATCCCCGCTTGTTCTCAGCGGAACATGATCTCCGTTCTCAGCTGACATTATGATGTTGTAGCCTTTCTCACCGGGAGCTGATTTAGTTTCCTTTGCAGCTTCAGTCCGTGGAAACATTTGGAGTCTGATTGTGTCTCTTTTCTCTCCTTTTCCTCCTCCTCCTCATCACCATGCACCCGATGCCTGTGTGCTCCGTTAGCTGTGGAGACATATTTGACTGTATACAGAGAGGGAATATTGAACAGTGTATACACTTCGTTCAAAGTGATCGATCAGTCCTCAAACAGAAAGGTAAGACAATCAAAATGCATGTGAATCTAACCAGTGCTGTCTTTTATTTACTGTTTGTTCTGAAGAGTATATTCCACTTCCTGTAGGTTTCCTGTCAACAAAATAGTTGAACCTGTCACTGTTAGTTCCTGTTATTCCCATTACAAACACACTAAACTATTGTTTGGTACCAGTTTGTTCTGCTCAGGTGTAACTTTTGTGTTGTGTAGAAATGGAGCTGCAAAATCTCAAGACTTGGTTTTGATGCTAATAAATTATCTTTAAATATTTTAAACAATATATATATGGTTTTTGGGACTCTAAATGAAAGTGATTAAATCAATCAACCAATCACTTTATTTGTAAAGCACTTTTCATACATGGACTGTATCACAAAGTGCTGTACATTAAAGAACACAAGAAGGAGAGGATCAGGGGATACCAAATAAAATACCAAATAAAATACAAATTGCAAAACCCCACCACCCACCCACACACCCACCCACACACACACACACACACACACACAGACAGACACACAAACACACACACACACACACACAACCACTGGGACACCAAGTCAGGGCTCAGCAGGATTGTAATGTTAAATTAAGAATCTGTGATGTTGACATTGAAAGAGTTACTGAGACTCAATTTCTTGGAGTTGTCATTGTGCATGACGGTGACACAAATCTTCAGTTTGTCTTCTCCAAATCTAAATCAAGCAATTGGTCAATTTTTTTCTGTGCCAAATATCAACTTTACTCTTATATTGTGTTATTTACTTTCATGCCTCAGTGCCTCCTGATTTGATTTTGTTACTGAGCCAAAGAGAAACCTAACCCTGCAGCGCCTCTGTGAGATGGCCTGGCACAGATCTAGATGGGCAGATCCTGTGACAACACATAACAAAGTCACAGTGTGCCAAAGGAACCCAAGACCCAACTCCAGACAGACTGTGCATTTACGTCAGGTGTGCACAGAGACTGCAGATCAGTTTGAAGGTCTGCGTCCAGCGTCCTGACTGTCTGTTTCCATCCAGGCTGGGGAGGTTTCACCCCGCTCCACTACGCTGCCCTTCATGGTAACCGCGCTTTGGTCGACCTTTTCCTTAGCAACGGAGCTGACCCTAACCTGACATGTGATGCAGGACAGACAGCCTTTCATTTTGCCTGCAGGTAACCACATTAAAGTGTGAAACAAATGGGGATCCTGTCTTAATGTAGGAATCATGCTTTTTGTGCCGTTATATTGTTCTTTTAACCTTTGTCTCCAAACAGGCAAGGGAACATCTATATCATCCACCAGATGATGCAGTATGGAGCTGATTTACGCCTCATAGACCTGCAGGGCAAAACATCTCTGCACCATGCAGTCACAGGAGGAAGCATGTGAGTAGAGGACACAGCAGGACACAGCAGGACACAATCTTGGTTATTTAAGTCAAGCTTGGTTTAGTTTATTAGTTTATAGACAGGAACCATGTTACAGCACAACTTCTGATCTAGAAGAGTAAACTTTAAAGAGAATTTAACCTTTAAAGGCAGGATGGTGGAAAAACTTAAAATGCAAATAATCAGAAGAAAAGAAAAACAAACCAACAACAACACAGAATTAAAAACTCTATGAACAGTACATCACATAACTTATTCATTAACAGTGAAACAGTTTTTAATTACATCACTTTGTAGATATATGTATATATATATATATATATATATATATATATATATATATATATATATATATATATTTATACCAATATAAACTCAGTCCCAACATGTTGGGATATTTTACAAGAAATAGACGAGTAATATCTGTTTTAAAGGGAACGCCCTCCATCATAAGACAAGAGGAAAAAATTAAATAAACCATAGAGACAACATAAAAGAGAGCGTTGAATTTAGCTAACACCATTGCATATCAATATTTCATACTTCTATTAATGCTCTTGCATACATTTATCTTGTCATGTTTTTGTTTGTTTTATTCTTACATACATATATTTTTTGGTTGTTTTTGTGTTCTCGTTTGCTTTTATCCTGCTGTTTTTACTCTGTAAAGTGTCCTTGGGTGTCCAAAAGGGCACTTATAGATAAAATGTATTATTTTTATTATTATTATTATTATTACATGCATACACATGTCTTGACAATGAATACATCCTGTTCATCAGTGCACTTTACCCCCTCTATAAGTCATCTACATTATAGTCCATGCTGCTACAACACAGCCTGCCATTAGCAGTCAAGAATCTGCTTTAGTAATACCTGGTGGCATGAGATATAGGTCACTGAGCAAACATAACTGAGGAGACTGGAGAAGTGGCTTCTTGAGTCATCCTTTGAGGCTGTTCAGCGCCAGACCTCAAAGAGGCTGTACAATGGTGCAACCCCACAGAGCATTAAACTCTGAAACTTGTTCAGAGTCGAGTTCCACTTTGTAATGCAGATAGTCTAAGAGCAGTTTTCTTAAATATAGCTGAACAGTCACCTCCTGCAGATGCACCAGTGTCCTCAGCATTGTTCCTGCAGAGTCACACACAGTGGTGCCTGATTAAGAATCGATTCATATGTCAGTCAGATGTCTGCAAAGAAAGGAAAGCTCTCAAATGTTGAAAAATTGTACACCTGAATAAAGTGTATTCAGGTTTTAGAGTGATCACGCCTTCCTGGTCCTAGCTTGTTACACAGTAAGAGAAAAAAATGGTGACTGATGTTTTTGCTCATATGAAAGTCACATTTAAATGTTTCTGAATGCACTAACTTTAAATTATGTTTCCCAGTGTTGCCGTGCACTATTTGTGGGAGACAGGGATGTTCCGGTTCTCAGACACAGACATGTACCAGGTGACACCTCTTCACCTGGCTGCATCCACAGGCAACACAGAGGTGGTCCGCTATTTGCTCAAAGACCAGGTATGATGTAGTCCCGTAGTCTGCAGAGGACTAACGGTAGAATAAGATCTGTGTGCTAAAGCTGCATTAAAATATTTGATAGTCACTGTCAGTGAAGGCAAAAATAATCAAAAGTGTTGCTGTTGCAATTGCTGCACTTAGAATCAAGCTGCTTCACAGAAGTGAAACATTCAGCTTCCCTTTTTCAGTTCTCCAGCCCACACGTTTACAGCAGGGTATGCGTCACTTTTATTAACGGCTCCAGTGAGACTTCAGGCAGATATTTTCAGATGATATTAATACCTGCACAAAACACCACACTGAGTGGCTGAATCTGCAGCTCACTGGTTGAAAAAAAAAAACAGAATATTTATCAGTCTGAACACAGATTCTCTCAGACATTCAACTCAGACCTGAAGACCAAAATTCACCGAGTGACATGTTGTTATTATTGTTGCTAGATTTAAAATAGGAAAGTGTTTGCAGTTACCGTAAGTTACTCTGGTGTGGTTATAACGGGGTATGAAACAGTCTCTACTTTAACACCAGCTAGAAGATTGACTATTTAAAACTCCTGCATGAAACATTTGGCTGATTCTGAAACCGTCTCTGTATGACCCACAAAAACACAAGACTAAAATTAGCATGATTGATCATTTCTATAGAGTAATTACCAATGCTAGTGCTGTCGGTGTTACAGCAAAGATCTACAGTGGTTGTCTGTCAGGTTGGTTTTTGTTAAAGAAATCTACAATTTGCAGACCAAAAAAAGGCTTTGTTTACACTGTCCGCATTAAAGGTTCAGATGTCAATGTACATCAACTAGTTAGGAGTGAGCAGAGAGACATTTTTCATCAAATGTTATCGATGTGTAGGGCAGGATCAGCAAAGAATTAAGATTTACTGATTTGTCCGTCAGAGAATAATCAGAAAATAAAAGTTTTTTGTAGCTGCGGTATTAAAACTATCTAAACTTAAGATCCATGTGGACCATCTTTTGTTGAGATGTTCTCCCACATTTATGATATTTTCTTGATAGTAAAATGCTTAATGCATCTTAAAATAAATCAAAATGTGGTTTTGTGGTTGTGCTAAATAGCCTTTTATTTGAAATTGTAACCAAAGGGGCACTGATCTAGCACAACAGTGAAGTTATGCACCCAACAGGAGAAGCTCAAGTCCTTAAAGCAAGCAGAGCAGCCTGAGTTCAACTATTAACCTTTTCCCTGTTATCAACACCAGTAACATGCAGCAGTTTCACATTTTATACCTTTTTTGCAGGATATTAGCTTTAAAAGCTGCAAAATTCCAAAACAAACAACAAAAATATGCAATCATGCAAACAGCCTAGAGTATAGTAGTGAACATTAACAGTTAAATTCAGATCAGAAATAAACTGAAACCCTCGCTAAAGCTAAGATATTCTTATCTGACATGCGTCAGACTACAGTCACGCCCAAGTCTGAAGCAGGAACAGTGCAGAGCAGGATTCACTATCTAAAGGGTGTAACTGTGCCCCCCCTGCTGTGTGTTCCTGTGTCAGAGATGTGCTGTGGATGCAGTCGATCAGCAGGGGGCGACAGCGCTTCACGTAGCAGCGGAGAGAGGCGGCGTGGAGGTATGCTGGACACTGCTGCAGAGAACAGGGTGTGGGATGCTCTACCAGAAGAACCACAGCGGCCTCACTCCATTGGAGCTCAGCAAGCAGGGGAAAACATTCAGGTGAATGTGCCGTGTGCAGAAATCTTTGGAAAAACACTGACCAGCAGGTCACTGCATGGAGTAGAAACACCCCAGAGTACCTTTAGATATCCTGTATGTTTGCATTTCCAGATTACTCTGTTCCTCTGGGGATCCTGATGCTGATTAATACATCGCTTTACTGTGAATTTTTCTCTAGACATCAGCAACTCACCAAGCTACTGAGTCGGTACATTAATGAGCCCATACACCACAAGCCCAGAGAGTCTCATGGTAAATATTTGTGTTTTTTAGTCTCATTATTGATGCAAGGACGGCTCATGAGTTGATGTTGGTCCAAAAGTACTGAGTGAGTGTTTATGTAACATGAGATCTGTATGCATTTCTGTTTGTTTTCACCAGTCTTGTATTACTGGACGCTGTTCTTTCCGACCCTGAGTGGAGCTTCCATCCTGCTGATCGCTGCCATGCTGGGAGGTTATGGAGGATTGATCTGCTTGTTGCTTTTCCCCTGGCTCGCCCGCAGCATATTCACACAATACCACCGAATGACCACATATCAGAGGTCTGAGAAAAGTTCAGATTGTAAAATGTTTGTGAGTATGTACAATATTTTGCTGTTTTTTGACCTGTTAAATCTGTTTCTTCCAGGTTACCCAACCCGATCTACCTGGGGACCCTCATAGCCGGCCTGTTCCACTCTTTGCTCTGCTTCTATGGAAAGATAATGCCAAATATCCTCAAGAAAAGCTGCACAATTACTGTCATATTTTTGTAATATCCAGGTTTGTCTAGCTTGTAAAGATACACCATGAGTAAAAAGTTGTTAAAAACTTATTTTAGTATTTTTGTATCCATAGGTTTATGACAGTTCTTGGCTTTTCTCTTGTTGTAAAACTTTTTAGCACTTCTGTGGTCGTCCTTTTTGTCTTGAATATGCACTAAGAGAAATGTAATTAATACCACACCATAAAGTAAATCCTTAACTCCTCTGAACGTGTGTGGCCAGCGAGTGCTCTAGTCCAGGTGTCCATGGTCCACTTCTCCTTCGTCCTGGGCTTGTTCTGTAAGGTTCTGACTCAGGACCCGGGGACACTGGACAGAGCGGATGCAGATCCTCGGTTCTCTTGCATCGCAGACCTGGTAGAGCACAACCAGAGCCATCATAGGTTCTGTCCGTACTGTGAGGTGAGACATCAACATCTAGGTCAGGGTTTAGAGAGTCACAGTGTATCTCTATATGCCACTTAAAGGGATATTCTGGCATAAAATTAATTTAGGGTCAAACACAACGTAACACGAGTTAGACACCCCCTCGAGAGATGAATTTTGCCGACTGCTTCCTTCTCTAGTTTTACCAACTTTAGTAACGACCGCACGATAGCAATACACAGCGGTCTGAGGAGCCATAAACAAACCTCAACCAAAACGCCACTCTCTAGCCACAAATAATACTCAGAACAGCACCTAACTTCATCAACAGTACATATAGGGTCACAGCCATAGTACTAGACACCAAACATCTTTTTAACTTTGACTAATTTCTTTAGCAAAGAGACTAAACACAACTCATTTACTTTCTTGTTTGTAGTGAGACCTCAGGTCAGTCCATTATGGACTACAGCAGGGTGACGCAGCTCAAGGAAGAACATTTAAGATCGTTCCTTCATGGGAATGCAATCAGACCGAGACGCTAGAGTGGCGTTTTGGTTGAGGTTTGTTTATGGCTCCACCGACCACTGTGTATTGCTATCGTGCAGTCATTACTTAAGTTGGTATAACTAGAGAAGCAAGCGGTCGGCAACATTCCGGCGTAAATTAATTTTACGCCGGAATGTCCCTTTAATCCATCTATCTAGGTCCTTGTGGTTTAAATGAATGACAGTGAATTCAGGGTGATATTCATAAAGATATGCAGATGATTCCTTCTCCATGCTAGAATTAAACTAACATAAAAGCAGTGATCTGTGAAACGCTTAAGTTCCCTTAAGCTCAGCATAAACAGAGATCTCACTTGTTTCCCACTGAGATATCCGAAACTCATTTCATTGTCAGCATGGTCAGCTTTCCTGCACATAACCAAAGTCAACGCTCGTTCACGATGAAGCTTCTCAGATTTCCTTTTTTACTCTTATGCAGCATCAAATCTTAAGCTCAAATGGGTTCTTAACTACATTTTCAAAGCTTTTTCCTGCAGTGTATTTGTAATGTATTGTGTGTTTTATCATACATAAGTTATTGATTAAGAATTTGGTAAAAGGCTGAGGAGGAGTATCCGCCTTTTTCTCCACCTTTAGTGCTTTTGTGTTTGCTTGATGTTGATTTATGTACAAAGACCTGCTTTGAAAAAGACTGAACCCAAAGCTTCTGAAGTATCATCCCTCATCAGTTTCTATCATCATCATAAAAAAGGTTGGCTTAGATCTCATACTTATGTTTGTTTTTCTTTTATAGCTGTTTCCGCCTGACTTTACCAAACACTGCAAACTCTGTGACATGTGCGTCAGAGACTACGACCACCACTGCCTTTTCCTCAACCGCTGCGTCGGACGGGGTAACCACCGTCTCTTCCTCCTCTTCATCCTCTCAATGGTGATCGCCCATTTGCTTTTTGTTGCCACGGCAACAAGTTACTTGCACGACAAGCTGCCTGCGGGCAGTCACAGCTTGTCCATGTGGCTCTCACTGCTCGGGGAGGAGTTCTGGGTTGTGGTCATGATGGTTATGAATTCGCTGACGCTCCTTTGGGAGGTGTGGCTCCTGACTGAGCAGTTTGATGCCGTCGCCACGGGGAAGACGACTTACTTCAGACAGTGTGAAAGCTCGGCGAGGCAGAGGTCACTGGCACAGCGTTGGGTCATAGTGCTGTCGTTTCTACTGGAGGGGCGAAGGCGAGTGGGCAGCGGGCACACAAGAGAGGATAAAACTGCCATAGACATCTGAAGTGTCGTTTAGTTTTGTGTGCTGAAAAACAGAAACTATTTTACCATTGACTACTAACTAATATATACTGTGCATTCTTAGTTTACAGAGTCTGTGGTGTGCTCTTATCTTTGAGAGAATGTCCTCTTTAGACCCAGTAACTTTCTAGCGCCATAAAAGCTGTGTTTCCACCACAGGAACTTACCTCAGGACCAGGAACAAAAGCACATTCTCAGTCCCTTTATATCACAGGGTCTAAATAAAGTCTGACATTGTTTAATTTACCTCCTAAAATGGTCTTGCTAGACAGGAGCATGTCCAGACTTTGTTGACTAGAGTGGCCTAACTCAATCACTGACTAACACCGAGGTGAAATGAAGTATGCCCCTCTATCTCGACTTATATCAAGGTCTCACATAGATGTTATAGTCTTGTAACTCTTGGAAAGTGAAAAAACAGTGGCAGCTTAGAAATTCTCGAAATGGAAATCCAAGAAGATTCACAAAAACGTCTATCAAAAGTCACAATGTAAAGAACCAACACAAAATTGAAGTCACGGAGATTGACTTGCACTAGCACCTTTGTTGGGGTGAATCACGTCACAAAGCTGGTTGTGCAGCAGCTGTTAGCAGGTGATCCTCTCGCCTTGAATCAAATGTAAAAGTAGATCTGTTTGGGCCAAGACTCTCAGCAAACATGTGATTTTAGTGAATGCTTTCATCCTGTCCTTGACAAATTTTAAGTTATTCTCTCTTTAAATTTTCATTTTCGCCACGCATCGATAAGACCATGAAATTGAGAGCATGTTAAAAACTGTATAAGGAAACTAACAACGCTTGTTTCTCAAAAGTAGTGCTTCAGCCACAGACAGCAAATAAGTAGAAAAGTTGAGGCTGGGATCATCATCAAACCTGCAAAACCTTCAACTGATCAAACATTGTCTGTAAATGTCAGTGCTGTGTGATTCCCCAAAGGGAGTGCTACGACTAAAGTAGAGAAATGAGTCAATAGATCTGTTTAGAGGAGGATCTTGATTCTGTTTATAAAAGTTGGGGCAGATCAAACTCAATATGAAGGAGTAACAGTAACTTCCTGTTTTATTGAAGTGTGACAAGTAATCATCAAAAAATGAGAGTCAAGTTAAAATCGGGGATTTCCTGACGGGTAAAAGTGTGAAGGAATTTTTGTCAGTCTTGGTCTGATATTCATGCATACTTGATTTCAGGTGAAAGTGACCTCCATAGGGATCCAATTCTAAAAAATTCTAGGTCGTACCATGAAGTCACTTCTGCAAAATCATGCACAGGACTCGTACAGTATCAAGTTTTCTTTAGACCTGATGCATGTGTGAATTTTGGTGAGATTTGGGGCATGTTGAAAACTTCAAATCTGTTTTATTACAGACATGAAAGAATGATAATAATCCAATGAGGCCTCGCCCGAATATAGAGATATGTTAAAAATGCAAAGCTACTTGCAGCCTGTTAAAATACAGGTTACAGTTAAAATAGTCCATGATTTAGGGGTGGACAATCAGACTAAAAGGAGGACCCCTCTTTTGCTATCCCCGAACCCCCCTCTAGACACGCCCCTGCTGTATGTCAGAGTATTAGTTACTGACATACAGAGACCTGAAAGTGGATATTTATATGTGGAATATATGAAAAATGGCAGAAGGAACCTTTAAATCACCGCAGACAGAAACTTGTGGTTAACCTTTGGTGGAAACGCAGCCTAACATGTTGTACTTGAACTTTAATGTGAATTTACCGTATCTAATTGTTCTATTTTAATAAGCAGTTGCTCAAAGAGTTGTTTATCGGCACAAGTGTGCGCAAAGTGGCTAGCAGGATATCTACCACTAAAAGTTTTGATGTTGACTTAGTTTTAAGAGACCTTACTGATAACAGTGTTACATCAAAAATGTCTGTGTGTTTACAGTGTTCTGTCTACATAACCAGATATTTACAAAACTGTGTTTTAGCAGGGAATGAATGAAAGCTCAGTTTCACTGCTGCTCCCGTCCTTTTTTTATCTTCATGTTTTCGATGAAAGTGTGTGTTTGTTTCCAGCGTAGATCAAAGTTGTGAAAATAAGTGTGTTTAAAACATTAGCTCGTCTTGTTCGGATCTAATAGTTCCTCTCTGGTGCACTGATAGTCTTTGTTCTTAATCTAAAGTCATTACCTCTCTGACCGGCTCGCAGCCTTTTCAGCCCTGACACTTCCTCCGCTCGCACTAATGAGACATGCTCTTTTCATGTCTTCAATTAAACACACTCATTTCCTTTGTGTCCCTCAGTACCATATTTCTAGATTAAAGATGACATTCCCCACACCCCTCAGAGGCTGGTGTGTCTGGACTATGTGAGTGTATAAGTCATGTAATATTATTTATTGTCTTTTAAGCATATGGAGTGTTTTTACTGTGTTTCTGTGTCCTGGATCAGTATTATTTCATATAATGGGCTGACTTCTTGGTTCATTTTACACTGCTCTAATGTTTTCTACCCATTTCGTTTTTGCTTTTTAAGATGTTACCTCATTTGTGCCATGATGCGTTTTATGCTCAAGGAGAAATGTGTTAAATAAAACACTGTGTAAGCTTCCATTTGTGGGAGGAGATCGTTCTTTTTCTTGTTTTACTGTGTCCCTCCCTCGTCTGAGTTTTACCCTATAATGTACAGTAAAAACCAACTGCAGGACAAACTAATAACATTAATAAACTTTTTTACAAGTCATCAGTTTTCACTTCTCCATCAGGACAGCTCACTTCCCCACTAACTGACAGACTCAGAATAAGAGGAGTCGTCAGGAAAGCGTCGCCCATATGTCTTTTATTTCTCTGTGAATCCAAATCCATCTCAGCAGCAGCTGTTTGGGACTCTGCGATGCTTTCACAAAGAGTCTGGCTTCAAACTGAGAGTCGTCTGGTCTGCCCCGTCCACCCTGACATGGCAAGTAATGCTCGCATGACTGTCTGTATTTCCTTCCTTCTATCGGCGTCTGTTCACATCAGCATTCTTCAAGCGTACGTCATTTTTGTGTTAATGACAGCAGCCAGAATAATCCCTTCTCTCCCGAGTATGTGGATTTGTTTTCTAAGTTATTATCAATTAAGGCGAGGGCTGACATTTCACTGTTGCCATTGTTTAGACCCAGTTTTGTGTGTGTGTTCCTGTGTGTGTTTCTGTGTGTGTAGAAATGGCCCCAGTGGAGAAGGACAGACTGTGTGCAGATGGGTACACAGCCATGAAACCATCCATGACTTCTCTGAGCGGTGACAAAACAAAGGAATTGGCAGGTAAAGCTCAGCTTTTGAGTTTGTTTGGCAGGAGAGATTCACAGTTTTCAGCTTGATCTCGTTTTATCATTTAACCGTCAGACTATCTTTGTCGTCATGGTTTCTAATTTAAGATCTCTGTGTTCTTGTCTTCAATCTGTGCTCTTCTACTTCCCTATTAATTCTCTGTTTGAGGTAATGTAAAGTGTCAAAGATTAATTGTGATATTTGAACCGTGTAGTTTTAATTTTACAGTTAGAGAGCTTTATAAGAACCCACAAAACTACATATAAACACAGACGGGTTCTGAGTGATTCTGTGCTGGTGCTTCAGCCACATCTGAATTTGGACAGTTATTTAACTCTGATCCTTTTTCTTCTTCTTTTTGAATTATTTTTGTGTATTAATTAAAAAAGTGATTATTAAGCACAAAAAGGAAAAGAGGAAATAATTCAGAGACATTTTTTGTTTGTGGTCAGAGAAAGGAAACAGATTTTGGTACAGAAAGTTTAACCCTTTCAGTTTAGTTCTTGTGAAAAGCTCAGGTTGAATTTTTCTGTTCAGGACATGATCAGGTCGCAGAAATATTTCAGAATATGAATATCAGTAAAATTGTCTTTTTTATTATTAGTAGTATTATTTGTAAAACAAACTTTAAGTACATTAGAAGTCTCTCATTTATGGGTTTTGATTTATGTTGACTGTCAGAGGAAGTTGTTTGGTGTTTTTTGAAGAAGTGATCAGGTCGAATGCTCCCACTTTGAAAGCTCTGCAAGGAGTTTTCATGTCGTGTTGGGTTTTGTGATCCTTTTGGACAAAATGTGTTGTGTTTCTCTGAGATTGATTAAATTTCCCACAGGCACCATCATCCACTGTTGTAAAGATATTTAACCGGTTTATTAGCCAACTCCTAGTTAGCTTTCAAAGGTGATGAACTAGTTTAACATCACCCGTCACAGCCCAAGTATCGTGATTTGTGCTTTAGTGTCTCAATAAATTGACTCTTTCGTTCTCATTAAGCAATGAAGCATTTACATCTTGTCAGAAACATTAAATCCCGTTCGTAGGCATTTTTTCCCAAAGCCCTGATTATCGAGTTTCTTCATCTAAAAGAATATTTCAGTGGAAAGGTTGTCTTTTTGCTTATCCTGCTTCAGATTCAGTTACAAGAAACATTAAAAGAAAACTATCTCCTGTTTCTAAACTTACTTCATACTTCCAAACTCCTGCAGCGTTATGAGCATAGACGCTTCCAGGTGAACGTTAAATCTTCACTCAGCTTTTATTTGAAAAATCTGACCGAACACAAACACTCAATATGAAAAAGACGCTATTTATCTCCTGATACCAATCTGACACCAAGTATTGATCTAAAATTGATTTTATTTATTTAATAAATGTTTTTATGTATTTGTTTTAACGAATAATAATAAAGCTCTCAGTCTCAACAGTTGATCGTGCGTCCATGGCGACGATATCCTCATCAGCCCTCTTATGGGTTGAACTAACATTAAACTTAACTAAACAATAAACTCTCCTTTGTTTCTGTTATAAATAACATTAAATCTACTTTTTGTTTTCTTTAATTTGATTGATGTCTCTCACACTTAGCTCCTTGTGTTTCATTCTTGACCAAAGAAAATAAGGGGCGGTCTACCTAACCCTAAAATGAGTCATTCTTGTTATATTTTGAAGCACATATAAAATTAAAATAGGACGTTACAACCACTGGCCTGAATACAGAGAAGGTAACTGGGGCACTGACAGACACATTAACAGCCCTGCATAGCTTCACATTCATAAACAAACACAGCTGACAGGTGCAGCAGCGTAAATATCAAGTGCATTTACCCGAGTCCTCTGATTGGTTGGTTGGGCATGAGACCCTCCCAGAGCCACACTGCCATGTCAGATTGTCAGATCAGGTTCTGAAGAGTTAACTTTATCTAATCTGAAGCAGTTATTCAGATTAGATAAATCTTTCTTTCTTTCTTTCTTTCTTCTTTTTTTATCTCAAACTTTAAGAACAACGACAACAACAACAACAAAACATCTAACAAAATAATACATATGTACACCAAACAACTGAACATGTCAAAGATGAATTTACACAACATATGTATGTCCAAATAAACAGTTTAAAAAGGAACAGAATGAAGCAAAAAGCTCATCTAGTCCCGCCCCTTCCTTGCAAATTAGAGACATCTAAACTGAAATCTGATAATCGAATTTCTCTTCATGGTCTATTTATGTGAAGTTTGTGAAGAGACGTCAGTGAGGCTCTGTCAAAATCTGATGTAAACTTTAACTTGAACTCCAGTTTCACTACCCTACACAAAAATCTGAGTGGTTAACTTTGTGGGATTGTCTCTTTTGGGTCAAATGGGAACTTTTAATACAATCAATTGATCAGCCGTTTTGTTGGCATTACCTTTTTTGGTTCTGGATATCTTGTCTAGATGTGATAGAGGATTTATATGGTCAGTTTGGACCCCACTGAGCAGCAGCTTTAGTCAATCAAACTAGTTTTCTCCCAGTTCAGCTTCGTCAGCTTCTTTTATGATGAAACTTGCTGAGTAATCCTGTCAAAGTCGCCGCTCTCCTGTTTTGCATTTCAGTCTCATCCCGTCCTCTTGAACTGCTGCATTTATCTGCTTTATCACATCCACTACAAAACCGTCAGGCAGAGCAGGAACAAGAACATCGCACCCTTGAGTGCTGTGGCTTTCTCCTCACAGACTGCTGAGTGACTGAGTGGTGTGGCATTTCCCCTCAGACCATAAATCTTGGCTTGAATTTGGAGTTTTGTTACTTTAAAACACATGTCCAGTGAGAATTTTCCCACAGCTTCAACATTTTTTTTTTGCAGCTACGGACATTACAATGTTTGCACCACTCTCCGTCAGACATGAAATTGAGAGAGTTGTGTCTGTAAAGTCTGCTGTATCGATTTGAGGTTGTACTTCAGGTACAAACAAGACCGTAATCAAATCTCCCCGAGCAAACAGCTGGATGGATTGTAAAGACTTAGCAGAGAGAGAGAGAGGGGGGAGCCGGTGTGAAGAAATGGGTGACAAGACAGAGGACACACAGCCAGACATATTTATAGACAGTGAGAAATTGATACTGAGAGTGTGCAGCAGCAGCAGCAGCAGGCAGAGAGACAGAGAGCAGAGGGGAGAGAGAGAGAGGGGGAGAGAGAGAGAGTGGGAGTGGGCAGGGCTCGAGGTATGTGAGAACAACAGCACGCCGGGCCAGTGGGACAGAGCGGGGGGAGTGAAACGAGAGGAAGGAGGGGAGGAAGAAGAGGAGCGTGTGTGGTTAAGTGCCTGCAAGTGTGCGTGTGAGTGTGTGTGAGTGAAATCAGACGGAGACAGTGTCCAAGAGGAAGACGGCCAGCCGGGGGAGGGAGAGAGATGCTGGTAGGAGAGGATGAGGAGTAGCAGGGCGAGGCAGCAGCAGCAGCAGCAGCGATAGAAAGAGAGACAGAGAGAGAGAGAGGGAGTGTGTGTGAGTGTGTGTGTGTGAGTGTGTGTAAGGAACAGTGTGTGAACAGAGGGATGCAGTCATGTCTCTGTGAGAGGGAGCAGCACAGCAACCGTAACCATGCTCAGCCCCAAGATAAAACAGGCACGCCGGGGTAAGAACAGTCCCTCCTCCTTTTTTTTCCTCCATCCCTCCTCTTTCCTCCATCTCTCTCTGTCCTCTCTGTGGTCCACCTTTTTTTCCTTTCCCCCCTTTTTTTTCCTCCTTTCTCTGCAGAGCTCCATCTGCCCTGCTGTCTTTGTGATAATGTTTCATTAATATTGCTGTCATTGCTTTCACTGATAATGACATCCTAAAGGTGTGACCGCCATGTTAGCCCTGAATCTGAGTGACCACTAGGACTGGAAATGACCTGAGGTTTTCTTTTTTTTTTGCATGATCTGAAGAGTTGCAGGTGGAGAGTGTGTGGTCTGGGTGATGTCATCCTCCCCTCTCTCTTGGTTTCGCCCTCTTTATTCATGTGTAGATTTGATCCTGATGGAGATACTAGAGCCTGTAGTAAATATGGCTGCTGGTGGGATAACCCTCCCTCGAATAGCCCGGCACGTTCACACCTGAACACATGACTTCATCTTTTATTTATCCAGGCGTTATTGGGTTAATTTTCAGCTGAGCAGGTGACATACAGACAGGAATGCAGGGCTCTCTCCTGCTCCTGTAAATCGCGACAGCTGACTGTCAAACATAGTTCCTCTAACGCGGGGTAAAATCCACTCGAAAGTCGGGACACCACACATGCATGCCTCTCACATGACTGAGTGAAGATGGATAAGGAAGCTGTAAATCACAAGAACAGCTCCTGGCGCTGAGATTAACATGACGGGGGGTAAAAATACTTGCAGGGCTCGTTGCAGCAGGTGTTTCAGGTAGCTTTGGGAGTTCTGACAGTTGCCAGCTTTTCTCAAGGAGGAATATAAGTATTGGTTTTTCGGAGAGGAGCAGGCGCGGAGGCAATTCCACCCTGATAGAGACGAGAGAGGGAAAACTGATTAATTCAGAGAATTTGAATTAACTTCACGTTTTAATTATTAAAGCTCCTGTGAGGAGTTTTTAGCTGGTAATGAAATGGACTGAAATGACTACTCATGTATTTATATGATCTACTACATCAAACCGGACGAAATACAAGATTCATGAGTTTTATTTAGTTGATCTCTAAATTAGAAACCACTACCTCTCAATACAATTCCACAAACACAAACACTGTTCCACCTTTGCAGCATGAGTGCTTCATGGTGTCTGGTTCTGCTCAGGATTTCCACCTGTTACTGTAAAGGGAAGTTTTCTCTTGTTGCTGTAACCTGCCAAATGCTGCACTCATGATGGGTCAAGATAGGATATGATTGAATCTTGTTTTAATGTTGTTTTTTTAGTAAATAGACGCCATCTTCCTCAGTAACGCCCCTTTTACCACCTCATGTGTTAAATTACAGGCTGAATGATTTCACGCCAAATTTCTGCGTATCTGCTTTTACAAATTGCGATCGAGGCGTAAATATTCCACCTTGAAATGCTGATGTGTAACAGCAAAAATACCAGATAACACAATGAATTGGCCATGGTCATATAGTCAGGCTAAGACGTGCACACTAACAGCACGGTTGCACACTGCCACATCCCCCACACCACTCCTACCACCATCCCATTATGCTCCTGTTACCACCTCTAATGGCGGTCCAGGGGTGGAGCAGCCTCACCCCACTATTCTGCCACAATGTGTTACACATTACAGATGAAGCACAGCAGGAAGTAAAGGCTGCAGATGCATTATCATTTTTGATTGACGTGTGTTTTAAACTTGCAGAAATTGAAATATTTAACATAGCAGCTCGTTCTGGTGAAGTCCTGTTGTCTTATTGTCAAATCTCCTGCTTTAAACTGGCAATGTGTAAAAGCATGAAGTGAGCTACATCACTGCAGAGATCCTCTTTGTTTCTGTTTTCACTGCAGTTATTCTTGATAAATGATCAAATTGAAGTTAAAAGATAACAGGATGAGATATTACATCAGGAAACAAAGAGACCAGAGGCTCCATGTAATCAAAGGGGGAACTAAAATCAACCCATGTCAGGTTAAAAGTTACTCATAGAGGCTTTAAAATGAGATAACATAAGATGAACCTTGTTGACCTTCCTCCAGGAAGATTCACCCGATAGAGATGTTAAAAAAAGCAGAAGAGACAAAGTCAAACCGCGCTGAAATGGTTCTTGAAAAACAAAACCTACTATGTTCACATTTTTCTATACACATAGGAATATTACCTCTAATGACGTATTATCAATATCATAAAAAAACTAATCTATACTCAATATACAAGCAACAATTAGACAAGAAACATCAGAGTCTCAAACAAGCTCGCACTTTGAAAGGAGTCTGATGACACTAACTGAGTTAATATCCGTAATATGTAAAGGACATCCGTGTACATAAGCTGCTGTGATATATCTATTTAATTGTTTGCTATAGTCTCACAAATATATAACAAAGACAAAAAATACAGTCATATACAGAATGTGCAGTCTTGAAATTTAACCCCAGTTTTCATTTTTATTTAAATAACTTTATTCACACCTTCAGGAGTGGGTGTTTCGGAGCAGCCTGCAAAAGATATAAATAAACACAACACAGAGATAAGAAATAAAGTACATATGAGCTAAACCATGAAATAAATCAATGAAACAGACCGCAAACACACACAGGGATCAGTCCTGTAATAAAACAATAAAAGGTTCAGGCTGTGAAAAGATAGAAAGTAATCTCAGATTTTTAGAAAACTGTTTTTTTAATAATAAATTTTATTTATAACGCGCTTTTACAGGAGCTCAAAGATGCCTTACAAAGAATAAGAAGAAAATAAAATGAAGAAACACAATTTAAAATACAGAAAATTTTGAGAAATAAAACAGATGATGTAAAAGGTTTAAAAAGTCACAATGAGAGAAAACAATAAAAGAACAGTTCACAGGTTAAAAGCCTATTTAAAAAGGTGTGTTTTTAAGAGTGATTTAGAAGTGTGGGGGTCAGTTCACATGAATATCCCAAAAAAGTTCATGCACCTGCTTCTAAAGAGAAAGCGTTTTGTTTTGTCTTTCAAATTCAGCACAAATAAATACTCAAAAGTCCATCAGTGAAGCAGATTGAAGATGTAAAGTAAAGAGTCCTTTCTAAATTTTAAAAAGAGCAAAGAAACCTGTAATAAACCTTTAAAAAGGGAATGAAATGATGATGATTTGGTCAGTTTTGCATGTCTGAGAGTAAATGAACATCACAGGTTAATTTTCTGGCTCACAGCAGCTTTGAGGACTTCACTTTTAGTGTTTGTCCTTCGTCCCCCCCTGACCGTTTTTGTCTGATTCCACTCCAGTTGTCAGAGGAAGTCCATTAAAGATGATGTGAAGGGGAAAAACCTCGACTTTCTCCTTCACGTAGACGCAGTCAGGGAGTGCAGCAGCCACTTCAGTTTGCTCGCCACGTTTCATGCTCTTGCCATCTCTCATTCGCTGTAATGGTATTCTCCTTTGATTAGATTCCCAGCCCTGCTTTCCTCTGACCCTTTTATGCAGCATCATTTAGACCGGATTCATATGGCAGCGCAGAGCTGGAGCAGGAGCCCTGAGATGTAGGATCAGGATCGCAGAGAACTTTAAAGGGAGAAGTCTGACAGGGAGAATTTCTGATGTTTGAGGCTTTGTGGACAAATATCTATCGATATAAAAACATTTGAATGAATAATGAAAAGTCATCGTTAAAGAAACTGTGAATGCCAATTAGAGATGGAAGAATATGTGTTTTTAAAGGGCTGGTGTGTAGAGAGCAGGTTGCTTCTAAGTTGTTCATATAATATAATATTTTAGTAATCTTTAAAATAGAAAAAATGCAACATAAATGTTTGAGTACACAGAAAAAAAAAGTTATTTTTATGTATTTATTTGATATGGACTCACAGTTTCAAAGACAAGGCTGATATTAGCACAAAAATAACAGGCTATATACAGTAAATAATCTAATAATCTGAGTGTGTTCCAGGTGTGAGAAAAGTGTTTCTCTTTAGCTTCACATTTATACTTTGGTTAAAAAGTTCTGTTGTCGTTTCAGTGTTGTAGTGTCTGTCCAAATGATGTTTCGTGTCTCATAATGGGACAGTCACTGTTTACTAAGGCCAGTGTGTTGACTCTGCTGCCTGTGAGCAGTAATCTATAATCCTATTATTTCGTGCTCATCACAATCTAATATAGCAGCATGATTATCTCTGCCAGTCACATGTTGTAGATGGATTTTAAATATTCACGATATAAAAAATTCACTTGGTTATGCTTTAGATTCTATGAAACGGCTGATATCACAATATTAAACTGAAACAAACGAAGAGAGGACCCAAAATGCAGATCAAAAAAGGATTTATTTAAAAGGAACTAAAAGAACAAAAACTTACTTACTAAATTGTCCAAATTAAAAAATCCCAAGAAACACAAATGGCAAAAACCAAAGAAACAAAATATTAGAAATCCAACAAAGGCACAAGGGGACAAAAACACATGGAGACACTGAAGACACTCATAAATACACACACAGTGAACCAACAAGGACACAGGGAAAGACAGGGACTATATACTGTATATATACACTCAGGGAAACGAGCCACGAGAGGCAGGTGAGACACTGAAACACAGGTGAGGACAATTACTAAAGAGGGAAAACTAAAACACTGAGAACATGAGGGAACCACCTGAAAACTCACAAGACAAGACTACGGGGGAACAGGAACACGAGGGAAAATCACAAAGAAAATACAGCCCTGGGAAACACAGAACCAGGGAAAAACTAACTCAGACAGAACATATCATGACATTAAACTGCATTATTCTTAACTCCAGTGATAATAATTTAACTTTCTGTCCATCATAATGGAATTTTTTGGTAAAACTTGCTAGTAATTGTTTTAGATCAGATATGCTGCCGCCTGGAGTGAGAAAAATTAGATATCATTATAGCAGGATTCACCAGAGACATAATTAAGGCTCAGCGCTCAAAACGAATCTTTTCACCACCTTCCAAAAACTGTCCTGAAGCAGATTTAAGTTTCAGTTTATTCCAGGGATGCACAATATTCTCAGCACAGTGTCTGAGAATAATAACCTAAATAATACTAATAAATATATGAAGTTCCAGTCATAATTATTGGCAGGGAAAAATTCTAATTCATGCTGTGACAGACTTTGTGTGCCAAAGTGCATGACTGGAACAGACACAGAGGAATCAAATATCTTTGTCTAATGTTTAATGTTTGTTTCTTCAACATATCGCATATAATGACAAGAGCTACAGGTAATTAAATTCTGCTACAGGAGAGATTTGATATTCTTTACAATGAGAAAATAGTGTGTATATACCAGTATCAATATCAGTATCAGCCATGGTGAGTTTAAATATCTGTATCCGATATCAGCACAAATCCAAAATCATGCATTCTCAGTATGTTTATGTTTGACATGATCATCTTTATAATACATGATGTAAACTATTAAGACCAGAAAGTGTGAATTCAGGTTAAAAGGTTCCCTGAATGAACTGCAGCTTACACAGACATGAATCTGTTTTAATAAAAATATGCTCTCAGGAGTGATATGTTAAATTATCATTACCAATTATGAGATAGAAATGTAATTTTCTGGACATGAGGCCATAACCCTTAGGTGACATAATAGTCCCTGACACAAATTTTAATTTGATTTTTATTCACAGATAGTTCTGCACTGACGTTCAATAAAAAAAGGAGCAGTTCCTCTCTGGGATTTCCTGCCCTTTTTTAGAATATATTTATAAATGTACAGGAAGTGAACATGTCTGCTGTATTTATAGATCCCGCCCCTGCTGTCAGCTCACTGCTTAGTTAATACTGTCTTCAGGTGGTTAAACCGGATAGTTCCCAGCAATCGTGACTCTGCAAATGAAGGACACACGGGAAAAAAAGAGCAATAAAATGTGTAGTCCTGGAAAGCTGATAAACAAAAGAGAGAGAGAGAGGAAAGAGAGGAGAGAGATTTCAGTCCAAGCCCTTGCAGATACCCTCCCTGCTGTCCTCAGCAGAAAGCAAGATGCAATTAACAGGAGAAAAAGACGCCATTGATTTCTCTCTCCCTCTGCTCTCTGTTTATCTCTCCCCCTCTTTCTCTCGCTCTATGACTCCCCGGGGAGCGCTCCACTGTCACTGGTTTTCCTCTATACCTTTGGCATACCTATGCTAATATATAATCCATGTTAGGAATCGGTCTGTAGTAGATAAAGAACAACCTGATCCAAAACAGAAGCTCCTCTCTGTCCAGAGATGAAGACAGAAAAGTAACTGTGGTTTTTAATATCTGAAAGAGATGATCAAACCAAATGAAAAGGATATTTTGGAGTCATATTAAAGTAAGATGTATTTGCTGCAAAATGGAGGCCATGTCTCGGCAGATTTACTTAAGAGGGAATCTGGATGCACAGTCAAGCTTGTGAGCTTATCTGCACCTGAGGGAGACGTCTGTGAATAATGATTCAGGATTTCACTCTTGGTTCATTTTTGACGCTCAACAAAGACAACATGCATCCTCTGCTGTCACTTTTTAATCTCTCTGTCTGGTAGTCTTACTCCTGCAAACTCACCTTGTTTCTCTGTGTGCGTCTCCCTGCAGCACGGTCCAAGAGCATGGTTCTTGGGGAGTTGTCCCGGGTGTCCCGGCCCTGCTCTCCTCTGGATCAGGAGAAAGCCCTGAAGGCCGGCTGGCTCAAGAGACAGCGGAGCATCATGAAGAACTGGCAGCTGCGTTGGTTTGTCCTTCGGACTGAAGCGCTGTATTTCTATAAGGACCAGGATGAAACAAAGGCACAGGTGAAGCCCACAAAATGATCACACATGTACAAGTCTTTCAGATGGCATCAAGGGTATCTTCTTTATATTTAAATTATCCCAGATAATTCTTAATAATAAGAATATAATTCAGTCCCCCCCTCATGTACATACAGAAAACAGTTTCCTGATGTCTCCTATCTACCTGAGAAAGGTGCTTTGCTGTGTGTCTGGATTTATTCTGAATGAAACCAGATCTTTATTTCCCCCTGAAGGTCTATAGATCTACGTTCCCTATGGTACTATAACACTGCATTTTTTATTAGCCATGAAAGAGTGACTCTTCACCGGCTGCAAAAAGGATCAGATTGTATGAAACCAGAAGGGAAAAGTCCTCACTTCTCTGTTTAGTTATTACCTCAGTACACTTCCTCCTCATTAGTGTATGCTCTCCATCACAACTTCCTTTTTAAGGTTATTTTTGGGGCGTTTACGTTTTATTTATAGGACAGCTGTAGAGACGAAAGTGAGAGAGGGCATATGGCAGAAGGTCACAACCAGGAGTCAAAACAGAGACGATGAGCACAACAGCCTCAGTACACAAGGTGTGTGCTGAGACTACTGGGCCAAACTGGGGCCCCCTCAGTCAGATGATCTTTCTGTAAATTATTGCCTAAAAGTTGTAGGAGTAATAATATGTTTGGAAATACAAATTTCAAATACATTAAAGCATAATGTTTTACATGCCTTCATAATACATCGCTATAAGATGAATGCTTATAATCACGAATGAAGGACTGTGATAAAGCCTTTAAATGCATTAATGATGCATTACAGGTGGTAGGCCTATATAATGTGTTAACAGTCAGAACAGCCTACCTCAGCTATAATAACAGATATTTAAACAACGCATTTATGCAACCTTCAGGAACTTGTGGGTTTGGAGACGAATCACATTTTGCCTATTACTAAAAAAGTCTGCAGTGTCATGGCAGAAATGGCTCGTCTTTCCTTGGTGCTGTTTGGCAACAAAATATTACCACATCATTTTTGCAGTATCACAACGTATTGTTATTTCCCCATTATGAACCCTTTTTACCAAATATGGTATTTTCTGGTTCCAAATAAAGTAGCAGTAGAACTACTTGTGACATGTCATATTTGGCTTCGACTGTGACTAAACATTTGCTCTCACTTTGCCAAAACAATATCAGGATATATATCCTATGATATTCAGCCTTAATAGATCGGGATGACTTTTGGTCCATATCGCCCAGCCCTATCCTTTGGTCGTTCAGGCGTTAAGCTACAGCTAAATAAATACCCATCAACACAAAAATCCTCTTTCTAAGACACCCTGACACACCCACCTTCAAAAGCAAAGTGTCCTGTTATTGCCATGTCTTACTCTTTGATAATGTGGTAACATGCTGCCCTGTGGTTCAGCTGTATGCATTTAACAGGCGACCTTTGACCCGCTCTATGTTGGGAGATCAAAAATGCAAGTACATCAGGATGCGCTGTGGGGATAAAAAGATGAAGCGATGTTCCCCTGAGTCATCCCTCCCTTCATCATCACAGCCTCCCTCTGCTGGACCGCTGCCCAGAGCCCGCTGTTCTCTGAGCGCCATAATGTTCGACATACACTCCGCGTCCAAGTCCAGAACCACTAATTGATTTCTTGTTTGGCTCTTGAAGACAGTTGATGGGGGTGTTTTCCTCATGCCTGTCTGCCTGTCTTACAGTCCGTCCATCAGCCAATCACATGCCTCTCTTTCCTCCCCCCCCTGCAGGGTTGTATTCCTCTTCAGGGCAGTCAGGTCAATGAGCTGCCTGCCAATCAGGACGAGCCTGGTCGACACCCGTTTGAGATCGTTCCAGGTGAGTTGGCATGGCGACTACTCTGTAATGTGAGGAAGTGAGTGAGCGAGTGAGTGAAGCTTGTTCAAGAGAAGATACTGGGAGCCAAACAGAAAAATACACACATGGTGTTTATATATGTTTTAAAATATTTTGTCCCATGACCACATAGAATGAAGCACAATCACAACTAATATTAAAACATAATGAACATAATGATAATGTACATTGTCGTGACATTTGTTGTACAATTTAGTAGTTTCTATATTCTCTATAACTTAAACAAAGAAGGATAATATTGTAGCCAATGCATCTCTCTCTTGCAGACGGTGCTGGAGTCAAATTAAAAATTATAAACTGAAATCATCCTTCAAAACAGATCCTAAAAAAAGATGCAGATTTTGATTCAACTGGCCCTTTATTTTTCTCTTAAACCTGATATCTCTTTTGTGTAATTCACTCTTACGTCACAAAAAAATCCCATTATGTTTGTTTTTGTTGCTGATTGATCCGGTTTAAAACTTATCTCATATATTCTATGATATCAGACTTCTGAGCCAAGAGGTAAGACAAACTACAACAAGGTTAAAAGGTTACAAAGTTTCTGTTCAATCTGCAGATGCATGTAAATCAAAATCTGAATCTGGTTAATTATCCTTTTTTATGGCCTAGTTCTGCACAAACAAGGACTTTGACCTGGTGTTGTGGTGCAAAAACAATGAAGTTCAAATGATAGAATATTATCACAAAATTAACACGAAACTAGCTGTCTGCATAATTAACAACAACACAAACAAAACACTGAATTTGGGACATTAAATGGATAACTTTGAAGGAGTATGCAAAGACATAAGACTTAGATTCCAAGTTAGTAACTGCGATACTATTTTATCTGCACACAAACTGCACATCTGTAGGAAAAAAAGTGTTGCTCTAAAGAATTTGGAACAAGATTTTTCTCCAGTAAAGCAAAGCTTCATAAGAAACATCAGGAACAAGAGTCCCACGACATCAACATGATCCATTGAGGTGTCCTTTCTGATTTGTTTTTGATCATCCATCAAAGCTGGTTATTTCCTCTGTACAACTGAGTCAAAGTGAAACCAGAATCAACAGAAATGAATCAATACATCTCCTTATGAGTCACAGGCTGCAGCACATGCATGAAATATGCAGAAAAACAGAAAGAGGTGTGTCACAGCCGAGACACTGAGGGTTAAACAAGGACTTCTTTCATTCTGCTGTGACAGCCTGCTGACAGCATGATTACTATCAGAGGAGAGGACAGCATGTGCAATACGTAAGAAAGAAAGAAAGAAAGAAAGAAAGAAAGAAAGAACTTCTTGTATTTGTATTGTATGGAAGCCCAAAGCAGACATGAATCTTTACTTTTTATAAACTTTGTTTGAACTCAAGTTAATAAAATTTGATTTCTTAAGCTCTCCACATGACGTCAGAGCTCATTTTCTCAGATCATTGTGTTTGCTGGTAGTCTGTTGGCATCTACAGTAGCACCAATGCTTTTTACTTTCACCTTGACTGGGCCCCATTTGTAATTATCTGAAGTATTTATCTGCATTATATCTGAATTTAATTGAAACAATACAAGCGAGCAGGAGCATCTGTTTGTGGGCGGGGCTTGTTGGAGAAGAGAGGGAGGGGAGAGGAGGAGCTGAGGGTTAGAGTTTACATTCTCCCAAAAACTGGAACTTCCTCAGATCCTGACTACCCCACCTTTAACAAGATCTAGGTGTAAAATATCACTTTTACAGGAACAGGTAGTTTGTACCTCCAGCAAGGCGCCCCCTGTGGACAAGGTGGTAACCACGTCATTGCTGCTTATTTTCTCGTCCTTCAGAAGGTGTTGGTAATTGACAAAAAATGACCCTTCACTTCCCTTTGAGAGATGCATCACTGCTCATTTCAGCCTGTTTCATAACCAATTAAAAACTCCTCACAGGAGCTTTAACAGTCTCATCACAAATCCTGCAGACTTTCATACAGAGACTTTGCACACGAATAACTCTCATTCACTTTTGTGTGTTTTGCTGCATTGTGCATTGTCTGTGCTTTTGTTGCATACACATACTTACAGCACACACACACACACACACACACACACACACACACACACACACACACACACATATATATATATATATATATATATATACACTGTACAGTCATGCCTGCCTTACCTGTGTGCAGAACTGCATGAATGTCAGCAGTTTTAATGCTGCTGCAGAGGACCACAGTTGTGAAAGGAACACACTGCATCATTAGCACATGTGCGGTCATATTCACTGTATAGTGTTTCTGGCTGTTGCAGATAACGTTTTTAAATATTTATGTGCATGGCCGTTCTGTGATTTAAGCACTTCACTTAAAGGGCCATTGCAGCATAAACTTCTGTATTCACTTCTTTACCATTAATACAGCGTTGATCCTTAAGTATTAAGTGCATTTCTAAAAACTTGATCTATCTTGATCTGTCTTGAGTGTTTTATCAGATCAACCTTGTAGTCCATATTTCAAGTCACATGCATCCACTTAAGTTGTTTTATCACTGTGTTACATGAAAATCAGCTTTTAGGGTCGTGAAAAAACTCATAAAATCCCTTGAGGTTGTACTTTCCTGAAAGCCACAAGAGCAATGGTTGCATCTGAGTCCAAACCAAGCTGATAGAAAACACAGTGATCTGCTTGGAATATGCATGAAAGTCATACAAACTGTATGTGCAAATAGACCTGCATGGTATTCTAACAGAGAAGATGATGTCCACTGTCACGATACTGAGAGATTTAGTCGCTAAAAAGACACAGAGGAAGAGAAACTGAAGAGAGAAGAGACTGAATGAGAAGCATGGTGCAGTTACTGGTGTCCACAGGGAACACTACTCTTTCTGGGTCAGTTCTTTTACACACAACACACCTTGCACCACTCTGCAGGACTCTGAAAATGCAGGGAAGTAATACACTGTATGGCCAACACTGAAAAATCCATTGGCAAATATCTCGTCTAGTCTAACACACAAGTTTAATTAGATGGGTTTTTTTAAGTTTCAAATAAAACACCCCCAAATGAGCAGCAGCGTTGGTGCTTTTATCTCTGTGACAGAGCCGCGCCTCACATAAATGGAAATATTTCAGATGGTGCGATCAAAGAAAAACTGAAATGTCAATCTAAAATGTCAGACCCGTTAGTATCAAGCTGCGTGCCGCCAGAGGAAGAGGAGGCAGAGCTGCCAGGCTGTGTCTTTATACTTTACAGGGGTGCCGGACATGATAAGGTTATTGGTAGATGATGTTTTTTTAAAGTCAGTCACACCTGTTTTTGGAGTAGTTACATTTAAAGTGCAGTGATTTGAGCTCATGTAAGTCTTTGTTGTGTTTTCAGGTCCGTCAGGAGAAAAGGATCGGACAGGTATCAGCCATGAATCTTACCTCCTGATGGCCAACTCTCAGAGCGACATGGAGGAATGGGTCAGAGCGATACGCAGGGTCATATGGGCTCCTCTCGGAGGAGGTGCGAGTCCTTTTCACACACAGATGTCTACACATGGCAGTTTCAAATGTTATTTAGCGAATAATGAAGCAATATCCCAGTAAATTGTCTTACCTTGTGCAGATTTTGATACATAAACGTGGGATATTAGTAGATAGCACCCCTGAATCACTTTTGTTGCATTTCGAGCCTTTTAACTACATGTAAAAGTCTTCTACTCCTGCTCTGTTGTTGGTTATTATCACCAGAAATTTGATCTAAAATTAGTTCTCGTTTGCTCTAAAACAATAGGAGCTACTTGAAGCCATTTATTATTGTGTGTAGGCGACTATCTTGGACAAAAGCAAGAGGCTGATCATTTATAGGTGGCTTATTTATCATGGTATCAGGTTACTGATTGTAGATGGTATAATAACCATTTTTGATACTTACTCTGGAACAATGAATACTTCTTTAATCAGGGAAAATGTATAATGTCATGTAATTATAATGTCATTTTTCTGTGTTGGGTATCTGCAGGGGTCTTTGGGCAGCACCTTGAGGAGACGATGTCGTACGAGGCCCAGTGTGGCACTCAGCGACAGGTCCCACTGCTGGTCGAACAGTGTGTCTGCTTCATTCGGGACCACGGACTCGAGGAGGAGGGACTCTTCAGAGCCCCTGGACAGACCAATCACGTCCGAGAGCTGCAGGATGCGTTTGACCGAGGCGAGAAGCCAGTATTTGACAGGTGACACACTGACACGAGCATTAATCGATAACTGTACTAAGCTGTATTTGTATACTAGCGAGTACTCTAGAGGATTCTTCATGTCCACCTTGTGTCTCTTACAGTACCACCGATGTCCACACAGTGGCGTCACTGTTAAAGCTGTATATTCGGGAGCTACCGGAGCCCATAATCCCATTCTCCAAATACACACAGTTTCTCTCCTGTGCTCAGCTTCTCACCAAGGATAAAGCTATGGTAATAAGATGTTAACCTGACAGACACTTTCCTGTTTTTATCTCCAAACTTTTGAGTCAAGATAAAATGTCTTCTTGTTTTGTTTTTAGGGTATCTCAGAGCTTTGCAAACAGGTGAAATCCCTTCCTCAGGTCAACTATAACCTCCTGAAATACATCTGCAGGTGAGTAAACTCTGTCTTCTTGTCAGCTGACTGTATCTGAAAATGTTTAGCTCACTCGTCTGGTTCGTTGTGTCCATTTCCTGCTGCTACTTTCCTGTCACCGTTTGATGACTGAGGACTTGACACCCTGTCATACGAGGCAAATGACATTCATTTCTCCCACACCCTCACCATCAGGGGAAGTGACATCACATTGACTGGCTGAGTGTGAATAACTGGAGGTTGTCTCTCACTGAAGTCTGCATTTATATAAATATCATCAGCTGAGCCCACACACCAGCCAGAGCCATGACTCACTCCTCCGATTCATTTGATTTTTTTTCTGAATCAAAGGAACGAGAGACTTCCTCCAATTTTTCAGCAGCCAGCTCTCATGAATGTGTTGGATCTGTCTGTTCAGGTTTCTCGATGAGGTTCAGTCACACTCCAATGAGAACAAGATGAGCGTCCAAAATCTGGCTACTGTGTTTGGACCGAATATCCTTCGCCCGAGAGTGGAGGATCCGGTTACCATGATGGAGGGTGGGTGATGATGTCAGTGTTTGTGTATCTGCTGATAAATTTGAGACAAAAAGCTGCATTTCCACTGCAATAACTCTCCCCATGGACCAGGAACTGTTGGAAGTTCTCTGTACATTTCCACTCCAGGGAACAGGGTCTACATCCAGTTTTATGCAGTTTGGAATCACCCCCAAAAGGTCCCTGCTCCTTGATAAGCATTTTCTTAAAGTACAGGGACTTACAGGACTGGATGCTTTTGGTTTGTCGAGTACCCCCAGCTTTAAGAACACTTACTACTTGCTGTACAAAGATAGAAACCAGAAAACAAGGGCTAGAAGAACCTTTTCATCCCTTAAAAAGAAACTCCTTAGAGTGAAGGTTCTTGGTACTTATAGTAGGAAGATAGAGTTTAAACTTGGTTTCCATAGAATCTAGAGACCAGGATCAGAACTAAACCCGTTATTTACCTCCCCAGAAGGTTCCCCCAGCTTTAAGAACACTTACTATGCAACAAAGAGTTTGAGCATCTAGATGCTTTACTAACAAGGGCTAGAAGAACCTTTTCACCCCTTGAAAAGAAACCCTTTAGATTAAAAGTTCTTGGTACTTATTGCAGGAACATAGAGTTTAAACTTGGTTTCCATAGAATCTAGAGACCAGGATCAGAACTAAACCCTTTGTTTACCTCCCCAGAAGGTTCCTGCAACGGGGTAATACTTTTTGGTACTTTAGAGGGAAAATTTAATCCTTAAATTATCATTAAATCTGGAGACAATGGTCCGAATCAAGTCAATTTATTTAAGTCCCCAAAGGTTCATGCTCAGGGTAGTAGTACTTTATGAAGAAGAGGAACTTTGTGGTGCATAAACTCTTTGATTGGTCAAGTACTCACAGGAGCAAAATATTCTCTCATTAGCTGCCAACTAATCCTTAGACCTTGGTAGAAAGATAGACAACATTTGGTAAACCTTGTGGTCTCTTGAAAATTTTCCTCTGGAACTAAAAGCCCCGGGTGTTTTTGGTGGAAACTCAGCTTTAGTCATTGATCACGGCCCCCAGATTTCACTGCAAGTGTTGTTACTTAACAATGAATCAAGTCAGTTTACGATAACATGTTTATGACTTTACACAGGAAGTTCACAAGTTCAGCATCTGATGACTGTGCTGATCAGTGAACACGCCGAACTGTACCAACAAGAGGAGGCTGAAACGGAGAAAAAGGTTCCCCAACAGCAGCTCAGTAAACTCCAACGGGGCAAAGTGGAATGGGTCTCACAAGAACACGACATTGACACCCCACCCTCCTCAGGCACAGCCTCCAGTGCTTCCCAAGAGAAACCCCAAACCTCCACCCCTCCTACAGACACTAAACCAACTGAACCAACTGCACCAAGTCCTGTTACAACATCTGAGAACATCGAGGATGAAGAGATTGAAGAGAAGAGCAAAAGTAAGACGGAGGAGAAAGTGGATGGGAAAGAAGACGGCAAAAGTGAAGAGAAAGGTGGAGGTGATCTTGCTGTAAGCCCCAGTAAGCAGTCTAAAGCCCTGCCCTCCTGGAGGACCTCTTTCAAGGGTGGTGCAGCATCTACAGGGCCAAGGGGGAAGATTGGGGGGTCGGCGGGGGATGTGTCAGCAGCCGGCGGGAGCAACTGGCTAATGAATGGCCTGTCATCTCTGCGGGCTCACAGGCGCACCACCTCATCAGGTGAAAGACTAAAAGACTCCACTCTGTCTCTGAAGGACTCCACCCTCTCTCTTAAAGAGACCACTCTTTCCCTAAAGGACTCTCAGAGGGACTCTGACGAAGACTCCCCTCAGACATCCCTGGCCCACAGAGCCCTCCTCCAATCCCACAGACTGTCTGCCTACGACAACGTGGCCCCCTCCAGTCTGAGTCTGCCTGCTGACACCTCCTCCATCTGGACGTCCTTCGAGATCTCGCTGGCTGAGCCGGGGGAAGGTGATAAAGCGGTAAAATCCGGGCAGGGTCAAGAAAAACCCACAGAGGTGAGGGACAGTTCGAGTACTCTGGATCACAGCGCAAGCGGTACTGAAGATGATCTCCCAGGTACGAACGAAGGTCTGGCAAACAAGCTGACCCAGCTCAAGCAGGAGTTGAAGAAACAGAAGACGAGCTACGAAAGCTGCATTCGCAAGTAAGACTGAATCCCTTCCTGTTAACATGGGAAAAAAAGTTATTGGTATTACTTATTTCTAACTTTATTTTTTCTCCTGTAAGGTTGGAGGAGTCCTGCTCCAAGTACCAGTCCCAAGTAAACCACCTCGAGGAGGAGCTGGACCAAGAAAGAAAGAAGTTTCAAATGCTGGAGATCCGGCTCAGGAACTCGGAGCGGGCGCATAAAGATGCAGAAAACCGAAACCTTCTCCTCCAGCAAGAGATGGAGGAGTTCTTCAAAACCCTCGGGGATCTAACTACAGGGGCAACACGGACCAACTAGACCAGACCACCCTGCCTTCATCTGGTCCATTAAAGAAGCAAAAGAAGGAGGAGGAGGAGGAGCTTAATTACTGGGACAACCAGCCAGGCCCAAAGCTTTGAAGACCAAATACCTCTAGTGCAGTACAACCTACCACCGTGTCCTCTTAAGTACAGCCGTCTTGTGCCTACACTGAGCAGTGCTGGTGCCAAACAAGAGCTCCTCTGGACCAAATACCCCTCAATTTACCATTCCCTAACTACTGTCATGCACCATAGGTCATGTAGCTGGCTATTTACTGACTAGGTTACTCTTTGAGAAAGCATTAAGCTAAACATACAGTGCCTTGCATATGTATCAACATTCACTGGACCTTCCCATATGTTTGTACGTCACAAATGCAAAATAAAAAGGATTAGGATTGAATGTAACGGACCAATACAAAACAGCTCCTGATGTTGATATTGTGAAATATAAAAATGCTTTTCCTTCTATGAAATCCTCAAAATCAGGTTCAACGAATTGCCTTTGGTTGTTTAAAAAATGGGGAAGAGCCAAAGTGTAGTCGAGTTTCAGGTTGTAATATTTTACACTGAGGGTGTTGAATACTTATGCAAGGTACGGTATACATCTGAGGTATTGATGTACCAAACACATCCTGTTCATTCCCCTAGAACTTGTACTTGTGAAAGAAATGTTGTAGACAAAGAAACAACAATGTGAGACATTAAAATTCAACTCTTTTATTTGCTGGAGTTGAAGGTAGACAGATTCCATTTCTGATGTATATAATTAGTCTGTTAGTGAGGCAATTTCAGATCCAAAGGCTAAAATTTACACGACTGGCCTTAACAAATCACACCACAACAGGTCTAACTCTGTGCTGTCAGTGATCGTCCAAACCACCAGAAGACTGCAGCGTCATCCCAGAAGTGCTGAATGGCTTTCCTTTTGTTTCCTCTAAATGTACCTGCACTAAAAACCAGATTTTCTCAGAGAAAAAACTCATGCGTAGTCTATTCTATCTCGTCTATTTTGGAGAAGATGGAAAAGAGGGAAAACACAAAAAGAGGGGGCCACAACATTGATTTGGGATGTAGCCCTGGAAGGGTTCAGGACATGCGTCACAATCCCCAAAGTGCATTCTGGGAGCTGATGCTAGGGGGGTGGGGGGCAGGGAGGTTACTGCCTAGAGTGCCCGACCATGAAAAAGGGCAAAAGGGACAGGTTGGGAATTTGAGCCATCAAATACATCCAAAGGTTATCATGGCAGGTAGCAAATGCCTTTTTTCCTGACTCTCAGAAAATATACAAACATCTACAGTAAAATGTACAGATCAATCACTGGCTATACTAATCTAAGAATTATATTGCACAGAAAACAAAAAGAAATTAAACAAACTGCATATAAATAGTACTTCTGAATGAAATGTACATTACATACAACAGACGCCTCCTAGCTTGAAATAAATAAATAAATAAATAAATTAGAAATACAGAAAATAACTGGAGTTTTTTTCGCATTTCTTTTGAATGATGTGTGCCGTGACATACAAACTGTATAGTCAAAAAACGTGTGCAGGTGTGAGGTAGAACTCAGAAAAGACGCACCACGGGAAGTGAGGGGCATCTGCCACATAAGAGGACTGAAAAATCACTGAACTGAGTAAGGGCACTTAAATTAAATATCTTAACATCAGACTGGTGTGAATTATGTCTGAAAGAACCTGCCAAAAGGGTAAAGTGACTCATTCAGACGTGAGCTGCATTTCCACTGCAGAAACTTTGACCAGGGACCGGGACAAAGTTCCTGCAAGGTACTGAGGTTTCCATCTCAGGGACAAGGGTCTTCAAACTCTAGAACTCTTAGTGACTTCATTGTACCCCCCTTTTCTAAAGAAAAAAAGTTCCTGTTAAGGGATAGTACTGCCATCCTCCAGTCTTGAGAACTAAAACCGATGCTGGAGTGCAGAAAACGGCAATTCCTCTGACAGTTCCTCAGAATCAGGAAACATTTACAGTCTGGTAGAAAGGACGATATCAGCCTGTAGGGCCTAGAACATTAGACTGAGGGGGAACTGTTCTGTAAATCATCAATTTGAAGTTAGTAGGACAAAGAGTTTTGCATAATCAGGCCTCACTTGTGGCATGGGTACGTTGCCAGAGGCGGGCGCTTTGTAGCCATCGCCTAGGTCAGCATTTCTAACATGGCGGTTGCCATTGTTCAGCATCACAATTCTTTTTCAGGAACCAAAGGGTGACTACATGAGACTGTGTGAATGTTTTATACACTATAGCGCGATAGTTTGCCTAATCTTCAGGGACCTTTAGATAACACAACAAACAGTATTTTGCTAGAGGAAGCTTGTAATCCCTTGAAAGTCGCCCCTGGGACCAAAAGTTCCTGGTACTTTTGGTGGAAACGCAGCTTTAGTCTCTGGTGACATCCCCCCAAACACAGCACTCATCCTAGCCAGTGGTGTGGCCTACTTTTACAGCGCTCTCTCAGCATCGTTGGCTCCTCACTTAGCCACATTTCTAGTCACTTACATTCACCCTGTTCTTCCTCACCCCACAAACCATCACCTACAAAATACATCCAAGTAAATAAAAAAAGTTAAATACAGTCAGTTTACAGTATGTTATAGTAAAAAATAAGAAATTCAGTGTCAGGGTAATAGACCATTCGACTGCTTGCCAGGATGCACACAATCAGAGGTGACATAATACTAAGAAATTTCTTGGATACACCAAGGGGACACTTTCTACAAGAAAGATGAGGAACAATATGAAAATAAAATCATCCATTTGCATTTGGATCAAAGATGAGATGTGCTATAGTCTATTGTTAAATTGGTGTCATTCAGATGTCCCTAAAAGTACAACAAATGAACAATTCAAAAATATAATCAACATAATATTGCAGTGCTAACAGTGAGAGTCTCCACTGTGTAGCAGCAGCTAAAAAACAGCACTGTGTAAAAGTTCACTCAGATCCTTCTCTTTCAAAACATACATCACAGTTTCACATCAAAACATACTCTGATTCTTTGCAGCAAAAATACAGTAATAATGATACAATTTAAACCACAATCATTTACAGCAGAGTGGGGGAGGGGAAATAAAAACAAACTGTACATTAAAAGCGTAGCTCTACAAACTAACATGAGAAGTTTCATTGGCCGAAACCGTCTCCCATCACACACACAGATGAGGACAGGTTTGTTTGTTGTTTTTTTTTTCTCGCTCTGTGTGTGTGTGTTTGTGTACGTAAATGTGGTTATGTGTATTTTATGTGTACGTTATCTGCAGCAGGCCAGCGCACCCAGAGAGGTGTGGCTGTCCAAGCTGCTGTCTGTTTCTGAGGTCATGGTGGGGTCACTGCTCGGGTCAGTGGGCTCTGTGGACATGGACGAGACATCGTTGGCTGACGAGGAGGAGGACGTGGGCTGAGGGGGGCTGTCGATCACTGCTGCACCTGTGCTGCGAGAAACACACGTCAAAGCATAGGTTTCATTGACATACACAACGGAGTGTCCAGATCTGATGAGACGAGTATCACATACAGATGTAAGCAACGTCTTAAAAAACAAGATACAACAGGGCGGATTTTAAAGATCACAGTTTAAATCTAGTGTCATTGTGTTTAAGTGCAGTAGAGCTTTAAAAAGGGGTGAGTCTGTAGCAAAGTAATGTCAAAATTAAAGAATAAATCACTTTAATGCCACAAAAATCAGATATGATGCCAAATTTAAATACTCAATGTTGAGATTTAGTTGGACATACTTGATGAAATGGACATCTTTAAAAACAGAAGTGCATTAGAAAAAGTAAATTTGATTTATTCTTCAATTTTTTTCAACAAGTTAGAACCACTTATTTTTTTATTTCCAGGCCTTGTCTGCCATTCAAACTCTAAATAAAATCTAAAATATAACTTTAAAATACTTTAAATTTATTCTAAAGCATAAAATAATGACAAACTAATTATAAAAGCATAAAAAGCTCATTCAAAACATGAAAAACTTTTGAGCATACATTTCATATGTATTCACAGAAATATCAGATTTTTGGGTTTTATACTCCGTCACACACACATAAAAATACTGACATGCTGTTTAAGATGGTTCGATGTAGCTAAGAAGTTCAACTTTTCAACCAAATCCATCCAAAGTTTAACCACCAAAATCTAAATAAACCCAGCAGATAAGCAAATATATATTTGTGTACATGTATCAACATTGTCATCACCTGATATCTATACTTTAACAAACAGAAATACACATGATCTAAACTGATTCGTCACTCCTACCTTCTCTAATCTTCTAAAATTACAAAGATTACTCACCTAAAGGAGGCGGCTGGCCTCTTATCACGCCGTTTTTTGTCCACTCCTCCCATTCACTCACTTCTTTATAAATAAGCTCTACAAATCAAAGAACAGAGGAAGGCTAAGTGGGTCGGGAGAGACAGTTTATGTACAGTCAGAGTGTTTTGCATACTGTAAAGTCCACACAGCATCATGTTTCTAATTTGGACATGCTATGCTGGTTTGACCCCTCTAAAAAAATGAGTGAGGGGTCATTATCACCTGGCAGGGGTGAGGATGAGCTCATCCTGCTGCGCGACTGAAAGTGATATTTACTCACAATCTGACGCCCTCCACATGCTCCACAGACTCAGGTTCCCCAGAGTGGAAAACACTCACTGAGGGCCTTTAAAAGGGGACTTCGTGTCATGCAGCACATGCCCTGGCAGCTGGAGTGGAGATATAGAGCTGCTTCGGGAACAATTTCTGAGGCGAAATGACTGAACGTCCAAACATGAGCTGCCTGTAATACCATATTACTTCATGCTTTCTTTAAAAATCAAAAAATAGTTCTATCTGATGTCATTTTAAATTTTGACTAATTCTATATTGAAGTTTACTGAAGTTGTTGCCCTCTAATAAGTTCAAATATTCAGGCTCTAATATCGATTACAACACTGGGTTTAGGTTTGAAAACTGATTTGATTTTCAACACTGAAAAGAAAGTGAAAAATGCGGACGGACAAACATCAGCAGGAAACAGCTTTGATTACAATAACAAGCATCAGGTAACAGCTAACATTAGCAGTCACCCGATTCCTGGATAACGTTACGAGCTAGCGTTTTTTTTTTTACTGTGTTTGTTCTGATAAATATGTCCCTCCATGTTTTCACTGCCAGTCTTCTGTCTACTCAAGTTTCATACTTAAGTAGGGAATTTTAGCAATTGTCAGGTACGCTACATTTATAACACCTACAACCTGAAATAGGAGGCAAGCGTATCATGGCCATCCTGAGCATCACCCTAAAAGAGGGCCGCTGTGTAAACACCTAAAATATTGAGTTCAAGGTAAAAAAATAAGCGACACATCTGCATTTCTGTATCTTCTCAGTTATTCTCTCACTGAGTAATCTGTGAAATAATAATAATCTGACAGATTTCCTGTATTTAAGTGGAAAAAAGCAGCAAGATGTTAATAACACAGCTATTCAAGCGTCCCACGACAATGAGGCACCAAAACAGAGAGTCGGACATTTGAACTCAGTTAATGCTGACTGACCGAGTCTTCATATTTTACTCAAAAAAATCAGTAGTTTATCCTTTTAAACAGTTAAAAACTCCACAGAGGAACTTTAATAAGACCTGTGGTGACCTCAGGAGCTTAAGGGTAAATAACAGGAATCACAATCGCAGGAATCATGATATGCTTTCTGACCTTTCCACTCCTCCACGGTATGCTCTCGCTCATCCAGCTGTTTGTCGAGGATCTTCGGAGGAGGCTAAGAAAGACAAAAAGGTGCATAATATGGTGCACGGGTGCTTTTAGGGCAAAGCCAACTTTCCACTTAAGCTTGAGAAGTTAAAATCTCATAAAAGCCATTTAAGGATCATGCACTCCTATCAGCGATCCACTTACCGCCTCTACTTCAGCCGGGTCGTACCAAACATTAATATAAGGATGCTGCAGAGCCTCGTCCACAGAGATGCGCTTTGAGGCATCAATCACCAACATCTTGGACAGGAGATCTCGGGCTTGGCTTGCTGAGGGGACACAAAAACAAGATAAGATGCTGCTGTGCTATTCATCATTAGTCTGCAGTTTTGTTTTGGTAAAAAGACTCAAAATGATTCATGGATGTGATATTAAAACAGAAAAAGTCTACCTTTAAGTTTGCTGTGCTCGGAGTCGGCTGGAAACAACACGTCTGGGAAGAGTTTTTCAAAGCTGTATCCTGCGTAGCGTGGCCTGTTTTCTACGTACGTTCTTACCGACTGGTTCAGCTTCATGAGGAAATCCTGAGATGGAGTGCCTAGCTGCTCAATAACCTTGTTCCACTGGTCGATGTCTGAGGTGTTGATGTTAAGAAAAACAGGCCACACGTACACAAACACTTTTCACCTCCACACTGTCCATCATCGGGTCAGAGTGACATTTATCCGTTCAGGTACACACATCCTCAGCTCTAAATACACACACATTTACACATTTGTACAGTGCAAAGCAAGTTGCTTGATTTTCACCAAATATCTCATTACACCGACTGAGTCACACATGTCCAGAAAAAATCTTAACAAGCCATTTCAAACATCTGCTAATGCAGCGAGCAAAGTGTCTTTTTAAAGCTCCTACGAGGAAAAACAGACCGACATTCATATTTAGACTGTTTCAGGATTTCCTAAACCATCAGTGATAAGTTTGACAGTTTTTATATCGTACTCTTAAATGCAGGAAACCAGAGAGAAGGGGGAGGTGACAGCTGATGAAACAGATCTGTTTTTACTATTTCTATATAAAATATTCACTATAAATAATGAATCTGAGTGTCAAAAGTCGGCAGGGTGGGATTTTTTAAATAAAAGGCTCCACATTTAACAAAACAGGGTTCCTACACAGTTGGATGTTCTATACTTTTCCATACCCTAACACAAATATTTTCCCATACTTTATTTATTATTTTCCGCACTTTTTAAGACCTGGAAAGTGATCAAATTTATTTTCATACTTGCGTAGGAATCCTGTCTTGATATAACATGAACAATTTTTGGTAACGCTTTCTTTTACGGTACACTTATTACCAGGTAATTAATAGGTAATTACCTAGTAACAACATGAAATTATCTGGTAATTACATGATAACTACTAAGTCAATACTGTCTAGCTACCAGGTAAGTAACCTTCCACCTGGAACCACCACTGGCGCAGTAGCATTGTACGAATTCCGCGGGTGAGTCGCTGTGATAATGCTCGGCTCAAACAGCGTATCGCTACGCAATCTTTGCACGCCCATAGGCTGTAACGAGTGTCAATCATAGAAAATAAGAACCCCAAATAGCTTTTGAAAATGGAGCTGCACAGAAAAAAGAAAAACAAGACAGTATTTACTTAGTAGTTATCATGTAATTACCAGATAATTTCATTTTGTTACTAGGTAATTACCTGTTAATTACCTGGTAATAAGTGTACCGTAAAAGAAAGTGTTACCCTATTTTTTAAGAGAAAAAATTAATTAATTCATGAACATAACAAACCAGGACTAATTTTTGTCTTTCAATATCCTGAAATGACATTTATCTCTGGATCTGTCGGGTAATGTGACTCTTATTAAATGTAAAATGTAACTAGAAATTAAGACAAACACATTTGCTGACATTGAAGTTTTTGCAGTTTAGATATAAATATCTATAGAGATGCAGCCAATAACTGCTTTAGTCTTCAGCTAATTCAGTGCCTTGTATTGATCTCCCTTAGAGTTTCCGGGTTTCAGGAGTTTCGATTGACTAAGACAGTCTCTTGAGGTCTGAATACCAACTTTAACGGTCCAAAAGTTGATATCTGTTGGATACACAATCACCTGAAAGCTTTAGGACACATCTGAGTTTTTTAAAAGTTGTTTGATTGCTTATTTTGACGCCCAAATAAAGAATATTTTTTCTGGTAGTGGCATGACATCGAGAAAAATCAATACGTTGGCACCAAACTAAACTCCTATGTAATGACTTTCCTCCTGCAACAGGTGGGTGCAGCAGAGCGATGATTGAGGTCATGTTTGTCATGTGGAAAATTGGAAAATGGATGGCAAAGTGACGCGGGGAAACTCTCGGGATGGTGCTGGATCTCTTCACACAGAATGAAGTGATGACACAGTGATCAATCAATGACAGGGAAGGATACGATCAGTGCCGGGGAACAACACACTTCCCCTGATCATCTCGGCCACAATGCAGCCCACTGACCATACATCCACTGGAGGTGGACGTTCAGATGACAGGGGGGTGGACATGCAAACAAAATGGCGAGAAAAAATAAGCACAAAAAAAGTGAGAGGAAATGCAGACAGAACGGCAGCGGTGTGATGATGAGTGGGGATGAAAATGGAGAACGTGCAGCATCAGCGGGATGAGAGAGGGAGAAAGAGAGAGAGAGGAGGGAGAGTGATGCAGTGTTGGACGGATTCAAATGAAAACTGACATGTTGATGAACATTTACAGCCCATGAGTGCTAAAAAGCTTCAATGTTACACTGAGCTATATTAACAATTTCCCCTATATTCACAGAGCAGCCTTTTCATCTGACATCAGAGTGGGAAGCTTTAATAGTGTTATAAAGTCCTTCTGCTGTGTTTTAGCCTGTTAGTCATATATATACATGGGTTATAGTGGCGCTACCTCTGGATGTCAAACCGGCCGCTCACAGCAATTTGAGTGAATGACAGGAGGTGTAATCCGGTTAGAAAGTGTTAGAGGAAGAAATGTTAAAATTACAGAGTGCCACAGAGCAGAAGAAATACATGCCCTTGAGTTCTGCACAGTTCCCTCATATTTATACTGTGATGTGACTCTTACATAAGGTTGATCAGCTACTGAAAAGGAGATGAAAAGCTCAAACCTGTTCTTGCTTTATTGATTTAACATTTTTTATAACCTATTAGATAAGGTTCATCTACGGAGAACATATTTAAGACTATAATGGATAGATAGAAAGGGTGAATATGAGGGTTTAATCATTTATAAGACACAATAGGAAAGGGAAAAGTTCACATTTGTCAGGTATGCTACATTTATAAAAACTATATGACGCTCCGACAGCATATTAGCTTTCCATCCTGAGCGATCACTGCTGAGTGAATATGATAAATACCCTTAATCGTTTGACAGCGACAGCAAAAAGCCCTTTACAGAGATGTTAATTTGAAAAGTGAGAACAAGCGTTTAGAAGACCCAAGGATACAGTCCCTTCCCGGGAAGAGGATTTTATGGCGAACCATTTCCGCCAGTATGCAGCCCACAGACCATATGTCCACTGGTAAAGTGGAACACGGTAAACAAAGCCGGTAAGAGGTGAAAGGAAGGCACAACGTCAGGTTAGTTAAGCAGGTTAGTTAGTTAGTTAGAGAGTGATCTTAAGAACATTTATCCCCAAAGTGAACAGAAGCAGCATTTTGCACGTGGAGTTATTAACAGCAAGATTAATCTTCAGGTCCATGCATGAGTCAAAAGAGATTACATAAATGTTATTATAAAATGGCTCAATATGATTGGACAAGAGTCTGTTTACAATCATTTTACAGTGCATAGATAATGACTAACCATTGGCCTGGTAGCCCATGCCCAGGATCACCTCTGGCGCCCTGTAGTAGCGTGTAACCACATATGGTGTCATGAGGAGGCCTGTGGCAGCCGTCCGAGCCAGGCCAAAGTCCAGAATCTTCAGTGTGCAGTCTGACTTGACGACTATGTTACTGGGCTTGAGATCCTATAGAGAAACAAACACCAAAAAGTCATTAATTTATGTTAATTTTGTGGAGGAAAAAGCGTCGACTCTGTGGATTAGTGGGTGCAGATGAGCTGGTTTGACTGCAGAGGTAGACGATGTGCTGATTCAAGGAGGAAAATAAGGAAAACACAATTCTGGGTCTAAACAAACCTCACTTTACATCTCCACCTGCAGCCATTTTCAAACTCTGCATAATTCATTACTTTTTCGGGATGTTGTTTTAACTTTGTTTTGATGATTCATATGACAAAACACACCATCCATCTCAGTGGAAGTCCAGCTGATCGCCTGCAGGTTTCACCTCCTGCTGCACCAATTTCTCAAGATTACTCTTTCTGTCTACGTAACATTTCCCTGCTGTGAGAACTGCTTACTGGGGTGATTTGCTTGCTCGTGGGGAATGTGTTTCGGGACTGCAGTTTGGAGATAAATTCAGCTGTGGCACTTTGGGATATTGATTTGTTTTTTAAGGAGATTGAGTGTTTCTTCTTTCTAATGAGCTGCATTTTTTAATGAAGATTCAATTCCCTTAACAGGACTTTGTCTGGCATCTATTTTAATCAAAAGAAATGATTTATAACGGCATTCAAATTAAAAAAAGAATCCTTCTCTTCTTTCTTGATGTTACTTTGTGTTATCCAATTCTAATCAGGCACCTGGCAGCAAGATTTGGGGCCGATGAAGAGGCGCTTAAAACCGCAGTTCCAAAAGTGTCCACTTGAGGCTGGCTCCAAAACCCAGAAGACCCCATAAGAACCCATGTTAAAAAGCCCAACTTTACAGCAGAATTTAACATGTTTACAACCTGGTACAAAAACAGTTTCTGTCTTAATAGACTATTTCTCCTTGCGCTCAAACTGTGTGGGAGTTTAAATATGTAAATATATATGTATATATATATTTTTAGGTAAGATATTTCAGCCAAAACTTCTGGATAGTTTTGCATAATCTGGGTGCGGTTAAGCTGACTGACAGGCAAGCATGTTGTAGCTGTATGCTAGGGGGTTTAAGGCCAACCTCAGCTCTGCCTCTTTGCCTCTTGTTAGGAGGACCAGGGTTAGCTTGAATCAGCAATTTGGATAATCTGAGAGAATAAATTCATCGTATTTTAAGCGCAAAAGTTCTCACTGCTCTTTTTTTTCCTGCTGTAGCTTGAATTACATGTACTGATTGAAATGAGACATGATTATTTACCAGAAACAAACCACCTTCTATATTGGGCTAAAACGGCGGTATCAGATGGAGGTATTGACTGTCATACTTGCAGATTCCTGAAACTGCATCCTGGGTCTAAGAGGGGAATTTCTGATACTGGTATCACAGCATCTTAAAAAACTCCCCTTGACTTTGAAGGACTTACTTGATCATCTAATAGTGTACACCCTGACCGTTTGCCCTCGCATTAAAGTGTCAAGTACCACAGCAGGTTTCACACCTCCTTTTAGTGTAAGTGGTCTGGCTTCAGTCTGAGTCTTACCCTGTGGATGATGCCGGCTGCATGGAGGTGTTTGATACCACACAACATCTGATAGAGCAGATAGGACAGCCTCTCATGGTCCAACTCCATCTGAATGACCTGGCACAGGTTAGCGTCCATCAGCTCCATCACAAGGTATCTGACGATGTGGGAATCAGTTCACGCAAATGAGTAAGAAGCATTTAAAGCAGGGAGGTATTTTCTGATTAACACGTAACACATTTAAACTCCAGATCTAGTTACTTACACGTCCTGGAATTCTTCTAATGATTTCTGTGGCGTGAAAACATTTAATAGGCCAATGATCTGTGAAGGGTCAGAAAAACAACATCAATATAAGCAGGATACTGGTCCCAGTATCCAAACACCATGAAACCTTTTAAAATACAACAGTTCTCACTGGTATGTGACTGAATATTTCTGCATACTTACATTTTTGTGATTGACACATTTCATTAGGACTAGCTCTCTGAATGCTCTCTTGGCATGGGTTTGATTCTGAAACGGCCGACTCAGCTTCTTGATGGCAACATTTCTTTCAAGGATTTGATCGTAAGCCGAGCTGAGGAGAGAAAACATGCGGCAAAATCATCAACAACCATTAAATCGGCAAAAGGTTTTCAACTTTAAGGCGATTTTTTCTTATTTCTGAAATGACACAGCGGACTGAATCCAAGTGAGGAGCCACTGACCCGAGTATGAATGAGGTTTTAAACACTCACCAGACGATTCCCTGTGCTCCCGAGCCGATAGGTCTCAAATTCTGGTATCGCTTTAGGACTGTGAACGTTGAATCCCCAACATCCAGGCTGTAGAACTCCTTTTCTCTCTTGTTTTTGTTCATGGTGAAATCTTCAATCACTGCTCTCTGTGCATCCAAAAATGTTCTCTGTGCAAACAAAGACAGGCACAGATTTAACACTCAACAACACCGTAACAGCCGCAGAGAAGAGAGGCAAATAAATAAATAAATTCAGATGAAAATCCCCGCTCCGGAGGCAGCAGATTAGGAGAGAGGAAGAGAAAGGACGGCGCTGAATTTCACACTTGAGGCAAGCACTGCGGCTCCTTATCTCAGCAAGTCAGCAAACGCACCAGGATGGAAGATTTGATATCAGCAGCAGCAGTGGCAGAAACAGCAGGCAACGGGGAAGATCTACTCCATCATATGAAACACGACTCTCACAGAGACTCTGTCACACTGGAAAACCAAACCCACTGCTAATTCCTGTGTGTCTGGACCCCAGCCCAGTCCTGCAGGCAGGTCTTCCACAGGCACATGTTAACTGGGTCGAGTTGCACCGGGAGGCTGTCAGCCCAGATAAGATGCAACACCGAGATGCCAGTTTGTTTGGCTGGATGTTCCTGAGCATGTTTCATTTTTCATCCAAACAAAAACAAGCAGGAATCTAAAAAAGGAGAAAGCTCGGACTTCCTTTTCCTTTTCTTCAGGGCTTATGTAAGGGATGCGATCGCCCTCCCCGCTCTTCAGTCACCCCGACACACAGAGTCCATATGAGGGATGTAATTGCCAGATAAAATGAGTCAGCTCTCCTTCTGTTCCTCCAACGTCACAAAGACGCCGTAACGTCCGCCTCCCTCACAACATGAAAATAGACATGTTGCTTCTTTTTATATGTCAGACAGAAAGACCATTAAGCTAGGATGAGTTAACTACGCTTGAATGGGCTGCAGTCATTGTGCGTTTCTGCCTGTTGTAGTTACGTTTGTTATACAACTATCTACAGCTTTGCTACAGGGTCATTATTTTGCAATAATGTCTGCCCATGAGGAGATAATGAGGTCAGGGTCAGCGCAGAGGCAGAATCACAGCCCGATTAGCTGCTTGATATCTTCAAGTCACACAGTGAAGACGTTACCGTCCCTGCTGGGTAATAACTAGTACTGAAGCTGCATTCCTCTGAAATCAATTATTCACCATTAAAACGCAGTTATGTGTCCGTTGCCGTATTTACAAGCCATGCAGCAGCCACAAGCTGCACCCCAGAGGTCTGGACCTCCTGGATGGATTCGAATGCAGGGAGCTGTAATACATTTAGGGGCTTGGTGTGTCCTGTATAGGAGCAGAAACTCAGCAGGAAGGTTACTCCTATATCGCACGGACTCACCCTGACGTCTCCAAACAAGCTGCTTCAGCCTAAAGATTTAATGAGAGGCTTCCAAGGCCATTACTTATAGGACAATTACATCCTGGTAATAAGGGATAATGCATACTCTGCTAAAAATAATACAAACATTATTATCACATTGATTTAAAATGATTACTACTTGGTTGAGAGGCGCCATGCACACTAATATAGTTTCGACACAGAGCAGATTTAGTTTAGTTTAACCTTATCTGGGCCGTAACACATACACATAGTATGGTTTGATATATCACTATCATAATGATGGAGTCATATTACACAATCATAGGAGTACCGTCAAATATCCATATTAATACATAAACTCTACGTACTAATGCAAGAATTTTGAACAGTAACCCTGAACCAGTTAATGATTATTTTTGCCTTTAACACCAGATACTTTAATATAATATGATGCAGCTTCTTTGTCTATGATTCACCATATCACATCATTAACTAGCATAAAAACTACTGCAAAAATACAGCATGAATAAATTGCCATTCTCTCCCTATTGATAGAAAACTACCTCATTTATAAACATTATTATCAAAAGATGGCAAAACACAAGTTGTATGCAATATATGAATTTCTCATAATCCACTTCCTGTCTGAAATACCCTCTCTCACATGTAAGTCTCATAAATTATGCTGCAAATCCAATCCAAAGCTGAAACAGCATTTTCCTCAAGCCATACATAATAGACTGGTGGTCAGGCTTATATTACACAATAAATAACATTAAGTCTTACACAGTAGTGTATTATTATATGATATGATGTAGCTGCCTTGTCTATACCATGATAAACTGTAATATAAACTTAAATTATATCTTACATCATAAATAAATCAGAAGTTTATTTCTATCATACTGTATGAGCTCCAGATTTATATGCAATCATTGCAGCAGAAGTGAAAATAACTGGAAAAGACACAAACTTGTACATTGCTTTACATCAAATGCTAACTTCGCAGGCACAGTGGTAGAAAACATACATAAAACAAAGAAATGGTTAAATTTTAAAGATATAAACTGCATTTAAAAGCCAAATATGATGATATAATGCAGCCTTTTTCACAATAACACAATTAAAACCACTACAGCACACTATAATCACTACTATTTTCCAAAAAAACACATCTTACTATCCTCCATCTGCATTAACAACACATACACACGAATGTTATTTATCTCAATGACCTTAATAGTGAAATATCTCCTGTGTTGTATTATTTTCCTGAATGCTGCTCTGCACCAACTCAAAGCTAAGGCAGATTTCTCTCCTAACATGACATGAAAACTGTTAAATTAAGAGTCTCGTGGTGAAATTAACACAAATTCCTGAACAAAATAAGATTTTCTGATACCATGTAGGTTTCTTTACATGATACAGAATAAGATAGAACAATAAAATCTAGCAACACACACCCCTTACGTGAATTAAGAGGGAATAATCCTCCAAAAATGTAAAATAATATCCAGTCTCATACGCACCACCTAAAAGCCTCCTTCCTAGTGTGATGACACCGTCTCTCTCATATTATCCTCATGTATGTGCCGCTCACTACCCAACCCAAATCTAACACAGCCTTCCTTCCTTCCCCTCCCCTGCAAACTGTCAGCAGGGCGTGAAAAGACACAGAAGCAGAAATGCTCGCTACACCTTCCAGGCACAGATAGAGGAGCCCTATCGATCGGCACGTTATTTATTTTCATTGGATGTCAGCGTGTTAACCTTGGACACACGACCCCCCCACCATATACACCCCCCACTCCACTCCACCCCCCACCCCCTCCTCTCCTCGTCGTCTTGTCCGGTTGAATGGATTGGAGGTTAGCTGGCAGGTGAATGGCTGTGCAGACACAAAAGATCGGCGCTCGCTAACACGCAGGGAAGCCTGAAAAAGCCGGACGTGGCCCTGGAAGACATTATCGAAGCGGCGATAATGACAGACAGCCATATCGTAACCATGACGAGGCCCGTTCGTGAGGCAGAGTACGCCACACACGCTGCACCGCTGCGTAATAATGGACTCCACCGAGTGTAGCGACGGTCTAAAAGGAGGATTTACGGTGAGAAAGTGAAGCTAAAACACAGTTAGATTAAGAACAACCACGGCGGGGAGGCAGCATGCACACAGCCGCTTCGACCCTCCCCCCACGGCCAAACAATAAGCACGTCTGAGGAGAAGAGGTGCGAATCCTCATCTTACCTCTGCCGTTAAATCAAAGTATCGATCCCCCCGCGGTCCGATCGGCGGTGAAACGTCACGGAGCAGCGGAATATTTGTTTATGCCACCGGTTATGGATGATTTATTCCGTTGTGCGGCTTAAAAATACATGACCTCACCAAATTCACTTGCCTACGTTTCCATCTGCCTGCTCCTGACAGGCCGGGACGCGCAGTGCGCACGGGGCATGCGTACCAGCAGCACGTCACTCATCCACAGAGACACACCCACCACCTCCTCCTCCTCCTCTATCCATCCTTCCCTACTTCCTTCCGCCTGCCGAACTAGTAGGGGAGACCGGGGACGGTTGTCACAGCGTTTACTCTAGAGCAGAGTTTTTCAACCTTTTTTTGAACCACGGCACATTTTTTATGTTGATTAAATCCTGAGGCACACCACCAACCAAAATGACACTCTATAGCCGAACACAGTGTATATTATAGAATGTAGGGATGCACCGAAAAGGAATTTTTTTGGCCAAAACCCAAAATGAGAGAACAGAAAGAAATTATTATGCCAATTATTAGTACCATTGCATTTACGGCTATGACTGTGTACTGATCTGATGAAAATGAAGGCATTGCAGTTGTATAAATCAATATTAATTAATGTCAAATATTAAATTAATGTTAATTTATGCGATTGCAATGTGAGTTTTGAGTTTTTGAGTCAGCATGTTGCTGCATGTTCTGAGTGGTTTACACCTTTATATGGCGCCCGTGAGTCATTGTCAAACACAACTCAAAAGTTCTAAGAAAAGAAGCGTCAGTATGTTTACTTTCAAGCAGCCGAGAGCGGGAGCTGAGCATGAGTCTGCAATGTTGATTTCTGTTAAATCTGTTAATAAATATGAAGGAAGTGAAACTTCCCCCAGTGTCTGCTTGTGTACTCGGCTGCAACATCCGCCGCAGACAGAGTGGGCGTGCTCGGAGGGATTTTCCTGTTCTGTGCTGCGTTCATCTCATATTCAGATTGGTGATCGTGATGTTTGGATATCAGGTGATAAATTAAACCCAACATGAAAAAACTCTTTGCAAATGCACCCTCTCTTGAAATTTTAGCAATACAGGCTATGCCTATCGCTATTCGGAGTTCTCAGATACATAGAAATACGTCCACACTGCAGACAATTTGGCTCTTATCCAGACAAGCGCGTCCTGGTCGTGGTTCTTGCTTGCTTCATTACAAAATCTGTTCCGGCCGTGTTGTTTCGGTAAGAAAAGTGTTTTGGCTGAAGACCAAAAATGCTCTTTTTGGCCATTTTTGGTGGCCGAATTTTTGGTGCATCCCTAAAATACAGTTTCTAAATTTATACACACTAAGTTCTTCCTCAACAGCTCCTAGCCTCTCTCTGTTTTCAGTTTTCTTGACAGGCAATTCGCCGTCTGCCGCCACCCAGTGACATAGAAGAGTACTGTTCCGACGCTTACTTTACCACCGCACTGACACTCGACAATGATACATTATTTGCAAATTGGTTAATTTCCCACGGCACACCTGACGACCTCTTATGGCACAAAAACACTGCTCTAGAGTAAATTTCTCATAGTTCATCATATCTTATAGCGGACATTCCTGCATTACACAAAAGACTGAGGCCATGCATTTAAAATTATATCCCTTTAATTCTTGTAAATTAATTTAACAACAGTTTTAACCATTCATGACACAATGTGACTTTCTCTGTTGACTTTTAACAGTCAAGTCTATCAAATATTGTGGATAATTTATGTGGGAATTGTAAAACATGGCTTTTTCTTCAGCTTCTTTGCAGTTTTAGGCATTAAAATAAGGATATAAAAATCTTTAATCTTGTCACAGATGATCTTGTTTGCTTTTGTTTATCATGTAAAGGCGACGATATGATTTTTAGCGTGTTTCATAAACATAAAACTTCACTGAAATAATTAGATACTCAGACTCTAGTTGCTTTTTGAACCAGGATGTTTATTTTGCTGTGAAGACAGTGTTTATTTTTAATGGCTGAGTATGTGGCTTCCATAAGAGGACCCCAGGACAACGGTTTTAGCTCTCAATGACGTCTAGTTCTTTTCCCAAGACTGACTGATGCATTGTTGTCACACTCCAGGGTAGCTTGTCTACGGGGTTAATATGTAAATTGAATATATATTTTTTAATTTATATTGTTTAAGTGGGAGAAAGCATGTTAGTTTTAAAATCAACATCAATATAATGAACAACACTGCCCGTACATTTGTCTGTTTGAATTTTTCTCTTAAATCATGACAATTAAGATATTAGTTTTGCAAAAAGCAGAGATTGCAAAATTAGGGGTCTGTATATTTGATTTAACTATTAATACCATGGAAAATATGTAAGATAATTGGTTATGGCTCATTTAGGTGATTAACCAGACTAACTCGATTATTGATAGTTGCATGTCCATCAAGGGAGGTGGTGACAGCCCCCCTACGATCTGGGCATCTCCCATTCTGTCAGTTATGCCTACAAACATTTGGTGAAATGCGTTGGCAAGAGGCTGAGGGGATATATGTGGCTGAAAATTATAGACCCTATGTTAATAATCATTCAGAGCACATAAAGGGATATGATTCATATTTATGTCCAATACGACACAAGATATTATAACTGAGACAGGCTTAAGAATTTTGTAGTGATAGAGTGAATGGAGTGGAAAAAAGAGCTGCATTATTTCATGTTTAATAGGTGTGAAAATAATATTTCTCATTATCAAAAAAAAGAGGCAGCCGAGAAAATGTGACAGGCTGTTAGCTGTATAGATCAATAAGCACTCAGGTCAAAAAGACACTCACATTTTTATGCAACTGGAGACAACATGTATGCCTATTCTGGTGTCATGTCCCCAAGTAACTGTCCTTACAGCAGGATCCTTTACAGAGAAGGGCGCACGTGAAACACAGTCATGCAACTACAGCCATAATAGACCGGAGTGGTAGCATTAGGAAATACTGCAGTTTGTGTGCATTGGTGGTAATATATATTTCTTTTTCTTTACATGCTTTGTCAGGCCTGTTGGATTTAAATAATTGGTCTACTTTAATATGAAAATATCTTGATTTTAAGGGTCCATTTTAAACAGCCTACAAGTATAAAAGCAGTCATCCTACAGATTATGATTAATGGGACTTTTTATGTGCCATGCTATCTTGTTTTACCAACATAAAACTCTTAAACTACTCATCCTTTTTGCACACATGTCCTGTTGTAAATTATTATTGTCAGATACAAAGGGAGGGTCCAGTGGGTATATCAAAGTCAGTTAGAAAAATAGTGATGCTGCATATCTGTTTACACCTATAAATAAACTGAGGGCTATTCTTATCATAAATAGTGTCATCACAGCATGTTCATCATCTCACAGATCTAATCTTCTGTCCACATTACACTGTGGGGATTATACGCCATGCTCAGGCTCTGCAGAAGTCCATACTATTGTAGTTAGGGTACCATCTAGAGTTCATCTATCAGTTTCTATATGCTACGCTACAACAACGGAAGCCTGCACGCAGCCTCTGTCTGTGAAGGCATGTGACTGAAGAAGGACATTCGGTAAAATTATGTGAACTTAGCGCTGAGTAGTTTCAATTCTCCCTGCACCCACCTGACAGGCCTGCATGCTTGTTATTTATCCTTGTCCCTGCGCAGAAAGAAGCCTACCCCTGCACGGCCTGCAGGGACGAGCTGCGCGCAAAAACACCGGCATGGATCACCGTCCCAGCACCGACTCCCGCAGCGAGACGAGCCTACTACGGTTTCTTACCCCTTGTTCGAAGAGAGCCCGCAGTGTTATGATCATTGTGAGGGAGCAGCCCTGGAGCAGCAGCAGCAGCAGCAGCAGGCGGCTACAGTCCACTCCTTTGGCCGAGGTCGTTCGTCCTTCCCAGGCTTCTGTGTAGCGCACCTACCGCCGGAGATCCACCGCACCTTTGGGCGTCAGACGGATTAGGTAAATCGGTGTAGCTGATCTCACGCAAACCCGCTATTGGTGGTGGTGCTGACCTGTCGCTGTCAAACCGCGGGGCTAATCCAATTAAGTGTTTAGAGGCGAGAAGCTAAGAATAGCGCCAATTACAGTAAAAAGTTTCAGATCTTCAGCGTGGTGCTGGTCGTAATAGAGCGAGTGAATGGGGCACCATGTACAGTTAATGTCATTGATGAATTACCTGCTGAAGAGGAGCAGCCTTCAAAGAGAGGACGTCAAATCAGCAATGCGATGATCACAAGGATTATTTTGGATCCGCGGTGGGAGCACTGAGGATCATACAAAGGATCAGGCTGCTGACATACTTACATGTGATACCAGGTAATATAATGTACCATCTCCATGCTTTCTACGCTGCTGTTTGACACTTTGAGGTGGGAGTCTCCATGTTTGGGTTTCTTCTATCAGTTCACAATTGGCTCTGGATGAATTAATCAAAAGCACCAGTCTTGTTTTAAATCCACAGTGCTGCTCATAGCTCGAATAGTAAAAATGCACAGTGCTGCCTCCATATTCAGGCCAGGGATGAGTGAAATCAGGTTGCTGAAATGTGTCTTTTAAGAGCTGATAATGCTGCAAACACAGAGCAGAAAAGCTCTACAGCTCACACCGTGTAGCTTTGGTTTTCACGTTACATGAACAAAGCTGTAAGAGATTTAGATCCAAAAGAAGCATGTTATCTAAAGTGCACCTTCTCTCTCTCTCTCTGTGTATGTGTACATCATGTGGTGTCTGCTAATGTTGTTTGTTTCAAACAGGATTATAAGGCTGTATGTTGACTAAAACCATGAGAGGTGCTGCATTTTAGTCCAAGTTTAATGATTGTAAAGGATGATAAAGATGCTTTATTAGAGTGAGAAAGAGGAGAAACGTGCACACCGAGAGGCAACTGGTGTGCATTATGCTTTGGAGTATTTGCATGAGAGGTTTTCAGCTGCTTTTATGCTGTATAATTCCACCTTAATCATCACTTTTCGAAGGCTGTGATTTAGTGATTGCAGAGGCTGTAATCGACAGTAAAAGCTCCATGTTGTTCAGGAGGGAAAACATGACAAGCTAGACTCAGTGTAGCTAATTAACACATCCAAATGTAGGGGTAGAGCCGCTCTCTGCTCTGTAATTCTGCTGCATGTGACAGTCTGATGTTGGGAAAAACAAGCATCCAGGGTTCTGTGTTTGTCCCAGCAGGAGTGTTTGGCTTCACGGTGTTACTCTAGTAGGTTTACACCTGTGGACAGACCACTTTGAGGGAGAACAGCTGCTAAAGTTTTGCTCGAGAGCAGATAGATGGAAACACCTGGCAGGGCACCGGCGTCTTTGTCTGATCCCTTCGATGTCTATAAGGCCAAACCAGCGTGCAGAGATTTAGCAGGATGATTTTATCACAGATTTTAAAGATTTTATGCAGTTTTAGTAACCCTAATGACCTCTCAGTGTTACTTATGTTGTTTTTTATCACGCACTTTGTCTCTGGGCTCTTTCCTGTGCACAGCAGACAGTTTAGTGTCACAAGCCAAGGGATAACTATAGTTTGAGTGAAGGATTTAACCAGAGCTGAGGTAATTGGGTTGGTTTGTATCAGTGGAAACAACATTAAGTAAACCATGTGGTTAGCTGTTTTGGCCGCGTTAGATGACTGCTTTGTACAAACTAGATAAAAACTAATTCAGTCAAAGCTTGATTTGTTATTTCAAAGCCTTTACCAATCATGGGGAGCTCACGCTATGGATCCCAGATGATCACGGTAAAAAGCAATATAAACAGCATCATTTATAGTACTACACCACAGCAGAATTTATAGTATTTGTTTTGTTAAGAAGAGACAATAGCATTGGTTGGGAGTAGGTTGTAGTATTCAACACTCAATATTTCTGTTATTTTTGTTTCTGGAGGACTGACCAGGGTTACAAATTAGCCAAAGCTAGGAACCCGTATGCATGACATCTGCTTTGTTTACACTGTTAAGCTGTCTCATGCATTTGTCTCTGCCAGGTAGACAGTTAAATAAATGATAAATATTGGGATTATTGGTCGAGTGAGGGCTGATGCCAATATGATATCACTCATATCAAAATGCCAATGATCAGCCCAGTTGATCAGCCAATTGATTAATCTTTCTGTTTCTAATATATATTTGTTTTATTTGAGAAAATGAAGCTAACTTGGAAAAGAAAACAGCTCATCTGTTGTTACTCTCTGTTTTCTCTAGTTATCAAAATTTATTGTATGGAGAAAAAATTCTTTGACTTGTTTTGAATATCAATACGTTGCATTTTTTCTATCAGCTACTTACTAAAATACAAAGTTCGTTTCTGCAGTAAAATTTCTAGAGTCAAAGCATTGAAAGTCAACTTTACTTTGTTTACTTAAATAAATGCTTTATCTGCCCAGATTTACGACCATTTTTAGTCTTTTAGAATGAGGTTTCAATGCTTCTTAGACGATTTTGATCTTATTATGAAAGACTTGCTGCCGTGCACTGTTCTGTTGCAATTCTGCAAAATTGAAACTGATGTAAAAATACAAAATCTCTCAGAATCTGATGGCATAACTTCCTTAAAGTTATTATTTTTGGCTTTATAAAACAGTCACTGGTTTGTGTTTCATATAAACTCTGTTGGATGTACAGAATAATACAGTTATATATTCCTCTTGTCATGCCCACATCATAACTCAATGTATTTGTCTTTTTTTTTTTATCAATTCACTAAAAATCCATCCAAAACATGTGATTAGCAAAGATATCCATGTTTAGATTAGACTGTCATGTGGATTCATGGATTAACACATAGGCAGCTTTATTGATCCCCAAAATGTAATTTTTGTCTGTCATACTGATTTCAAATAGATGGAAAGAAAATCAGAAGTTGCTCATAGTGATATTTATCAAATAAAATATTCACTTGACTTCAGCAATTGTTTTATGAGACAGCAGATTAATAAGATTGTATTATGCCAATTCCAAAGAAAGCAATAGAAGTGATAAATACTGCCTTTACATACTGACTACTGAGTGACCTGCTCTCTCACTATTGACTGCTGAAAAACTGATATCAGTTGACCACTATTGGTAACCGCAGCAACAAGGATTGTAATCTTTGTTCATGTTAACGTCACTAGACTATAAAAGTATCTTCAGAAGTTCAGTGTTTAAGACTGCAATAATATTATTTCATAGATAATTTAGGGGATTATTTCTTTGATTTATTATTTAGTCCATAAAGTTTTTTTCAAAAAGTTGAAAAGAAAACACTCAAAGTTTTACAAAACCCAGAGTGGTGCTAAAATGGCCTTTTTTACAAACTGACTACTGAAATTCCTGGTGCAGAATATTACTTGATTTACAAAATGACAAAAAGCAGATGATCTTTTTATTAAAGAAGCTTGTCTGACCAAAACAATTGCAGATAAACCTACAGTGATGATTGTTTTATTAATCTTTGCAGCACTTTCTGTTTCCTGTCGCATTACTAAAGATTATCCATTCCCCTTCACATCCTCCGCTTTGTATTCTGTTGCTGTTGTATCCTAATACCGTCACAACATGTCACAACAAACTAACATAAGATCATGACACAGTTCATTAAGGTGCTGGAGCAAACCCATGCCCTCTAGTCAGGAGAAAGCCTATTACCATCCAGGAGGGGCACAGAGCGCGAGAGGCAGTGAGACTAATGGACTACGATAATCTTATCAGGGGTCCAGAGCGAAGCACTGTCTCTTTTTTTGTTTCAAAGTTGCAGGATTATCTCACATAACTGTCCCCAGAGAGAAAATAGTGTGCACGGATTGTGACAGCAGCACCAACATCCACTCAGAGGGGACTGTAAGATGAAGTAGAAGTGTGGAGTGAAGGTGATGAGGAGATAAGTCTGACACTCAGGGAGAAAAATGACTCAATGTGAGGTTCAAATTGTTTCATGAGAGGAGGGAGACATCGATTACACTCCTGCAGATGCCAGAGAAATGAAGCCTCTGTGTGTGTGTGCAGTAAAAGCTCTTTGAAGGTGATAACTGTGCATGAACTGTGTGTTTTACATGTATGTCCTCAGGTGCATGCTGGGAATGTGTGCAGGATGAGCAGCACATTTGTGACATTAGCTGAGGTATTGGAGGCTCGAGGGGGCCCTCTGCTGGAGGAGGAGGTCTGGTCTCTGCTGCTGGCCACTGCAGAGTCTTTAGTGGATGTCTCTTATCAAGGTAAAGCACTTCAGACAGCCTCCTCTTACTCCAGGCTCTCATACGTCACACTTTAATGTTGAATGCAGCATGAATGCATCAGGAACACTTAAATGTATCTTTTAGTGTTTTGATTTTCCGTGTTTTTGTCTTTATCCTAGAGCAGGACCAGCTGCTTCATGTTTATATTTGATGATTTTTCCCCTTTTTCAGGTCAGAACAATATGTGTAATATCATAAGCCCCACCTCCCTGCTGCTGTCAGCCACTGGTACCTTAGCATTTAAGAACTGTGGCCTATCAGACGAGGTTTCCACCTTCATCGCTCCAGAGATGCTGCAGGGCCGCGCCAGCTCCGCCAAGCCTGCCATAGAGAGGGTCAGTCCACGCAAAAGCACCCACACACCTTCAGACAAGTCCAGAAAGCTCATATGATAGTGTTTATGCTGGGTCTACAATTGTTCTCTCACATTGTCTTTGGTTTGGTACAAGCCACAGCTTTAATGTTTGATGTGTCTTTAGTCTTGGAGAGTAAAACCTTAGGATGTCAGGAGTTGAAGGACAAGTGAAGTGTGAGCACGCCATCTAGTGGCTAAACAAAGGAAGCTACTCTTCTTCTAATTTCTGCAATTCAAACCCCTTTTCCTGTAATTGGTTGTATAAAACAAACAAGAAATCCCTTTAATAGATGTAATATGGAAAAGATAAGTTTTGCAGATATTTGCTCACATGTCTCACCAAAAACTAATACATACTAATACAAGAATTTGTGGCTTTATGGGACTTATGACAGCATGTGTATTTTTCCTGTTTTCCTTTGTTGATACTTTAATTTGCATACATCGACATGTGGGTGTCAAACACAAGTGTGGCTGAGCAAATCAGATAAGTCACTAAATTCCTGGTTGAGAGGTGTGTAAGTTTTATAAAGTTATGGATTGTGAATGTGTTTCCTGATTTATAGACAGCCTGGCATCTATGGTATCTGCAGATCAAACCACAAACTGTTTTAGGGCCGTAAAAAAAGTCTCAGTTTGGTCACTGTGTATTGAGGAGTTTGATTGCTTTGTTTGATTGGTTATGTAATTATCATGAACTCATTCATTTGATCCTCCAGATGCTGGTGTATTCACTGGGTATGACTCTCTACTGGTCAGTTGATTTTCACCTACCTCAAAATCAGGTGAGAGCCGTCTAAACAAAGACGTCTGTTTGGACTCTGTCGCAGTTTCACACCTCGGTAATATCATTGACTTCCCACTGTGGTCCTCTCTCAGCCAGTCCAGTTGAGCGACCACCTGAACAGCCTCCTCCTCAGCATGTGTGAGGATCTGTCCCACCGCAGAGTCACTCTGGTCTCCATCCTGGAAGCCTGCGAGTCTCAGCACAAAGCCTCCATCCTGCCTCCGCCTGCCAAAGTCATCAGGCAGCTGGTGGAGGAGGTTTTTCATGAATCGGTGAGTCTCACATACGCCCACGGTTTGTTCCTGTCTGTGGCTGTTTCAGCCCCCCTGTGGGCCATTAAATTAGTGTTTGGATTTAAAGCAGGTCTGCAGAATATTCTGGTTGTAAAATGAAGCGGTTTCTTGTCCTTCAGATGGACCAGGGCTCTCTTCCTGACAGCAACGTCCCTTTGAGCGGCCGGAGTCAGATGATCAGAGAGAGACTTCATGGTGAGCAAGCACAGTAGATTGTTAGATAACCTGTGATGCTGTGAGGCAGCACTTTATCTCAACAGTTTAATCACACGGATCATGTAACACTTCGGATCTCAAAGTGAGTGAAGCGGATTCAAATCTGCCCCGCGGCCCTCAGCTGCATGTCCTCTTTGTCTCCAGTTTCCTACTCTGTCTATGATCCTGTCCTCTAAATACAGACCCTAGAAAGTGACTCGTGTTGTACATTTAAATACATTACAAAGCTGCACACCCGAGAGGCAAGAGCTGAACCAACACTATACTGAACTACTTTACAACTACCATACAAACAAGAGAAGCCTGTGAGTTAGTTCTCGTAACATCATTCTCACAATCACATAACAAACTATCCTCCAATTAGGCGCTCTGTTAAAGCTGCAAGATTTCCGGTCTTTGTCTAAGCCCCACCCACCTTCCCTCTCCCCCCCAGCATCCACCAGGCTCTGACGACATACGGGGGTTTAAGATATCCTGTATGTCATCAGTCTTAATTCCTTCATTTAAAGTTAATCTGCAAGAAGTGATGTGGTTAAAAATCCAGATGCTGATGCTGTCAGAACCGGAGATGATAGACTGATCTGATGTTTGATATTGTCCTGGTCCAGATATCGTGTTGATGAATGGGGGAAATATTTTGTATGAAAGATAGTTTCCTGAATCACTCCTAGTTCAGAGGACTCTGGAGGTTCAGGAAATACCTCTCGACGAGCAGACTTTCCTCAAATACTAGATCTAATACGATTATCCCAGTCATGATTTTGCAAACCCATCCATTAGTTATTCTACTTCTCCTATTTGAGACGGGGTACGCTCTGTCACAGGGCTTGATTAAGCAAATATGGGTTTTGGAAGCTAATGTAATTTTTGCCACAGTAGCTGCTGATTTAAATCCTAGTCAAGCTGTCCTTTCTAATAAAAACGAAAATGTCCCCAAAAATTTGGGTGCTGAAATTTAAGAAGATAAATTTGAATTTTAATTGTTGTGTTTAATCGTTTAATTATTGTGAATTTGTTATTTCTTATTTGTTCATTTAATATTATTATTTTATTTTAAGTCCATCAGGTTTTACTTCTCACCATTTTTATCTTTATTTTTATCTCCAGTGTTTCCTAAAGGTAGCTCGTTCCTCATGTGATGTCTTGGTGTCAGACCATGTCTCTTTAAAATTTTATCTTAAATTCTCACACTGTGTTCGGTTGTGTGTGTGTGTGTGTGTGTGTGTGTGTGGGTATGTGGGTGGAAGGGTTGGGTTTTTGTCTTTATTGTTGTTTTTAGCCTCTGTGAGGCACTTTGAATTGCATCTCCTTCTGTATGAAAAGTGCCATATAAATAAAGTTGAATTGAATATTTACCATAAAAAAGTAAAAAAAAAATTTAAAAAAAGGTTCGAGCATCAAGATTTATCACAGAAAAGGTTGGTGCCATGTTTGTTTTTGAAGGTCATAAAGAGACAGTCTCTGTTTCTTAATCAGCTAAAAACTCCTTACAGTGCCTTTAAAAGTCAGTGGTACAAGTGGTTTGACAAAAACAAAAAGTGCTATTATCATAATTAAAAAAAATTGTTATTGGTGTAATACTCGTGAAAAATTCAGGAACTTGAAAGAGTTGAGATACAACATAAACAAATCCTGTTTTATTCTGATGAACAGACACATGTAATGTTGGGTTTTTATGTAAATGCTAAACGTGAAAAAACATTGTAAAATCATTTTATAAGCTGTTTGACTGAGAGAATTTATATGTGAAAAACTATATCCTCAAACAGGATTTCTGTCCTTCGTTGTCAGTCCTGGTCGTGTATCTAAATTTTATCTTCAGTTGGATAACAGGGAAAAACCACCAAACGCATGAATAACTGGGGGGAGCAGAGTTAAGATTAAGTGGCTGAAAAATAATACAAAACATGTTACACATCATGAGTCAGTTTGTCCAAGTGAGAAATTTCTCTCTTAATTTTTGTAGAAAGTGGTAGCAGAAGTTGCTCATATGACTGAAGACAGGTCAACAGGATTAAAATCTTAACCTTAAGAAAGCAGAGGATTAGGCTCCTGTGAGAGCCAATCGTCAGAGTGTGGCTGCTCCGGGTTAAACCCTCCACTAGTCTCAGTTCTGTCCCAACATCTCCGAGCCTCCAATGAGCAAAAGGACGGCAGGAGTCAAACATTGCTGTCACCTGTCCTCTCTCATCTGGTTGACAGGAAAGAGGGGGCCTTTCTCAGACTTCAGCGAGGGGAGCGCAGAGGGGAGGAGATACTCTACGGACTCTGACTCAAAGTCAGGTATGCTAGTGAAGCAGAAACTGAGAGGAAGCTGTTTTTTTTCTCGTGCTTGAGCCCACACGTTTTAATCAATACCGTCTTTTAAATGTATGTTCTATGTGCTCGGTTTTTGAAGTGCATGTGCTCGTTTCATGTCTTGTTTTAAAGGGAGTTTACCTCAGAGACCTTGGAGACGGAGACCAAGGAGCTCTCCCACACCGCTGTACCAGTCCTCTTTAGACAGGTGTGTTTGTAACGCACTCATACATGCGCACTCGTTCTGATTTTATCGGAGGATTTTCTGTTTTTTTAAACTTTGTGTGCGTGCACGTCAACAGAAATAAACCTCCCTCATCGTCCGTCCTGACTTTGAGAGGACGTGACATTGTCCCAGAGTTTGACTTTTCTAACTTGTCTGAATAACTATTACACAATCTGTCCTTCCCCACCTCCCCCCTCTGTCCCCTCAGACTCCCCCGTGGGGTTCGTCACAGGGACAGTAACTGCAGTTGGCTTGGCGGGAGCCCCCACCACAACATCTCGCCCAAGACATCAGGCAGGTCTCAGAGTCCCTCCATCACCTTCAGTGAGTCCTCGCTCAGCCTGAGCCAGAGGAAAGCCAAGGTAGGAGCGAATATCTTATAGCGATTGTTTGTTAAATCAACTCGAGTTAATCCTTTTAAATCAAACTTTAACTAAACTTAATGGTGCATGCCTTTAATTCAAGATTCACGGGTAGATGAGGATCAGATTCAGCTCCGGGACCAGGCAGCAGATCTTTTGCAAAAACTACGAAGCTTCTTTTTTTTGCTGATGTGTGAAAAGATTTTATACCATGAATGTTTCTTTTGTCAGGCTTTGGGTCCTGAGTTTGTAAGGATGCCAGATGAACAACAAATTGTCCTCGAGCTTCCAGGATCTATCGTGGTAAATTCATCATTTCCTCTTCTTCATCACTTCAGTTTTTATCTAAAATCCTCTAACTTTCCCTCTAATTGAATTTCTCTTCCCTTGCATGCTTAACTATGTCTGTCTGTAAATTTCCATGTACAGTATTAATGTACATGTATGTGAGCATGTCAGTGGGGTTTTTTTATGTGCACGTGTGTCTGTGTGTTTGTGTGTGTCCACAACAGTCTAAGAAGGGACGCTCTTGCTCGTCTCAGAGAGAGGTGACCGTGGTGCTGCCGAACGGACAGTACGTGATCGTTCGCTGTGACATCAAGTCCAAAGCACGAGATGTGTTCGACATGGTGGTGGCTCACGCAAACTTGGTGGAGCACTTCTACTTCGGTCTTGCCTTCCTAGACGGTAAGACGACGAATTATTGATTAATTAGTAGTTTGAATATTGATTTCTTTAGATCTGTCTGCTCAGTTTATACAGATGTAAATTAGCTGTCATGCGTGGCCCCTGTTAAATAAACTAATAAACTTAACTGGGGATCTTTAGAAAACAATAAAAATAAATCTTCATGGCTGATTTGTTGGTGTTTGTTTTGCAGATGATGAATATTTCTTTTTGGACCATGAAACAAAGATCTCCAAAGTTGCGCCTGACAGCTGGAAAAAGGGGCAGATATCCTCCTTTTTGGTGTTTCTTCGAGTTAAATTTTTTGTTGATGATATCTCCTTCATTTTGTAAGTACACCAAGTTCTTCAAAATGAAACAGCTTTATCTTATTACCAAAGTGATAAAACCCTGTCAACACTTTATCGTATTTTGAAAGTAGACTTTTTTACTGTCTGAAAAGTTTTCTAACTTGTATTTGTAGAAAAATAATTCATGAAAACCTCTTCACTCCTGTCTCTTAGGCACAGACTGACTCGTCACCAGTACTACTTACAGCTGCGGAAGGATATCTTAGAGGACAGGCTGTACTGTAATGAGGAGACCGGCCTGTTTCTGGTCGCTCTTGCTCTGCAGGCTGAATTTGGTGATTACTTGCCAGAGGTACTGAAAAAACAAGAAGACGAAATTGCTCCACTTCACTTTTAAATACCAAAATCATCCATCAGAGCTGCACATTTAAATTATTTTTTGGTGTTTTTTTATTTAGTTGTATGGTAAGAATTACTACCAGCCGGAGCATTATGTGTCCAAGAGGATGCTGGAGAAGCTGGCCCTGCCTAATATCAAGGAGGAATTGCCAAGACTACATGCAAGTCATGCACAGATGCTTCCTGAAGAGGCAGAAACCGAGTATCTAAAAGTGAGTAGCCTCAATCTGCTAAACATATCAAAGTCTTTTTCTCTACATTTGCACTTTCTGTTAGTCCAGATGTGCAAATAAAAACACGCAGCATTAATACGTTTGTCCTCCTCAGATTGCCCAGCAGCTACCAGAGTATGGAGTTATGTTCCACCGTGTGGGGAGAGAGAAACGGCCGGTGATAGGAGAGTTGGTTTTGGGAGTCTGTGCCAAAGGAATCATCGTGTATGAGATGAAGAACCACACCCGGACTGTCACCAGGCGCTTCCTCTGGAGGGAAACCGACTCCATATCGACCGGGGTAAAGATGGCTGTCATTTTAACTAAGAGTTTTCTTTAAAGGAGAATCTTTGCGGATAACTTATGGTCGTGTGTGTCTGTCTTACAGCGGCGTAAACTGATTATCGAGTGTGGAGGACCGAGTGGGAAAAAGCACGGTTTTGTAACAGAAAGCTCAAAAATAGCACAGTACCTCCTGAACCTCTGCTCGGCACAGCACAAGTTTCACAGCGAGATGACGTCACGACAACTTAACCACACCTTGATACCGGGTAGGAATACTTTGATTGTGTAGAGGACTTTTGCTGTGACATGTAGGGGAAATCATGGATGAATAACGCCCGATTCCCCTTGGTTTCTCCAGATGAGAACATGGAAAAGTACCTGTCTGCGTACCACGGTCGTAACCTGAACCTGAAGCGGATGTCCTGTTCAGAGGGCATGCTAAACCACGTCGGTTTAGCACCTGGTCAGCCTGACTCCATGTCCAAGTCTTGTGATGACCTGACAGCTAAGCTAGAAGCTCGGCTACGGCAGCAGAGAGAGATGAGGAGGGAGATGAGCCGAGAGCTGAACAAGGAGCTTCCTGACTCTGGAGACCCCAGGGACACGAGGGAGCGGCCGTGCTGGAGGTAGAGAAACAAACGAGAAATAAACTTCATGTTCAGGTCAAAACAGAAACAGATATTTAATGAAAATGTGCACGTGTGTTTTAGCACCCCAGAGCAAATCCCCAGAGTGATGTCCAGTGTGTCACTCCAGAAGCAGGACTCTGACGCTTCATCTTCAATCAGAGGTGTGACTCTCTCTCTCTTTTTCTGTGAATTTCTCAAAGAGGTGGCGAACGGAGGTAAAAAAGAGAACTTTAAGCTTCTTTACTAGAGCACCATGAGCCTCTTAAACCGCTTAAACCTTCCTCTAATTGAAGTTGTGTGAACTATGGTAGACGGATTAACACCGTTTTCCACCAGATTTGCTGAGACTTCGAACATGAATATAAAAACTAATCAAAAGCAGCGCGTTAATTTTCTGTAAAACATGTTCTCTGCAGTTGAAACACCGACCAGAACCCCACCAGAGAGAGAGATAGTCTGTGTGAACCTGAAGAAAGATCCAAAACTGGGCTTTGGTGAGTTCATAAAGGCAGAATGAACTTTGACATGGATGTTGAGTTAACATGTAGAGCGTCTTCTTCACTCCCACTCTGTTCCTGTTTCAGGCTTTGTGATCGTGGGTGAGGACAACACAGGTAAACTGGATCTTGGGATCTTCATTGCTTCCATTGTGCCTGATGGGCCTGCAGACAAGGATGGACGAATCAAACCAGGTAGGAAGATAACGGTGTATGTGTTGTATCATCCATATCAAATCATAAATAACTAGAAAAGCACTCGGAGAGCGCAGACCTCCGCCAAGCAGCTCATGTCCCCCTTAAACAAGAAATGCCCTTATTGGGATTTGAACCCAGAACCTTCTGGTTGTGAGGCAACAGTGCTAACCACTACACCACTGTGCCACCTGTCTACACCACTGTGCCACATATCTACACCACTGTGCCGCCCATTACTTATCTTTCAGCATTGAAAATTCCAAAGACACCCTTATTTTTGTGTGTTCTGGATCACAGTATCCAGAATTTTGTCAGGATCACCACCAAAATTTAATGGGATCCTCCTGGGGCTGAGACGCACCTCTGGTGAAAATTTCAGGTCAATCTGTCTGTTACTTTCTCCGTAAAGTTGCTAACAGACAAACAAACCAACGCTATCGAAAACATAACCTCCTTGGCGGAGGTAACAATCACAAAGTTATATTAGCATTCAGCCTCTCTTTGACTAATGCTCATGTTGGCTTGAAAACAGCTGACGTTGGCTGTTGTCTGATGGTAGTGAAGCTGCTCTCACATATGAACATGCATTTGTAGGAGGAGTAGTAGAGCTGAGTATTTAAGTTGTGCCAAATCTTCTGTGCCGGTGCCAAAGAGCTTATTCTGTCATTGACTCTTGTTTTGAGCTTCTGGGACCCCCGGCTGTGAGCATGAGCCGTGCTACAGCGGTCAGTAGGTGACTGATCTGGATAGAGCCTGTGTGATAGAGCAACTTCAGGCTAGTGTTCTACAAAACCAAACCACGGCATTATTTGGAGTTGTAGGCTGTCTTCTACAGTTTGTAAGGTTTACAGGGCGATGTGGCTGACGGCTCTTTTCCTAGACAATCCGGAACAGACTGCACACAGCCAAATTCCGGTCTTAGAGGGTTGCCAGGAGACCTGCCATTGCTTGCCCTTCACATGTGGGTTTATCAGAGACTACCTCCAGAATTTGGGAGTGGAGAGGAGGGAATGGCCTGCCAGCAGTCCTGACCTCAACCCCATTTATCACACCTGTGGGATCACCTCGGGCGTACTCTTTGAGCCAAAGTGACCAACGCAACCACACTGGTTGGCTTTGGTCAAATGCTGGTTAAGGATTGGGATGCCATCCCACAGCGGTGTGTGGCCAGCATGAGAGGATGAGGTACCAGGCTGTTTTCTTGAAGACTCCAAAAACAGAGAACTGGACTGTGTCGAGTTGGAACACCAGGAGATGGGTTTCTACGACCCATTCTTTCCAACTCCTCCCAGTCGCAGATAAATATCTGCTCCTCACACTAGCAATTTTAGAACTGAAGAAGCTTCTTGGATAAGAGGCGAAACGTCTTCTCAACGCTACACAGTCCAGTTGCCTGTTTTTGGAGTCTTCAAGTGAATGAGAATCTACATGGACGTACCAGGCTGTTGTAGCTGTGTATGATTCTTCTAAGTGCCACTGAGGCTCCTGCTTGTGAAATGAAAAAGCGAATGTCTTGTTTCTTCAAGCTTTGATCATCCAATCCACCAAAGAGTAAGCTCATCCCACAAATGCATGTTCCTTACAAATGTGGCGTCATTTAAAAGGGAAATAAACAGGCTTTCCAACAGTATAAGATTAACAAAGACATAATCTACCAAAACACTAATTGTCTTACTCTTTGTGCTTAGTTTAGTTGCTGGCTGACATTGTAAAAAAGACAAAGCAAATTGCACACAACAACATTACCGCATTTAAAAAGGAGACCGTAATGATTGTGATGGTTGTTCCAGGTGGACGTCTCATCTCCCTCAACAAGACCAGTCTGGAAGGAGTAACTTTCAGTGATGCAGCTGCTATCTTGCAGAGCAGCCCTGAAGAAGTGGAGCTCATTGTGTCGCAGCCGAAACGTAAGACCATCTCAGCAGCGCTGTCTTCTCTGCCTGTCACTCGTCCATGAACCATTAAACACATGAAGACAGACAATGCTTGCCACCCCACCACACAGACGCAAAGCCAAAATAAACCCAGCTATAGGTGTTGACATAGTTACAGCTTTGTAGAACCATTCCTGAGGCTCTGCCCGCTCTCCTAACCAAATACACATAAATCTCACCCATAAAAAGGCAGTGATCTTGTGTGGGTTTAAGGGCACTTTAAGTTATGGAAATATAAACAATCCTTGTATAAGTGTGTGTCACGTTTTCTCCTCCATATTGGTGATCTTGGCCACATGGAGCCATCAACTATGTTATACTCTATCTTTTAGCATCAAATAACTGATTAAAACTTTGATGACAGAAATCCTGTTTGTGAGAAAATCTTATTTCACCTGTAGTTTGATTTTACAGCTCGATCTACATCAGCTGCTTCACATGTTTTGGCTTCACTTTTAGGGAACTGTTATGTCATCCAACTTTATAAGAAAACAAGAAACTGCATTACTCCGTCACCAAACACAACCATTAATACCCTGATGTGTTATTTCCACCCTGTTGTTTTCCCCTCAGAGTCTCTCAAGGACAGTAAGAGCTCCTTGAGTCAGAGCACTCTTGGTCTTGCATTGGAGAGGGGCTTCGGGTCACAGACCACCCTGAGCGGCACAGAGTACCGTCCCGCCGTGGAGGAGCTGGAAGAGGCCATCACCCTGTCCAGCCTAGCGACTCCAAAACAGAACAGGAGGCTTCACATCCCTGTCGTCCGAATACATGACGCCCAGGTGAGACTTAGTGCCGTGCTAACATTGGCTGGAGATAAGTGACTTTGTTTCCATGGCAGCAGAGCCGTCGAGTGGGGGTCAGAGTTAATACAAGAGTTTAGCTGGTGCTGATTGTAAAACGGATTAACCACTTTCATTAATGTGTTAAAACTCACCTTCATCAGTCGCGCCCTTTAAAAGCCTCCCCTTTTTTTTTAGGATGCGTGCTCCAGGTCTCCGTCCATCTTGAGTCTGAAAACCGGGGAGCGCTTCGTGGTGGAGCTGAAGAAAAGTGGCGGCAGTCTCGGCATGAGCGTCGCTGTGAGTTGACGGTTTCCCTTTTCATTAGGCACAAACCTAAAACACTCAGTTGGAGATTTAAAGGATTGATTTTAATCTTGAAACACGTCGATTCAGCTGTAAAATCCTTTTGAAAGTCAGCTTCTGTACAGAGAGCCACTCAGCCTACACCAAAGTTAATTCAGATCGAGTAATCTGAAAGAAAACCATTTATCATTCATAAGCTTTTACTTTTATTTTACTTTCTAACACATGAACCCTGTCTCTACGAGGGTTTACAACTCTACAACCATTATCCCCCAATCCCACTGTGACTGATACACCCTAACTTAAAACCTGAGCCCAGACAGACAGTCTTGCGCCTCATGCCATGCTAACATACTTAAATTGTGCCAAGGACTTAGTGACTTTGTGCTACAAGTGTGAGATCAGCTCGAGCAAACTGATTAACGAGATCTACAGAGAGGCCAAAAGGTAACGAGTAACGTGGAAAGGTCAACTTGGACGGCGACATTGCTGAGTCAGAGTGTTATGTTACATCTCTGTTTATGTTTACATCTTCCGTTTTTAAATGATTACGCACGGATAGAAAATGAATCATAACTTTGCTGTGGTCTCTTCTCTTTAATTAAAGGGAGGGATTAACACCAACGTGCGATTCGGAGGCATCTACATCAAGAGTCTGGTGCCTGGAGGGGCGACAGAGCAGGATGGACGCATTCAGATCGGTAAATCTTTTTAATTGGTCAATCCAGTGTGAGTCACAAAAGTCATCAATCTCTTATCTGAGGATATCACAGGGTTTTTGGTCCTGAGGATGATGAAAACAGGATGAAATATCTGAGGATTTTTCATCATCCAAAGAGAGAATATGAAATAACTGCAGTAGCCCAGAGAGATGAAAGCATTTATGATAATTCAGGTTATTATTGTGTATTTTAGTCAGTCGTGTCTGTCTGAATACGCCTCTACTGCCTCTGCGCCGTGTCTGCTCCTCTTATGCTTCACTGAGCGGGAACGACTTTGAGATTTGTTGACATGCCCGTCAACCACATATACACACACATACACACACACACATACATACACACACACACACACACACACACACACACACACACACACACACACACACACACACACACACTAACCGTTTATGTATTGATGTGGCTAATGATGATGAGATTTGTGTCTGTACATATGACAGGTGACAGACTGCTGGAGGTTGACGGGTCCAACCTGAGGGGCGTGACTCACCAACAAGCTGTCGAGTGCCTGAAGAAGACAGGGGAGGTATATACACACATAAACACACATACACACACACACACACACACAAACAGATGCAAATATGCACTTGTAGAGAGCACATTTCTGCATGAACAAATGGATTTTTAAAGCATTGCTGTATAAAGTCTTAAATTGTAAGCAACATGTATTTAGTTTTTTTTAGATTAGATTAGATTTCCTTTATTTATCCCTCAGCGGGGAAATTAAATTGTTAACTGCAGCAGTAAACACAACATACACATTCATACCGTATGCAAAAAACAAATAAATTAGATAAAGAACTATAGTTAAAAAAAAAAGGAAAGAGAAGGACTTTTACAGGGACTTGGATGTCAGTAAGTCAAAAAGTAAAATAAACTTTGGATTACAGCAGCATTATGATATCTGACTAAAAGATGTAAACATGTATATCTATAGATTTCAGGTTTTGATCAGAACCTCAAGAGCTCTTTAACATTTCAGTCATGTGATTTATTTAGCTGTGAAAGAAAATCCTCCTCTTTTTCTTACCGAGTTACCAAGAAGATCATCTCTGAATTACAGGAAAAGTCTGACTGAAAAATAAAAAGTTTCTCTGTTTTTCTGTATTTATAAGATTGTTCTTTCAGTTACCTCATAGCCAACATGGATGCATCACAGATCAGTATCATCTTGTGTCCATTAAGCGTGCTGTAATCAGCTCAGCTCACCCTGGAGAAGTACTGCAGCATCCAGCAGATCAGATCAGGCATCACATCTGAAAGACTATAAAGCCTAATGTGCCCGAGCAACAGCAACAAACTCATAGTGATAACAAACATTAACAACATCATGTTACTTAAGGACATGATGACATCTTCCAATCCCTAAAACCCCAAAATAATGCTGGATTAAAGTAAATAATCAGGAAACGTTGCTTCCTCTACCAGCGAAAATAAGAGAGTAATCAGGATTATGTATCTCATTAAAGCGTATCTCATTAAAGCTACAGTCAGGGGTTTTATAACATATATTAAATAGACTGAATTATGAATTGATACATTTTATGATACACAAAAGCAAAAAACCAACATGAACAAGATTCATGTTTTCATACTGTTGTCCACAGGGGGCACCAAAACGGACACAAACCAAAAGTTCCTCACAGGAGCTTTAAATGAAAATACATTTATCCGTTAAAACCAGATCACAAACTGTATGAAAGGAGCTGTATGTGCATTTGTTCCCCGTAGGTTGTGACCCTGCTGCTGGAAAGGGAGCCAACCATAATACTGGAGCCCAGACCTGAATCCCCCTGCCCCCCTTTGGTCCACAGTCCATCACACATACAGCCCCCCAGGACCGAAGTCTCCATGGAAACAACCTTGAGTGGTCGAGCCAAGGACTACAGCTTTGTGACTGATGGTGAGGGGGGGAGAGGAAGGGGCACAAACGCTCACAAAAGGGAAAAAAAGACACACACACACACACACACATTTGCACACATGGCCCAGAGGTGACTGTGAGTCATCTGACAGCTACATTGTGGTTTCTGTCAGAGTCATCCAGAGCTGACGCGTCCTCTGTCCCCTGAGACGGCGTGCTCTGAAACCTTGAAGCTGCCTGTTCAGCTGAGTTAAAGGGACAGTTCATCTTCTCTGCAGAGCCCACATGTCCGTACAAAAAATCCTACAAAGAAATCAAAGCTCATCTGCTCTTTAAATTAAAACGCTGGAACGTGTTGGGGAGGCTGATTAAACATTTTCTGTCGACGACGATCCAAAACACAACCAACATTACAGATTAAAGATTACACAACTCACATTCGTGCTCCAAGATTCTCTCCATCTCCTTTTTTTCCCTAGAAAACACACATGAAGTGGTGCTGCAGAAGAGTCTGTCAGGCCTCGGCTTCAGCTTCAACATCTCCAGGCTGCACTCGGGGTCTGACAGCGGCAGCGTGGTCCGAATCAAACGTCTGTTCCCGGGTCAGCCCGCGCTGGAGAGCGGCCTTCTGAGAGAGGGGGACATCATCCTGTCTGTGAACAGAGAGCCCGTCAAAAACCTCTCCTACCAGGTAAAATCAAGACAAATTTGTTAAAGTTTGTTAATTTTAGTTTGTAAAAGATTATAGTCTGTTTCCAGGGTTATAGTTTTTCAGTCACCAAGCATCTTTCTATTTGTTTATCATTGTTTTTTTGTTTGTTATTCTTTTTTTTATATATGAACCCACCTCTTATAAATTCTGTTCTTATAAATGTGTTATAGAAACTTATAATTGTTAATAATCTCATGCAGTGCCGTCATTTTACTTTAAGTGCTCAAAGTAAGAATCATAGAACTTATAACTTCTTTTAATGCGTAGAATAAATTCTATTTAAACCATTATAACTGGATAAAGTTGTGAAATTTATATAAAGTGTCATTAAACCCAGAATCAGATTAGTTTTGTTGCATTAAGCACTTTGTAAATGACTGTTTTTAAAGGTGCTATATAATTTAAGTTATTGTGAGGTGTAATGCCTTACAAACCACACCTTTATAAGGCATTATTCTCACTGCTTACAGTTTAAAACTTCATTAACATTAATAGAAGCTGTTATGAATGCTTATTATCACTTATTGTTATAAAGCCTTGAAGATGCATTAATTGTTCGGTTTGCTTTTTCTTGTCATGTAAATATTCAAGTTGAGTCTTTCCACAGTCAAATGTAACATTTATTGTGAATATTTAATAAGGAAAATGTAAAAACAAAGGCTGTTTCTTACACCTACCCCTCTCGCACTGGTTTTACGTATCAGAGAACACGATTTAAAAATCACCTGTCTTGTCGCCGACGGTCTTGTTTGCTGTCAGATATCATGAAAAGGCCTAAAAATGAATTTCGGTTTGTTTCATAAACATAAAAAAAGTCACTTACAGGAGCTTTAAATGTTTATGTTATGATAAGTCATACATACTGTATATCCCTGCAGTTCTGACACAGAACACCAGGTGAAGGCTTGGGTTATTATGCAAAGCTGAGTTCCAGGTGATAGAAGCCAGGTGTGTGTTATGAAGGAGAACATTTTTGACTTAACTTGCAACTTGAAATGAACTAATTCTCTTTTACCTAAATAAGACATTAAAGGGCTTTAATTACTTGGTGTTATTCGCAGACTAATTCAGACATTATTCAGATTCAGACTTAAGCTCCAACAGTGGTCAGTGGTAGTTGAACAGTTTTAAAGATATTCTGAATCCAAAACTGGGATAAATTTTCTCACGGTTGCACTGAGGTTTTCGTCGTCCCTACACCAGTTGAGGACCTGTTCATACTTTGTTCACAGATATCTGTTTCAGTAGTTGCTTGTGTTTGTAGCAGAATAATTGTGAATGAGCCGGTTAGTGTGTGAGCAGCCCGTGTAGTGACCCTGTTCTGTCTTAAGATCTTCACGTCACCCCTCCACTAATCCTTTAATCTCATACGTCCAAATATAGCAGGCTGGCCGTGTCCTCCTGTTTGATGTGTCATTTAATCTTTTGTGTACTTCCAAGGAGTCACATGTGTTTTAATCACAAAAGGAGGCGTTTAACCATGGAGCAAAAATTTTAAAATCAAAATTATGTCACCTAAAGATGCACACAGGTTACAGTCCTCTGTAACAAAGTTTTAATAGTTTTAAATTATTATTTTTTTTTGTTTTCAATTTAGATTTTATAAGTCCACTTTAGTTAAAAAAATGCAGATTTTTATCTTAGATTTTGTTAGTTCGTGTTTATGTCTTTATTTGTGTCATTTCAGAGAGTTTTGTTCCTGCTCCGTGGAGCTCCATCTGAAGTTCATCTGCTGATCTGCAGACCGGGTCCTGGAGTACTTTCTGTGGTAGATGACAACACGCTGGTGAGTTCACAAGTGTGCTCTCGTATACATGAGTACACATCAAATCAGAATTAGAGGGTTTAAAAATAATTTGATGCCTTTATTTGAAAGGAAGAAGTGGAAAGACAACACACCAAATGCTGAAAATGAATCATTTTACGATGCTTGTTTTAAAAGCTGTGCCAAAAACATGTTTTAAATAAGGTTGGACAGGGTCAGGTTTACCATGATATAGTATCTCCTCTTCTTTTGGTGTGGACAAACATTTGTACTAACACTCTGTGAAAATTTATAAACCAAGGAGATCAGTTCCTGTAGTTTTGACAGTCCTGCCTGTTTAGGATTTCAGCTGCTCAACAGTTCAAGGACTCCTTTGTTGGATTGCTGTTCGATGATGCACCAAATGTTTTAATTAAGTGACGAGCAGGACTGCAGGCAGGCCAGTTTAGCACCCTAACTCTTTTTCTGCGAGACATCTTGTTGCAGTACATGCAGAATGTGGTTTGGCATTGTTTTGCTGAGATGTGATTTCCCGCTTAGCTTCAGTCCATCTTTAGTAGACGTGGACCCTGAGAAGCTGCCAGCATTTCATAGTTACGTCGATCATATTTATACACAATTTTTTTCAGTTTTAAACCCATGCAGTGATTTCCACTACAGAGTCATGTCTTTTCTGCAGATCCGCTTAATCTTTCAATGATATTATGTTTTGTGAATGGGATGTATAGCATTGGAGTTCCTGGTTTTCATGTTGTCCTTCCCTATTAGATTCTCATGTGTGATATTTTCTGTGTTCTCTAAAAAGTAAGTAAACTAATGAAAATAAAAAGTTTGTACCATTAAAAAAGAAAAAGTTTGACCTGGAAATCCAGACTGAACTCCTCCTTTCTGGTTCTGTAGAGTCCTGCATCCTTCAGAGAGGTTCGATCCCGGTCTCTTGACATCAAACTCGGTGAGGACTACAGCCAGCTGCTCAAGTTTCAATGTGATATCAAAATACCCATCCAGAAACCAGCCCCTGTCCAGGATGAAGACCTGATCAACACAACAGAAAAAGGCCCAGAGCCTCCATCACTCCCAGAACCTCGAAAGAGTCTTGACATTATAATCCAGACCAACCAGCCTCTGCCGTCTCCTCCTCGCTCTCCCCCGTCACCAACCTCACCTCCATCACCTCCATCACCAATTTCGCCAGCTTCGCCTGCCTCCCCGGCCTCACCTGCCTCGCCTGCTTCACCTGCCCCTGGTTCTCCACCGACTCCATCAAAGTCGCAGCCGACTGCTGGGAAACAAGCAGAGGAACACCAGGAGGTGGAGACAAAGAGGAAGAGCAAAGGTGAAGGTGAGGAGGAGGCTGCAACAACGACAAGGTCACTGGTGACGCATATGGATGTCTGCCCTAAGACCGCCTCCAACTATGTTTATTCCAGGTGAGATATTACCTGGAGGCAAACATGAGACCTACTACATTTCTTATTTTCACAGTACTATGGAAATCACACTACTTACTCATGTAAAGGTCAAGATAAGCAAATACTGCTCTGTCCACAGGGGGCGCCAAAACTGACACAAACCCAAAGAGCTTTAAAGGGATATTCTGGCGTAAAATTAATTTAGGGTCAAACACACCGTAACACAGAGTTAGACACCTCCTCCAGAGATGAATGTTGCTGACCGCTTGCTTCTCTAGTCTACTAAACACAACTCACCTACTCTCTTCCAGCAGCCGCTTGTTTGTAGCAAGACCACGGGTCAGTCCATTACGGACTACAGCGGGGTGTCGCAGCTCAAGGAAGAACATTTATGATCATTTCTTTATCATTTCCTTGAAGTAATAATCACCATGTTGATCATTTTTCACTGCAGACGCGGTAGTTCTTCTGCCTTAGCATCTCGGTCTGATTGTATCACCATGAAGTAATGATCATAAATGTTCTTCCTTGAGCTGCGGCATCCTGCAGCATTCGACTCTGTACAAACAAGCAGCTGCTGGAAGAGGGTAGGTGAGTTGTGTTTAGTCTCATTGCTAAAGAAATTAGTCAAATTTAAAAAGATGTTTGGTGGCTGCGACCCTATATGTCCTGTTGATAAAGTTAGGTGCTGTTCTGAGCATTATTTAAAGTGGCTATAGAGTGGCGTTTTGGTTGAGGTTTGTTTAAGGCTCCTCAGACCGCTGTGTATTGCTATCGCGTGGTTGTTACTAAAGTTGGTATAACTAGAGAAACAAGCGGTCAGCAACATTCATCTCTCAACAGGGTGTCTAACTCAGTGTTTTGGTGTGTTTGACCCTAAATTAATTTTACGCCAGAATATCCCTTTAAAGCTCCCGTGAGGAACTTTGAGTGCCCCCTTGTGTGTGAACTAAACACTAACTCTTGTACTTTCGATGACCTCTTACTGTAGAAGTTCTTGATGTAAAAACCTTGTTCAATTTCTTTTCAAAGTTGATCATACTGCTTTTATGGTAAGTATTGACAGAAACGATAACATGACTTCTGTGTTCACTAAACCTCAAAAAAAAAAAAACAATATGAGGAACTTTTAACTGGATGAGATACAGGCTGAAACAGATACAGAAGCCTGTTTATGATCCTCAAAAGCAAATGGCAGTTGTGATTTTTTGTTCATGTTACACACTGATTACTGTTGTTTCTCTTCAGCGGTGTCAGAGAGGAGGCTGATGGGAGTGTGACATATTGCCTGGTGGGAAACGGACTGACAATCATGGCTGATGAAGAGTATCTGACCATCAGCTCCACTCTGGAGCCTCCTCACAGCTTCCCCTCCAGTCTCACCTCCCACACAACAACCACCAACCTCACAGCCCCTCACTCTCAAACCTCCAACACCTCCTCCGGTTTCGGGTCTCAGAATCCAAACCTCGGCCCTCAAATCCCCACCACAAACATCTCACCGCTCGGCCTATCATCCGAAACCCCGACCACCTGTCCCCCGACCCACGCCTCTCAGCCGCTCACAACACAGCCACCCAAAGCCAAGCACCACCCCATCCAGCAGGGACTTCTCCCCAGTCACTACAAAGCCATGTCCAAGAGCAGCAGGCCTCTTGTGCCTCCACCCCTGCCTCCTGCTCCACCTCTGACCCCCATCACAGCCCAGGTCATGTCGTCTGTGGCTCCCTGTACGAGCCCACCTGCACTAACACTACCGGCCCCAGTGCTGCCTCCTATTGTCCAGAGTCACTCACCGCCGAGGGAGGAACCAGAGAAGAGAGAGAGGGAGTACAAGGATGACGATACAGAAGAGGATGACGACGAGGAAGAGAGTCGAAGAAAGGCAAGTTTCTTTGCTTTTACAGAAAAATGGCGTTTGGTAGATTTACTGCCAAGAATAATTGTGACTGTGTGTAGTCAGTGTAGATTTTACAAGTTTGAAGAAATGATAATTATGAAAATTAAATCTTAGTTATTTGAAGATTTGGGAGTTTATGTCACAGTTTTTATGCTTCTCTTTTTACCTGTCAGGGTTTTGTGAAAGAGTTTGAGCTGACAGTCGTTTTGAGTAAATCCAGGAGTGGAAGCTTCGGGTTCACCATCACTCGCAGCAAACTGGACAACTGCTACTACATCCAGGAAATACTGGACAACCCAGCCAAGTCAGATGGACGTCTGAGAGCAGGAGACAGACTCGTCACAGTACGCTCAAACACACACGCACACACACCGTATGGAGTAAACACTTTTTGATTGAATCATTATTTTTATTATTATTGTTTCTTTTTTAGGTAAATGGGCATAACGTCACCAATGTGGCGGATGATGTTGCCATGACGATTCTCAGGTCGTCTCCGAGAAAATTAAGTATGACCCTGGGGAGATCGGTTACCAATCTGGTGGCCCCGCCCCCCTGTGACAGCCTGCCTGATGTTGTTCTCTACAAGACGCCATCAGGACAGTTAGGTAGGACAGATTTTAAAGGGTTTTTGAAGAAGATTATTCAACAGAATTAAATCAATCCTGATGCGTCTATATGATCTATAACTTTTACCTTTACTGATGAAATGTTTACACACATTGCCGGTTTTGCTCTGAGCGTTAACTCTGTTTGTGTGAAGGTATCAAGCTGACAGGAGGCATTGGCAGCAAATGGCAGGGCATCTACTGTCTGGAGGTGGTGCCAGGCTCTCCAGCCAGCGAGGAGGGCAGCGTCCAACCCAACGACAAGATCCTCTACATCTGCGGCAGGTGCACGCTGGGAATGACCCTGGAGGACGCCGTCAAAGCCTGCGAGATCGCCCCGCGGAAAGTGAAACTCAAAATCATCAGGTATGGAGTCGAATTCGAATCTGAGAGGAAGAAATGACACAAATGTATGTTTTAAGTTATTCCACCTTTGAGCGTCTGTGTTGTTGTGTGTCTGCCACAGAGAGGAGCAACCAGTGACCCCACGGGCGAAGTGGAACGGTAGGTGCCTCTGAAGGATTTATGGGATGGTTTCACCTGCTTGACTTAACCAAGGGATACATAAACAGGATAGTTTTGTTGTTATACGCACTGATGGACTGCTTAGAAACCAGACATGTTCGTACTCACCTGGAAGAGGATCAATCATTACCAAAAAACCCGCTGAATTTTGCTCTGAGTTTGCTTTTGCATTCATGAACTTTTTGTCTTGTCTTGCAGGTCTGTTTGATTGGAAAAAGGACAAAAAGTTTTTTGCTCGCTTTGAGGAGCCGGAGCCGGAGAGAATCTCTCCTATTGAAGATGGTGATTTTTTTTATTCCATTAGACCTCAGTTCAATAGTTTTGTTGGTTTGAAAGTTTCAGGGATATTTCACCAAAGCGTCAAAAGTAGAAATGAAAGCGATAGCATGAGAGGGTTTCTCTCCTCAGCAGACCTCCACATTTTTCTCTCAGCACCGTCACTGCTTTCCTTTCACTCTTTTGCTTGTTGCTCTTTTGTTTGAGTGAAGCCAGAGCTCAGTGCTGAAAGATAGTTCTCTCTGCAGCTGTATGTGCATGTGTGTGTGTGTGTTAATGTGTGTGTGCATGTGTGTGTGATCTGAATGCTGACAGACAGATCCTGGGCTCTCACAGCAGGATTAATAATTAGCAAGCCTCGGGCCCTCCACTGGTGTATTGGACTGCAGGGCTGGATCCATCATACACACTTACACACTCACACACACACACACACAGAGCCATACAGACGGTGGTCTACCTACAGGGCAGGTAGCTCAGTTGCTTGGTGACGGTGCGTGCAGCAGCGGTAAGGGACAGTGGAGAGGGTCAGTCTGAAAAGAGCAGACTTGTTCACCTGTCATAGACGAGACGCACCCATCAACACTTCTCTGTCAGTATGGCCGAAGAGGGGGGAGGTCGGTGTACGTTTCTTTTCCTGTATCTAAAGCATAAATTCTATTGGCTGAGAAAAAGACCCCTGGGTGTAAATTTGTAGAGGAAGGAAGCTGCATCAGCTCAGGATTGAATCGTTTTGAACTTTTCCTGGCTTGTAAAATCGGTGATTCATAAATCCTCCTGTTTTTTTTTTCAGCTGAAACTTTGTGCAGGACCCCCGGGAATTTCAGATGTCTCCCTTTCCCTCAAGATCAAGAGGTAAGTCTTTGAAATTTTTACTTATCTTTATCCAAAAGCTTGAACTTCTTGTTTTAAGTCTTTTTTGTCATCTTTTGCCAGCTCTGTCTGTTCTTCTCTCTTATACAACACATCTGTGGAAGCACACACTGTAACCTGATTCTGCAGTGTGTCAATCTGCAAATGCTTTCTCTGCTCACAGGGTCACTGTCTGCATTTGTGTGTGTGTTGATGAGCTGATAATATAATGGCAGTGTTTTTTTTGCAGGATATGAGGCTCTCTCTTACACTTTCCCTTTTCCTCCCTTGAAATTAAAATGCTTTTTCTCTCTTTTTTAATCGCCTTCAGAGTTGCATCATGCAAGTGGAGTTCACCAAACCAGAGGGAGGAGGCCTTGGCTTTGCTTTGGTCGGGGGCACTAATGGCAGCATGCTCAGAGTGAAGGAGATCTGCTCCGGTGGAGTAGCTGAGCAGGACGGTAGACTGAGAGTGGGAGATATTCTGTTAGAGGTAAAGGCTCGCTGTCGGTTTTGTTTGCTCTGAGGTCTTTTGAATTTGAGAAAAACAATCATAAAACGTTTGTTTCCAGGTGAACGGTGTAATTGTGTCCGGCCTGAGCCACAGTAAAGTGGTGGACATCCTGCGGAAAGCTGAAGGTTCTGTTCAGCTCACAATCTGCAGAGACATCCTGCCTCTGACCTACTCTGAGGCGCCGACACCTCCTAACATGTCGGCCCAGACTGAAGCCATACTAGCCGAGCAACCGGCTCCTGTGTCCAGCCCTGAACCCTGCTCCTCTCCTGACGCCATGTTGAATAAACCGGTCGATAAGCCGCCTGGTAAGATTTTTGATAACAGCTGCTTCATTGTCGTTCTGTAGTGTTGATCACACGTACATGCTTAAAGGTGTACGTTCGTGCGTATTTACGGTGCACAGATGTGATCAATTCCTCAGATTATCAAACGTGCAGTGAGCTTGATCTGCACTTTTTCTGTTCTTATCATAACACCACAGCTAAGTGGTATCAGCCCAAGTATAAATCCCACAATGCATTAAGGTGGAGAAGTTTGTTGCAAATGTTGTAACTTAATATTATGCTCATATAACAACAACTTTTTAGTATAACTGTACATTCACAAACTCTGATAATGTGTTTGCTGTGAGGAGAGCATGTTTAGGGAAATTTATAACAGCAAAGGCACCGAAAACAAACATTCAGATTTATCAATTTAAAGGGATATTCACGCGTAAAATTAAGTTAGGGTCAAACACATCGTAACACCGAGTTAGACACCCCCTCCAGAGATGAATGTTGCCGACCACTTTTTTCTCTAGTTATACCAACTTAAGTAACGACCGCACAATAGCAATACAGAGAGCCACACACTCAACCAAAACGCCACTCTAAATAATGCTCAGAACAGCACCTAACTTCATCAACAGTACATATAGGGTCCCAGCCATAGTACTAGCCACCAAACATCTTTTTAACTTTGACTAATTTCTTTAGAAAAGAGACTAAACACAACTCACCTACTCTCTTCCAGCAGCCACTTGTTTGTAGCGAGATCTCGGCCGACTGCAGCGGGGTGAAGCAGCTCATTTATGATCATTTCTGTATCATTTCCTTGAAGTAATAATCACCATATTAATCATTTTGCACTGCAGACGCGGTAGTTCTTCTGCCTTAGCGTCTCGGTTTGATTGCATTTCCATGAGGTGTCTAACTCGGTGTTACAGTTTGTTTGACCCTAACTTAATTTTACGCCAGAATATCCCTTTAAGAGCAGAGAATGAGCGCACAGCGACTGGTGAAAGAAGCTTTATCCTTCATTATTTCTTTTTAAAAGGACGGTGGCCACATATGTATCATTACTGATGTGCAAAGATGTTATTTATGATTATTTGGAGTATTTTATTATGGTTGCATACTACAAATGGAACTGGACAGTCAGGTCTTGTAATGACAAAAAGAAAGTGGGAAAATCTGAAGTATAAATATAAAGAAAAATGACAGAATCAATTAAATAATATCTTACTTTATAATATCCTCTGCTAGTACAATCTTCTCAGCTGCTTTTTTAACCCCCCCTCAGTCACTTAATACTTCCTTACACACTAAAGGAAATGTTTCTTTTAAGAGGCGAAATGCCAGTAAAGTGTGTGTATAACCAATACGATCAGCTAAGTGTGGAGTAATGGGACACAGTCATAGACTTTGAGACGCTACTTGGCTTTACCTGCTTTGTTATTAATGTGATTTCCTCTATAAGTTACCGCTGCTCAAAGAAATGATTTTAGGAATGAAAGTTTCAGGCAGCTTAATCTCAAAACTTCAAAAGATCAATAAAGCTAATGATCGGAAATGTGAAGTGAGATTGTTGCTTAATTAGTACTTAAGTTATTACGATAACCTTGAGCTTAAAGAAGTAGTAGGTTCGCATGAGAGTTTAACCTGTGTGGAAATAAAAACAATGAAAGGACACATCTTTATAATGAAATGAGCATTCAAATGAAATCTGTATCTTCACTCGCAGTTTTCTATTTTACACTTAGTGACTGATTTTCGAGGGCTTAAACACAGCCTCGTCTAAATGTATAGTAACCTGTTATTCCTGCTCCAGAGGCGACCTCAGATCCCCTCCTCAGTGAGGCTCCTGTTGTTCTGACCACACCTCCTCCTCCACCTCGCCGACTCACCATAGTAACAGATGAGGCCACGATCAAACAGGTAAACTCAAACGCATGGACCACTCTGTCATTATCATAACTTTAACTTTTTATTAATGAAGTATTACCCCTACTTGTCTCTTTACTAACATCTGCTACTAATATCTCACCCCCTCCTGTCTGTTCCTTCCTCTGCTTGCTGGTCCGTCTTGAACAGGAGAGCTGTGAAAGCACCCCTTCTCATCAAGCTTGCTGCCCGTCCCTTAGTGTCACTGACATGTTGCATGGAGCCTCTGACAGGTAGTAACCTCTCCCCTCTTCTAGTGTCTACTGACTCCCTCTTTTGTAGTCCTCCTCTTCTTCATCCTGCTCCCTCTGTTGTTCCACTCTTGACCACAAGGAGGCAGCAGAGAGCAGTGAAAGTCTGCTGGTGCTTAGGGCTGAGAACCTCACTAAGACAGTTAGGAAGCCTATAGTATCATTCTCCTCAGAGCAGTAGGTATGGCAGACATTTTAGCCTCTTGTCTATACTGTATTTTAGGTGGAAAAGTCGCAGGGAAAGGAAGCTCAGCCTTGCATGATTTCATCCCCTCCTACCGAAGAGTAAAATGGTCTGGTCTCACCCCTGCCCCCTGACTCCCCCAGGAAACAAATTGTGACCAAACTTTTGGACCAGTCGTGTAAAGATATCCGGAAGTCTCAGTCAGACGGCTGGAGCAGCGAAGACGAAGACGATGACGTGTTCGAAGCCACCAGTCTGGAGACGACCTCGCCACAGACAGGTTTCTGTTCTTTAAGCTCTTACGCCGATGTGACAGAGTGAAAACGCATCTGCGCTGTGTCATAAAAACATCATTATCCCCCTCTCTTTACTTCTTCTCATCTCATCAGGACCACCCATAGTATCCGAGGAGGAACTTGCCAGTTTAGCCGTCATTAGTCCCTCAAAGTCCAGTCAGTATTCAGGCTCCAGGGTCAAAGCTCTCATCCAGATTCTGCAGCATCAACTGGACCAGCAGGAACTGGTTAAGGAATTCATGGTGTGTATGTGTTTAAATACACACATTTACCCATCAGTGACATGTAGAGTTTTAAAATCAACACAAGAAAGGGGGAAAACTGGACACTGGAGATAGGGCTGGGCGATATGGAGAAAGTTTATCACAATATTTTTTTTTCATATTAGTCGATATCGATATATATCACAATATAAAAAATGAAATGTAACAGTGTTTATTGGTGGCATGTCTTTTTTGTCGTGAGGCGCTGTGCTGTTAAAGTGCTATGGTTGAGTATAGCTGCTGTCTGCTACTACGTATTTGTTTGCTTCTTGGTTCTAATTCAGCACATGATTGGTTGAGCGCGAAGTGGACCCGGAGAAACTCCCCTTCTCATTGGCTGTTCGTTAGGGGTGGGAGAAAAAATTGATTCACAGAAGTATTGTAATTTTTTTGTTTCACAATTTTTATGTTCAAAAATCTTTTTTTTTTTTAATTTAAGAATAAATCCGACACACGTGATGTGTATTTTTTGGGGAAATATGGTTCCTGGAATAGTCAGTAGACAATCAGAATCATTCAGCTGTTTCACTGGTGTTAAAAATGCAGACTAAAAATCGAGAAAGTCAACAACATGGTAGAATCGCAATTTAAATCAAATTGGCATCCAAAAAATCATAGCAAAATCGAATCGGAAAAAAAAAGCGTATCGTCCCAGCACTACTATTCGTATAGTCTACCAAAACATGGCAGAATGCCGATTATCGAAAAGCACATTGATCATGTTTTATATTGATATTGAGGGAAATTAATTTTCGATATATATCGTTATCGTTTTATCGCACAGCCCTAACCGGAGATAATCACAATCTTTAGTTTAACTCTACAATCACACAGTCTTACAACAGCTAGAAGCAACAACAGACTCTTTTATACCTCAGATTGGGTGATACATAAAGTTTCAGGTCACAGTCTTGTTGTATTCTATACCAGCGCTCGTAGAAATGCCTCCTGTCCAATCAGATTACTCGGTAAGAGCCCCCTGTTGTATAAAATACTTTATATTACACTGTTAATGAGGGAAAAGCAGCAATACACCCCTCCCCCTCCACATATACACATAGATGCCTAAGCATTATTAAACGCTGCGGTCTAGCACTGTGTTTTATGGACAGACATATAGGAATCCAGCCGCAGTCTTTACCGTAAAAGTTAATCTTTCTGTTATTGTGCTCCTGTTGCTCATTTCAGGCTCTGGAGCATCTGAAGCCCTCTGACAACTGTGTGGTAGGAAAAGCCCCCGAGAACAGAGATAAGAACCGCTACAGAGACATCCTTCCCTGTAAGTCTCTTGCAGGACCTGTGTTAAACCTTTACTTTCTTCAGGGAGAATCTAAACTTTTACTTTCTCCGTTTGTTTACACCCCTGCGCTTTTATTTTATGTTCCCCCATTGGAGATTTTTATTGGTGAACTAAAGCTTGTAAAAGTTGGATACTCACAGACCTGGCATTTATTGGAGAGCCTGTTTGTTAGCACTGTTACCCTTTTCTTTCTAAGGTATTTACTGAAGGGGGTGGAGATGTTGTTTACTGCACTAAAGTCATGTCTGCACAACAAATCATTCTCTGCATTAGTATCGATGATTCACTGGTGCCACACTTGTAATTTTCTCGGAGTCGGCCAAGTATGTGATTATGAAGATGTCATTTGTTTCCAAACCTAGTAATAATCTAAGATTTATCTTTTTTAATTATTAAAGCGGCACCAGGAGAAAATTACAAGCTGTGTAATTGGTTTGGATTTCAGGGGGTAAATACAGAGAGGATGTGTGAGTGTTGCGTGTCGTCTGGGATGTAAATCTTTTAACGGGGTTAACACTGAAAGATTTGAAACATGTTCGAGAAGTAAATCTTGCTAGAGAGCACATATAGGAAGTAAATGTTCAGGAAGTAAATCTTGCTGGAGAACACACATATACATGTACAGCTAAGGGCCTGTGTCCTTCAGCTGGAGAAAACCAGTTCAGTACTCAGCAGCATCAGCACTCAGCGTCCCTAGTGTAAAAACCCTACACATAGATGCTTAGCCAGTATTAACCCTAACCCCTAACCTTAACCCACAATCAGCATCTGTCAATAGCAAAGGCAGAGGTCTGTATGGAAAAGAAACCGACTGCAATCTGAGGATGCAATGTTTAGGTCTGGAGCTGCTGCTAACATTACGACGCTACGGTCTACGGTGAAATCTCATTGAATCAAAGCAAATATGAAGAATGCAGAGCAACTCAAACTCACTGAAATCAAGGTTATGTGCACTGTCAGTGAAAATGAAATGTGTTCAATGGACACAGGCCCTTGAATCAGAACCGACTCAAAGATACTTGTCATTTACAACAGCACCATTTATCGTCGTGCATTTCAGTATCTAACCTAACCATATTGTGGGGGACTAACATGACCATTAGCATCTAAGTCTGCTTTGACTCATTCACTAATACCAGCAGTTTGAATATTGCAAGGGTTCGAGTGATAGAATAGAATAGAATAGAATATTCCTTTATTGATCCCCCATGGAGGAAATTTTTTTGCCACAGCAGCATCACAGACAAAGGTAGTGCAAAATGCAGTTATAAAAATAAAGATCGTAATATTAAGAAACTAAATAAATGGTATAATTAAGAAAAAATTTAGAAAAAGGAAAAAGTGGAGTAGAAAATAAAATAAAATAAAATAAAATCTGTGGACTCAGACATACAGTCCTGATTCTGCAGTCACCGGCCCTGCAGACACAAAGGCTTTACATGCAGGCTTTTTCAGCCAGCCCCTTCACTGCAGGAACTTCAGTATGTCGCTGTTCTGCATGGGATTTATTCCTCAAGACAAGGGGTCATGACTTGTGAAGGATTTCAGAACTTTAAATGGCCAACTGCTGTTTTTGGCTCTTCTGCATTGTCACGATTTCTCACACCTTTAGGTTTCTGACGAATGTGCAGCACTTTGGGATGCAATGCTTAAAATGTGATTGAAAATGATGACAGTGAAGAATGAGAAAGCTAATGTTAGTGTAAACGTGGGAAAAACGTGCACTTGTATGCCAGTAAAGACACAGAAGTTTTTACATCATGATATTTTAGGGTTGATCGGGTCAGATCTAAGTTGAAAGAATATGATAAGGAGGATCATAACCCCCAGTGGAAAATCACCGCGCCTCACTGAATGCCTCGTCCTCATAGCTTTTACCAAATCTTGTTTGTGTATCACATCATGTGCTGCTCTGATCCCTTCCTTTTAGCCTTTAAGTATTTTATTTAGAAATCCTGATTTCCAGTCTGTGGCTTTTTGACCTCACAAGCAGGAGGTGTGTGACTTACCCAGGAAACATTCCTCACTTTCCTCCATCTATCACCTCTCTCATCACCAACAAACTTCCTCACAGCGAGGGTTTGTGGAGCCTGACTCCAGACCCCAGAGCTGTTTACTTGGCTTTATTTACTGTACACTGAGTTTGCGTGCTTTTGGAAAAACAACAAGGTGAGCAGTGTTTGTTGTTTACGGTCGAGAAGTGAATTGCTGAATCAGACATCGAGAAAAAATTGGAAATTCTTGTTCTGAGTCTGTGAGTGAAGGATGGTTAAATTTTGTACTCACGCACAGTTTTTCCTCCGTTCTCCCATAGATGACAAAACTCGTGTTGCCATTGGAGACAACCAGGACTACATAAACGCCAGCTTCATCCGCATGCAGGTTGGCGATGAGGAGTTCTTCTACATCTCCTGTCAGGGTCCTCTGCCCTCCACGGTGCCGGCTTTTTGGCAGATGATCTGGGAAAACAAATCTGACGTCATCGCCATGATGACCCAGGAAGTAGAACGGGGAAGGATCAAATGTCACAAGTACTGGCCGGAGAGGCTAAGCGTACCTCTGGACACCGGCAGGTACCAGATCTACCTGGAGAACCAGCAACACCTGGAGTATTTCCACATTAAGATCATCCGCATGGTAGAGACAGAGGTGAGAAACGTATGCTTTATACCAGCACATGTCGTATTGAGGTGTACAGAATCTCTTACTGTTGATTTAAATTGTAATTCCAGTCTGGGCAGACCCATTTTGTCCGCCATCTGAAGTTCACACACTGGCCTGACCACGGCGTGCCACACAGCTCAGAGCACCTGGTTCGCTTCATCCGCTACCTGAGGGCGGTGCATCACAAAGGACCGGCAACCGTGCACTGCAGCGCCGGCATCGGACGCACAGGAGTCCTGATCTGCACGGATGTTATCCTCAGCCTCATTGAGAACGATCTGCCTGTAAGCGAAAGCCATTTTATAAGCTGCACTGTTGTTGTTTTTTTCATATCTGTAAATCAAATATCGATATCAATCAATCAAACTTTATTTTTAAAGCACTTTACATACATAGAATGTAGCAAAAAGTGCTGTTCATTTGCGCAGGATTAAAAAAACAATGAAATAAAATAAATAAAAAATACAAATACCAAACCCAACCCCCATTCAACACATACAGCTCTCACACGCTCACACACACAGATGCACACATAAGAGATCAGGGGAGGACTCTTCAACACACCACAGATGACTGAGGAAACACTATCGAGTTAAAAACATTGAGGAAACACTGGATCTAGGACTAAAACGATAAAACCATGATAAAATATTACAAAGGTGATAAAGCATTAAAAGTTACATAAATAAAACAGTCTTAGAAGCAAACAACAACAGGAAGTAAATTTTTATAAAAGAGGTTATAGAACACAAAATAATAACTCAAGGACTAAAATAGGTGAAAATCACGTAATGCGGATTAAAAGATTGAAACAAAATTCAACCATAAATATTTTAAAGGTGAAGTGGGAAGTATTTAACAGGCATTGAGCAGACCAGACTTGGCAAGAATGGGATAAAATATTTTTAGGTGTCTTAACATGTAAGGTAAAAAAGAGAGTTGTTTGTTGTGTGCTGTGTTCAAAATAATTTGTACCAGCAAATGTTTTAAATAGTAGAAACTTAAAAAATACAAGATCATACTTATCCTGCATTGTCCTCAAAGGACCACTGTTGCACCACCAGCTAGAGGGGTGAGCAAGGGGGCACTTCAGTCTGAATACCAGATATCTCCATATACTACCGTGTTTAAACACTCTACATTCAGCAAGGTCGAACCTAACAACATTTTTACAAAGGCGTTGATACTCCAGACATTTACTTTGTGTGAAAATGTGGGAGTTTAAGAAACTGATTATATCCCTGTAAAAATTTCACCAAATAGTTGTTAACAAACATAAAATATTCTATTTAAAGCTCCTTAAAGGGTTTTTTTTTAACTGATGCTGATATTGTACCTGACCGTACAAAAGCAGAAAAGACCATCAGCGAAGCGATTATGTAATATATAACAACAGTCAGGGATTAGGTTTTAAACAAGACAGTTTAAAACACGCAGTAAAATTATCGTTTTTTACATTTGCCATAGCAAACATTTACAATGAAAGATATATTTGACTGCTAAAAGAAAGCAAAACGACTTTTTTGTCAGAAAATATTTTCAGCACATGTGCAGGATGATATCAGCAAACAGGACCTCAACTTTATCCGTGGGACGTGCAACAATGCAAACCAAAATTTCTCACAGGAGCTTCAAAACAACCGTTCACATCTTTAATTGGTGTGGGTTTTGGGGCCTCCTGTTGACAAATATTTGGTGTTAAGTTGTACTCGGAGCACTAATCTGGATTTGGCACAGGCTGATGACAAATTAAAGCTGATGATTTTCCTGACAGCTCCAGATGAGTTAAATGGTAAAATTTGTAAGGAATGTAAAGCATGCAAACACATCAAACTGTCATGGCAAACATAGTAATCAAAACCTCTGTATAAAACCACGCTGTAGTCAGCATTTAGCTGCCTGCAGTTTATTATTGGTATAATGTATGAATTATGACTCACACACATCCTATAGCTGTGTCTAACAACCTCCTGTCTCCTTTTTCAGATTGATGTGACTGAAATCGTAAAAGAAATGAGACTTCAGCGGCATGGGATGATTCAAACCAAGGTCAGTGCCAACACAGGGGTCGGAGTTCAAAGTTCAAGCTTTAAAAAGAAGACAGTTCCCAAAAGCTAGACGTGCCCTTTGTCTCTCTCGTTGCAGGAACAGTATCTCTTCTGCTACAAAGTCTGGTTGGAAGTTTTACAGGGCATTTTACAGCTTCACGGCAACCAATGGCAACCGGAAAGTCCCAGAGAGCACAAAGTCGTCTGACTGTTTCCACCTCCAGCTCACCTGGCTGTAAAGCACAGACTGTTTGAGTACCAGTGTGCAGTCCACCGCAGCACAGACTGAGGATGTCTTTTACTTTGGCTGTAGTTAGTTTACTTAGCTTTAATATGAAACCTGTACTTCTCTCTGTTTTGATACTTTGTGTTGAGCCCTTTTGTTATCGACTCTAATTTTTTGGTTCTTGTATTTGCTCTCGGTGCTGTGAATAAGTCCATTTAATTTAGATCACTGAGGTTCTTTTGCCTTTTCAGGCTTAGTGATTTGCCTTCTGTCTTTAGCGACCTTTTCAAACTTGTGTCACGATTTGAATGTATCTCATTTATTTCTCGTTATTTTGCAAGTTGCTTTCTTTCTTTCTTTTTTTTTTTTAAGTCAATCTGCATGGAATTCAAATCTGATAATATTCATGTCTTTTATCAGGCTGTGATTTTCATTAGTGTCATCAAAAATGCACAAGTGTTTCGGCAAGCTCATCGCACCAGAAGGAGAATCTGTTTGTAACCTTGATGAGAAGCTGTTGATTGAGCATTATCATTTCATTAAGTGCATTTGTACCCTGGAGAAAAGGGCATTAGCGAAGGAACACTATTGATTTTTCAGTTCATCATCTAAGGGAATGAAAAGTATCAAGTGCCTTGGAATGACTCACGCCGCTTGCTCCGCATCGACCCCCCAAGCCACTTGTCACGGGAGGTCGGGGATGAAGAGCGGGAAACTGATTGGAGAGCTTGTTTGTGGTCTGAGGTGGATGTTTGGTTGAGCCAAACCAGAGGAGGATTACATCTCACCTTTAAGTTAGTTAAACTGTAACCACGAAACAATGTGAAGTTTGCACACCCCCTTGCAGTCTCTCTTTTTTTTTGTTTGGTTGTGGGCCCATTTTCTACAAAACACAGTCACTATGAAGGTCTTACTACACATAATCCCAACCTGCACATCCCAATACAGATAAAGAATGATTCAACGTAACAAAAGTTTGGATTAATTCGTAGATTTTCGATTCACTCTTTTACTAAAATTTCGATCCGGTGTTGACACTAATTACTCTTTTCTAAAACTGATTTAAATGCTGTTTGAATAATTAGTTTTAGGTGTAACTTGTTATATGAAAGCATCCTTTATCTGTATTCCATAGCTATTTTAATACAAACTCAGCCAAAAATGCAAAAAATATAAATGAGGTTTACAAACTTTCCATTTTGCCACCTCAGATGTACAAAGCAACAGGGCTGCATCTCAAAGCCACAGATCCGGGCTGATTCATCGCTGCTGGTTTGAACCTCAACCTTTGGATGTAGCTGCTTGTAGGCTTTGTTCTTTTAGCTGCTATCACACACAAACACACCCGTACACTCACCAGCTTTTGTATTGCATGCAGACTCTTAAAAGCCGAGACGTCTGAGCCTGGATTTTGACTGAATGACTTGAACATGATCAAAATGTGGAATGTAACAAAGCAATACCCTTCGAGAGGAGGAGGGATCCGAACGTCGACCTCTTACCTGCGAACATCTTCCAAACTGGACTGTGCTGGTGAGGCGTATGCAGCACTTTACCTTTGCCATGCGGATGGCTGTGCAGAGCTGCAGATGCACATGCGACATCCTTTATTCAAAGCTGCTGGGTTGGTTTCCAGTGAGAGGTAACCCTCTGTTATGTGCAGGTTCATGTTCTCTTCGAGATCCTGTTGTTTTCTCCCTCAGACCTTGTAAAAAAAATTTAAAAAAAGATTATTCTTGAAGGACAAACAATAGCACATTTTGCATTCATCTGTGAAAAGGCATCTTGTACAGTCGAGCAAGTGCTTATGCAACAAACAGCATTGTGAAATGTAATAACCCCTTAATTGCACAACTGCTTATTTATGCTGAATTAATGTACAAGCCACTATGTAACCAATAATTGAGAACAATGTAATACCTCTCTCTTTAATTAAAAACTCTTCTGAAACTTGTTTGTGCGTTTTTCAGCCGTTTCACCCCCTCGACTCGGGACACAACATAACTCAAGTCGAACAACGGAACCAGAGCAGCAGAGTGTGTTTTCCCTGACGGCACACACATAGAACAGAGAGCCGGAGGCGGCCCTAAATCTAATTCCACTGAGCCCCCCTCTCCATTTTTACTGCAGGGTATACTCCCTCTCGGGTTTTACTGCAGGGTAAATAAGCCGGTCTCACAGGGGTCTTTGTGACAGCATGGAAACCCCTGGAAACACACTGCACGCTCCGCACACACATATAAACCTGACGCTGGGGGAAGCCATGGAGCAGATTTACTCCCTCACTTTCTCCCCGCTTTACTTTTCTGAGTTCTACCACCGCCTCATCTTTTGTTTCCCCCTCCTTCACTTTGACCTTGTTATTGCTGCTAAATCAACAATGACAGTGACTCTGATATTCAAAGCCAAATTTCATTACAGTTGTTTTAACAGTTATCCTTTGAATTATAAACCACGAGACAAGGGAGGGAATTCTGACTGATTCAGATGGAATGAAAAATATGAGTGTTGAAAATATGTTGAATAAATTGGCAGGAAAAAACATGGATGTAATCTCTGCGATGCTACCCTTAGATTTCCAAAACCCCAAAGATGGCTGTTGCCAGATTGGAAATGCTCATTTCAAGAAACAAAGAGGTGGAGTCAGACGTAACCTAACCACCTGATGATCAGCAACAACCATAGACTGTATAAAACTTAGATGTCATCTCAGTGGCTCAACCCATTGGTTGCTCATCAACAGCAGATGCCACACAAGAAATAGTGACCCAACGCAAATGTCTGTCAACCTAACTAGCAAAGAGACAGAGTTGAAGCAGGCTTTTAGCTTATTTGGCCACAGTGTAAGATCTGTAAGAAATCAAGAGACCTTAAGATTAGTGATCGTCAGGTATAAATTTTTCAACTGCTGATGCCGATAATGTGGGAGCAGGATGGCCGAAAGCTGATATATAATGCTGATATCATATTTTTGTTGTAGTTTGCATTTGACAAAATACGATTTATTTATTCACCATAGCATGGACAGCGTCTGCCTCCTTGCTGGGTGAACAGCACCCTCTGGTGACGTGCTGCAGTATAGGTCATAAATCCCGCCTCCTTCATGTGGGCATACAAAGATTGCGTAGCTCACCCGGGGGATATGCTGTAAGCCGAGTGTCATCACAGCGACTCTCAGTGATTCTCCTGCTGAATGCGTACCATGCTACTGTGCAATGTTGGCTTCAGGAAGTGGAGAAAAAACGTGGAATTACCGAGAGCTTTTCTGCTTCAAATCTGTATACTGGCACAACTACTGAACCAAGTTGTCCATGGTACATACAGTCTATGTTATACAGACAAAAGAGAAACAAAATAGCTGAATAATTTTGTCAAAGAAACATAGAAACATTTTTGCTCAGTAAAGTACCCTCATGAAGAACTCTGGGATATCCTGTTGAGAAAGAAAAGTTACTTGGTAAATAAAACAAAGAAAAAGTGATACGCTGATCTAATATGCTGTCCCCGGTGATGGGTAAATTGCGTTTTCATTTAGAGAAGATACCAGTGATACTGCTATGATGCAGATTATGCCAAAAGGTGGTTAATTGCTCAGTCAGTGAATCGCTCTGTCCCAACTTTAGAGTTTGATTTCTTTACTTGCAGTTAGAGATCAACCACGTATTAAATCACATAGTTCTGCACACTCTCAGTGTCCTGTGGAAGTGTCATGAAACAAGACCAAGACTGTTTTTGTACCAGGCTGTGAGTTCTGGAGAGGTTTTCTTGACTTTAAGAGCCAGCCTCAAGTGGATACCTGAAGAACTGCAGGGGTTTGTATTTCTACATTTTTCAACACTGGCGGTTGCACTTGGTTGAACCTAAAAAAACCTCTTATCTTGGCTGATTTAAGGGACTATAAGTAAAACACAAAGTGGCATATCTTATCTAGCACAAGATAAAATTTAAATACCTGACAGTCTAATGCACAGTCACTTCATTCATGTTGGTCTTGTTAGTCTGCCTGGTACTTCTGACTCTGGAACTTGACGAAAATTTAAGATAAAGATTTGTGGTGCAGGATAAGGTCTGGCAGCACTCCACGTATTTGTCATGATGTCTCCCCCTGAAAGGTCTTCTAGTTTTGAAAGAGGTCAAGTAGGACCCTCCCTCTGCAGCAGGGCTGACAGTTATTATCCTGCAGGGCTCTTGCAAAATAGGTCCTGTCACAGACCATTTAAATTCCAGAAAAAAACGCACACGGTTGAATTCCAGCTCGTGTTTTCTGATGAACCAGGAAGATTACACCGAACCATTGGTCATATAATATCCACATATGTGTGAATATTTCAGATAACACATTTAAACATGAACTTTTTGGCAATAGTGAACGGGAATATGTTTATCTATTCTGTTACACGTCACTGGAAAGCTGCTTGATATTAACGTCGGCTCTCTGCCCATTCACCAAAAACACCCTGCTGCTTTTTCACATCAGCTCGCCCAAGCTTCCTCCAGAAATTTTAAAAGGAAGCTGGTGGGAAAATGTCTGGATACGGCTGGGGTGAAAATTCCTGCTGTTTGCAGTCACATGTCGGAAAGTTTTGGAAAGTTTACAGAAGTTATGAGCGAGTGCGAATACAGTCTTACTCCGATTTTATCTCTATTTTGATGCCAGTCACCATTTGGGAGACATGCATGCTGAATGATGAAGGTCGTTTGATATGTTACATGATATTATAAAGCTTGTTGGGCTGAGGACAGTTTGAAAAAAAGGTAATTGGGTGTTTAAAACCAAGTGAATCAATGTTTCATATAAAATGTGGTTATAGCAACTTGATGTATTGGATTTCTTTGAGAGCATTTTGATGCTAATCGGACTTTTCCTGGATGAAACAGTGTTTTGTTTCCATGTAAGTAGCCGTGCGTTGAGTGTGAACAGATGATTGAAGGAAGAGAGATGTTGATCTACCTGTGGGCTGTATGAAAGAAAGTCAGCAAAT